GTTATGATGAGTGGGAAAAAAAATAATGTGTTTTTCTAATCACAGTTAATACTGTTTAGTAATTGAAATTAGAGGTTAATATAATAAAAAAGATGAATTTTCATTTGAAATAAATATATTTAATTTAATAGAATTTTAAAATATAATTATATAAATTTAATATATTAATAAAAAAATACTAGTAACACACTCTTTATTATTGACTAAAAATTTATTAAAAACTAAAAAATATACTTAAAAACTATTAATTGTTACCACTTAAAGGCTGATTAAATGACAGATTTGTATGGATGCAGGTCATAAAACTCTATGGAGATCACGTAAGGGATGTTTGTAATTTGCTTTTGAAAGTAAGCAAATTGTTGAGTGTAATATGTTAACGTTGTTAGTCTTGCAACAAAACAGTTTCATAATATATTTATACATTTTTGTGTCACAAACAGAGCGGCTATGTACCAAAGAGGAAGCATATCAAGATTTCGTTTGTAAGGCCTAACAAAAAGTGAGGAATTTGCTTCATTTTCAATGGATAACAGTAGCTTTTAATCGGAATTCAAGCAATCAGATTCTGATACCCAGTTCGAATGGTTGTTGGCTGAGTTATGTGGTAGAATATGTTTTATTTCCATTTCTAAACATTTATCTTTTTGAATAAATCCACTAAAGAATGATCCACTTGTATCTTACAAATTCAAATTTTCTTGAATGGAGATATTTTTTAGAATTTTTTTATTAAATTGTGTGATTTATTCTTTACTTAATATTTTTTTATTGATCTGTAATACTATTTCTTAAGTTTATTTAATTTAATTTTTTAATTTTATAATATTGACATACCATATTAAATAAAAAAAATATGTTATTTTTAAATTATAATGTTAAACTAATTATAAATTATAAGATAGATGAGAGGGAGAGATAGAATGCAAAATGAAAAAGAAGTAAAATTAAAAGCTTTTATAGGTGGTATATGATAAAAATGGAAGAAAAATAAAATAAAATAAAATATCTACAAAGAAAAGTGGGTATATGAATCAGAAATTTTATCTATACAGAACAGAAAAAATTGGCAGATAACACAAGTGGGTATATGAAGCAGGCTTTTAACGACCTCACAATTTGGGGAGATGCCATTCGTTTATCATCAAGTCTGCTTACTCAAGCTTTAGAACAAACCGAATCTGAAATCTAAAAGGCCATCAAAACTAAGTGCATATGAAATATAGGATATAACAGAGAAAATGAAAAACAACACGAGTCCAAGGTTAACCCATGAATATCTCACCCTAACCCACATATTAAGGGCTAAATAATCTAAGGCCTAGTTAATTTTTTTTAACAAATATAGAAACAGGGCTAGATGAATTATTTCTGAGTTGGGTACGGCTAGTCCCAAGGCTTTTAAGAGCTCTATCTAAGAGTGGGTGCTAAGTATATTCTTCGAGACTTAAGAACCCAATCCACGTGGAAGCGATTAAAGTATTGGAATGCATAAAAGAATATTAATTAGCTTGGATTTGAAGCGACATATAGTGATGGATTCTCAACTTAGAGCTACATGTGGTGTTCATAATTATAAAAGGAAACATGAAAATACAAATGAATTAATACACGGGAGATAATATGGAGTCCAAGAAAAAGTACAAACCAAGGGAATGGAGTAAGATGAACATGGAGTGGAAAGATCCTCGAAGTGAGCAAGTGCGAATGGTTACCAATTATAACTACAATGTATTTTATGATAATTCTACAACTGGGTCATTCAACAACAAAGGTAGCGGAAAACAAGATTTCACTTCTGCGGACATTCATGGGAATAGCGATGAGCTAACGTTGTCTGATGACGAAGATTCTGGCAGGAGGAGACAAATATGGGACCCTAATTGGGCTGTTAATTTTACTTCTAAGAGGGACTCATTCAACAGAAAAAGCAATATCAAGCAAGATTTTGAAGACCCTTTCATTGCTTCAGATAGAATTAGAACGAGTCAAAGATACAACTTTGATGATGACCCATCAAGGTTGAGACACAACATCAATGTTGATGACCCTTTTTACTATGGTAGAGATACAAGATTAAGATATCATCCTCCTCCTCCTCCTCCTCCACCTCCTCCACCTTCTTTTTATCATCACAATGCCACTCATCGCCCTCATTCCGGTATTAATTTCTCAATAAACTCCAACCCTTTAATAGATTTAATTGCATTTTTAGTCCTTATATGTGATTTTAATTATTTATGTTTAATTTCTCTATTTTTTTAATTGTTAAAACTTCAACTCTTAACTCCAACACATTTTCCTTAATATTTGATTATTCATTACTGATGTGATTTCATAATTGAATAGATCCCTACGATGAGGATGAGAACCCGTATACTAGAGTGAAGAAGTACGTTCATGTGTACTTAGAACATTTAAGTTCGAGGACATGTGTCACAATTGTCCAAGGATTAAAGCAAGATTACAACTACACCAGAATACTCGACGACCTCAAAATAGAGTTCCACTGTGATGGTTATATTGTCTGCGACGCAGATTTTGGCAGGGTTTGTTTTTCTTCTGCATAAAAAATGTATAATGTAATTATTATATTTTTGTAAAAATATATATTTAATTTCAATAATTTCATTTCTGTATTAAAAATTCATAAATAAAATTCAGTTATAAGAATGCATATATATTAGTATCTTAATCAAAGAATGCCTAATTAAATGAGAATTTTGTATGGGTATTGAGTGCATGCAGGTCATACAACTCTACGGAAATCACGTAAGGGATGTTTCTACTTACCTTGTGCGAGTAAGCAATTTTTTTACTTTAATATATTGCCTTTGTTGCTCTTGCTTCAAAGCAGTAGTATACACATTCCAATCTTATATATATATATATATATATATATATTGATTTTATTTCTAAAATTCTGTGTTGTGCTGTTACAAACAGAGGGGCATGGTACGAAGCAGGGAGTTTATCAAGTTTCATCGTTTGTAAGTTCCAAACGAACAGTGAGCAATTTAGCTTCGTGGTCAACGTATGGCAGTGGCATATAAATCTGAATTCAAGAGCTACCTTTCCTATTTGGGATATAGTTATTTTCATACATTAAGAATGTATTTAGCAAAATTAGAAAGTAAACTAATAGAAAATTAAGAAGTTACTTAGAAGTAGAAAATTGATAACTAACTTGTTGAAAATCCAATTATAAACCATTTGTACATAAGAAAAGATTTTGTTAAGAGAAGGTGAAGCTCATTTGACCTGACCAATTTTATTTTATTTTTGGTCTTCTAATATGATGGTTTTTACATCTTAAAATATGTTAATATTCAATTAGGGTGGTTTAAGAATCGATGTAATTTAACTTTTTAAGCCACTAAATTAATAAAAAAAATTACATTTTTATAAGCAATTTGGTTTGCTTTTTAATTTTCATGTTCAAAATTAAACTAAAGTATTAACTGTGTAGCATATATGTAAGTATTATATTCTATACAACCTAGTGAGTATTGGAAGGATTCTCTACACGTATGCTATAAAAATATACCGTTCTCATTAAGAGGAAACGTCATAGTAATAAAAATAAGAAGAAGAAGAAGAAGATCGAGGACACTAAGTGATCAATTTCAAACATTCATGTATCAGTATTTTAATTTTATAATATTACATACCATATTAAATTTAAATATTTTAATTTTAAACTATAATTTAAAATCATTATAGATTATAAGATAGATGAGAGGGAGAGAGAGAATGCAAAATGGAAAAGAAGTAAAGCTAAAGGATTTTGTAGGTGGTATGATAAGAATGAAAGAAAAGATTTATAAGGAAAAGTGAGAATATGAATCAGAAATTTTATCTATGCAAAACAGAAAAATTGACGATAACATAACAACAAGAGTTAGCAGTTTGGTTAGGGTGTTAATAGAAATTGACTACGATCTTAAATGAATTTTGGTTTTAGTGTCAGTAATTGGAATTCTAAAGTTATATATCAATTAGAAGAGTTTTTTTCTTAACTACTACGTACCCAATCTGAATTGGTGATAGAAAATAAAACAAAACAAACCATTCATGAATAAATTAGCCATGACTTTGTGCTGCATGCATGTATAAAAGACTTCAACGCTATACGTGTCCATGGGGGCAGAACTATTTTACATAAAATATTATTAGCTTGGTTTCCAATTAGGGATCATTTTTAGATTCTCATTAACTTAATAAAGTATGTGCATTTGGATATGGAGAAAACATCGAACTCTGTATCTTGAGAAAAACTTTAAACCTTGTACTTTGAAGAAAAAAATAACAAGTAGCACTTATGATAAACCTCTTTAGAGGAACGACTAGAGAGTAGAGGGCTTATGGTGCCTTTTTAGTTGAAAAAGTATAGTGATGTCCTTTGAATGTTGGACGACTGAGCTTGTCAATATAAATATATAAATACTTTAATGATTAATGCAAATAAAAATATGTTTTTATTTCCTATAATTAGATTTAAAAATTATAAGTGGTTCTTTTTATACATTAAAAAAAAGATTGAAAGGAGTACTTATTTCTAAATTTGTTCGTGTTGTGCTGATACAAACAGAAGGGGGTAGTACTAAGAAGGGAGTTTATCAAGATTCATCGTTTGTAATCTTCGTAAAAGTGAGCTAATGTTGATTGCTTTTGTGCTCTGGGCCATTAAAATAACATTTATGGACTTTAAAAAAAAATAAAGAAATAAAAAAAATTATAACCTCAAATATAAAAAACTCTATATTCTCTTAAGTTTGAAGGAAGTAGAACTCAATATTTGAAACCTCAGTCTGAAAAAAATGAAACCCATTCTATGAACTTTTGGAACAATATAAGTAATTCTTTACTCGAATATAATGTGATAATTGTTGTTACTGTTATTAAAAGTTACAATTTTAGTTAAAATTCAGTTTTTAGCCATAAAAAATTTCAGTTGTCCACACATAGTTGGATATAAACCAATTGACGATGTGGAAATCATTGAATTCAGTTCTCTCGCATACCAAGAAAATATCTTGATGATCATTTCAACATCTGGAAAGCTTAGCCATCAAACTGGTGGAAAGCACTTACCCCATCCATTAATTTCTAGGTACATTGAATCAATATATTGATTATTGTCAACCTGACCTTTTGCATGATAAAGTAATTTTACTTCCTTTTACCCAAAAGATTACAAGGCTAAATCAAACAAGGTGCAGCCGAAGGCCAGGAGAAAAAACACACTAACCTAAGAATCCAGCACAAGTGCATCAATATTTCGTTTTCCTTCAGGGCCCTTGGTATACCATGATAACACATAGTCTCCATAGACAACATCTCGGTATTTGGCTGGTGATGACTCATTGATCAGTTCAGAAGCTGGAGAGATCTTCACTGTCTTAGCTGGATCATGAAATGTTGCCACAGAGAGCCTTGCTCTATCAGGATTAGTAATTGCCCTATGCTCACAGCTCCTGTACTTTCCATTTGTTATAATCTGGTGCCAAAAGAAATTTCCATTAGAGGAAGAGCTGCATCATATTTATTTCTTGTTCAAATTAAAATCCAAATTAATTCAACTTCGTTAACAACTTTATTTTCATGAATGAACGACTTATCAGGAATGCATATAGAAATCACAAATCATAAGAATCCAAATCTAAAATAAGCTGCCACATTAGAGAATACCGAATACCATATTTACAAGTAAAATGACAGTAAATAATGCTTAGAATACAGACAAAACATTGTTCTCCATAACAGAGGTGTAGTAATGGTGCCAATTTAGCCACTTATGAATAATGAGGGACTGCCACATTTACCAGTTCTAATAACCGTTATACAAAAAACACTATCTCTTATCCACTCATATCTGTGCTCCCTAGTCCCTACCATTCACCTTGACCTTGAAGAGTTGAAGTGATTGCATATACATTACAGTAAATTATATATTTTACCCCCATCGAATTTATTGTCCATATCAAATTTAAATACCCCATAAAAACCAATATTTGTCTCCCCTTATAAAACCAATACTTTTCACCCCCTTGAATCCCCCTCTCTTGAAGACTCAAAAACACTGCAACTGTTATCAATTCAGTTAAAACAAGTCACGAGTATTCTTTTTCAAAAGAACTCATGATAAATTATATTCATGACATATATTTGTAGGTGTGTTTCAAAAACACGTTAAAAAATCTATGTGGATTCAACACAGAATTTACAAGTTGTAGCATGAGGTAAATATAAATTCATACCCATTCAAATGCAAATCCAAACATGCCATTAGATTTGCTCCCATAAGCCCATTTGGCCACGCTCTAAAATCTAAATTTTATAAGAAAAATATTTCCCGAAAAGTTCTTAAACATGCTCTACTGAATCAAAAAGCTGCTGTTTTTCACTCTCAAAAATGCACTTAGATAAATACCAACACAAAAGAGATTCTCTGAAGCGCTTACTTCATAGGGAAAAAAAAAACACAACACAGAATGCTAAAATCACACACTGAACTGATTTGATATACCTCAGTTTGATCAGCCAAGAGAACAAGAACAGCATCTGACAAGGGCTGAACAGTGACCCACTTGTCACCGCCACTCTTGAGAACCTGAAGACCACCCACATCGTCTTGAATCAAAAGGGTAATGGCACCCATATCAGAGTGTGATTGCAAACCAAGCGTTAGATCCGGTTGAGGACACGGAGGGTAATAGCTGATAGTAATGTTCTGATAAAATTCCCCAACACCATCTTCAATGCACGACGATCGCAACCCAACACTCTCCGATATCAAAGCTAGCAACTTTTGTGCCAGAACCTTCATCTCATCGCCGTACCTCGCCACCGTTTCCCGGTAATCGGACGGAAAATCGGGCCACCGATTGGTGTTCCGGCGAGAAAGGGGAAAAGTGTGGTGGTCGAAGTAATCCCTCCAATCGAGGACCTGCGCGACGGCGTCGTTTCGTTCCTGATCGGAACTCACCAGCATCTTGCTGCCGTACCCCTCCGATGCGGCGGCGCCGGCAGGGCAAGAGAATCGGAGCTTCTCGTTCATGGGGCAGTCGTTGAAGAAGGTGAGGCCCACGCGCCGGACGGCGTCGAGGAGAGACTTCGGAACGCCGTGGTTGGTGACGTGGAAGGCGCCCCAGTCACGGCAGGCCCGAGCGATGGCTTGTCGGGTCGAATCGCGGTAATTCGGGTCGAAGGAGAAGAGATCGATGACCGGAATTGTAGAATTTGGGTCGGGTGGGTCATCGGAAACGGGTCGGTTCTGAAGGGGTTGGATGTATTGGGGTGGAACTCGAAAGAGACCCGATTGGGCTATGGATTGTACCCTAATGGGTTCGCTGTCACCGGCGACTTGCATTGATGAAACTGAGTTTATCAAATCATAATGGTAAGGCGCTGTCTACGGTTTGGTATATAATAAACTTTTTTCAGATCAATTTTGATTAGTATTTTTGATTGAGCAAGTATTCATTTCTTGAAAAAATTTGCTTAATCCAATTCATTTCTTAGAAATAAAATATTACATAAATCTTTGAAAGTATTAATAAGATTTATTTTATTTTTTCATTTATTAAATATAAGAATTATTGTGTCTCAAATTTTGAGGTGCCAAAATTATAAAAAAAAGAAAGTGAATACTTAAATTGTTTTTTATCGTATATAGGAGACAACTTTTTTAATCTTTGAAATAAGATGAGTTGCACTTGAACCTCATGATCTAGCTCACATCACATTCTGGTTGTACTTATTTGTCATATCAAAGTTTTTTTAAAAACTTATTCAATTAAAAATGTCAGATATTAATGATTTAAGTATTATTTTTGTCTTTATATTTGACAAAAAAATTCAATGTAATTCTTATATAAAACAAGTTTATCGTATAATTTGTATATATTTTAAAAAGTTTTCATTCTAGTTCATGTTATAAGTGGGTATAATAACATTAACAAAAATCATTGTGTGGCAAATAAAATACCTATTTGTCCTATCTTAATTTGATTTTAATGCTACTTATCACTTTTTAATGTTAAGTAGTTATTAAAAAAAGGTAGAAGTATATTTGAAATGTGTTTTGTTATTGGCATAAAAAATCAATTGACGATGTCAAAGTTAGTGAGTTTATCAGCATAATTATGGCAAAGTAAGATGTTATCTATCAACATAAACAATTTTTACAAGGTGCAAACAGAATTTATCACCCATGAACATTGTCACCTAAAAGCTTTTACTCCACCGTAAAGGAGCAATATGTCTTCACCGCCTTCATGTGATCAAGCTCATCAACGATGGAGGGGGCAAGCCAGATTAAATGATGTAACAATTGAGACTTAAGCATTTGGTACAGACAAGATGGTAGGGAAGATATTATATCTCACTTCTTCTAAAACATAGTAATCAATGGTGATGATCCTATAACTTATTGTAAAATTTTGTGATCAACTGACACAATGAATTCTCATAAAAATTTATTAAATTGTCTCACGTTAGTTAAATAGAACATGTTTTATATGACTTTAATAGGTCTTTTCTTATAAAGTAATATTTGAAAATAAGTTAGACTTATTTTTTAAAATATAATATTAGAACTGATTTAGTGTGAATATTAAGCTGTTTACATATATCTAATTTCATTAAGTTATATATAAATGTTGAACCTTATAAAACTTTATATACTAGATGTCTTTTAAACCCGAAAATGGTACATTAAAATATCTTGTATTAATTATAAGTCATGTTAGAATAATTCTCCTAAGATTTGAATAATATTTTTCTGTGAGTTAATGTTTTTTATTCTCTCTCGTTTAAACAAAAAAAAATAAATCTTTTATGTTAGTATTCATTCTTAACCCCTTCCACGGTCTCCAAGTGCTTTATGTTCTTATTTTTGGGTGTCAAGATAGAAACAAGGAAAAAAAGTCAAAAGATGAAAAAAAAAAAAATCAATATTTTCTGAATTTGTACACAAATTTATTAGTTATGTCGATATTTCGTCTGTCATGCAAGAGCTTTATTGATAGTGCTAAAAAACGTTTTTATATTGAGACTGATTACAAACCTTTTTTTTTTAATGTAAAAGTTAAATTAAAAAATAAAACTAAAACAACATTTAAAGATAATAATATTCTCCTATAAAAATCTTATTGTTGTATTTAAATTCTACTATTGGTGATCGAGAGATGCAGAATTTGATCTCACTATTAAAACTAATTATGTAACAGTATTTACATTATATTCCTACAATTTTTTATAATTGAGACTTCAAGCGATAAAAATGCTACTGCTAAAATTTTCTTTTCATTACATACTGATAAATAAATTTATTTTATCGGTAAAGAACTTTTAAAATATACGAAGAGAAAAAAATATTTGTATTTTGTTTATTTAGAGACGAAATTAAAATTTAGATTATGCATTATCTTATACCCTTTTTTGTGATTAAGCAACGGAATTTGTTCCCATTTAATCATTTGATACTAACAACAATTCATAGTTAAAACAATCTTATTTTTTTTAAAAAAATACAAAACTATTTTAAACAACAAAATATAAAAATGGAATTAAAATGCTAGTAAAAGAGGTATATTGTGAAGACAAAACATCATTCTTTCTAAAGTTTTTGAGGTTTTTCACTTATCCCTATCAACGCTGAGGCCAAAACCCAACATTTCCCTTGCCACTCCCCTTTGTTCCTTCACTCTGCACAACCTCAACTGGAACCTCACATACTCAACTGTGTCAAAGTTCATAAATTTCCCAAAATTTTGGACCCCCTTTTGCTTCCCAAATCTACTGTTACCACTGATTTATAGTTTTGAATTTGGGTTTCATAGCTTGGAAACCGAAGGAAAATGGAGAACCTTAACTTGGCTCTTGTTTCTTCCCCAAAACCTCTGCTTTTGGGACATTTTTCTGCAATCAGAAGAAAACCCTTCTCTTTTGGGAGGGTCTTAATTGCCCCTCACCATTCCAGATACCGTGTCTCTGCTTTCTCTCGTTCTCATGTTACCAGGGCTGCTTCTAAATCCCAATATGACCCAAAATCTGGTATTCTTTTATGAAACTCTCTCTTCTTCTGTTGTGTGTGTTTATTTTGGAAATTATTATTTTTCGTTGGTATTTATGCTTAGCAGAAAAGATTCACTGGAGTTTGATGGAGTCTAATGCAATGTATATTATTGAATTTGAAGCTGAGTCGAATGGTCTAATGATGTTATTGCTGTGTTTGTCTATCTTTTTGTTTCTTCTTCAATTCACCAAAGAAAAAGAAAAAAAAAGAAAGAAGCGAATTTGACGTGTTAGTGCTTCTGTTACATCTTCAAGGGTTTTAGGGAGTATTTGTATAAGCAGTTAAAGAGAGGGCACTTTTGTTATGTATAAGCTTTATATTTTTGGAACCAACATTTTTTAACTTCTGATAAAAGTTTATTTTTATTTTTATTTTTTTTGGGATTTTGGTAAGTCCTATGAGCCAAAGCTTTTGATTTAAAAAACATGTTAAAATTTTATTTTTAAAATGTTTTCAATTAAAAAAAAGCACTCTTTCCCTTAGCCCTATTTTTTTTTAAATATAAAATACAAAAAAACTTTTTGCAATTAGCTCTATGATTAGTATATAGCTTTTGTGGGAAGGTGTATCGTGACTTTTGGAGCAAGGCTATGCTCAAAGTTAATTGTACATAGCATGTTGAATCCATGATTGAAAATGCATTTGGGTGGGACGAATACTTGCTATACAAGTTAAATATCTGCCAATATTTTTGCTCATTTTTGAAGAAGCACAATTAATACATGGTGGGGGATACAGTGCAGGAGAAGCTGATAGTCAATCATTTTGCCAGCATTTCTTCTTCAAAAGGTCAAGAAACAACATCAATTGGAGTTAATCCACAATTATCACCACCTCCATCTTCAACTATGTAATCATTTACTTTTTTTTTTTTTTTTTGCATTTTTATATCCTTCAAATTGTTTGTTCACATGTTTTGATAATGTTCAACTACCAGGGGGAGGGGTTGAATAGATGTTTTCCTGATTTAAATTTGTTCATGTCCTTTGTTTGATTCACATTTTTATTTGTCTATTTCTAGAGGGTCACCTCTCTTCTGGATTGGTGTTGGTGTTGGGCTTTCTGCAATATTTTCAATGGTGAGAACCATAGTCACAACTCTAATTTATATACACTGATGATAGGGTTTATCTTTGCTGAATTTTAATAAATGATGTGTTTTTGCAGGTAGCTACAAGATTAAAGGTGAGTGCCACTTTATTGTGAGGCATCGATATAAGCTGGTGTGCTCTGTGTTCCACTGTAATTATGGATGTAAGATGTAAGAAAAATTTGCATGTCATTGGTATAAGCTGGTGCATTCTTTGCGTTCTGCTCTAAGGTATAAGGACTGTAGCAAGGCAGAGGAGTGGTTTATTGTGAGTGTGAGAAGAGCAAATCTTCACCAATAGATCTTAAATGAATAGTCAATATAGGAAGGTAACATCTTGTGACCTTTTCAAGTGACATGTGACCTATAAATAACTTTTAATCTTGACTATCATGTTATGATTTAAATGTCAAGAATAGCTCCTCTTACCTTTCACATTAAACCATTTTTATACCATCTAAGCTAAGACAAATCGATAATTTAGTCTTTACTACTAAGAGTTGATAATTATAAATTGAATGATAATCTGATAAAACTTTCTCATGTGTAGTCTGTTGTATATATAATTATCAATAATTTGAAAACATGTGTTATCCTATTTTTGTTACAAATTGAATGCTGGTTTTATATGGATTGTCTAGAATCTATGAAGCACAAATATGATATGAGATGCATACAATACAACACAGACCCATGGATACAACAGAATTAAAAAATTATAGGACATGGCAAAACTATAGTTTAACATAAAGTAAAATCAGTATAAAATTGACATAAGATCACAAATCTTAAATTGAATCAAATGTTTTAAAGGTAGCATGAGTCAATGTGGTCATAATAAGATGCTATAATTTATTATATACATCCAAAAAATAAAGAAAATGGCTAAATGCCACTAAGTGTATCCAAAGATCCAACACCACTACAATGATAGTTTTGAAGTGTTTGTGCATTTTTTTCATGAATTGTCTTTATGATAAATTACTTGGAAGTTGAAAGATGTGTATCCACAGACATATTGTAGTCTAACTTCTAGAGACAGAAATGCATATATTATGCAGATTGGCTGTATCTATTTTTAGGAACTTAAGCAACTAAATAAAAAAAATACAAGTTATACCTTCAATGTTTGTAAAAGAAACTCTAGGTTTTTCTGCAGTTGAACGGCTCACCTTTCTTCCTGATTTGTAGTGGGGGATATTTACAATGCTTAAATAATGTATCGGCATGTAGCTAACAGTTTGGCAGTACTTTATTTACATTGCTTATAACTCACTCTTTTAATTTTTTGGAAGCCTAGCAAGTATACTGGATTCTGAGAGCTTTGTTGAATTTTAGATTTTGATTTATTTTCATGAGAATCTGGTTCCTTCATTTTGATTATTTTTATATTGTTTTTAGTTGCAGATGTGCTGTCTAATCTTATTTTTCAAGGATTTTGATTGGAATCTTTGTAGAATTGTAAGATCTAACACTGAAAGTTTACATAATTTCAACATTTGTCTTTTAATCTTCTTTCAGAAATATGCAATGCAACAAGCTTTCAAGACAATGATGGGCCAGATGAGTTCACAAAATAACCAATTCGACAGTGCTGCCTTTTCTCCTGGATCACCATTTCCCTTCTCAATGCCTTCAGCTTCAGGGCCTTCTACAGCTGCTGAATCTCGAGCACCTTCTGCACCAAGTGCAGCTCAATCTACTGTCACAGTAGATGTACCTGCAGCAAAAGTAGAAGCGGGCCCAACTACCAATGTTAATGATGAAGTGGAAGTAAAGAAAGAACCCAAAAGAATTGGTAACTAATCTCTGCTTAGCATCCTATTTCTTTCTCGTTGGATACTGACATACTACTTGTGAGGTAATGTGTCCTGTAGGAGATGTATGTGTAGGTAAATTAAATAAAAGCCAAGAAGGGCTCTTCATTTTTACATTTTGACCTAGTTATTTGATTTAGTACAGTTATTTCGTTTTGGCTTTTAAGTGGGATCACTGTTTTGATTAGTACAACTCCACTGACATGCTAGACAAGATCAATGGGTGATTTCATATCGCTATGCTGAACTTGAGATCATTTTTTTTCCACATGGTCTTCCAAAGAGTACTGTGGACTGGATCAGCCTACCATGATTGCTTCCTTAGTGTTGCTATTGATAGTGATGCTTAAGATTTCTTATTTTTGTAGTGCTTGAGACAAATGTATGTCACTCTATTGTTTGAGATCCTTCCTGCATGCAAGTTTATTGGTTCTTAATTATTTTTAACTTAATGACTTTTAATGCAAGTTACTGTGTATTAACTAATACAAACTAGAGCACCCTTCCTAAACTTCTGGTTTAACTTGGCATTGAGTGCTTCCCTAGACTTCACATGAATCTGTCTTCTAGCTTCCTTATTCATGTACATGTAATATTTGAGATGAGTTCAAAGTGTATGCATCCCTATTATTTTCTCTACCTTGCTTGCATGCCAGTTCATTGGCCCACAGTTTTTTATAGTGATGTGTAATGGCTATATAGTGTTATAACAAATTAGAGGGTGAACCACACCAATCTTACATTCAGAAACTAAAATAATATAGACAATTGGATAATGTTGAGAAATATAAATTAGAAATTGGGAAGTTAAGAATGAGAAAAAAGAGAGTAGAAAATGATATCTGATGTTGTCAGCTATTATATTTGTATAAAATTTGGAACTTTTCTTGTTAAAATTCCTAACATTTTCTATTACAGCTTTTGTAGATGTTTCTCCGGAAGAAACTGAGCAGAAGAGTCCTTTTGAAAGTTTTAAAGATGATGAATCAAATTCAGTCAAGGAAGCCCATGTTCCAGAGGAAGTGAGTTGTTTAAGATAAAAGTCATTGCTAAAGAACTTTATTGATTTGATTTGTTCTTAATATGTAATGTGCACTTATTGAAGGCTTCTCAAAATGGAGCTCCCTTTAACCAAGGTTTTGGTGCTTCACCTGGTTCTCAATCTACAAGTAAGTAGAGTCAGTTGAAATTGCAAATGTTTATGATTTGGATTTATTGATGGGAAAACCCCATGTACTTTGATAAGTGTATTCAAGCCTCAAATTCAAGGAAATGCATTGTCATGACATGGCTTTAGATCCTTCCTAAAAATAAATGAGTTTTGGCTGATATTATGGTTGTAAATATTGATTTAATGTTGCTATATTGTTGTGTTTATGATGGATCATGTGCATGTCATGTGTCTTTGTCAACTATCTTTGTTTACTGTTAAGTTTATCCTTGGATTTAAATGATGTTCCTAAATATGATTCCCGGAAGCATTGTTTTCTAATCATATTGATACTATGGGCTGAAATCAATTAAAACCTTGCTTGTTATCACAAAATATCTATTGTGTCTGCATTCTGGGTTAACCAAATGTCCTAAATGTGCCATTGTTTATTTTTGGATAGGAAAATCAGTCTTATCAGTGGATGCTTTGGAAAAAATGATGGACGACCCAACAGTGCAGAAGATGGTGTATCCGTAATATTCGTTCCTTTCATCTTAATAATGATTATGTTTCTTGCATTTCTTATAAATATTTTATTTGAGCTTTGTCGATATGAATATGGATATGTTTAAGCTTTAAGTAGATCCCAGTTTAAATATATTGAAAAAGGTTCATTAAACAGTAAAAGTCTCATCTTAGGATTGCCAATGATGGTAGTACTAATACAGTAACACCTGTGATGCTCAGAAATGGAGTTTGAAGTAGTTCCATTCCATTATTTTACTTATTGCTATTGAATCACTTTGAAAGTTTGGACGTGTCTAAAGTTCTACTTGAGCTCTTAACTTTTGTGTCGGGAAACCTCTACTTCTGTATTCTTTCCTTTTATTTCTTGGCACTTCCATTTCTAATTTTTTTTGTGTCCTCTTACTACTATTTTAATTCTTGATTAGTGACTTTAGTTTTTGTTCTTAAATTCTCACATTAAACTGATTCCTGATGTTTTTTCCATCAATATTACCTGATGAAAATTTAAAGAGATGATTTACATGGTTGTTTAGATTATTTAAGAACTTTCCTCCCTTGTCATCCAAAATAAATTAATTTTTTGGGTTCTGTTGCAGCTATTTACCTGAGGAGATGAGGAACCCTACTACCTTCAAATGTAATTCTCTACTTTTAACAATTTTCTGACTTCCTAGTTCTCTGTGGTGCTAATCAAAGTTTTAAGATTCATTATTTTTGGAAGCTGTAATTTTCATTGTTTTGCATATTCCCTGATGTAAATCATTTGTAACCACAAGGCTGAATATACTTACCATTTGTTTACATGTACAATATTGTCTATATACAGCACTTCTATATGGACGGCCTTTTTCATTTGTTACCAATATCATAGAATGGAAATACTTTATGTTGTTTAAAAATAGATTTTAGGTTAAAAGTATTGTTTTCATTTGACTGGTAGATATTAATTTCTACATGACATCTTAATATACTTGGCCAATGAGTAATAGTTGCTGTACTGTTGTTTTTAATAGGGATGCTGCAGAATCCACAGTACCGTCAACAACTTGAAGAAATGCTGTAAGTTCTTCATACTGTTTCTTGGGAGCTTCTTTGTTATATTTTTATTTGGACAAATAAGCTTCTGTGAAATGCTTGCCTGTGTTAAACTTGTTTAACACATTTCAACAAAAACTAGTTTTCTGGTGAAATGAAAAGATCTCCAGCGGAGGATAGTGAATTCCTCTTTTAGAAGCCATCATTTTCTGGCATTTAGCTCAGGCTTTCTTTTTAGTTTGTCACACACTCAAGTACAACTGGCTGTTAGCCTCTGCTTTCTGTGGGCCATCTTACTCAGTTTTTCCAACACTCACAGTCCAGTTATTAGCCTCTCATTTGGTGAATTCGATTAACCAACGATAAAATTTGATTCTTGTTGTCTATCCTTTATATGTCGTGACCTCCAGTTTGGAAATAAAAAAAAATGGTGGTCATGGATTCACATATCCTTTTCCTTTTTTTCTGCAATCTGATTTCAGAAACAACATGAGCGGAAGCACTGAATGGGACAGCCGAATGATGGACACCTTAAAGAATTTTGACCTTAATAGTCCTGAAGTTAAGCAACAATTTGGTAAGTTTTTGTCATTATGCCGTACATTTATTAAGATATGACACTGTCTTCTATGAGAACAGGATCAACTATGCAATTGATTACTTTAACGTAGTTCAATTTTTGCTACTCTTGTTGGTTTGAAAATATTCTCCATTCTATGGGAGTTATATGTTCTAGTTAGTTGATCATCTTGTTTCTTGATGATCAACACTAATTGATCACATTTTTTTTAATTTGCGTTACATATGAGCCTATAACTTTTTCTTTATTCATAGCTTGTACTTAACATTAAAATATTTTCTTAATCATATCATTGCTTATAATTCTGCTTTATGGTGTGAGATACTGATATTTGTTCATAATAAGAATTTTTATTGAATTCATAAATGCCCTGTTAAGTCACACACACAGAAAGCTGAGGTTTGGCATTGATCACTTTTTCTTCCCCTTGTGGATGCTACATGTTCTAGTATCATCACATCTAGAAGCACACTTGATGAATATTCTGACATGTTAGCCATGTTCTCATTCGGAAACACAGTCACAGTTTGTGCTAATTTATTAAAGAATAGTATTTTGATTTGGTGTGTGATTGAGCTCATTAACATGGTTTTTCTAGTCTTTGCATGCCTGTGAACGTCATCAGTTTTTTTGGTCTCTTGGTTTAGTTTATCCAATTTTCAGAAGGTATGATGATTAAAGTCTGATAATATTACCTTGTATGTTTCCCTTCAAATGTTGTCAATGGTTTAAGTATGAATCTTTCTTCCCATTTCTGTGTTTTCTGAACATATTTTTTACTTTCACCAGATCAAATTGGGCTTTCTCCAGAAGAAGTCATTTCAAAGATTATGGCCAATCCTGAAGTTGCAATGGCATTTCAAAATCCTAAAGTTCAAGCAGCTATCATGGATGTACGTTCTAATTCAAATACTTTATTAGTATTTCATATCAAAACTCTAACTGCATCTTCTTCTGGTTGCAGTGTTCACAGAATCCAATGAATATTACTAAATATCAAAATGATAAGGAGGTATGTTGATACTTTTCTGACTTCAATTTGGTACTTTCTTGGAAGAATGTACTTTTCTGGGTTTAGTTTTCTCTCTGCATGTTTCCTTTTCTCTGTTCCACATTCTACCTCCAGATCCTGATTTTTGGTCTAGGTTGTAGTTAGTTTCAGGTTTATGCCAGGTGAAATATTTTAATGATTTTGGATGATTTTAGGTTTATGTTTGGCGTGCATTAATAGTTTATGAATTAATGCAGAAAGGAGCTTTTAATAGAAATGTTTTGAATTTATGGGTGGTTCACTATTTTTCTAATGAATAAAGATATAATAATTACTCTCTCTCAGTAATTCCTGATGAATATAAATAATGCCTTTTTAAAGATTTGGCTCTTGTATGTTTTATCTGATGATTTTTTTTCCTCTTAACATTTCAGGTCATGGATGTCTTCAATAAAATATCAGAACTCTTCCCTGGAGTGTCAGGTTCACCTTGATTCATTCTTATGTTGCTGTTTGCGGGGTCAAGTTATTCATGCCATCCCTGATGAAACAATGGGATTTCCTCTGCCTAACCACATGGAACTATGAAAAACTCTTCTCATGGCTGTACACTGCAGGCTCATGGTTACAGCTCCGTTGTGACATAGGGACAATAACTGTGGCTGGCCTGGCCTAATTATTGCCATAGTTTTTGGATTTTTGGTTTTGCTAAAATAGTTGAGATTGTATATTGATCAATTTAAAATCATTGAGGCATTGCAAATGCAGTGTAGTTTTCTCTACTTGCGATGAGTTCTTAGACGTAGTTAATTTGGACTTTAGGTATCAAAAAAAATATGTGAATGTCTCACATAATCTTTCATAAAGCATGAGCTGCATGAGATTAAACTATATTGTAAGCGACCAAACACGCGCGTCAATTGCTCAATACTTCATAGCGAACCACATAATCAAGGGTTATTATTCATTGGACATATCAATGATCTTAGTATAAAATTGATTTTTGTAGCTTAGAAGTTTGACTGTCCTTTCATGTTGTATTTCACACTTCGTGGTTGACTGGTTGGTAAAGGCAATTACTAGACCAAAAAAGGACATGTGGCCAAACCAAAAGCCTATGTGACATGTTGGTAAACTCTATCCTTTCGTCTGCGAGGGTTCTTGTGGACATTCTCGTTCATGATGAAAATCCAAACGTTTGTATCCGTTGTTGATTTCTTCAAGTTTAACTAGCAACAGTGTGTTTAATTAATACTTCTAAGAGTTTGTAAACATGAATTGAATACACGAGTTACAATTAATAGTACCAAAGGAAATGTGAATTTATAATTATTTAAACTTGAATTAAAATATGCTACATTGGAGTATTAAAAAAATTACACGCATACATAAATTTTATGTTAAATTTTTGTTGACCCAAAACCGTTGTGTAAATTTGAAACCTGACAAAATATAGAGGGGCCAAGCAGAAAATGTAATGTGGGAGACATCTATCCGTGGTCAAATAGACCCATCATTCTTTTTTCATATAAAAAGGGGTTATGAAATTGAAGCTTAGTGACATAGTGGGGTCAGCTGCACAGACAACCCCTCAACGGATCTGTGTTACAGAACTGCAGCCCGCCCTGTTTTTCAAAATTTGAATATTTTCTCTCATTGTCATTGTCATTAATAAAAAAGTTACAACCTTTTTTATAAAAAATGATTCTTTGGCAGCGTTTCACACCACTTCCCTATTCTAATTTAATCCTATTCTCATTTTCTTTCTTTCTTTCTATCTCTGTAATAAAAAAACCAACTTTCATTCATAACACCAAATTCCTTCCATTTTTCTTCAAGCATCTCTTTCTCAAGGCGAAACCACAAAGTTCCATGGGTGCATGTTTGAGTAAGAAGAAAGGGTCTCCCATCTCCTCCTCCACAACAGCACCTGTTGTGTCTGAGCTGAAAAATCCTTCTCTTAGTGGTGTCACTGTTTCCAAAACCAAAGTGGAAACTGAGCCACAAGTGAAACTGAAGAAGGAGAATAAGACACTGCAAGAGAACCATGCGTCAGTGCAAGAAGGTGAAGGGCAAGTGAAAAAGGAGATATTCATTATCAAGCACAGGAGGAGCCATGATGATAGAGAGAGAAATTCCAAGTTCCCACAGCAGAATGCACCACAACAACCAGTTACTACAACCGTTGAAACAGCTGAATCTATTGGTGACAAAACTGCACCACCAGCAGCAACAAACATGGGTGTTGGAGTAAGAACTTCCAGCTGCACCAAAGAAGAGGTGGATGCAATTCTTATACATTGTGGGAGACTCAGCAGAAGCTCTTCAGGTAATGCTGTTGCTGCTTCTGTGGAACGTGGGAGAAAGTACTCAGGTTCAAAGAGAAGTTTTGATTTTGATAACTGTGACAATGACACCATTTCCACTGATGAGGACCAAAAGAAAGCCATTGATGAAAGGCATCAACACCGGCCGCGGCATCGCAGCCAGTCTTCAAGGCCTTCTTCTCAGGAAAGAAGAAGAAGAACACCTAGTAGGGAAAGAGAACAGCAACAAGGTTCAAGTAGCAGAGAGAGGAGAGTTAGTAGATCCCCTGGAAGAAGATCATCAGAGACAACCACAATTGCCAATGCAAGAAACAATGGTAGCACTAGTTCTAGGCCTGGAAAGATGGTTTCTGTGCCTGCTACTGTTTCATCCTTGGTGATGGATAAGAGTAACAATGGTTGTGTTGGTGGAGGAGAATCTGCAGCAACGACAGGCATCAAGAGGATCACAGTTAGGAGAAATGTTGGTGTTGCATCACCACGTTCTCAATCTCCTGCAAGAGCAAATGGGAATGCAGCAAATTCTAATAAAGCATTGAATGAGAATCAGCAGCAACCATCCCTTAGCCGCAACTCTTCAAGGAAAGCAGAACAATCACCTTATAGAAGGAACCCACTGAGTGAGATTGAACCAAACTCCTTTGCTCTTCCACAATCAACAGTCAATAATAACAGCAATAGGGTGCAAAACAGACCCAGAAAGGAATTTGAAACAGAAGCTAATCAGGTATTATTCATTCACTCTTTAATATGAGGTCATGACTTTCTCAGCTTCAAAGATTTGATCTTTCATATTTAGTAATTGATTAGTCTTGTTTAAGTGATTGGTGTAATGCAATGGTGTTTTTCTCTCCCCAATGCAGAAACAAAATGGAAGCAAAATTGCATTGGACAAGGGTGTAAGTGTAAATTGCAAGACAAAGTTGCAACAAGAGGAAGATGTCAAAGTGCAGTGTTCAATGATTGATGACATTGTTGTGAAGACAGTGGTACCACCAGGGATTGACAATCTAAAACCTCATTCATTAACACGAAGCAGATCTTCTCGGCGATCACGGGACTTAGACCTCAATCCTGAAGCTCTATTGAATCCTCCACAGTCCTACGCTTCCCTGCTGCTTGAAGATATCCAGAATTTCCATCAAAAGAACCCACCTTCTGTTTCTCTCCCAGCTTGTGTCACCAAAGCTTGTTCTATCCTTGAAGCGGTTGCTGATCTCAACTCCAACACCAGCTTAAATTTCTGTGGTGCTGAGGACAGGAGAAAGCCACCTGCTTTTCAATCTAGTAAGAATGAATACAATGTTCCATTGAGTATCAATGATTATGGGAAAAGGGAAACAGATACTGAGGAACCAGTTGTAGAATCTATGTTTGTTGTGGATGATGATGATGTGATGGAACCAAGCTTGCATAAGTATGTGACAATGAATATGGGTGGAGTGGACATGGAGGACCAAGAGTCTTCAGGAAGCAATAGCTTCACTGTCAGTAGTGGTCAACAGCATTGGGGTGTTTCTTCTTCTTCATGGGAACCAAGTTCTGTTGATTCAAAAGATTGTTGGACTTCAAGATTGAACTACTCCAGAGAGGAGGGTCTGAAAAGTTCATTGGAAGGGAAGAAATTGAACAGCAAAAGGAGAGAGTGTGATCACCAGCATGGCAGTGGTTTAAGGGCGTGGCAGGCTTGGTGCCAATAAAGTTCTTCACACCATACCTGTTGTCTCTGCTACTGCATCCACATAGAAGTGTTAAATGAATCACCTTCATCTTGTGTCTTCAATACTCAATCAGTTTGACATTCCTTCTGTTTGGAGTTGCACACTTTGCAACCACTTCTCATTTAATCAAGGTTCACATTAACACTGCTTGCCTCTCCTCTCTTGTAGCTTTGTGCTTTTTATTTGTTCAAATTGGAATTGTATAAATAGGATGATCAGCCACACTTTCAGCTCCATTTATGCTCTTAAAAAGGATGGTCTAGCTTTCCAAACACTGATAACTACAAATTGAGTTCTTTAAGGCCTTCCACAACTCCACATCATTCAAAGCCGATGAGGATAATAACATGTTTGGTTTTACGTTTAAATACATATGGATTTACGTTTAAACGTTATTAGATGTAGTTTTTGCATTGAATCCATCTTTACATGTTTTTTAACGTGTTCCCAAACATACATTTAGTATATTTTGCAATTTCCTAATAGAAATGGAAATAAAAATTGATACGTCAAATAAATTATAAACAATAACAGTTGCATTGTTCTACAATCTAAAATGGTTTAGTATGAAAGTTAAAAGGGGTTGCTGCAATGCTTTATGTAAAATATAGCTGTTGCTTTGGATTAGTGCTGCTGAATCATGCAATCAACATGACACGAGTTTTTTTTTTTTTTTTTTTTCTTCTTATAAATTCAGATAATTACGTGTTGAAACAAATTCTTGATCACTACTTAAGAATGCTCGAAAAGATGTGTACTACAATTATTAATTGATCGAGTATTCTACAGCTTATTCGCATAAATTAACAATGCAAGAATTATTTAGTTAGTTTGATTAAATCACAACAGAGCCTCGTAGCACCCTAACTGCCAATACTAATTTTTGCATATGCGATTCCTCCGACAATCCATCATGTATCACAATTATAGCCTTCCTACTCGATACTTTGTTGAATATAGTCAAGGCCCAAGATGTACATTTCTTTAATAAATTAATAGATTCGCCAAACACAAAACTAGGACTTAATGAATTTTTTAATAACTATTTACTAAAATAAAATTAAAAACAAACATATTCTTTGTCCGGAATAAATTTTTGTCACATTAGACTATATTTTATATTTAAGTGAAAAAATTATTTTTTTATTTTTAATTTACTTATTTCATCTAAAATAGGAACAAAATCAGCCAGAACATGTCTTGTATACAATAAAAACAAAAAATAAAATAAAAATTTAAATTTAAATTTACAATTCCATAAATGCACGTGACTCAATTAGAAGAGGATGAAAAAATTAAATAAATTTTTATAATAGAAAAAAAGAGAAAAATAAATGAGTTAATACTATGTAAATCGCGTAGAATCATAAAAAGATATTAAATGAGATTTGTGGTAAAAAAAAAAGAAAAATAAATAAATTATATCAATGAAAAGAAAGAAAAAAAATAAAAAAATAAATGTATTCGTAACTTTTTTTAATAAATAAATTGTCCATATTGTATACGAAATGCGTGTCACATTCTGGCTAATTTCATCTTTATTTTAGATGAAATGAATAAATTAAAAATAAAAAAATTAATTTTATCTCACTTAAATACGAAACATAACTAACGTGGCAAAAATTTATTCCAAACAAGGAATATATTTGCTTTTAATTTTATTCTAGTAAATAGTTATTAAAAAATTCATTAAGCCCAAAACTAGCCATAAACCAATCATAATAATAATAATATATACATTCTTGTACAGGCATAATTTTACACTCGAGTCATCTTACACAGCAAAGAAAACCTTTAAAGGCTAGTGTTCTGCCCATGTAACTTCCAACTTTCCGGTATAATTGCCAAGAGTCTCGAAGCCTAAACTAACAAGTAAACAAAATTGTACTTACACTATAAAGCACGATCCCAAGGGCTGAGAGTTGTATATCACTCAAATTTCTCCGCTCCACGCCCAAACTTGCTTCTAGCGTGTTCCCAATTTGAGTTTATGGTGAACATGTAATTCCCGAACAATTCTTTTCCACTGGGTTGATGGGTTGAAAGAACCAGTTAAAAAATGGACAATTCATTCAGAAGTGTTTCTGAAGTTAACCATGTATATTCCAGCAACAGTGATAAGGGCCCCAACTAGTTGTACAGGTGAGAAGGTCTCACCAAGATATAGAAACCTGAAATACCAAAGCAAAATGTGAGTCACAGAAAGGTCCTCACAAAGATACATAAACCTGATATATGATAGAAAAAGCAAACTGCCAGATGAAATACCAGTAGCAAAAGGTATACATAAAATATTTATGATGGTGAGGGCACAAAACTATGACAAATTATGAAGGATGCTACTGTCATGTTACTGCTTCCAAAATCTTGTAGTTGCAAAAGGTGGTCGTTTTTTCTCATTAATGACCTTACTAGTAAAGAAGAGATAATATCTAAATCACCATCAATTGTTATTTCTGATTTTTTTTCTCAGCTACATGATTTCTAAAATCTAAAATTACTTGAAAATCCTTTTTGACTCTGTCCCACTGTCAGCCAGCCTTACCCAAAAATTGAAGCAAACATTGGGGTCAAAAAGGTAAGCGAACTGAGCTTGGTCAAGCTACCTGCAGTGCATCACAAATGCAACATCAATATGGTGTTTTTTCTTTTTCATGAGGTCAATGTAGAATTTCAAAAACAAAAAGAATCTTTATAACTGCAAGTGTACAAATTATAGCTAAAGATGTATCCATAACATAGTGATTACAATAAAAGGAAATTCATTGATGAAAAAAAGCAAGGGAAAGATCATGGAGGGACAGACATACAGACCTTTAGTTGCACTATAAAAGAACACACCATAGCTTATGGCACTTCCAAAAATGGAGGTGTAGAGGAGTGCCAATATATCAGTTGAACTGTACTCTTTAAGACTCCCACTTAAAGCTGGGTCATTGTTAAGAACTGAGAACAGCACGAGTGGAAGACCACCAATAACCATATGCTACATCAGAATAGAGTAAAGTTATGAGCAATGTTTAGACAGAGTTTCTTAAACCATAATGTCATCTGCTATATAGCTTCCTAAATTTGCCCATCCTTTCCTCTTTTCTTAGACAGTAGAATTTTTTTTTAATGAATATAAGACTTATCAATACGTTTCACTAATTTCAGATACAACTTATTGTTAAAATATATGATAGGCCAAATGCATCTGCTGAAATAAGTATCAATGCAACTTCAATCATGAAACATAAAATAGAGTCCAGCATATCCATAGTTTTGTAAAAAGCATGGATATTTGTAGATTTAAATAAATTCATATTGGTTTTGAGTGTAATACGGAATATTAATCATTCAGTTAAGTTCATAGGTACTTAACAATGGTGATCAACATAATTAATAAACACTACAAGACAAGATGGAATTTGAAACACACCCATCCAGTTGCCATGACAGGATCAGAGTACTTGGAGACCCACCGAACCATGACCGTGCCAACTGCCATACTCTGAGCTGCAAGAAGCATCCACCACTCACCACTTCCCCACAGTGAGAAGTTGCTTTCATCAAATGATAGGGCAGGTAACTGCAACAAAATCATTAGCGCTTGCATTACTAAACAATATATACAAGGTATTTGACCGGCAAAGAGGAATAACATAATTCAAAATAAAGAACCTAAACTAGGTAAGTGTAATTGTGGAAACGTGTATTGGTGGAAACTATTGCAAAACATATTCTTAATATTCCACATTAGATACATAAGAATCCAACTGCTAATTTTGTGTTGTGCCTTAAAGGGTATAATAATTAATTTACTGCATTTTGGCCAACATTATAAAATTTTATTCAATGAAGAATCGAAGTTTACCTCGAGTAGTACAAGTCCTATGACACCAAGTACAAGCCCAGCAGCTCCAACAATGCCAATGGACTCGCCAAACAACAAAGCTGCGAGCACAGCCACAGTCAAAGGCTGTGAATCAATTATAACCTGCAATTATAGTCAAAGTCAGCAACAACCCTTGCAGTCAGAATGGGGAAGTAGAATCTGAATCATCACGAAGTTCACTCAAAGCAAATTTATCCGGTAATTCTATTCTCATTTCTACCCCTACAATGCGCATACAAAACGACAGCATTTTACCTATTCTCATTTCACCAGTTTCAACATTAAACTTAAGTCATCCGTCATGAGTAAATAATGACAATAAACGTCTTGTTAGGAGACATTAGTTAAGAAATAAATAGAAATTTTTTATTAAAAATTACATTAGAAGTACTGTTTAACATTTTAACACTAGTTAGCACTTATCTAATAATAATAATTAATGACAGTGAAAATGATAAAGAAATTAACTGAGAATAACATACGCTGCCCAAACCAGCTGAAGTCCTCTGCAACCCTTCTGCAAGAAAACCCTGTTCCAACAAAATCAAAGTTCAAAACAAAGAAGAAGATACAGCAAGAGAAACACTTAGAAGAAGAAGGACCTGAAAGCAAGTAGCATCGACAAGAGCGAAGAGAGTGATAGAAAGCCAAGCGTTGAAGCCAGATGGAAAAACTCTTCCTCTCCAAGCACCGAACCCAATCAGAAGAAACCCAGCGGGAATGAGCCGAAACGCCGAAACGAAGAAGGGACCACATTTCGGTAGCACCTCCTTCATCGCCACCATAGCAGTGCCCCAGAAGAAGAACGGCGAAACCAACACCGCCCATTCCCACAACGCTTCAGCGAGGCAGAGAGTTGATGATGATGATGATGACAATGATTCAGATTCTTTCTCTTCTGCCTCGATAAGGCACTCCACGTCTTGGCCCGTTCCCACGCAATCCACCGTGGCCGGCGGCGGAGAATCCGGAAGGTCGAGTTCTTTGCCGGTTTTGAAGGCGGTTTTGTTGGAGCATGGAACCCTAAATCGAAGCGGAGATGGAGCGGTGTATTTGCGAGGAGAGGAAGAAGGTGAGAATGGGAGGGGTTGGATGCGAAATTGTGAAGAGTGAGGGGTGAGAGAGTATCGGCGGATGGTGGCGCTGACGGTGGCGCTGACGGTGGCAGAGGGTGAGGAGCACCACCACGACGCCATGACTGTAGTGAGTGGGTGGTATTCTGTGATGTGTTGTGTTTTGTATCAGAAACAGTAACAGAAAAATTGTGGTAGTTATTAGTGTAAGGGTACTTTTGGAAAGCCAAAATTCTAACATGAAACATGGATTTTCTTTAGGGAGTAACTATTATCACATTCGTAGTTGAGATTAAACAGATGAAATATTTTAGTCTTTTAAATTTTACATATTTTTTTATTAGTTGGTTTGGTCTCAAATTTAGTTGGGTCTAATTCTGATCCATTAAGCTTGGAGAAGGAAAAGGCTTTTCCCAAATCCAACAAAGTTTCATGAATAAAAATGCCATCCCCCAAAAAATACTAATGCATTTATCTTCATTTTCAGTTATTAACTAAAAAAAAAAAACTTCATTTTCAGTGTCTAACAACAATGCTTATAAAATGAAGAAGTGTTCAGCAAAGAAACGAAAAAGTAAGAGTTGACGTTTTCCAAACACTACTTAATCCAACTTCTATTGTCTTTATGATGATAAGGTTATAATTATACACATTGACGCACAAGAAAAGACATAGAGATGATGGCTGCCAAGAGATTATTGGACCCACATGATTAGGTGAGTCAAAACTCGAAAGCATATATTAAAATTAAATTAATACACATGTTCACTAGCTTATATGGTTTCTCTTTTATTTTTTACTTTTTTGGAGCTATAAGTTCTAACAATCAAACGTAAGAGCCTATGACTTTGTCTTCTGAAAGTGTTATTCGGAGCTGAAAAATCATCTCTAAAACCTTTGTTTACATAAAATATAGGTGCATGCCTTTTACTTAAGCAACAATGAGATCACAAGTTGATTATAATAAACAAAAATAAATTCTCATGTGATATATATATGTATTTTCAAATTATATATTTTAGTGTAACGTGACACTCAACTTATGAACAATTGAAAACATATTATCTATTATTAGATTTGAGGGTCCTTCGAAGAAAAGAACTTTGTTCTCTACTATTGATGAGAAAGACATTCTGCAATGGGTTGAAATTAAAATTTAGTGTTTGATGTTCCTTTTGTGTTTTGCTTATAAAGCAATTCAAATGTTTTGAGAACCATTATATTTGGACTGACCCCATAATTTATTAAACGTATAGAAATGTTATGGCTCTCAACATAGATAAAATGGAGAAATAAAAAGAACGTGTGAAATAGAATTAGCTATGATCTAGTTAAAATTGTATTACTTATACGTGCAAGACTTGATCCATATTCCAACGAGGGATAATTTGTTAAACATTTGTGATGTTTGGGTTTGAAACTCATGAACAGTTTTGAGTGCACGGCTACACCTTTTCAATGGTTTATTACATAGGGAATTCCTTTTCTGATAGTATAGTCCTTTTTTTCTAATTGTTCAGAACCAAACGCCTTAGATCAAAAGAGAAAAATATCATATTTACGAGCACCACAAAATATTATAATCATTACGTTAATATTTTTCTGTTGTTCAATAATACATGCCACTGTTAAATCAAATGATATATCTTACATCAATAGTATGCATAAAAAGTATTATTTATAGATATAATTTATTATATTTTACTATTTCAAATAACTTTTTTACTATTGGATCATGACATTTTACATAAGATCGCAAATGTAAGATGACATATGCAGAAATAAACTAATCATATGCAAAGAACTAAACTAGTAGAAACATTTTAAACCCCTAGCTAAAAATACTTAAAAGCAAGAAAGTTAGATCGACCACTTCGACGGCATTGCATATTGCATTAGTATAATAAATACACAAGGTTGAATAATTGGCACTTGTAATTGATAAAGTACCCTTTTAACCATTCAAGTCAAACATTAATTGAAAGCTTCAAGCCTTCTCACATGCCATGACCTGCTCCTATACTTAGTCATGTTCCCACACCCTCTTGCTACATCCTATTGATCCATCCACCTATATATTAGTCATACATAGCAAACCAAAAAATAAAAGGAGAAAAAGGAGTAGGAATCTATAATCAAGAGCTGTGTCTACCATATATAAACATTGATCATATATAATATATGGTATATTAATTTCTTCTTGCTTTTGTGATATAAAAAACTATGGCAGATCATCAAAGAATTCATCCTGTTCATGATGTGGAGGCACCACATAGACCTTTGGTGCCAGGAAATGTTGCAAAATCTGATAAAGGTTATGATCCACCTCTTCCTCAACGTGTCTTTCCTGTGACGCATTCAAAGCCACCAAAGAAAAGAAGCTGTTGCTGCAGGTTCTTGTGTTGGACACTAAGCATGTTGTTGATTCTTATAATTGCTCTTGCCATCACAATTGGAATACTATTCCTTGTGTTTAGGCCAAAGCTTCCAAAATACTCAGTGGATCAACTTAGTATAAGCCAGTTCAATGTTTCTGAGAACAATAGTCTTTATGCTACCTTCAATGTGACTATTACTGCAAGAAATCCAAACAAGAAAATTGGAATATTCTATGATGGTGGAAGCCACATAAGTGCTTGGTATAGGAACACACAATTGTGTGAAGGGTCTTTGCCAAAATTCTACCAAGGTCATAGGAACACCACTGTGCTTAATCTTCCTTTGACTGGTCAAACACAGGATGCAACGGGGCTTGAAAATGAACTGCAGCAGCAATTGCAACAAACAAATAGTATACCCCTCAATCTTAAGGTGGATCAACCTGTGAGGGTTAAGCTTGGTAAGTTGAAGCTCTTCAAAGTCAAGTTCAGGGTTAGGTGCAGGCTTGTGGTGGATAGTCTTGGTGCTAATAATGATATTAGAATTGCTAGTAGTAAGTGTAAGTTCAGGCTTAGGCTGTGAATTATTTAGTGCATACATTTATTAGTGTTAATTAGTAGAATTATATGTCATTGTTATATTACTATTTGTTTCAATTCTATGATTTCTGTCTGATTGAGATTTTTCATAAGGGATGGAGGATTAGATGTGGGTTTTCCTCTCCATCAGCACTTTGAGATACAGTTCTTGTACTTTGATTCTAATTTTTCAGCCATTATTTCTTACTCACACGTTAGCATATAATATTGTATATCTTTTATGGTTTAAGACCAATTATTGTTGGTTTTTTCTGCATTATATAACATAAAACATAACATCCAGCTATGTTTGGACGATGTATTAAACTTGTCAAAAGCTATATTTTATTTAGGGCCAAAAGAAGAAGAAAATATGATGGAATTATAAGACAAATGGTAAGATTTTATCTAAAATATATATTTTTTAAAACAAATCCACTTGTACTGACATAAATAAAAAATAACTTTTAAATCACAATGATATTCAGTTACTTAAATTAAAAAGGCAGTAGTTATTACAACTTTAATTATAAGTTAATATAAAAAGATATGTTTACTAAAGATAAAAAGAATTAAAAATATAATTTTTTATCGTTTTATTTATTCCAAACAATAAAGTTAAGACTTTATTTGGCTTCATCATAAAATATTTGAATCGTAAGTTTATTTCATTTTCTATTCTACTGCATTTTATTTTATTGTATTTATCTCTAAAGTGCTTCCTTCACAGTAATGACAGAATACATAGTAAAAAAAATCAAATGTTGAGCTGATTTTGTTTGCCTCGGACATAATTAAAATTAAATTTTCTGTGATAATTTTTTTAAAAGAAAATGGACTGTTAGGTTACGAATGGAGGATCTGCCGGATCAAATAGTGTAAAAAGAAAAAGAAAAAGAAATTAACGACGATGATTCGTGATATATATGTTTAAATTTTCAAAATAAAATTTTAAATTATATATTTTTATATATAAAAATTCTTATATGAGGGCTAATATTACTGTATCATAAATGTTTTCAATATAAAAGAAATTTTCTTTTGCAGAAGACGCATATAATATGAATAAAAAGATAAAAAGAAAATATAAAATATAATATCAGTATTATAATTAAAAAAAAAGTTATATATAAATAGTTACATAATTTTATTCCATGTCAGAATGTGATTACACAGCAAGTGTTGGCTCCTGTTGAAGCCAATTCTGCAGAAATCACAAACAGTATCTTCAGCGCAGAAGGGTCGTTACCCAACACTCTCCGATAACAAAGCTGGGAACTTTGCATCACAACCTTCATCTCCTCACCGGGGAAAACTGTGTTAGTCGAAGTAATCCCTCCATTTATAGTTTTCTGCATTAAGAATATTTTGTTTGTTCTGCTGATAATTGACTCTCAAGTGTTCGACGAAATGTCCAACCGAATTTGCATCAAAAAGGGGTTGTTGACACTAACGGGTACCCACACTGTGACCAAACTCGAGCACCCACTTTGTGTTTCCACGTGTGTTCGATCAAAAACAACGTCTTCTCAGTATGTAGCATCAAGATTTCGCGACCCTACATTTGAGAAACTCATGGACAATTACAAGAACCTTGTCAAAGTCATTTCCATTCAAGACCTCATTCTTGCAAACCCAAACAACCCATCAGTCTCCATTGAATTCCTCTCCAAGCTCTCCCAGAAGCTTCACCTTAACCGCGGTGCCACTGCCTTCCTCCGCAAGTTTCCTCGCATCTTCCACATTTACTATGAGCCTTCCAAGTTGAAGCCTTTTTGCAGGTTAACTGATGCTGCTCTTGATGTTTCGCGTCAGGAATCGGAGGCCATTAATGCTTCTTTGCCTGTTGTTGTTGAAAGGCTTGTTAGGATATTGTCAATGTCTGCATCCAAAATGGTGCCTCTTAGAGCAATTTTTAAGGTTTGGAAGGAACTTGGCCTGCCTGATGATTTTGAGGACTCAGTTATATCTGCAAATTCTAGTGTTTTTCAGCTGTGTGATGCGCATGAACCGAATACTCATTTGTTGAAGCTGGTTGATGGTGTTCCAAGCAATGGTTTTAGGGCGATTGTTGAGGATTGGAGGGTTGTTGAGTGCTGCAAGGAGGATTGCAGTGTTGATAGGATGGAAATGCGGTTCAGTTTCAAACATGGGCATCCTCCGGGGATGAGGCTGACCAAGAATTTCAGGGCCAAGGTGAAGGAATGGCAGAGGTTGCCATATGTGGGGCCGTATGAGGTGGTGGGTGAGGGGAAAAAGTCTAAGGCTGGAATGATGGCTATGGAGAAGCGAGCGGTGTCTATTGTTCATGAGTTCCTAAGTTTGACAGTGGAGAAGATGGTGGAGGTTGAGAAGATCAGCCAATTTAGAAAATGGTTTGGAATTGATTTGAATATAAGGGATCTGTTCTTGGATCACCCAGGGATCTTCTATTTGTCAACTAAGGGTAAAAAGCATACCGTTTTCTTGAGGGAAGCTTACGAACGGGGGTGTTTAATCGAACCAAATCCTGTCTATGAGGCAAGGAGGAGGCTACTTGATCTTGTTGTCTTAGGGCGTAGGGGTCTGCCTGCTGTTAATTCGAAGTTGCTGGATAGAAGCAGTTGCAATGAGGTTGGGCAAGAGGACAACCAGCAAAAACATGGCTTGTTACCATCTTGACTAAAGCATTACAGCTTTGTTGAGGTGCTTTGTATGCCTAGAGTTTTTTATTTTCTTGTGTGTTGCTTCTGGCATACATGTACCTATAAATGGAAAAATAACAACTTTGATTCTAACTTGGGTAATTGCTATACAATTCTGCATAGACAAGTTTGATATATATGAAGATGTCCTAATTAATGGGAAGCTCTCTTCTGTGCTAGAAAAGCTAGATGGATTTATTTCTCTGTATAAATTAACTCCATCATGTTACTTTGTTTCAGCTTGATTTGACAACATTTTGTGAAACTGTAGCTTATGACACTGAAGAGGATCGATGATTTGGCAATAGTCCAAGCAAGGCGAGCATTAGTAAACAAGAATGGGAACTGGCTTTCAAGATTGCAAAACATTAAGTTATCTTTCCAATTTGAGATTTACCAGCAGGTCAATCGTGAGTTCATTAGCTTTTCTGGTTTCATTGATATCTGCAGAATTTATGCCCTTGAGGAGAGTGGTAAACTAGTTGAAGTGACTGTTGAGGACACGGATTTTACTGTTTGTGCTCATCATCTCTTTGGCTGGAAGTTTATATTTCTCATTGATGTTAAGGTGCGTTATTAACTTGCAATTCAAATCTAGATGTCTAATTGTAATATTTAATTTATACATATAATAATGTTTTTTGCTGTGCCGTTGTAACTTTCAGCGAGAGAGGCATGTAAGGAACAGCAACATCGCTAGCATTCTGGCCTAATACAGTTGTTCAAGTTTTGCTGATATACTTAGTTCACAGATGAAGTTTCGTTTGTTTGCATTTTGGTGTAATTGACTTCTTGGTAAATCAGAGAAACTTACGGAATCGAAGTATAAATTTTTTTTTATCCTTTTAAGTAGTTAAAGTCAGAAGTCCGAACTTGGATTCTAATTTTCATGTTTCAATAAGAAGTGCTATCAGATTTGTGGTAATGAAAGTTGAACAAATGTTGCTGAGACCTGGAGATGTGCAACACATTTTGAAATTACATGTTGCAGTGACCAACATCTATGAGCTTAGTTTTAGACATCCTAAATAGAAATATATCTCATCAGAATTGAAGTGTCAATCTTTTGGTAACAAATATGGTATTTCATACTAGTAATTTGAAAAAATGACTTTTATTCCACCCCCATAGAATATGATGTAGAGCGGTGCCCTCTTAAGTGCAATTGGGGTCACCATATCATGGTTGAGAACAAAATCATTTTATTTTGGATGTTGGAGAATTTCCCACGTAGATGCAGCCAGAAGTGTGCAAAATTTAATCCCTGTGCACACTATACATGTGCAATTATTGTAAAACATAATGCAATATGTTTTGACAAGCAAATACTATAATCATAGATCCGTTTATTTTGAAGTTAAATAAAATTAATTTTTAATTGTTAAATATAATTAATATATATGCTTAAATTTAAATTAATACGAATCATGAAAAGGTATGCTTTTTATTAAAAATATGTGACAGTGCCAAAACAAGCAGGGTTATAGAATGGATTTGGCTTTCATGCAGTAGAAGTGATGCATTTGGTGTAGTTAGTAACTTAGAACCGTTCGATGAAGATCAGAGGGCCTAGGTTTTAATTTCATTAATCGGACTTAAAATGTAAACTCAGAATGTGAACCGTCCAATGTTCATGCAACGGTTCCAATTTGTCAAATGCACCATTTTCTGACTGTTGTAAATTCACTTCTCATTTGAATACGTTATTAGAGGCCAACTTTTACCATTCCAATTCTAAGGTTCAAGTTGGTCTAGCCAAAAAGAGTTACAAAAAAAGAAAGTTGTGCCTGCTTTTCTTTTCCATAAGCGTATTACAACACAGATATGGACCCATTGTTATGCACGGTTGCAGTGGACCTTTGCCGCGGGGGACTAGAGAAAATTGACAGCTTTGTTGCTTGGCAAAAAGCCAAAAAGAGCTACAAGAATCTTTTGAACCATTTTATGCTAATACCATTGCTTGGCTATGCTATGAACCGTACGTTACAACTTAATAGCACCAAAATGCTGTCAATCAATCACAAAAAATAGAGCACCATGTCACAGTAACAACCCATACTTTGCATGTATGTGATATTCATATCCATATTTCAGGATGGAGATAGTAAAGATGTTTTCAAATGTCGTATTTTTTTAAGACAAGTTTGTGCTCTCTCGAGAACCAAATCCACCCTATCTCTCCTCTTGCTCTTCCTGCTTGACATTACAACACCCTTTGGAGATTCAAGCTCAGAACTTTCATCAATCTTCCCCTTCATTACAACTCTGTCTGCTAAGGCAAGATTCAAACCATAATTGGTGGACTCTGCAATCACAAATGAATAATGATAAAACATCTCAAATCCACACCTCTTAACACAACAAAATAAAAGAAGAAAAAGAAAAAGACCTTCTGTATCACAGAAAGCGAGGAAAGTGGTGCAGTGGTTGTTTTCTTGAAGCATTTGAGATTCCTGGTGTTGAAGAATGAAGGACCTGAGTTGTTGCTTTAGAAACTCATGTTGATTGGGATATTTGGTTTCAAGCATCTTCAACTCTTCCATTGCACGCTCTACCATCACTTGATATCTGTGACTCTACCGTTACCTTGAAGCACTGATAAAATATGGACCGAAAGGCATGAAGTGATGGAAGTGGCAACAAAAGGCAGAAAAACAGGCAAACCAATACCAAACCATCATCATTGGGTACTGCCATTGGATTTTTGGAATTTGGAAAGTTATGTCGACTTCTGTTGGGGTTTCCGAGGTTACTTATTTATTTATTGACATATTTGGTCGAGAATTTAATAGTTTTATCAGTGCCAAAAAGGACTAGACACTAATAAGTATAGAGAAGTCTTGTGCAACATTAACCAAAATTTATTAATATTTTTTTCATGATTTTTAATATAATATTTAGAAAAAAAATTAGATAACAATCTCTTTATTCTATTTTGAATGTTATTTAGTATTGATGCATGTATTTTAAGAAAAAAGATTAATTTTAATCAGTTATTGTGATAAAATAAATTAATTTATTAAAATGATTTTATCAAAAGTGCTAAAGTTATTAAAACACTTAATTGATAATAGTTAATTTACAAAATTTGTCCTTAATAAATATTAACATTATCAAAAAGTAATTAATTTTTTTTCATGTTTTAAATAATAAATAATTTGAGACAAGTAAAAATATATTTAAATAACATATAATATAAGAAATTTTTTATTCATAAAATATATTGTTTATCAAACTTAATAAAAATACGACATATCATAAATTTATATTATATTTGAAAATATCATTTAATAAATTGAGTAAATGCAAGTCAATTAAAAATAAAAAATGTATTTTATTAAAAAAACGTAATGTAAGAAAATTTTGCTTACAATATTATTTTTTTAAAGTTGACGTGTACGTAAATTAAGAAAAAAATTAATTAATAATTTAAAAGCATTAATCAAGAAATGAAAAGTAAAAAAATTTATTTAAAAACATAAAAAATACACACTTTGATATTTTTTTTAATAGATGTTAACATAAATTTTAAAAAAATTATTATTTCTTAACTAGTCAGTCAGAAATTTTAAAAATATATTAATAAAATAATATATTACTATTACTTAACCAAAACATCCTTACTTAATTTTTTTAAATTAATTGTTGATGCAATTATTAAACAAAGATATGACTGAAAAACTATATTTTGATTAGTAGTTTTATTTTTATATTATTTTAATGTTTTTTTTTCAAAAAACCGGGATTTTAAGATCACAATAATTTTGAAGAAAAAAGTTGATAATTTTAAAACGAAGGGAATATTCTTAAATACCAAAAGAAAATATTAAACTATTTATAAATGTTTTGTCGAATCAAATTTTGCAAAGGGGAATAGTGCGACCCTGTGTCTGGCATTTATCAATTCCAAACAGGCAAACACAAAAAGAGAAACGCAGAAGTGAGTGATGCGTGGAAGGGAAGGAGAGAACAAACCTCCGAGAATTACTCCGCCGAACGACCTCCGATGCCGGCGGAGCGACGGCAAGTCATGGCGGTGCTACCACTGGAGGATTCACGGCCAGAGCTACTGCGAGGAACATTACCTTTCATACAGAGCTCGGTCCTTTCACGTTAACTACCATGAACAAAGGAAACCTAAAGCTTCTTCTTCTTCTTCTTCCGCTTCCGTGCAAAGTGACAATGAGAAGAAGAAGAAGAAGAAGAAGAATATTTCGAAGAGGCTTCGAGAACAAGACGAAGCGAGTGTTCAGGAGAAAAACAGAAGCAAGAAGAAGATGAAACTTAAAGCGGAACAAGAATCACCGAGGGAGGAACTGGACAGGAAATCCAGAAGCAGAGAGAAGATTAGGAGATTGCTTCTTCAGTTGGATGAAGATTTCGATACCGAAGATGATGAAAAACCAGCCACAACAACGAGGACCAAGTCTTCTTCCTCCAAATCCAACGATGCAAAGCTAAGTGTCTCTCTCTCTCAGTCTCAGATGTGTCATCAGTGTCAGAAGAGTGATAGGACCGTTGTTCGATGCCGGAAATGCAGCGCCAAACGATTCTGCGTTCCTTGCATTCGGAGATGGTATCGCTGCAAACTTATTACGTTCTTAAACTTTGTTTGTCTTTGTTTCTTCGTGTTTTCGTATCTGCTGCTGCTTGAAAACTTGAAATTAAACGGCGTTTGGTGTTTGAACGACGCATGATGTATCATTTCAATGGAAATTCTGAAATATGGTATCGGTAGTAGAATGAATGTTTGCTTCTATGGTTTACAATGTTTTCCTCCAATGTGTGCTCTGTTTTAAACCACTGAACTTTGAACAGTGTCCGTGTGAACTAATTTTAGCAACTGGAAGTGAGGCTTTTATGTTGTCTTGTATTTTTTTGGTTTGAGACTGACCATTGGTATCTGTAAGCCACGTTGGATCCTGAATAATACAAGGCGTCTTGTATTTTATGTCATCTCGTATAACTTCATTGTGGTATGATTTTGGGCAACAATTTGTAGTTAAAGCAAAATGAAAAAGAAAACTGAACATAGTAGAGGCAGTGGGGCTTTTATTACAGCTAAGATGTCAATTTAGTATATGTTTGGATTCATATATTTTTTTTTTTTGGCCAAATCTAAGTTTATCCAAACATTCTCCTTAGTAGCCTACGAGTTTGAAAAGTGTGAATCATCTTCTTCAACGAGTATCCAGATACTCTGTTAAACAGCTAGAATTTGTGGGTTGGCTTTTTCTGAGGTAGCGTGTCTGCAAGTTTCTGGAAGTTCAAGTGTGTGTTGATTTTTCCAATATGAGTATATAAATCTAGTTTTTTATTTCTCATTGAAAATTTCTGACTGAAAATTTTGACTTGTTTAATTAATGTAGGTATCCGCTAATGTCTGAGGAGGAAATAGCAGAATCTTGTCCATATTGTCAAGGCAATTGTAACTGCAAGGCATGTTTACGTAGAAAAGATGCAATTGCGGTTAGTACTTGCTGAATGGATATGCTGTTTCTCCATTTCACTTTTTCTCTTATGTGAGCAACAAGTATAGTGTGATTGACTGACTATGTACTTTAGGATTCTCAAGATTTAGGGATGCCTCAAAATATAGATGAAAAGATTCGACATTTGAAGCATTTGGTGAGAGCATTATATCCTTTCCTAGAACAATTCAATCATGAACAGCAGTTAGAATTGGAGATGGAAGCAAAAACTAAAGGTATGTAATGATTATGTAGGTTGTAGCTTCAACCCAACAAAAAACAGCATGCTGATGTGATGTAAACCTGTGCTTAAAAGAGTGTGTTTTTTTCTATTTGATGATGCCTGAAATATTGATCATGTGATTTTATTACAGCAAGAATGGCATCAGTTTCTATTAATAATTAAAGACTGGTCATATTATGATCAATGTTAGCCATTGTTGTCATATGGGAGGTTCTGGATAGTGTGGTATTTTTATTATTCGTTGCATCTTAAGTACAATTTTACTCTGGTCTTATAACTCCAAATCTCTTGTTCTTTGGGTAGCCAAACTTATTTGTAGAGACTGGGGAGTTAGACTGTGTACATGCACACACATATTTTGTAGTTTTTTAATTGAATCTACAGAAGTGTAGTTGATTGTTATCTTACATGCAAGTTCATTATCCCTGTTAATTTGTTGCTTTAATGGCAGGGTTATTGCTTTCAGATGTAGAAGTAAACCAAATTGTTTGTTCCAAATATGAACGTATTTATTGGTTAGTTTCCATCCAAAATCAAATGATTTTATTTTAAGTGAATTGCTGTGTTTTTACCTTCTTGTCACCTGCTCAATGCTTATCATGTGCAGCAACAATTGCAAAACCTCTATAGTTGATTTTCATAAGAGCTGCCCAAACTGTTCGTATGATCTTTGCCTTGCTTGTTGCCGGGAAATTCGTGGTAATATCTGCCAAGAGGAAATAGTTGAGCAATGTATTGATGTTTCCAATGCTCATTCGGATAGTGGAGAACCTTTACACCAGCACTCATGCAAGAAAGAATCATCAGGCATTTGTCATGAATCAAGCTCTAAGAATTCTATGAGACCAAAAAATGTGTGGAGGGCAATAAAAAATGGTGCCATCCCTTGTCCACCAACGGATAATGGTGGTTGTGGATATGAATATCTTGAGCTGAAGTGTTTATTTCCACAAAATTGGATTTCAAAGTTAAGGGAAAAGGTGAAAAGTTTAGTTGAAGTACGTGGCTTGGAAAATATGCCCACAGTTTCTACACGGTGTAATTTTTGCTTCAAATCAAGTGATGAAATTGACTCTGGCAACAGGAAGTTGCGAAAAGCTGCCTCTCGAGAAGCATCGAGTGACAACTATTTGTATTGTCCTTCAGCAAGTGATGTCAGATGTGGGGATCTGGAACATTTTCAGGGCCATTGGATTAAGGGAGAACCAGTTATTGTTAGGGATGCTCTTGAGTTAACCTCTGGCTTAAGCTGGGAGCCAATGGTAATGTGGCGTGCAATGCGTGAATTGACTAATCAGGGTTCCAAACATCTGAATGTGAAAGCAGTTGACTGCCTAGATTGGTGTGAGGTCAGTCATATTATATATTTGTAGAAATTAATTCTAAATAAGCTGTCGTCTTTTGGATTGATACTTTAATGTTTAGCCGGAGGATTGATTTTTAAATAAAAGATAAGAGATTTTAAATTGAGCTTTGTAATTGTTTACTTTGGTCTGTTTTGGAGATACACTCATAACGCATGAGGCATTTATGTAAACAACTAGGTAGAAACTGTTCATGGTCTCTGCTTTTGTTGTTTGATATGAAGGGGAATGTGAAAACTTTTATGTGCATATGCATTTCCCTTCCCCCTTTTGTGCTACTGCCTTCTAGTTTGGCTTAAGAACAATTCTTAATTTTTCTTGCTGACTTAAGAAAAAAATTTGTATCCTTTAATTTTGCTATCTTTAACAAATTCTTTTATCCCTAAAAGGATACTGTAGATTTTGGCATTTACTATTTACTTCTAGATTTAAACTGTCTCTTCCCTAAAAGTCTTTGCAGTCTTGGAAATATGAAAAGATTGTTAGCCCAGTAATTGATGGAACAGATAGATTATTTCTGAAGTTAGGTTAGTTGTCATTCTCTCCATTATGTAAATACCCAGATTTAGAAATACAAATTCCCAATATTCTATGCAAAAATATTAGTTTTTTAGAGTTTCCTACCATATCTAGTTTCTTTAAATGTTTAGTAAGCATTGTTTGCATTTGCTAATCATTATAATTTAAACTGGTAGGATGCAACCTTTATATTAAGCCTTGTCGATATACAGGTTGAAATAAATATCCATCAATTTTTCAAGGGATACTCAGATGGTCGTGCACATCGTAACTCCTGGCCTGAGATGCTCAAGCTCAAAGATTGGCCTCCGTCCAATCTATTTGAGAAGAGGTTACCACGTCATTGTATGGAGTTTATTAGTGCCTTACCATACAAAGAGTATACACATCCTCGCTCTGGTTTTCTTAACATGGCCACAAAGCTGCCAGAAAATTATTTGAAACCTGACTTGGGGCCCAAGACATACATAGCATATGGTTTTGCTGAAGAGCTTGGACGTGGAGATTCTGTGACCAAGCTTCATTGTGACATGTCAGATGCGGTATGTAAAAGTCATTTAGTAGAGCTCTGGTTAGATTTTAAATGAACCAAAAGCTGAAGTTGTGAATGCACAATTTTAATTGCATTTGTAATTCTTTTTAGCAACAAGCCTTACTTTTATAGATAGATTGGTGTTCTTAAGGTCATTGCAAGGCATGGTCGGCATTTATGTTTAAGGCTTTTGCTCAGTAGCACCATCAATTGTTTTAGTCTAACTGTAGTCATTTGGCCTTTTAAAGCTAGTTTTATAAGTATAACCATAGTGACAATTGTGAGGTCTACACACACACACACAACAGCAACAAACATTTCCTCAACAGTTGTTTAAATATATAAGTTGATGCTTGATGACAACCATGTAATAGGAACAGGATAGAAAATCAGAAATTATAGAAGTGAAAGAACCATTAAATGAAGAATCGTTAGTTTAGTAGGAGTTGTGTCATTCCTAGCTTAGAGGTGAAAATTAGAGATCATACCATATCGCGAGTTACATGATTTAAGTATGTGGCTTGGGTAAAGCATAGAACACAAGTAGGGCTGGAAGAAATGGAGGAGTGCTTTGGATGTTATCTGTGACAGAAAGGTACCAGCCAAGCTTATGGAAAAATTTTAATGCATAGCTTTAATTTAGACTTGTGATGTTGTATGGAATTGAATATTTGTTGGTATGTTGCATTGGATGAGTGGACATACTTGATGAGATAATTAGGAATAAATGTATTCAAGAGAAAGCTAGGATAAGACTCTTTGTAGAAAAGATGGTGGAAGTTCAACTTGGGTGGTCATGTGTGGAGACTTGTGGAAGCTCTCATAAGGAGAGTAGATTAAATGGAGGGTAGACCTATTGCTAGAGGTAGAGGGAGACCGAGGAATATGGTAGACAAAACCATTATAAAAGATTTAGAAATCAATAGTTTATCTACAGAAATGATTTATGATAGAGCAGCATTATGGTGTTGTTTGATCCATGTAAAAAGGGCTTAGTTGTGTTTGAAGATTCCTCTCTTTGAATAGGAGTGAACGTGATTCCTGAGTGAAGGAGGGGAGAACATGACAAATCTCTCTCCACTCCAAGATGTACAAACTCTTCCAAAATCTTCTTGCCCTTTCACCTTTCTCTCCTCCTCCTATATATGTTGTTCCTTTCCCCCAACCCAATATTTTTCGGAGGCAATGAAGGTATTTGTCAATTGTGTGCTGTGTGCCGATAGTGGGCTTGGGGGCTTATTTGTGAACTTTGGGCATGCAGGTTCTAGGTAGATTTGTAAAACAATATTGTTGAAACTTGAAAGCATTAAGGTACACCTGTTTTGCATCTAAGCTGATAATGTGAAGTGCCACCAGAGAGGTAGTTATCAGAATTGATTGAATTACTGATTTTTTGCAAGTTGTAATAGCTGCAACAAATCTTGTAATGATCAATATACATTTCCACTTTATACCTGTAATTAGAACCACTCATAATTTTCATATAGAAGAGGACTAGGAATACTGCCGGTCTGTTCATTGCCTTTTCATATTGGAAATGGCAGCACCCTTGAAGATGCATGCATTCTTCTTCATCTAAATGCACCAAAGAATGACATATATTGCAACTGCTAGAATTTTGTCTTCCTTGCTTTTGCCAAAAGCTTGAATCCAACCAACACAAACTACTCTAAAGTGGAGCTCACCCATTGCTTGTAAAAATCCCAAAAATCTTTTTGCGTAAAAAGGAGGCAGCTTTGCTATGCAGAAATAACAGAAGCACTGTTCATAAATCTTATCTTCTTTAAGAAGTATTAACCTTTATAGAATCAAGTTATCGTGAGTTCTTAAACAAATTCCTTGCTCCACTTGGGAACCATGACCAAGACATGTTCTTTGAACTAATCTTCTGTGTACTTCTCTGCCTAATAACAGTCATTGCTGCTTGGTCATCTTTTGACATATCTATTGCTATGTTTCTTCTTGTGTGTGCAAGTGAATGAATACATTCTTATGCAAACATGAAGGAAGAGGTACTGCTGCAGGCTACCCATATGCAATATTGAAAGAAGAATGGTCAATTGTGTAACTGATGGAGCTTTTTGATGTCAAACCAACTTAAGGTAGTATCATATATTCCACATTGCTACATGATGCTTGACAATTTGTTGTCTTGAATCAAAAAGCTTTCATCATCCATTTTAGTATGTTTCTGTTAAAATTATAGGGATTAGATGAAATATAGGAATCAGGAAACCTCCCCACTCCTTGAACTTTCATGTAAAAAACTAGTGGGGATTAGATGGAACATCTGAGAACAGGAGCTTGAATGATATTAATATATGAATGTGATGATATGATATGGTATGACATACATGTTATACTCCCTCACCTTGTACTTATTTCTACTAAGATTCTGGATCATTGGTCATACAGTAGTGTAGCACCACTGGTTCAAGGCTAGCATAACATTGTATTTGGTTTAATTCCAGCTTCTGCACATATTTGATTGGTTTTTTTATTTTATTTTGTAGGTAAATATCTTGACACATACAGAAGATGTGAGCTTCACTTCTAAACATCTTACCAAAATAGAGATGTTGAAACAACAATATGCTACTCAAGACCAAAGTGAACTTTTTGAGGTTTTACAGGATGATAATTCTGCGGTAAAGTGCAAATCAACACTAGAAGAAGAAAATATTTCATTGCAGGCAGTAGATGAATCAGTTATGAATGGGTCTTCCCTTATTCAAATGTCAAAAATGGAAAATGATGAGTTCTACAGAAAGCATGCAACTGCTAAACCACTAAATGATAGGATTCTTGAAAAAAACAGCGAGGCTGAGGCTTCTGAAGGAGAACCAACTTTTACACCTGGAGTAGAAGTTCTAGTACGCAATAGTGCTCTAGGGCTGCATGAGAATATTGGCATAAATTCCTCCAGTGCTGTAACTGCTAATAATGACGAGATCAGCAAGTGTGATGTTAACAAGATGGGTATTGAAGCTAAAAAGAGATGGAGCAGCCCTATGGACGTTAAGGTTGGAGATGACGAGGAAGAGTTTCTCTCTTCAGTTAGTAGGACAAGAAATGATGAATTGCAGGATGACATTATTAACAAAAAAGGAGCAAATTCAGGAATTTTACGGGAAAAGGAAACTGGTGAAATGAAAAAGTCTAAAGAAGGGAATGTAGTTATTGTGAGTGAAAATGTAGTCAAGTCACTGCATGATTTAGATATGAAATCAGAATTATATGCCATTGTGCCTACTTCAACAAATGAGGTGCTGCAGCAGGATGCAGAATGCCTTAGTCAACCAGTGGATTCTGGAAATAAGCATAGTGAACAAGACTTAGCTAAGGGAGGTGCTGTCTGGGATATTTTTCGGAGACAAGATGTGCACAAGCTTGAGGAATACCTTAGAAAGCATTGTAAGGAATTCAGGCATCTCCATTGCTCTAAAGTGGAGAAGGTAATTTTATAAGTTTTGAAAATAATGTTAGGTAAGGTTTTCATTTGAATAGTTTATTCTTGATTTTTTTCTCCCGTTAAATATATCTTTTCTTACTGTACCTTTAAAAGAAAACAAAATTCTGTTCTACTTGCTCTTGATTTGTTTAATGATTAATTGACAACATCTCATTATAATAATAATTTTTCTTGTTTAAATAAAATATATTTGAATTTATTTTTTGGGAATGATTTTGTCTTCATACTAGTCTTTCTTAATTTTGGGATTCAATTCAAATGTTAGTTTTATTTGAATATTTTCACAATTAATGGATGAATGTTGTGATTGTTATGTGATCTTTGTCTGATGGAATAGGTTTTTCACCCAATTCATGATCAAGTTTTTTATCTGACTTCTCATCATAAAAGGAAACTCAAGGAAGAATTTGGTTAGCACTTCTTCTATATTATTTTGTGGCCTTGGATAGAATTTCATGGTCCTCCTATTTATGCAATTTTGGGGCTCTGTTGCAGGCGTTGAACCTTGGACTTTTGTACAAAACCTTGGTGAGGCTGTTTTTATTCCGGCTGGGTGTCCCCATCAAGTTAGAAACTTAAAGGTGTGAGTTCTAAATTTAAATGTTCATTTATGTCTTGATGCAATTTTGTGTTGTGATTAATTTTTCTGGGCCTTTCAATCACGCCTATAAACAGTAAATTACCAGGTTGTCTGTCCTTTTCCATGTTAATTGCTTTTTGGTTGTAATGTTCACTTTAATTTTGTATTGATGTTTTTATTGGCAGTCATGCATAAAGGTTGCTTTAGATTTTGTCTCTCCTGAAAATGTCCAAGAGTGTATTCGTCTGACTGAGGAATTTCGTTCTCTTCCCCCAAGCCATAAAGCAAATGAAGATAAACTTGGGGTATGCATTCTCCTGCCTTGTATTTTTCTAGACTTGTCTTTTCTGGTACATTTTTCTAATATGTTCTTCTTTTTTCTTTATTTTTTTAAATTTTGCTTCATGATGTTGTGACATGATTTTCTTGACATTTCATTTGTTTGTGGAATAAGAGGGTATGAATTTTCTGGGTTACTGAGGTATTTGGCTACTTAAACTATGATTATATATATAGTGTATGCCATGAGTCAACCTTGACAAAAAGATATTTATATTTGATATTGTGTATCTAGCAAGTTGTAAAATAAATAAAGCTATGTGCTTTGGGAACTGTTTCTACTACATCCTGCATTTATCGCAATTAAACGGGGCATAAGTTGTGATTTTCTTTTTGTCATGATCATTCCTGCATTGACTTTAATTACACATTCAAATATGAAAGCAACAAATGAGAATACCAGAGAATGGTCGATTACAGGCATTGATGACATTAAAAGGGGCATTGTTCACACAAATTTACTGGCAAAGGGCTGCGCAAAACTTTGTACTAGGCAGTTTTGCTACCTACTGATGAATTTAATCATTTATGAGTTTTAGGAACTCTTTTCCTTGCTTAACGTGGGCATCTCTTCACATCTATAAATCACACTAATTATCTGGGCATTCGGTGATGTTGAAATTTGAATAATTTACTTTGTGGATCCCTCTTTCTCTCTTCCATGTCATGGTAATGGCAACTGACATTGCCTTTTTCTTTCTAATTCTTTGTTTGATATAGGTGAAGAAAATGTGTCTCCATGCATTAAGCATGGCTGCAGACAATTTGGAGGAGCTCGTAGGATGAGTAGGGTAGCAATAAACATGTAATTAAGAAGCACGGGTACATAACCAGGTTGATACGTACATCATCTTGCATTTTGATACTTGGAACTTTCAACTTGTTAGTAGATGGTCCTCACGCAAAGGAATGAATGATAAGTTAATGGTGTTTTTGCCCCTAACGCGTTTCTTTTCTTTTAGAAATGAAGGCATAACTCGAGATTCTCCTTTGTGTTTATCTTTTCTATTGAAATGAATGTTTGCCATTGTAAATTATTGTAAATAAGGACTTGCTTGTTTTACAATTATACGAATTATTTTTTGCATTTTTTTAATAAAATGTACACAAACATTTTAATAAAAATGTGATTCAAGATTAAATAATGCACTTATCTCAATTACATTCAACGGTTTAAAATTATTTTTATCAAAATTATTTTTACTCGACTTTAAATCAAACCGGTACTTAAATACTTTTTGCTTTAAAATAAGACATTTGACATGTATGGTTATTTTTTAAAATAAAAAAAATAAGAAAAACTACTAAATAGAGAAATATTGTTGCAAGAAAGCAGGTACTAAAAATTTTCTCCAACTTGTTCTATTTAAGCATTATTACGGTTTAGCAAAAAAAAAAAAAAGCATTATTACGAATGCCAATCTTCATGCCTCTTGGCCATTAGATATATTTTTTTATACAAAATAAAATTCATTAGGACTGGAGAAGTAGCTTTTTTTTTCGGTCTTGAAGAGATAGCTAAAGCTAGTACTTCATTCAGCAATGAGGAATTACGGCCATGGGGCCTTCCGCTATCCAGCAAAAAGTCTCTAGTGAAAGCCAACTTAGACCAAAAGTATACCACTTTATTTGCACTTCTTGGCCATTATATATCTTAAAGATTTTGTGAAATCAATTACTATGTTTGGTAGAAAATTTTACACCGATTTCAGGGACCATCTTACGTAAACATAATATTTTTGTTGAAATAATACTTCTATTGTATATACAGATTATTCATCAAGGATGCCAAACAGCACAATTCATGAGTTAATCATCAAGAGCATATGTAAGACGAAAACACACCTGAAAGAAACTCAGAAAAAAGTGGCTTTCATGGCAGTAATTTGATTCTTTTTCTTATGTGGATCATTTCGTCCAAATATCTGTTCTATACATGTATGTATAACACTATACATTTATCTTTCTTAATTCATAAAAAGAAACAGATAAAATTGTTCCATACTCATGAATTGATATCCAAGTTTTTGCATTTTCTAAAATGTTGCCGAAATAAATGTATATATGTAAACATAATGAAATAAGCTTTGAAATTGGAAAAGAGAATCTGCACGACCAATGGGTTGACCTCAAGATCCTAAGAATGCATCGACCTTTGCATTTTGCCTGCTGGACAAAAATTTCATGCAGATGGGTGGCTTCACTCCTCCCAGAGCCAGAAATGAGCTAGGAAGCGTCCAGATTCCATCCCCACATATCAAACCAGAAGCCACAGCTGGTCCAAATGCATCAGCCTTAGCCTTGTCAACTTTCCTCCAAATAAATAATATCAAGCTCCCAATACACATATCAATGGCAAAATAACTTCCAATATAAAAGGGAATTGCCATGGCCATAGGAACAGGAATAAATTGGGACCACTTTTCTCCAACCAAATCTCGAATAAGATTGATAGCTATTGCTCCAAAAAAGAATATATAGCAAAGGGTGAGGCAGAACTTTGGCAGAGCTGAGAAGCCATCTACTCCCAGTATTGCCATATTACGATAAACAAGAGCATAAGGGGCAGGGTAAGCTGAGTCAGGAAGCCCAAGGTTGCCAAAGGCCTTGTAAAAAAGCCAGAAAACACAAGGAGATATAATGCAGCCCATGGCTGTTCCAATAATTTGGCTCACAAACATGGACCTTGGCGAAGCCAGTGTCATGTAACCTGTTTTGAAGTCCTGCATGAGATCAGATGCTGTGGAAACAATATTCATCATCACTCCACATGCAGCCAAACCAGCAAGAACTCCACCATGAGAGGCCCCTGCCCATGCACCAATTGTGAATATGGCCAATTTTCCATAGGTGGATGCAAGGGACCAATCTGTCAGTCCACACCCGTAAGCATTACAAAATGCTAGTGCTGGTGCAATAACGTATATCACAACTATATAATACCACCTTAGCTGGTGGAAAATGTGGGGAAGGGTAACGACAGAGATTATTGCAATAATAACGTAGCCAGTAATAGCAAACCAGGTCGGAATTTGGTCTTTGAGGAACATCTCGGTTCTACGCTCATCATCATATGAAATTGGTGGGATATCTGATTGTGGATCATCAGAAGCATGAACCATGTCCATGTTTTTGCGGCATTGGTCATACAAACCAATAAGAGTGCGGCCAAGAACTTTAACAAAGTTGTATAGACCATCACCAAGAATCATTGCTATGGCTATGAAAACCTGCAGTTTAAAGAATTCATTAATAAGACCAATCAACTGCAAAATGTTCCCCAATTAGTTACAATGTCATTAAGAGAACGATAGGATGATAAAATCGCTAGTAGTTAGCACATTCTGTCATATGTCGACACTAAATCTATCAATTCAGTCCAAGTTATATTGTTGTCGTTTAGGTAGGTTTCTTATTATTTGAGAGCGTTTCTAGTGTCTCCCTTACCTTCTCAATACATGTTTTATGTTCAGTCATAACTTTGTTAAAGTTAATTTCACATTGTTCATTTAAACCATAAATAACTTTTGGTGCAATAATAAACAACATCCAAATTTTCTGTCCTGCCTTTATCTTAATCTTGCTAATGCAATTTTTATGATAGGTTCTGACTAAAACCTGAAGTTATACCACAACTCTATAATAGAAAATCCCTACTTGATTATCAGTACTGAGTGAGTTCTTAGGATCTCAAAAGAAATTTCTAAATTTTGTGATCTATATCTGTAGATTCCTTGAGACACGCAGCCGGACAATGTTACAAATAGTTCACTACTTATTCGAAAGCGTACCCTGCATGAGATTATAAGATAAAAAAACTCTGAAGTAATATTGTCCATGTATATATTGTTCCAATTAACTGCAAGTTGACTGTTCAATCATAATGAATCACACCAATTGAAATTTTTAAACGTGGAAAGGCTACTTACTTTGTAACCTTGAAGGCCGTGTAAGCTGCTTGGTTTGAGCTCTGCAGAGAACCAGTCTCCCTTTCTATTATTAATGAGAGGCCACATGATACCCCAAGAAAGAATTCCACCAACCAACAGGGATACATTGATTATATATGGGCATATCATCCCAACCCCCACATAGGTAGCCGAAAAATCGAAGAAGAACCTGTTACGTAGATATATAAATGATAAAATAAAGGGAACAAAAATACATATAAAATTGCATAAAAATAAATCAATTTTAATACTTTTGATTGTTTTTTATTAAACTATAGAGGTAAATGGCATAATCCTCTGTTTCTCCTTTTGAGGAGACGAGAAAAACAAAATCATTTGCTAATCCATTCAGCTTATATTTGAGAAGTTATAGGTTTTCCCTAATTTTTATATCGAATATCCTTCATTCAAATAAGAGACTCCAGTCATTTTTCCTTTTATATTTCACTAGTAAGATAGAGAGTCACATACTGGTTTTTGTAGGCTTTGAGACCAAATGTAGGGAAGCTTGCAAATCCACAAGCATCGCCAGCAGTGAAAAACCACTGGAAGAAACCCCACAAGAAGCTAAAGGAGAAGAACTTTCCCAGTGCACGTACTTGCTTCCTAAAAACGAAAAGAATTAGAAGGAAAATGATACATCTTATTGATGTATTTATAAAGAAAAAGAAACTTGTACAATAATAACGGCTTGAATCCTCACTTTGCCAGTTTGGCACCCTCTGTTGTGTGGAAACTGTTGATAAGATGGGCTGTTGCAGTACCACTAGGATATGTTAATTTGAAGTCTACAATCATAATCTGTAACAAGGAAAGTTAAAGAAAACATAGAAGTCAAATTCAATATGCAGTAACGGATGAGCAACTTCATTCATAATAAAGCTATATGCCATGCAAACATACACTCAAATTTCAACCTTAACTAACATGTAATGGTGCTGGTTATAATTAATGAATGACAAAGGTAACTATTATGACTATTTTACCACGAATACGGTGTTCATTACTTGATGCCATTAGGTTTGTCACAGTGTGTACCTTGCGAAGTGGAACCACAGAAAAGAGGCCAAGAAAGCTAACAACAAATAGAAATCCTATCATCCATCCCAAACCCGGGTCCTTAATATCCCGTGCAGTGCTAGCTTCAGTAGATTGATTTGCAATAGATGAACTCATTCCAAATATGTAGCTACCAAAACCACCTACCCAAGCAAATCCAGGCAAAGAAGCGTCAAATACTACGAAGGTTCTTTCCATCAGAGTTGCAGTTAGCCATTAGAGCATTGACTATAATTTCAGCACAGTTTTCTTCTAAAATGAATGTGAAAACTACAAAATGTATGACATCAAACGTGACATAGACAACACAGATTCAATATGGTGAAATGATGGACAGGCTAAATTGGCAAATGTAGAACACTGAAAATCCATGTAACTCCAATACTTAAAAATAGTTTAACTTATAAGGCACTCAAAACTCCACAAAAATTTAAGGAAGTACACTTAAGTTCTGTTCTTGTTTTGTTGACGCCATTACACAGCATTCCATCAAGGGTTAAACAGTAAATTAATCATAATAATAGAGTCTTTTCTCTCAGGATAGGGATGGCTACATGCAAAGGACATCATAATGTTCATTGAATTGTGGGATTTCATGTTTTCACGTTCATCTGTCTACTGTTATTTTAATTTTAAAAAATTATGTAAAACTTTTTTATTATTAATATCATTGTAAGAGAAAAAATAATATTTTAAATAAAAATACTCATAAAATAATTATATAGGTGTGAGAATAAACATACCAATGGTAAGATAACAAGAAGAAGAAAAAAACTACAGAAACCTCTAACTCCTTGTGTGACATATCTCTTTATTTGTCTCTTTCTTTTTCGTCGTTATATTAATAGATCCTAGGTCGATTGTGTAAAATAATAATATTTTATATTTTAAAAATGCACGTGATATGATTATTATTATAATGATAGATTGTGTAAAAATGATATTTGTCGTTAGTGCAACTTCAATAATCGGTAACATATTCTATTAAGGCCAACAAGGAGAAAAATTAAAATAAATATGTTCTTAAAACAGATGTTACATAAGTTGCATAAATTATTTCTCAACAAATACTAACTAATATCCTAAAATATTAATTAAACATTTAAAATATTTTTAAGAAATATTATTAATACATTTTTATCATAATTTTTTATAAAAAATATTTTTTTATTGATAGTCTTAACTCTTAAGAAAATTGTTTATTAAAATATCTTTTTGAATTTATTAAGGATCTATTTGTATTTCCTTCGAACATAGAAATTGGATACCCCTTTTTTCCTCCCTTTCATATGCGTGGTATCAAAAGGAGTTTTATGCAAGAAAATTGTGCAAACAGAGTTTCAATTTTAAAACAAATAGGCTTTTATCAGATAATTAATGTGTACAAACAAAACATTTTAAGTCAAAGCATCACAAATAACAATTTTTAAGAATCTATTAAAAAACAATCAATAAATACTCTTAGCTTTCCCAGTTTCAAAAAAAAGATCAAGAGAAAGACAACGTCTTTTTCTACCATCCAGTTGCATCATTTTCTGTACAAACAGAGAGTATCACTTCATTTAAGAAAAATAATATAATTTTTTAATGTATATTTAACAACATATAATAAAAATGTATATATAGTTAATTTTTAGGAAAAAAATTAATCTATTCATAATACAGAATATTAAAATATTTAATTAAAAAATTAATATTTATTAATTGTTATTATGTACCTTAAATATATTAGAAAAATCGAATTTAATAATATAATTATATTTTAAGAAGAAAAAAAAACAACAGTTCAACATAATAGACATTTGAGATTCAGACATGTTATTTTAACACCTGAATAAATGTTTATACTAGACACAACATTTTTTGGGTTAAAATATTTTATAAATTTACAGTGGGACCCACCCGCAACGTGACTACTGAGGAAAACGCATGCAATGCCGAACCCAAAAGCCAGAAACCCACAACCATGAACGCCAAATAATTTTGTAATTCAAATCCAAATACACTAATTCGAATAAAATTTATGAACACAATTCATTTCTAAATTTTCAACACTGTTCTTCCAATTCCATTAAAATTACACTTCTACTTTAGTATGTTATCAAACCAACTGTTATGTTAATAACACTCTTCGCTGATTACTCTTTTCATTTTAAATTTTAACTATTTCTCTTTAAATTTTAACAAATAAAAAAATTGCAAAACGTGAATTAGATCGGAAAGAATATTCCGATGTTTATATACAGAGAGGTTACCACTGAATGCAATGCCACTGGAGGCGACGACGCAGGTTTGAATGACGGTGTTCTCTTGGCGCGTGAACGGTTGCTTGAGCCAACCCGATTTGCTTAGAAGCTTAGTCCACGTCTTCACGAAGAAGAACCCTAACAACCCCGCCGATATATTCAACGACGGTATAATCCCCGTTGTTAGATTAAGCTTCATGACGATGAACGTGAACAACACCGCCAACACGAAACTCACCACCATCGCTCTGAACGTGACTTGTGCCTGCCACCTTGGCACGACCTTCCCCTCAAACGTCTTCTCCACGGACGGCTCCTCATTGCCGCCGAGTTCTACATCACCGTCGTTTCGCAAAGCCATTCTGTGTTGTTACTCGCTCTCTCTTCCTTTTCACTCTCCTTTTCTTTTTCTGTATTTCTAACAAAAATATTTTGACTTTTTCTTTTTTTCTTTTTTTCTTTTTAAAATTAATAAATATGTGTTTGGTTGAAATCCAGGGTCATTTTTCTCTTAGGATTGACGACATCTTTGAATCTCTCTCTTCAGCTTATCTTTGCTGTTATCATGCCAACAAAAGCTCAGTTGATTCGTTTGTGTGTGTGTGGTCATGATTTTAGTTTAAACAAAGACATAGTCAATAATTATTATTATTATTATTAATTAATTAATTAATTGATTATGTCCTGTTTTCTTAATTTGTTTGAAAAAGAGTTCTGGATATTACTAAAATGCTTTGAGATAATGATAACGAAGGTTTTCAACTTTTTTTGAAAAACACACGAGGCTTTCTCAAAATTATCCAAGTAACTAACTATACAAATAAATTCTTTTGGCCTCGAACATGATTTGGGAAGTGAGTAAATAGATTATGAATAATTTTACTTAATTTTATTCAAATTTTGGTGTCTTTTAAGAAGCTTTAAAAAATGATAAAATTGATTTTGTTTGCGTCAAATATACTACACTTACAGTTTACGTTAATGTATTATTTTTTAATTTGAAATGGTAAATAATGAGTTGTTTATTTGACTAAGTTTATATTTAATCTATAATTCTTTATCATTTTCATTGTAACTTATGTAATTTGTTTAAAACGTAGATAATTAGTTTTTTTACTAATATTACTCCTAATTATATCTTACTACTTTATTAAAGTTTCTGTTTACTTTTTGGTTTAACTACCAAAACTTTTGAAATTTCTTTCTTTTAGTAATAGTGTATTAAACATTTTAGTATCATTTAACATGTATTTTCTCTCATATAACTATAACATGAGGTGAGGCTATAGTCTTATATAAGTTATCATATAAAAAATCTCTTGTCTTATATACCATGACTCCACATTTTAGTATCAAAGAAAATCACTTCATCAATATTGAAAGATTTAGCTCCATAGATCTTGAGGTAATTCTCAAATTCTTTTGATACTCAAGTTGAGTGTGAGTGTGATTTGTTTAAGGTTAAGAGTCGTGTGCATGTAAGTGCGTATATAGAAAATAAAAGGTTGTGCACCACCTTTTGGCATGTAAATTATCGTAAATTTACTAGAAACTTGTGTTTTGTCCAATAAATAGCTAGATTGCACACTAATTTTATAACAGAGTGTAATCTTATACATTAATTATTTTTGTAATCCAACATTAATCGTATTGCTCAGTGGATACAACTTTTAAATCCATCAATCAAATTTATTAAAGAAAACGTTTATGATGAAAGTATATTAGAAAATCACATAAAAATATTTAGTAAATTTAGACTATCAAATTATTTTCTTAAGTTTTGGACATATCCTTAGATAATTAAAGAAAAAATTGAAGTGAATATTTAATAGCATTTATCTTGATATTATCAATTTCCAATAAAGTTCTAGATATCAATGTATTAAAAGAGGATAAACTTCTTAATTCTCTATGAATTTTGTGATTGTCTTCCTAATAGAAGAAGATTAGGTTTCTTTAATAAGCTTAAAAGAAATAAACGTATTTTACATATTTATTAGTAAATTATTATACAGAGAAAGTCACTCCTATATTAAATAATAATGTTTTGGATATGTATTTAAGAGTATATAATAAAAATTTACATACAATAAATCTTTATTAAAATAAAAAAAAACAAAATTCAATGCATTATTCATATTAAATATTACAGATTTTAATATAAATTAATATTTTTTATTTCTTGACATATATTATTAAATACATGTTAAATAAAATCAAATAAATAAATAAATTTAGAAATACTTAAAAACTTTTAGAATGTGAGACACTTTATAATTTTTATAAATTATTTATTATTTATTATTTATTTTTAATAAATATAATTTAAAAATTAAAAATAAATATTAATAATAAATTTAATGATATTAAAAAAATAAAATTATTATATTGTAATAATATTTTAGAAAAGCTAATTTTATTTGATATGTCATGCCGTTGAAATAAAGATATTGGTGTTACAATCATACACGATTATCAATTTTAATATTAGTTACTAAATTTATTCAAATTCTGATTGGTGGATAAGATAAAGAAAATAAAATAAATTATTCTATCTTATTTTAATTTAATTTATTATTTAACTAATAAATAGAAAAATATAATGTTATAGAACATCGTTTGTGGAACAAATTCTTGAGAATTATTTTTTGAGATTTAGCCTCATCAGCCTTATCAATTAATTCTTGAGAATTATTTTCCAGTTACGCAGTTCTTTACTAAATATGTTTATAAATCATTTGATGAAGTATTAATACTGAAAATTCAACCATATAAAAATTTGCAATATAAGCTAAATTTATTTAACGATCCGCAATACAAATTACAATTATATGTAATAGAAAAATAAATTAACATTTAAAACCTGAGGAGATTTTGAAATTGAATTTATTGTACAATTTTTTAAAAAAATTAAGAAGGGAAACAATTTAACATACAAAACGTAAACATATATCCATTGCCCATTTGTTCTCATTCATGTTTCTTAAATTGAAAGCTTTTCAAGCCCTTTGCCAATTGAGGGTAGTCTTCAAGTAGTTTTCGTTTTGAAAGAGTGTCTTCCTCATTTTGTGGGGTCCATAATACCTCACCAGCCTGTAGAGAAATTAATTTTAGTCTATTATCATTCTAAAATGTTGATTGTTATTCTTTTTTAAATAATTTTTGTTAGTTAATTAAATTAATAATGACAATAAACACTTCCATAATTCGAATGTAAAATTAGAATAACTTAAAAGTGTCTTTGACATCTTACTAATAATTTGCTTGAGAGAAGGGATCTAAGCTTTTGTGATGCTTCCTTCAAATCTTCAGCTCCATTGATGTTAGGAAACTTGTGTGCTCCTTTAGCAGCTACCAAAATTGTTATCTGTTATAAGTACATAGTGTAAGAAGAAACGGATCATTACTTGCCCTTTTTGAATTGTTCAACTTTGACAAGAAATGGTTTTTGGAAGATATGTGTTATGGATTCAAATTTCACAATACAAATATAAAAGTGACATAAATTAACTTCAATGTGTGCCTAACGATGAGGTGATTGATTGAGTTGGACCACATCCTTTCTTGTTAATGTTTATTCAGATGATAAGAGGATATTATAAAGTACCCAAGGAACTTGCCTCTTTGATATGTAGACATGTACCTCAATAATGAGTCTATATAATAGAAGATGGATGTTTCACTCATTCAAATTCATGAAATATAGCGTTTATAGTCTTGTTTTCTAAGGCATCATTTGGATGAGTTAAAAAATGAAAAAAGAAAAACAGGGATGTGGGGGAGAAATGATAGAATTACACCTTTTTTTTTTTTTTCTTGATTGTGGAGAAAAATACAGGAAAAGAAAAAAAAAATGATGAGACTCATTTGAAAAATTTCTCCTTATCATGCAAAACATTATATATTTTGTCTACTTTTGAACCTTTTTTCTTCTTATTCTTTCATTTTTTTTTTATCCCCTCATTTTTAGCAAAGGTTAGATGTGGAATAAAGTTAAGGAATGAGTTACGTCTAGAAACAAATTGAACTCTGCATCCAATGTGAAATCTCTCTCTTGTGCCACTCAGTTGTTAGATGATAAAATTTAAGCAAGGATGAAAATATTGAGGAACTGAAGTATACAAAATTCTACAATCAGAGCGAGAGTTAATATTATAATGCTTAAATTAGGAATGAAAATGGTACACTAAAAAATTTTAATTCGGAATAATATATGCATAAAGAGATCATACCATACCACAATGTACTCATTGCCAAACCCACTGAGAAGTTTCTCTTCTTCAAATTTATATCTTTCCTCTTTTCTCTCCTTTGCATCAAACTGCAATAGAGTATTATTAGTTGGTTATAGCTCTATAACTAAACTAAGTTGCAAAATTATGAATCTACTTGTCCAATAGCTAAAATTGAAGTGAAAACTTATTGCAAGCTGCATCAAAATAACCATTCTGAATGCTAGATGCTAAAAAAATCAAGCACACTTTATAATAGTATGTTGATAACAAAACCATACCATTGAGTATTCATTGCTAAACAGATCAACATTTTGGCCTTTTGTACTTTTCTTTTCTGTGTTGTTCAAATTAACCAGAGTCTCTTCATCAAATTTTGCCCTTTCTTCATTTGACAATTGATTATAGAATTTCTCCCCATCCCCCTTACTCCGCTTTAAATCCACCTGCCAAAGATTGTTCATCAATGATGTCCTCTTAACAGTCAACAATTTCCAAGCCACATAGTACATGCACACACTAACAAGCCAACAACTGCAAGCTATATAAAACATAGATACATATATATGTTAATTTATAACCAAAAACTGCTTTTTCACTTTGATATTGGGAGAAGGAATGGACTTACTGATGAATATCCTGAAATACAATGACCATGATGTCGATCCAAACTCTGCATTGTCTCTGTCAGAAGGTCAAATAAAATGCATCAAATACAAAGCCTCTTATAAATAATGAAAGTTTAATGTTAGCTAAATCATAGAACAAAATATAAATCTATCTCTAGTATCCAATCATCAATTAAAATTTTCTCTTACCAAAGACCTTTAACACTAGCTTGTAGTAGTAATCAAAGTTTGTAGGAGTACCGACAAGAAAATTTAATTTCCCAAGTGCACATTGACATCACAAAGGACATATCTTTCCCAAAAGTCAAAACAAACACATCCAAAACAAGAGCACGGTATTCACACCGTCACTTCAAATTTGCACATTTTTCACACTTCTAATCACATTGGTGTCCACCTTGTTTTGAGTAGCTATACCCAAATGTGAAGTGTTTCTTAGGGAAGTGCAAGAAGCATTATTTTGCAAAATTATAGTGATCATGAAGTTGATCAACTAAAACTAGTGAGTATTAAGCATGGCTAAGGAGGAAGAGACTAAAGTATGTATAGCCTTTGTTCTATATACACCGAGTCACTATCAATAACATTGTCGCATGGAATTATTCCACCACTACATTGTAGTATTTGTCTATTATTACTATTTAATATATTCAGAATATACACAAAATATGTTTAATAATTTTAGAAAGCAATTGGACATTCTCAAACATTCTATTGCATACTAATTCAGATAGATACATGCACTCAGAGACTGCTAAGCACACAGATTTTCAACAAACGATATGAACACTACCTTGCTCATAACAAGACCCTCGTGATGATTTGAAAATATAACAAAGCAATTCCTAAACCTACCTGTCAAAAGATAGCTCACACCTTCTCGAGAGGATGTATCTGCAGTTTCTGCAATCCTAGTTAGATCCCTTTGTATTGAGCTTCCCATTCCACCAGACATTGCAACCTTAAATATGGCACAGCCAAATATGATTAACTAAAACTTAAAAAAAAACACTTTGACTCATGCATGACTTTGGTGGTGCATGTAATCTCAGCAACAAATTTTATATCCACCTGAAGCTTGAGAACAGTTACTGTATTTCCATTGGTGTCTTTACAAAATCCAACCAAAAACAAACCAAATATGAATATGAGAAAGAACATAGACACTCCACCGTGACTTCCACTTGCAAGTTCAGCATCGTGAGAAGTGGGATGGTTATCATGCAACACCATTTGTGATTCTGAATCACTTGTGTAAGATTCTGAGGATGAAGACTCAGAATCTGAACTGAAGAAATTCCCTCCCATCACGCCTCCAGAAGAGGCCAAAGCCATGTCAAGGTTGTAAGTGAATAACAACAACCCAAGAAGCAACAAAGCGGTATCACTAACAGATCTTCGCGACAACCCCATTTTGTAGTTTCATTCAATACCATGCAAAAAATGAAGCCTCGGATTCAACTAAATGTATTTAGTGGAAGAACTTTCTAATTTTTCACGTAATTTACATGAAATATTAAATCTTATTATGAGAAAAATCGGGGTCCTTTTCGATCTAAAACATGTTTTGTTAAGGGATGTCTTTGATTTTGTTGCGATCAGAATGTGTCCGAGATTGAAGATCTCAAACTCGTTCGTTCGTTTCTACCGTTAATTTAAGAAACCCGTTATCCTCAGCGCGCGCATGTCTTCAATTCTTTTCATTTTCTTTTCAAGATTAAAAAAATAATCTCAAACAATAACTATACGCAATATTAGCGGAGGCAGTTATCTTAGCCTTTTCTTACCTTTTTCAACTTGTAAATTTGATCTACCTTTGAAAACTTGTAGGGAATCTTGCCAGAAAGATTTTTTATTAATAATACTTAGACACTTATTTAAATAATAATTTTTAATAATAAATAGGGGAATCTATATTAGAGATTTTTTTATGTACAAAAATTTAAATCGAAATCTTGCTTAAGCAATGTCACCAACCTTTATTAGTATAATATACACCTTTAAATTTATATTATAATTTAACTTATTATACATGAATTCATGTATTATAAATTTTTATTAAGATTTATTATTATATACTTAGAGTAATCGCTTATATTACAAGCACATAGAATGTAGAATATATAATATAAGTGACAAAGTGATGAAGATTTCAAGTATAATTTATCATAATAAATGTTTATTCATATGAACAAGAGATGCCGAAATATATTGCAGGGTGATTTAATAGATCCGATCCCTAAAGGGAAACGATTGATGATTAAAGTACTATCAAGAACAACAACGAGTACCAACTAAAAGCAAAAACATAATGCATATATAATGAACAATATTCACTACAAACTTTCTTAAATGCTAGTTCTAACAGATATGAGTGAAAGGATGATTATGGAGAAGCATGTCGGCAGTCCACCTTTCATTAGGGTTGGCGATAAAGCACTTCTGTAAGAAGTCTTTGCATAGAGAGGAGAGTCCACTAGGAATGCTTGGTGCTTCGTTATTGATCCCAACCCTAACCATTATGTCCTCTAGAGAGCAATGTTCCATAACCCACCAGGAGTAGCCAGTGAACATCTCTAAAACTACACACCCAAAAGACCATATATCCAATGCTGGTCCAATTTGGCCACATGCGATGGATTCAGGTGACATGTAAGAAGGAGTCCCCCTAAAAGAGAACTTCCAGTCCTCCTCATTCAAACTCTCTTCAGGAGTTTTACACAATCCAAAGTCCGCAATCTTCAGTTGATTAAACCTTTGATCATGATACTTATAAGGTGGAAACATGAGGATGTTATCGGGTTTGAGATCACAATGAACGTAACCCCTTTGATGCATGAATGAAAGCCCTCTCAAAAGCATTTGTATGTACACTTTGGTAGTCCTTGTTTCCATGAGTGGCCCTTTCTTGATAAGGTCACCGAGAGTGCCATAAGGGGCGTACTCCATCATGAGATTGGAGACTATGATTCCATCCTCGCACGTGATCTCTGTGCCATGTGAATTAATGATTTCTGGGCAACCAAATAAAGCGTCCAAAATTTTGTTCTCCTTCTCCAACGTTTCTGACGAGCTTAGTGCTGTAGTTTTGAGAGCTATGGGCTTGTGATAACCCTCACAAATAGCTTGATACACAGTGCCATAGGTACCACTCCCCAGAACCTTAGTCCTCACCCACCTAACCATTGATTGCTAATTCACAAACTCGACTATGAAAGCAAACTCTACTTATATAATTAATTATATCATCTAAGATAATATCATCTAAAATATGAATTAAAGATTACAATTTTAAAATAATATTATATAAAATAACAAACTTTTATCATTTTTAATTTTTTTTTTAAAATAATTCAAAAAAAACCGTATCAAGTTAGTTTTTATTTTACTCTATAAAAATTTAAAATTTAAACATAAAATCATAGGAAATTATACTATAATACAAATGCTAAATTTGTGATATATTGAACTTACTTGCTATCGTTTAGGTATGTTTATTTTTATTATAACCAATGTTTTAATATTTTTTTTATTGTATAATAGTGTTATAAATTAGTAAAATAATATTTTTATTTTAACATTTCTCTGGTTCAGAAATTATTATTTAATATAACAAACTGATAAAATATTTAATATATAATTAAATTTTTAATTAATAAAAAAATACAAAAGTAACTACAAATAAAATCACAGTTCCACCTATTTTATTAATTATATAAAATCACAAGTGCCATCTAGCCTTTTTCACATTGAGCTTTTATTTTTTAAAATTCAATGTTGATATAAATTTTTAATTTTCTGATTTTAAAAATTTTATCTCTTTTATAAATATAATTTTATATGATAAAATATTTGTTGTTAGTAATTATAATATTATATTTATAATTTTTATAAAATATAAAAATATTTGTTTAATATTTTAAATTTTTTATTTTAAAATTTTATTTTAATTAAATAATACGTGTATAATTTAAATTCAGTTCCATTAGATAAACAAACAATTTAAATTATATTGAATCATTCAAATTCTTATATTTTTTTAAATTTTGTTAGCAGGTGTTAAATAATTTTTTTATAGAAAAAATTATATAAAATATATAATACACAAGAACAAATTTTGAATAATCTAAAATTAAAAAACTTATAATTAATAATATTCAAATAAATATAAATGTATAACTATTTAAATATAAATTAAAACATAGACTTTAATTACTAACAAACACAAGAATCAATCAGCAGAGTATTATTTTAATTTATTTCGTGTCTCGATTTTCATGCATTAAAAAAATCATAAAAAAAAAATTAAATGCTACAATTTTCGTGAATATATACTTATATAAGTGTGAGTAAAAAAAAATAATTGTACAAATAATATATTATACACACAAAAATTGAATTTTAATCAAAAGGAATTATTTTTCAAAAGTGCATTCAAAGAATAATCCAATTTAATAAATAAATAATTATTAATGTTTTGAATTATTATTAGATTAGACCAATTTATAAACTCTCATTTTCTAAAAAAATTTATAAAATAATTATTTTAAAAATATATATTAAAAACTTTTAAATAAATTTTTATTATTTAAATCACTAAAAAATTACTATATACGCAACACTAGATATATATATATATATATATATATATATATATATATATATATATATCTTAAAAATGCCTCACTAAACACATATTATTGTTCAAAAAATGTTTCCTTAATCAAACGTCTCACACACAAATGAAAAATAAAAAAGGCATAACGATTCAGGACGAAGAAAACGTCAAACGCTAACGTCGTTTTGGGCCTAAGTAGACACTACATTAGGGCGTTGGGCCATTATGGTGACTGACCCGAGTCCGTTTGAAGAGGATCATTGCCAATTTTTATGGTTTCATTGAGAAGGAAGAGAGAGATTGTTGGATTTTGAAGTGAGAGAGAACGGCGATGGCGAGGCGAGTCGAGACTCGGAACGAGTCGTTATTGACTCGGGCAGTTGGGGCGGTCTTCGGCTTTGTGAGACACGCCGAGTTTGAGATCCTTTTCTTTCTTTTCTTCTTCATTGCTTATCTCGTCTTCAAAGATATTGTAAGTTCTCATTATAGCCTTCTTCTCTTTGTTTTCTGATTACCCGTTTGTGTTCAATTTTTCATTCTTTTCTATGTGGGTATCGTGTTTGTATTTTCATGTTTTTAGCTATGTAATTAAAATTAGGCTGAAATTTTGACCTCATATGTGGGAATCTCAATTCGCTTGATAGGAAATTTATTGAAATTTTAATTAAATTATAACCTGATATTATATTCTTGGGAAGTGCAGTAAATGTCTCGTGAATGAATGATTTAATTACGGCTTTTCCAATCATTACAATTTCATGCAGTGATGCTTCAAATACTATGATTTTGAATAAAAAAAATACTATTTATTAATTTTTAATCGTATACTGTGTTGAACAGATTAGAAAAAGTCGAAACTAATAAACTAGGATCAGCATGAAATTTCAATAAGCCCTGATATTATTTCTACTTTCAGCATCTGATGATTCAATTCGTTTGGAGGAATTTATATATAAGCATATTTGAGCTTATGAAATTTGCAATTTTTTAACATATTTCAAAAATTTTATGATTAAAGTTTTGGCATAAGCTCTAATGTGATAAGAAGTACTGAAATTATTGTTTAATTAAGCTATTTATTTAAATGCATTCCTAAACAGTTGGCAACACGATACATGTTTCTGTGCCCAATTCCCCTACTTCCTGTTCCATTTATCTCGTCAATGTGTTTTTGGCATTGAGTTCTAATAACCGATTTACATCAACTGCAGACATCAAGGCCTGAATACAATCAAATCTTTGTGAAGAAACCTGGTGGACCAGAATTTTGGCCTTTTTAGAAGAATTGATGCTAGGTCAGGTTTGTTGTCCTTGTCCATAGAGGTATTCTTAGCACACCAATGGATGATTTGTGGATTTTTTTTATTTTGTGTTTATATGTAAATGTAACCTTATTGGAAAACATGAAACTAAGAAATTTGTATAATGTTCAGTACCGTTTCAGTTATTTATAGCAAAATCGAGTGAAAAGGTTTGCTGAATTTGTTTTTCTCATGTCTCTATTTCATTTTGGTGAAGTGAAGCTTTCTGTCTCATTCATAATCTCCTACTCCTTTCCCCTAGATATGTGGCATATCTGTGTTTTAAGATATTGAAAACCTTAATTAGAACCTATCCAGATGAAGGAAAAGCTTATAATTTATGCGAAAGGATGAAGCAAAATCTGAACACTCTAAATATTTGAACTTATTATGAGATTTTCATTTATAGTAATAATTGTTTATGGCAAATGCTAACCAATGTCCGTTAAGGAATCAAAAGTAAAATGTTTGAATCGGAAAATTACTTTAACCCGTGATTTCCGCAAGACCCTTTTGTTTATCTAAGTTGATGAAGCAACTGACCTCATTTATTGTCCCATTCTCTGTCCCCAAATTAAAAAGTGACACTGTTTAAGGTGGATTCAATCCGGGTTTTAGCCGTTTTTTATGACTATTCATTTTAATAGCAACTAGTGTTCCAAGGTTTTAATTTTCTCTATTGGTGTTCTTGTACGAAAGGCAGACTAAAACTTCGATCTGTTTGTGAAATGGAATACAGTTCATGCACAACATAGCTATGACTTACATTGTCTGGATCAGATGACTCAAGGGCCTGTTTACGAGTTAAGTCAATAAATTTTCATACATAAGTTTGTCATAAATTTCATTATAAAATTCAATAAAAAAAATATTTTGATGTGTTCTACAAAAGCTTGTTGTAAAAAGTCAAGAGTTTATGCAAGTCAAAAATCTTTTTTAAAATTCTAATATGTTTTGCAGAAATTCATTCAAATATTTTATGAATAAACTATACATAAGGTCTTGTTGAATGTTCTCGGGCACATGTTAGAAATACTGTAAATTATATTACGGCATGGCTATAAATAAGTTAACTCAAGCTGAACACCAAAATGACAATCTTTTTGTGAAGATCATCTTAGATATCTTAAAACATAACAAATGAAACCTCCACATATTACAGGGAACTTAACCTGTAAATATTTAGCCAAAGCATTTCCAGAACAATAACCAATCTTAACATTAAACGCAACGGAGTTTTGTGCAGCCCCACTAGTCCTCCTTGGCCATCTCATGTATCTGCTCCACTGGAACTTTAGTTACATCACTGCGTACTCCAATATCAGAAACATATCTGCTAACACAGTACATGCCACATCCAACCAATGCAAGACCACCAAAACTAGCAGTCATAAATCGAAGTGGAGAAGAAACTATAGCACTAGCAGCAGCCAAGCATGATGCTGCTTGTCCACTTCTGCCTACACTAATGCTTGTGGATACAAGCAAACCTGTTTTGCAGTAAATTGCAAAATCTTCACAGTTATTCTTGAACACATGGTAGCCACCAAATCCATTATCAAGAAGAAAGAAAGCACGGTGAAGGATGGCTTCAGTTGGATCAGAAGGGGCGGTGGTGCATGTACCTCCTCTAGCTTTGGCTAGAAAAAATGCAGGTGACACACCATATTCAAAGAGGTATAGATCACCACCAGAAAGAAAACAATCCAAACATGAAGAGATGACTCCATCAGTGCTTGCTTGTTCACCACATTTTGGGCATGAAGTGCCAATGGTACCACCAAAGGGTGGTGAACTTACAAGGAAACGGTCTAAGATAGTTCCTGTTCCAGTTTCTTGGCCTACTCTTCTAGTGAAGTGGATCACCATTCCCTCTCCAACATATATTCCTGGTATCTTACACCAAAGCAGTTGGCAGAACACAGATGAAGATTTCAGTATCATCCATCATTTATAAATTGACAACATAGGTTCCCAGTCAAATTTGAAGTTGGTGTGAAAAATACATATTACAAAATCTTACATACATTAATCTTGATTTTAAAAAAATGCTTTTTTATTCTAGAATTGTTCTAAATGATATCTTCTTTATTTTGAATTCTCTTGACATCCAAAGATAAGTGAATTTGGAATTTTTATATATATAATAAGGGTTTTGTTAATCTCAGCTAAGTTTAATATTATTTATTGCTTAGACCCATGTTGATACTTTTCATATATTGATACAATATATAAGTAGGCAACTTACAAAGTTAGTAAATTTGAACACGATGATGCAGAAATCTTACATTTTTCTGCCATTAACTGTCTTTAGAATGTGTACTGGGTATCACAAAAGACATGAAATTAAGATTAATATATATATATATATATATATATATATATATATATATATATGTGCGTGTGTGAGTTAGAATTGTTAATATTTCCATCTCTTAATAATTTTTTACAATCGTATATATTAAATTTCACACAATTTAAATATTTATAAAAATCATATTCAAAATTTGATTTTATTTATATTTTAAAAATATAATATTTGTTAAAATAACATAATATAATGAAATATTTATGAATTTTGTTTTTTATAAAATTTTATTAATTGATATATTTAATAAAAAAAATTAAAATGAGTTAATTTCGCACGTAGTATTAACAAATCTTCTTTCTTTCTATGTATCTATCTATAAAGAAGAAAAAAATCTTAGAAAGTGGGACATTAGAACAAATATAAGACTAATAGAAGAGAAAAGAGATGACCGTGGTGGGCATAGATGTAAGCCTGCCTCCAAGAGTAAATGTGATCACCCGGGTTCAATTGTTTCCGATCAAACTTATTGGAAAGCACTCCCATTTCCCTTTGATTGTTGATTACCAATTATACCAACAACAATCAGATTAGCAGATTCAGATATCTCAATGTGTTGCTTATTAGAGGTTATGAATGGAATAAGAAAGGAATGAACATGAGCATGAACTTACAAATATAAATATGAAAGAGAACCAAGTTCTTGGATTCCAACGCAGGCAACCGCTTGCTTGGCTTCTGCACCTTCCACTTTCTTCAAGATTAAATTTATTAAATTAAATTTGATGCATTCATAATTCATTATAGTTCAGTAACCGATGAGACACATGCTTTCATTAATAAAAGTCATAAATAAATGAGCCACATGCTTTCAAGGCAAAGAACTGTGACATGTGCAAGAGGGCTCTATTATGTTACTGTGGGAGTGCTAACATAGCACAATATCATCTCCTATTTATTACCAAATTAAATTACAATTAATTTTATTTTTTGAATTTCAAATTTTCTGTATCAATTACAATTAATTGAAAGTTGCATGTAAAAACATTGTAATAATAAATGATACAATGTGAAAGAATTCAGCTTTTATTCTGTTTTCTACAGTTACATTTTGATGTGCTACTGTCTTATTATCTGTATTTGTAAGAATGAAAGAAGATGATTGGAGGACATAAAATTCCTTCACTTTTCCTTTGAACTTTTCATTAGGAAAGAAGTTTATTATACGCCATAGTGTACCTATGCAAGTGATGATTTTAAGCTAAGATATCTATGTTCCTTTCTTTCTTTTTTTGGATGTCATATGTTTTGAACAGTTACTAATTTGCGTTCCTTTGGGTAATGCATCATAATATTATGAAATAATTACATTGATCTTTCTTGGTAGTGATAAATATATCTATATATTATTTTATTAAAAAATTACACTTACTTTTCTTACAAATTTCTTATTTTATTATTTTTAAAGATACCAACCTAACCTAATGTGTAATGCCAGGTTCATTTAGTAATTTAACTTCTAAAAAAATATTCTAGAATATATATATATATATTTATATAAAGGTTAAGAATAAACACCAACAGTCTATTTTCTTAAACATTCTTTTAAGGGATTAAAATAAAATGGGGTGAATAATGTTTACCCTGTTTAAGGTTAAAATATGCAACAAACCTTAATAAAACCTATATAAACATAAAGTAAGACCTTTATGTATATATAAAGCTGAATCTTAGTACCATTAATTTTAATTTTTTTGAGCTTTTAGTGTTAAAAAATAGACATTAAAAAAAGGATAAAAACCAACTATTAAAAATCAAACCAGGAATCAGAAGTCCTTTTGGAGGGTAATTACTAATTTTGACTTTGTCCTTTTGAGTTTGACCAAAATGTTTGGGAACTCACAGCACAACACAACACAACACAACACCTTCGTTTCTCTTTTTCATTAATTTCTTATCTCTTTCCCTTTATCTTCTGCCACAATAACAACGAATAATATCACTTTTGATTTCTCTTCCAATTTCAATTTCAATTTCTCGTCTCTCTCCGCCATGGCCAATCTCCTCCTTCGTTTTCCGATCGCCGTCGCGATCGTTCTCCTCGCTCTCTTCGCCACCGCGACGGCGCGTCCCTGCAGGACCTTCATAATCTCCTCCTACTCCTTCCGCAACCCTTCCTCCAACACCTTCGCCACCATCACCGAGATCCGATCCCTCACCCCTCTCTACTACATCAACGACAAACCCTACGATCTCTTCTTCCACCCAATCCCTCGCCAAAACCTAGCTCAAATCGATGACGACCAAGGCGCGTCGCATCCACGCGCTCCCTTAGGGTTCTCCTCCGCCTATGACTTCTCCTCCCTCCGCGACCGTACCAAGGACATCCTCAGCGTCGCGCTCGCCTTGCTCTTCGGCGTCGGCTGCGGCGCTCTCACCGCCGCCACCATGTACTTGGTCTGGTCCGTCTTCTCCACCCGCCACGATTACCGCACCGCCGATTATGACGATTTTTCGGACGACGACGAGATCGAAAGCGCTAAGAAATTAGGCTATGTGAAAATTCCGGCCGCGGAAGCCGCCGCTCCGGCACCGGCTAAGAGTTCGGTATGAGGAAATCTGAAATTGAGAATATATCTTCGTAGTATAACCGTGTGTTTGATGTGGATTGTTAATAATCACAGTTGAATTGAATAGAAAAGGTAAAAAAAAATGCTAAATGGTGCAAACTTTGGCCTTGTATCTGTTTGTTTCTACATTACATGTTTACTTTTGAATTTGATGTATTTGCGTTATTTTAGTTTTAATTGCCAAACCCTGGTTTTCATGAAGTTGGTTTTCTGTGTTGATTATTTCGATGCTGGAGCCATGGATGTGGAACGAATCGTAATATATATAGTAGTATTTATTTATTTAATCATGTGCTTTATCTTGAAGCCTTGCATTTCCATTGTTTCTACAATATGATGATGTTTGGTGTAAAGCAGTTGTGGCTGGAATCGCATATTGGGGTCTTAATTTTTGCTTGCATGTATCTAGTTTTGTTATGAGTAGTTCCTATCCCGACAATCAGCATCTAGGAAATAATGCAAGTTTTTTGCATTTCAGTTCAGGTGAGAGGACATGATCTACTTAAGCTATGAAGAAAATTGCAGCCTTATATAACATTAATAACGATTGACAAATGATCTTACTTGAGTATGAAAAATGATCTTTTGACACCCATGATCACCATTTTAGGGGAAAAGAAAGATAAGAAGGGAAGATAGAGGAAATGAAAGATGCATTTGGGTATGTTAGGTGTTAAAAATGAGGTGTGTTTGGGTTAACGGTCTATTTGGGTTCATAGAAGGTTGACATTAAAGAATATGAAACCTACCCGTCTTGGTTAGTGTGGTACTGGTAGACACTGCGATGGAATTGTTTATTATGGAGGGCAAAGTCCTTCTTTGTTATGGTTGTGGCCTAAGTAGCCATTTAATAAAATATCATACGTGGAAGAAGTAGGAGCTATGTTTTAATATATGGATTTGTTAGAACATCTTTATGGGGGGACCCACAAGTCATTGGTAGAATATTTCAGCTTGTAAGGAAAACCTTCATAGTTCGTAGTAGTAGTATCTGTCAAGCAAGGCTCTACTGATAGGAAAGAAAACCAGAGAAATTCTGTTGGGTGTGAATTTCTGTTAAGGATGAATGTGGCTAACCTTAATTTGATTCTCAGATCTGCTATATAAAAATGACATGGAATTGGTTCTTATATTATCAACTCATACTCGTTAGCAATTGAAAGAATATATTTTATACGGCGAAAATATGTCGACTATATTAGAGGAAAGACACAATCACTAACATTCTGGCATTATACTCTATTTGGCCATTTCGTGTTTGTAATTTGGACACCATATCTTGATTAAAAACACCTAAATACAGAGGATATTTATTCATCTGATGAAAAATCTGAAGTATGAAAGCCGAAGATGTCCATGTAATTTCATTAAGCCTTATGAAAAATCTACTTAATTTACCCTCCTCCGATTTAATTGTGATTATTTTCAATTCAATAATCGCATTCTAGAACTTTTTTTTATTACAAACAAATTTATTTTTTATAGTTTAATTGGAGTATTCTTTAGGTTGTGGGGACATTCGTTCAAAAGATATTTTGGCAAACATGTAAGATCAGCTTTCGTATCAAAAATTTTGCCTGGTAAAGTTAATAATAAATGACAAAATTAGTGTGTATGTACTCGCAAATAGTAAATGACAAAACCATGCACTTTTAAATACAATTATGGAACTAATTTCGCCTAGTTTGAGATGAATTTGAAATTGACAAGCGAAGTTAACAAGAAACGCTACTGGTACTAACACTAACCTAAAGATTGTTACACTAACCCATCTAGAAATTACACTGTTGTTCGTATTTAATTTAAAAGGCTGTGATGAAGTCCACCAAAAACAAAATAAAAGAAAATAAGGTAAAAATCAGACGTGCTTGTGCGAGTATTTATTTTTTCTAACAAAATGATAATGTAAAAATATATATACTATCAACACATCAAAGGTATACTCTACTTTTTTTCCCTTCACATAATTGCGTTTTAGTTAATCGTAATAATTTTCATCGTAACAGATAACGTTGCTATATCCCATAATATAAACAGAAAATACCGGCAGAAAATTTAGTCATGGGGTAAGTGCGACAATAAAACGTAGCCAGCATGCATGTATTGCGTAGATGGTAACTTTCAAAAATGAAAAATACTCGCAAAAGAGTATTACTCAACATAGTATTTTATAAAAAGCTATGAACAATATTACTCAACCCTGAACAAAATACAACAGTGAATTAGCAATTAGGAGACATCTCAGAAAGGAATATGGTAATGGTTTCAATGACAATATAGTAAAATACTACTCATACAATTGAGATAAAAGTTCTACCACTCAAGAAGTAATGCCATTGTAGAATACAAAGACAGCTCAAGCATAAAGAGCTTTCTCTAGCTATCTAGATTACATTAGTTCATGCAAAAGTTTAATCAAATGCTAAAATAACAGCAACACTAATTCTAGCTTGCAGTGTGCCAAGTTCAAATGGCACACAAACTTGTCCTATGTTTCTTATCATAAATGTATATTTTCTTTATCAACCCTGGTAGAAATAATAAAGATGGCAAAAAGGATAACAGATCATACACAGAGTATTCGAACCGAAATAATAAACATGAAGAGATTGTCTTGACTGAGGGACCTGAAGGAATACATGTTTAAATTTTTCAGTATTCAAGTGAGCCAATTGATGGTGGTCCAGAAACAATGTCCTGAGATTCGGCACCAGTGCCATTTAGCCTTTGTCCGGAACCAAGAGCAAGGGATTCTACCGCTTGTTCTCCCATCTTCTGAATATCTTCAGGTGAAAGTATTTTGATATACCAAACGTTATTGACGAATGATCTACAAGCGGTAAAATGCATGCCAAAAAGGAAAATGTCATCAAACATATACCGAGTTAAATAAATCATTATAGTATGTCTTTTTTATTGAAAAAATCAAGGATAGAATATTTTAATCACAAAGCAAGAGCATTGAGTAAAACTCTAGTGTCAGTGGTGTGATTGAAATTAGAAGCTAGTACTTACTCCCACGGATCGTCTCCAAGGAGAAGAACATCGTTCTCCCTGTCGACAAATACAAGCTGCCAGCCTGATCTAAGAGGGTCTTCTAACTTCCCCTCAATTCCAAACATCTGAGCCAACTCCTCCCGCAGTTCATGATAGCTGCTGAACCGAGAGATGTCAAGTGAGCGCCCAACTGACCCTGATTTGTAAACCTGTGAAATAACAAAATAGATTAAATAAAAAGAAGAGCATAAAAGCTGCAACCATACTTAAAAATCATACCTTTACAAAGGTTTGAGTCTGGTTATGCGGGTCAACATGCCCTGCACTTCGCAACAACTCAGATGAATCTTGCATGCAAGCATATAGAGAACCCTGAAAACCAGACTCCGCTAATGGCATTGTTGATGAATCGGTATCAGCTGATGAAGTGGTGTAACCAGGAACAGTGGTGGGGAGCAGAAGGCCAGATGAATCAATATTGACACCAAAGAGAGTTGGATTTTGAGCATCTGAATTACAATGTGGTAGCACCATTGCAGAATCTTTTCCAGAATATTGTGCATGTGGCACAGTGCTGCCAAAGGCGTTGACCTGCAAAGGTGCATATTTTGGAGTCCATGATTGTTGGGGTAACTGTTCAGTCAGCAAGGACTGACTGCTTCTAGATAAATTCAAGAGACTGCCACTTCCTTCAGGACAAAGTGAACTAAGCACATTTTGTCCAGGGGAAACTGATGTAGGGAACTTTATGCTCGAATCCAAGAAATCAGGTTTTGAATATGATGGTGAAGGAATGCTTGAGTGTTGTCTCTGATGGAGCTGATCACTCGGAATTAGAAGTGTTTCTTGATAAGTATGTTGCTGCTGTTGTGTTTGGACTTCTTGGTTGTTATGTGGTTTCTGAAGGAGGTGCTGAGACAGGTTTTCTCCCATTATTTGGGCATGTGGTTGCAGAATATTAGAAGACCCCGATTGTTGAATAGCTTGCTGCTGCTGAAGTTGCAAGGGAGAATTGTTGTTTCCTGATTGTTGAAGATAAGGGAAAGGCTGTTGAAAACTCATCATTTGTTGCTTCATGTGATATCCACTACCTAGGTTCTGCAAACCAGCTGCCAACATGGCTTGGTACTGTTGATTCGGATCATTTCCTCCTAGTAAAGTTGGATCCAATCTCTGCTGCATCCAGGGCAACATACCAGCTCCTTGAAAATTAATGGAATTGAGTCCTTGGTCTACAGGCCCACCTCTCAACCACATTAGCCCATTTGCTTCATCTCTGCCATCTGTAACAAGATCCTTGGTAAGAAAGAAAGAAGAGAGAAAAGAAGACCACTGAAATAGCCACATCCATTTGCTTGGAAATAGAACAGATAAGAGACAACACAACACCAATATGTCGATTAAGAAAAGAAAATCTAATTCCCGTTTTATGTACACGAAGAAAACGTGATTTGGCTAACTTGATTTCCATTTATAATAAATTGTCAGAATTGAGAAAACATAATTTGAACATTTCCCAATGTATACACAACTTTTGATCCCCAAAAATATAAATAATAAAAATCATATTTTGTTTAGACAAAAGGAAGACACTTTAAAATGTAAAAATTACTCTAAAATGAGTGGAGGAGGCAGACAGGAATGTAAATATGTATATGAACTTTAAAATTTCAATATTTGACAATTTTTTCTTCACTTCAAACACAGAAAGCAAAGATAAAATATGGAATATGAAAAATTAAAATATCAAAATTTAAAAATTATAAGAAGCTATGGCAAAATACACAACAAAAATTAAATGAAATTAACATAACTCAAATCATAAGTCAAATAAAGATGTTAATGTTCCATAACTCTTAGCCATTGTGTACATTACAAAATACTATGATTTATCTAATCATTGAGGTATCTCACTGGATTTGATACAAAAATTCAAAATATAAAAATTCAGGTTAGAAGTATCCAGTAGTACACTTGAATTACTAAATATAAATATTTCAATTCGATAACTATGTTAAAGTATTGCTGTTTAGTCACTTCAAACATAGTGTCAGTTTCATAGAAAAAAAAAAAATCACAATCGGGATTCCATTGTTTTATTGCAGTGTACTTATCTCACTTCTGATCTCATGGTATCACTATCTCATTATAAGGTGGATTAATGCTAGAAAAGTATATGTTAGACTGGACCTTATAATCAGTTGGTGGCAGACATAGTTTAAATGTTTATATATTTATAGAAAATATATTTAGAAAAGTCAACACATTTATGGGTTAATTAAAAAGGTCCTAACTACTAACATTTAAAATGAAAAAAATGATAATTTGAAGGCTGTCTCAGCTTGTTTAAGCATTTAGTAACACACAAAAAAAATTAAATAGAAAAAGGTCCAAAGAAGGACAGGATATGTCTTTGATAGGTAACACAGCACAGCTAACCATGCTAGACATGGAACCAAAATGTCAACATTTTGGTAATGTAGTGCTTAGATCAGTAGGAGAAATTTATTTTTTATTAAAAAATGAACAGTCAACTTCCAGTTACATAATGTAAAATAACAATTCATGGCCCCATCTACATCCAAAAGAGAAAATATTTCACTGTTATAGCAAAATACTTGCTCTTTCACCTCGTGATCCTCCTCTTTGGATAAAATTACCTCTTACTGAAAAATATCATGTAGTATCTTACAACATTTTTGTTGGTAAAAATAGTCAGCATTGAGAATATACATACCATTCAAAGATGAGGACCCAGGATGCCATGGACGTTTCAATCTGAGGGGAAATAATGATGGATACATCGGGAATGTTGTTAATGGCTCAATTTCCCACAATGACACTCGTGGTTGTCTCTCTCCAGCTGTTGATTCATCCCAACCAACCTATCCATAACAGATAAAAGGAACAAATAAAAGCAACTTTTAAAACATCTAATGAAATCAAACGCTGAAACTTTCTGGACAATCACAAAGGACCATAGTGTTATACCTAGCATTTTTCTTATTTATGCAGTAATAGTAGTAGTAGCGGTAAGAGGAATCAGAACCAAAATTCAGTGTAGGTTATTACACAAGACAAAAGGAAATGAAAAATAACCTAGATTTGGTACATGGTTCTCTGAAGCATCAGACAAGCAATAATAAACTTTTTTTTTTTTTCAAAAACAAGTAAAAAAACAGATAAAGTTGTTCATAGCCTTCAAATAACACTTTTCTTAAATATCTAAGAAGGCTACCTCCTTATACACAGTCCACAGAACAAGGTAAATAATTGCAAAGAGGCATTAAATTTTACAAATACTGATATTTAACTTTTTGAATACATTGCATTACACTCTTCATACCTTGACAGAGCGCCAATGAGAATTCGGCCACCGAACAGAATCCAGATCACTTATGCCAGTTATAGTACCCATGTACCTGCAAAAAATAAAGGTGACACATGGATAAGTAGAGGCAAAATAGTGTTATGCAGCACTAACAGATAATAAAATTTTTCAACTAGGTCTGCACTGCCTTTAGATTGCAATCCCTTGGTTTTTTGTCTCATATCCCAAAACTAAAATTTAAAGTAAGACTATAGGCAAAACAGTACAGTTCCAGACTCCCAAAGAATAGCAATTCACGTCTCCCTTCTTCAGATTGCAGCTGCCTAACTATTTTCTCTCACATACCAAAATTTAGAGCTGGTCAATTATGAAACTGACCTATTAATTTGGTCTTTCCCACTATTATGCCAATTGCTGCATGGCTTTTATAACTGAACAAGGCTCAAGTTACTCATTAGTTCATTAAAATTGTGTCAATAGATAGTATACATGCACATGAAAACCAACCTTGTAGGCAAAGGCAAGCTATTACTGTCTTGATTTATTTAAAAGGAACAGTTTCTGCATTTTAAGTATGTCTATCTCCAAAAAAAAAAAAAAATTAACTTATCTTAAAGGCTGCAGGATAAATATCTCTAGAGTTTCAAGAACAAAAAAAATTACAGTTGATTAAGGAAATATTAACTGATGTGTACATGTACCTGCGAACACTTGACTCTTCAGTCTCAAAAAGCATCCTGAAACGCATTCCAACAGAAATACGGGTATGGTACACAGCTTTGATATATTTTGAAAGCGGTATGACAAACTCAGATGGACTAGCCCTGCCCATGATGTGACTGTCAAAAGAAGTAACATAATCTCGTATAAAGAAGTACTACAAGCGAAAACTTAGGCAAAATTCACAACCTTGGATTATAGAACACAGTAAAACAGCTATTAGTTGCTGCAGCATGGGCTGCAGCTGCAAGAAGTCCAATGTGCATACTATCACTGGATAGAACTGATGATGGCATTACAGTTTGTGGTCGATTGGCACGACGTATTCCCAAAAGAAGTTGATTCTTCTCATTCCTAAAAGCAAGCATACATAGGAAAACTTAAAAAGGATCAATCTCAGGCGGTCAGGGGGCACAGGGAGAAAAGGTTGCTAAGTGGTAAAAATACCATATGAAAAGCACAGAATCTCCAGCCACAAGTCTCTTGGCACTAACAAATATACTCCAGCCTGTAGTAAGAAGGTGTCGTTTTGGCTGTCCTGAGATAATATGCAAGCAACAGACACATTAACAAGTGCAGAAAGTATTATTGATCTAAAAGTTTGTGGTGCCCTATAAGTAGGGAAATTAATAATGGCTTTGGCACACAATTTTAATTTTAAAAAAATGCACTTAAAGTTTGATGCTTCTGCTGTAGTAGAATAAATGATTCTGAAACAAAAAATTAAATAGGAAATTCATTATATTAATTAATAACAAGGGAAAAAACCATTTAAAATACATAATTCTTACATTTATTGACTCAATTTTCTCTTAACCAGTACAACTACCAATTACCATATATTAGAAGAGGATCAAGATTTGTTCGTAACAGTTCTAGTGATACTTTTTATAAGTTACAACAGAGGACAGCCGCTGTTGGAACCAGTCAAGATTTTAAGGTTCTGATTGTGTGCCTGCTAGTTGATATTAGAATTTAGGATTAAACCCTGAAGCTGATGGATGTGCATATATATTTTTGTGAATCTCTTAAAAGGTAAGAAGAAAAATGCCCACAAGTAATAAGCAATATATATCTGACATGTACAAACAGGAGGCTTCCCAAATCATAGTCATTAAGATAGGCTACATTAATCTGCACTTCCATGTACTCTGAAAATTTTCCTTTAGGTCCACCTATAGTTTAAAAATTATAAATGAGTCCTAAGTTTCAGACATTTTTAAATTTAGTCCCTTCGGGACCTAACAATAATCTAGATTCAGGAACCCCATTGAAAACGTTTTTAAAACTATAAGACCTATTTGTAGTTTTATAACCTTAAGGAACTTGTTAATAAATTTCCAAAAAAAGTACAAGGAACTTGTCAGATTCAAACTAATCTTTAAGATATACAAGACGGTGCTGCTACTAGAGTGCCTTAGTTGCCTCCAAATCTTAAGAATAAAACCCTCCCTGAAAGGCAGAATCTTAATAGGCATGACAGTGTAAATAAACACAACAAAAGCCAGTAGTACTCCAAGAATTTTATAGGTGCCAAAGGCATATGTTTCTGAAGGAAAATATATCTTTATCAAAATTCTATTCAATACAACAAAATCTACACAATAAACTATAAAGATTATAAGACTAGAGTCAATAAGAAAATATAATCCTACCCCGAAAAATATGTCGAAATTTCCATTCAACATCATGGAGATCCCTAGCTATTAGTTCCTGTGCTGGTGGTTGCTGTGAGAAATCCTGTATGGCACAAATGTAAGAGAAACACGGCAATATCCAACCAGAGTCAAACACCAAAAGCAAAGGATGAACACTACCAGTGGAGGGAAAACTTTCTCAGCTGCACGACGAGGAACAGAGAATCCCCCATGAGTGCTGGTGTCACTGGCTGTTAATGTCTTGCAAAAATAATTTGATGGCTGCTTACTCGGAATACCCAATTCCATGGGAAGAAAGGTATCCTTCTGTTCTTGCTAAATCCAAAGTTAAAAACACAAATTTCATTTCCTGAATCTTAAAAGAGAACTTCTCAAAATATAAATAAAGCTGATCAAAGAACACCAGGATACCGGAGTCAATGGCTGCAACGTCATTTGAGCATATACTTCATCTGTTTCAATATCTGCCTGAAAATTAACACATGCTCCAGTTCACTGAGTTTAACCTTAGCTTAAACTATCATATAACACTCAAAGAAAGGCAAAATATACCCACATGCATAGTCACATTGTGAAGTTGGCAAATCAACTGGGGTGGCAAACTAGGATAATTTGGTATGTGTCCATCAATTTCTCTGTTCGTTGTGGCAGCAACCTGGAATCAATATTTAACATATTCAGCTCAATTTCCATTTATAGAATCCTTATAGAATTGGTTCCAATCCAAAGGTTACAAGACACTTTCTGTAACTTCTGAATTATGCAAATCGAAATAATCTAGATTAGAGTAGGGAGTAAAAAACAAAAAACCTGCTCACTATGACCCTGAGGGAAGTAAACCACACGAGTCCCTGCATTTGGTAGGGACACTAAGGGCCCCGCGCATGCATGCCATAGCTCAGAATTCAGACACTTCTTCTCCCCTCCTACCATCATTACTCGCATCAAATTTTCAAAAAGAGAAAAGGAAAAAATAAAAAACACTTACAAGGATGTTCAAGCAACACAAAAGGGGTATGAAAGGGACATTCATTATTTACACACATGTATGAGAAGAAGCCAAACTAAGAGTTCAGAATGTTAGCTCAATTTAACATGAAAAACAAAAAGGCAAAAAGAGAGAACTAGAATGGATACCTTCATGTCCCTGCTGACCCAACCCTGATGTTGAAAGCTTCATATCATCAAGCTTTACCCTTTATCACTCTTTTATTTAAACACAAAGTAGTATATTTAGCAATCACATAAACACACGAAACCCTAACTCAAAGCCACTACCTTCAATTTGCCTCAAGCCATTGCATTACCCAACAAAATCTTCCTCCACCGTGCCAATGCACACCCTTCATACCCACAAACAGCATCACCTTAAAAAAATCAAACAAAACCCAAATCCAAACACCCCAACATCCCAACAAATTCAGAACAACCCAACAACTCCACTTCAGTTAGAATCCCAGAAACAGCCCTACACACTTCCAACAACAAGAAGCAAAGTTCTTTATTTTTTTACCCTTCTTTTTTTGGCAAATTTCAAGCATCTCCATGCCCCAGAAAGCAAACCCAAATGGAGTTAACCTGCAACGGTGGCACGTCCTTCGAGATCGCCATGAAAGCTGAGAATGGAGTGCGGTGTTGGAACTATAGACTCTCTTTTGTGGCCTATCACTTTCGATTGAGACCCAAGTGAGGATTTTTGGCTTTGAACCAATGCAGAGAGAGAAAGAGGAGAGAGAAAGTGACAGAGAGAGAAAATAAAAGAAGGGTCTTTTGCCATATATAAGGGGGTCCCGACCAAGCTGGACATGGGTACAGTAGAGAGAGAAAGCGTAGGAGAGAGAAAATCCATGTTAACGAGTTATGAGCTGAAGAAACAATCTGAACCGTTGGATCATCCGTACTTCAAAATCACGACCGTTGATTTAGTGTGATGTGACAGCAGGCATGTGCCACCATCCTTCACCGGTCGCTGTCAGGAGTACGGAGTATTGTGAGAAAAATATTATTAGTATCTTAAAATAATAATAATAATAATAATATTAAATGTTTTTTAGAAAATTAAAATATCTGAAGAGAAAGAGAAAGTTAGAGAGAGGGGTAAGCGCGTGCTACGCAAATGGATGTGAAGGGTAATAAGTAGAAGAAAAAGTTAAAAGCAGAGAGATTATCATCATTGATAGCTATGTCTACCCTTACCACTTTTTCTTCCATTTTTTCCCCCTTTTGCCATAGTTTACACTTAATTCTTGTTTCACATGTTTTATTATTTAATATTTTAACACATAAATGAGGTTAGGCTGGTTAAAAGAGTTAAATTAAATATTAAAAATATGAATAAAAATCTTAACTATTATGATCCATGAGATTTATTAATTTATATTTACTTATTTTAAATATATATGGATAAGTTATAATTTTAATATTTTTATAATATTTAAAAGAAAATTTTCATTGTCTATAACAGTTATATCTTATTTAAATATGATTATTTTAAATAAAAATTATTCGTAGACTAAAAAATATATGTTTTATAGAATTATTCTTACCAAAATACAAATAAATATATACTAATTATTAAAGTTTAATTTTAAGCATATTATCTCTTAAATTTATGATTATTAATATAGTGATTGTTAATATTTAATTAAAATAATTGACATTATATGATAAAAAAATATTATTTTTAAAATAAATTATATTTTAAAATTATTTATTTTATTAAATTTATTATTTTTATGCATATTTTTTATAATCAAAAAATTAAATCAAAATAATATTTAAAAAATACTATTTTAAATAAATTTATTATATATATATATATATAATGATTTATAAAATATCTTCAATTATTAAATCATATATACACTTATTTTAAAATAAAATATCAATGCATTGCATGTGTTGTTAAACAAAGTAAAATATACAATTTTATGAAAGAAATTAGTAATATTTAATATGCGATTAAGAAAATAGATATTAATTTTACTAATATTTGTGTCGAAAATAAAGTTTTAACCCGTTTTATGAAGTTTGATTACTATTAAAAAAATATTTGAGAGGTCTAGCTCTCTTGACAATGTGATGTTAAAAAAAATAACTACAACTATAAAAAAACGAGTCGTATTAAAAAAATTACTAAACGTTCCAATTAAATTGAACGGAGTAAATTTGGTTGATGAAAAAACCATAAAATTTAATTTGAAATTTAATATCTCGTACATTTGTAAGCATAATCAAATCAATAACGAAATAAAACGTCAATGCAAGATTGAATTATAGTGTTAACTAATAATTCATTGAAATAATCTAATTCAAACCATGCAACTAAATGTGTGTTTCAGACTAACTTGTTTTGATTAAATAATCTTTTTACTAAATTTCTGAAACTTTTTCAAATGAATAATTATTTCTCAAAAACATTTTGTAACCAAATATGCACTCAATCATTCCACGTAAAACTAAAGTTTATAAATGATGAATATATAGTGAGAAGTTATAAAAGCATACTATATTTGTATCATGTTGTCTTGCAACCTTAAAATAAGCATTTAACTTGGATTTTGACAAACTCAATGATGGTATATAAGCAATTTATAACAGTAATAATAATAATAATAACATGAATTCCACTAAAAAATAGCATCGATGCTTTATTTCAAAAGAATCTTACAATAGAACGTTATTGTTTGCAAAATCTTAAACAGTTAAACTCATATTTGGAAAAACAAATGAACAATACACTGTCCTACGAATATACACCAGAAACCCCACAAGCATGACAACTATAAAAACTTTCAATTAAAAATAAGTAATTTGTAATGAATTTATTTTTAACATGAACATGACGCAGAACAACAATAGATTAACTGCTCGACCTTTGCTTCAAAATTATGTTAAGGGGTTGCTATAGTTATCACTCTCTTAATATACCAATTTTGGTTTTTATGACATTATGCTTCATAAGAAGAAATAATACAAAATAAATACAGTAAAACTCACCATTAGTTATCTGTAAAGATTTATTGATTTCATTTTTGTAATTTTTTCTCACATAATATAATATTGCTCTGTTATTCATTAATATGAAGTAATTGTAACAATTAATTGCAGCCCTTTTTGTTTTAAATTGTTTTAAATGCAAGCTGGCATATCCAGAATATGCTAAAATTCATTTCGTCAAGTTCTCTCAGAAAATATATGCTAGCTTTGTCTCTTTAATTTTTTTAAAAAAAGAACAATTGCAACAAATTAAATTGAACATTTATAACACTGTTAATTGCAGTTTATTTTATTTTATTTTCTTAATGCTGAACGTTACAGAGAGGGAAACAGTGAAAAGAAGTCAAAAACACAGGATTGGGGCTCACATGCATCTTTGTCTTGTGGGTCACTCATTCCAAACACTTCCAACTGTCATCTATGCCAAGGAAACATGTTAGTGTAATGTTTAATTTGTTACAATTTCTTTTAATAAAATGAAAATAGAAACGTTAAAGTTGTTGAAAATCTAGTCCAAGTGTGCACATAAACAGTACTTTTTTATTGTGGTTTAAATTTGGAGTAGCATTAGAAGTGTGAAAATTGCAAGACCAAGCATGGCAAGGAAGAAAGTTGTCGTGGCTGTGTGAGACATGAATAGGTTGATTTTGTTGGCTTAAAAATTAGTGTGATATTTGTGTTTACTATTTGGTTTTGATGTTGTTTCTAATGACATTAACAAGAATAATTGAGTTCTGTACTTTTGTAATCTCCTCCGTTGTTTCCATCAATCTTTTCGCATTAATAAAGGTACTGTTGATAGGAGACATTGCTCGTTTTTCCTTGCTAAGGAAACATCTTAGTTAATTCACGTATACCAAATATAAGTGGAGTTGTTGTGGGGTTTTAAATAAATGATAGTTAATGAGTTAACGGCGTGTTTAATGAAACTTCTATTTTACTTTTACTGCTTAATATACTATTTTGAAGAGAAAAGGGAAAGCATAAATTTTTAAAGGAAAATCAATTACGTAAAGCCAAATGATGGTCCTCCTTATTTCCCATGACGGTGGGAAAAAATAAATGGTGAGAAAACTGAAAATGTTGGTTTAAGCTAATTGTTGTAGTCTTAAAAAATTTGCAAATTGGCTATTCAATATTGGATTAATGTAGTGTTTGACTCAACTTTTTGGGATCTTTCTTCTTCTTAAGTAGAAGTTTTTTATATTAGTTTTTATAAAAGTTCTATTTCTTAGACTTTTAATTTGTTCATTAAGAAAAAGTTATATTTTTGTTTTGTGTTTTTTTTTTAAAGTTGTGTTTGACCCAGTTTCAGAAAAAGGGAAGTAAAAAAATACTAGATCACACACTACCTTAAATTTTAACTAGTGGGGGCCTAATTCACCTAAGCTAATTTGTTTTAGTCTTAAGCAAATTTAAATTTACAATTTAAAAAATTGAATATGTAAATTTAATGAATTATGTATAAATATATTTTGGTAAAACTGAATAAGAATATAAGGCGCATTCTTAACAATGTAAAAATGATCATATGACGATCTAGCTAAACATAGAAATGAATGATCATTTTAATTTTTTCAAACCAGGATGTAATGCGAATTAAATTTCCTTCATTTCAAAGTAAGAAATAAAATTACTTGTACAAATTATATAGGTGAACAATTAGTTACATTAATCATTGAAAGTTATAATTCAATCATATTAATTTTGAGTGGCAAAAATTTCTCTAAGAGTTAATGAATGGAAAACTATTCAATCTAATTTTGTTAATTAGTTCAACTAAAAAGGGTTTTTGGATTCATAAACATGTGGTCTTGTGTTTGATTTTGAATGTATACAAAAATACAGTTGGAAAATATTCTCATTTAGCACATGATCATATATCTTTTGCTTCTCTAATGAGAGGATTTCAAGTAAAAAAAAAAAATATTTAAGAATCTCATGAACTAATGTGAAACATATTTAAAGACTAATATAACTAAATAAATAGTGGATATTAAAAAAACCTCGATCATAATTTTTTTTTGTTTGGGAAATAATATAACCGAGGTTATCTCTTCAAAAAAAAAAATTACCCTAATAATTAAATCGCTCTTATATAAAGTAATCGTATGGTGCAAATTTTTTAAGTTATGATAAATTCAAAGTGTTACCTAATAACTTTGTAAGAAAATTTTATAGGTCCAAATATTTAAGACATATCATTATTCACAGTTTCCAAGATTAATTTTAGCATATTATGTTTTCTTTATGATAACAAAATTTGTGTTTTATGAATAGATGACTGTTATATTAATTTATTTTAATCATCAAGCATGGAAACTAGTTCACTATAGTTGCTTGGTAGAATATTTATGATGATGTCTAAATGTCAGTGGTCTACAATCTTCTTTATAATAGTTTTTTTTACCAACTGTGTTCTTACTAAGGCTTAAGAAAACTTGTCGTTCATACAATTGGCATCATCTCTTATGCATATAAAGTAAGGTTCTGTACCTATCTCTACATTTTATTTTATCATTTCAGTTTCATTTTATCTTCTGCTGTTCTAATATAATGTTTTAGATTTCAAATTTTCCTTAGAACTTTGCATTTCAATTTGTTATGGATCGATTCAAAAAAATTTCTTTTCATGTAGTATTGTTAGTTATTGTGCTGTTTTCATCATAGAGCATCACAGCCAATTGTGTAAAGATATGTTTTTTTATATTATTATTATTCAAATTTAGGAATAGTAATTCATGTGAAGTAATTAATGCATTTGATGTGGCCAGGGATCAGTTTCTAGAATAATGGAGTTAAGATCGTTGATATTGCAACCCAACTTGACCCATTTGTTTCCAACCTTCACATGTTGTGTCAAACCTTCTTTTACCATTTACAGCAAAAGGAACTTCTACTAAAAATCAGTAGAAGGGTGAGGGGCTTTGGCAGCTATAACTTGATTTTGGGTGGAGAGGGCATTCGTATGACTCAAAGTACATATGCATTTGACTTTAGATTTGTGGCTCCTAATGAGAGAGTAGAGTTAGGAACCATGCACAAGAATTGTTACAGGTTAGAGAACTGTTAAGAGTCTGAATCATGGAAAGCAACTCAAAAGACACATCTAAGGAAGCTCTATTCTACTCTCTTCAACAATGTAACTAGAGTTAAGTGTTGTAACATGCCCATCATCTTCATGCATAAGCAAAGTGGAAGGTGCATTTTCAATCTCATAGTCATAATTGACTCACACGTGTGCACACATGAATTTGTTATCTAGTTTTTAATTTTTCTTAAATCCTTCTATCAAAGTAATTTGACCTCATTCATATAGCTCCACCGATTATTAAATACAAAATGACTTTTACAGACTTTTAATATTTTTTTATTAAAAAAAATATATTTACTGCGCCAAGATTGGTTTGTTTCATTTTACTTTTGAATGTTTATGAATGATTAAAATATAAAAAAGTAATTTTGTTATGAAAAGAAAGTACAGAGTATAGACAATTACAGTAAGAGAAGAAAATAGGACAAGAGAGATATAAGTTTAAGTGAAGCTCTTTATTCTATAGAGGTAAGTTGATAATTTTACTTAGATACTCAACAGAAATGACCTACCATAAATTACATGTCGCTTAATGATTGGGGAGACATATTTGTGCATGTTCTTTGATCAATTGTTTGAGCAAAGTAATGTCAAATGCTTACTTATAATCTATTAATTTGTTAAACTGATACCCATCTTCAAGTTGGATTTTTGGTTGAAAAATGCTAGCAACATATTCACAATTAAGATAAAAAGTTTGTTGTTGTTGTGTAAGTGGTTATTGCTTAACAATTATTCATGTACAATGCAGCTAGATTATATAGCAAGAGATGAAGATGGGCCACAAGTCTGGCAGTGTTACCAGAACATTGTTATGGCTATATATGACATTCTATCTATAATATATAATGTTCCCTAGCATTTTGATAATGGGAAACGTAGCAGTTCCTGTTAAGTTTATGTCAAATAAGACTGAATTGGCATGGTGCAAGAAAAGTAATCAACAAGGACATAGACTAAAAAATAGCTAAACGAAAAATAAATGCTGTATATCATATAAATATCATAAGTTTGATAACAAAGTGTTAGTAAGAAAATTGAATGTTTAATTATTTTTATGGAAAATTGATTCTTATTCTCAATGTCATCACTCACTAGGATCTAACAAAAAATAAAATAACGTAATAGAAAAATATAAGCATATTAAATTTGGTTCAGCGCAATCTAAGATATTTTTTTTGACCAAGCTCCAGTTAAGAGAATAAATGTTGAGATGGTCATCGCTCTAATGATTAAGGAAAGTTTCTGATCTGTTTACTTTCCACTTGAAGTCTTAACTATCATTTGTATGGTTTACTAAGTATTTATAAAAAAAATTATTCTCAACTCTTAGAGTTAAATTTAAGCACTTAAAAATAATATTATTTTAGAAAAACAACATATTATATTAAACATATTTGTATTCGTAGATTTCTTGTCCCCGTCAATTTGAGTTGTTGTGGAGAAAAAACGAAGTGAATGTAAGGAGATTGGTGGTGGAACTGTTGAAGTGAAGTTGATAGTCTTCAAATAGATTATGAAAATATTTGATTTCAAAAGTTTATGGAAGAATCGGTAGATGAGCTGGAAAAATGAAGGATTTAAAAAAAGAAGGATTCAACTTTCAATCATATAAGGATAAAAAAGGAAGAGCTGACAAATAAAGGAAGATAAAGATTTAGATATGATACTTGGGAGAATATATGTGTTGCTTTTTCCTTCCTTTTTACCAAAGAATCTTCTCCATTCTTTTTTATATTATTTCTTTGGTAAACACCTTCCATTCCAGGTCATAGAATTTGGACCCAAATACTTGGGCCTATAATAGATTTAAAGACCCAAAAGTATGGAGGAGCATGAAAAGAACTAATGACAATTTACAAAAGTATAATATATATAGACATTGATACTTGACCCCAAATAAAAAGACATTGATGCTACATCTCTAACTAGTGTGTTCATCATTTATAAAAATGAAGAACATTTATAATAAAAAATTTTAGATAAAAAAAAGTGTAGATAAAGATTTGTATTATCATTTAATAATATGTTATATCGTAAAATGAATTTCACATCCATGGTGGGATTCTTTAGTGCTTACACAATAAACAGAAATTGCCAAATTGAGACCATTGATTGATAAAAATAAAAATAAACGATTTTTTATTTAAATTACTAAAAAAATTGATATAATATTTGAACATATTTTATACACACGTATTTTTATTATATATTCTTATAATAAAAAAACACTGAAAAGATTTTCTTTAAATATTTACAAAAACTCATTTTCCCAAACAAATAACAAATACAGTGTAGTCAAGTCAACCACAACCTGCGAGCACGCAACCTAGTTTTTCACGAAGAGAAAATGCAGGGTCCATAACTGTTCAGGTGTGAAGCGTCTCATTAAAAGAATCTTATACATAGCTTCAATTGGAAACACTACAAAATTATCAGAGTTGTTGTTGATGAGACATATCTTACACAAACGCACATTATTAGCAGAACTGAACATTGTCCATTCCCATGCTCTTGTGACGACATGGTAAGTTATTAAAACAATTTTTTTAATAACTCTTTTTTTTCTAAAAACATATTTACTGACATTTGAACTCAAAATTACAGATTAAATTAGAACTACTTTAAATGATTCACATGCTTGCTAATATTTTGTTAATAAAAAATGCATTCTTATTAATATAAGCTTGGTGATGTACTTGAACAAAGTATAATAGGGGCCAAATTGACTTTTCTTTTGATTGGGCACTACACTACACTCCTCTGTCTTTGTATTGGTCCACATTCATTATTTCACTAATAAGACAAGTGATTTCGTCAACCCTTCATGCCCCAAAAATTCCTTACTAGTCTACTGTAGGCTCAGTGATTATGCTATACTAAATGACTATATATATAGTTTTATTTTTTATATTAATTAGCCCATATAGTTTTATTTTTATGTTAAACTTTTTTAAGATATAGTTCACTAGCATGATCAATTTTTAATGTGGTACCCAAACAAAATATTGAAGCAGAATTTCATTAAAACCTTTTCTCATTGGACCTTTTTAAAGGGTGGTGACAACGAAGTCTATTCTGTCCTGGTCCACCACGCGTGGACACCATCCACACGTAGACCCGTTTGGATAATCAAACACCCTTTACCCTTATAATTCATGTTATATATATATATATATATATATATATATATATATATATACATAAAGCTTTATATTAAGCTTTATCATAGGCTCTTATAATCTTAAGAAGATGGAGGTGGAGTTGAAGTTGAAGCTCCTTGTCTTAGCCTTGTTGATGGTGGGGGCAATAGCAGACCCTCAAATTCGATTAATCAACAAGGGGTGTAGCCAATACAACGCTACCAATTTGCTCAATTTTTACCAAAATCTGAACGCAACTTTCGTTGATCTAAGAACACAAGTTAGTAACCAAAGCAAGAACTTTGCCACAGCCCAGGAAGCAAAAGGAGCAGATCCTGTCTATGCTTTATTTCAATGTAGAAAATACCTCTCTAACGCTGATTGCGCCGCCTGCTTCGACGTCGCCGCCGCCCAAATCCGCAACTGCTCCGCCGGAGCCAACGGTGCTCGTGTCATATACGACGGCTGCTTCCTTAGGTACATCTATTATGAGTTTGTTTAAATTATATTTTTTGTTATTCTTATGCCTAATAATTTGGTTGACATCATAGACTTTTTTATTATGGATACAATGTGCATAATGCTGGCGAATGCCAACTTCTAGAGATATTTTTGCTGGAAACATGTCATGAATTAGATCATGAAATGATAATTTAATGGTTTTTGTGTCCAAGATGTGTTGCACCGTTTGGACTTTGGAGAGTTGTCATGCATTAGTATTAGAAATGTGTATGAACAAAGAAAAATAAAATGATAGATAATGGGTGTAATGAAAAGAAAGAAATAAAGAAAGATAAAAACATGTTAAATAAATATCAATATTAAGGGTTTATAAATTAAAGTTGATAATGTTATACAATATTTTAATATATTCGACATGTAGTTTCATAATTTAAATAATTAATTACTACTATATATATAATAATTATTAGTTTTATCTTTAAATATTTTAAAAATATATTAAAAAAATGATAACTAAATTTTTCCCTATTGCATGTCTTGTCACTTTCTTCTTTTTATTTTCTTTTTGCGCCGCCTCAATAGTGTGGTCAGCCAAATTGTATATTAATAAAGTGAATTTGAGGGTCTGAAACCAAATTTTATGAGTAATTGCATTAATAAATGACTTTTAGTATTTGAATGTTGAAAATTACCACTATATCGAATATCGTATGTAATTATCTTTGTTTTTCATTTATATGAAGGTAAATACATTGAGAATAACATTTATACGAATAATTATATAACAATTCATCCCTAAATTGATTATGCCTCTAAATTCTAAGTTACACCATGCTAACTCTTCAAACTTATTTTAAAATATATCAATCAATTGTCTAACAAACAATCGCTTATTCGGAAAAGAAAATATAACTATGATCTTGAGTTCATGACAGACATCTTTTGACATCATAATGTATTGTCAACATACACTTTGTTTCTAGAAATATGTAAAAGATAATGTTTTTATTTGGTGGCCACACGGTCGCGGACCCTAGTGTGATTTTTTTTTTCATAATTTAATTAAAGTAGTGATCCATTTTTTAAAATTATATCATTGAAGTAAACTAATATAAAAAATAAATACTAAGTTATTGTCAATGAGTTGACCAATATAGAGTGATATACACGCATTGAACTAGTATAGCTATAATATTATTACTTTTATGTATATATTATTACTTTTATATACATAATTTTTCTTTAGGCTTTGTTTATTTTTATGTATATATTATTATTTTTAGATATATAATTTTTCTTTAGGCTTTGTTTAGATATTTAAAAAAGAAAAAAAGGAAAGAGTTTAAGGAGAAAGGAGGAAAAAGAGAGTGAAACTCTTCCTTTATTTTTAATATTGAGAGAAAAGAGTGATGGAGGGTTTGATGATGTAAATGATATTATTATCCTTTATATTTTTTATATTATATATTTTTTAAAAATACAAAAAATTAAATATTTTTTTTTAAAATTAATATTTTTATTTTTTATAATTTTTTTAATTCTTTAAAAATTAACATATTTTGAAAAAATATTTTTTTTATTCTTTTCTTTAAATTTAACATCACACTTTTTGAAAATTAATAATCAAGTTGAAGAAAAAAATAATAGACCAAATGAAAGAAGGATATTAATTTCAAATAAAAACAAGTTAAAATAAAAATAAAAATAGACATATAGGAACGAAAATAAACACTTTCTAAATTTACAAGTCATATAGTGTATATGACTTTGTTGGAATATTTTATTTTATTTTTATTTTATGCTATTCACTACTATCTAGATTATTTACGAGGAGCTTTGTTTTATCGTTATAATAATTTATAAAATAAGTATTAAATGTATATGTTTATTTATTATTGTATTGAAAACTTAAAGCACATTACATATTTTTTCATTTAGTAATCAGAAGAATTTGTAGGAATAAAGAGTAGGACAGATTTAGAATTATTCATTCATGAGAATGATGAGATGTAATTTATACAACTCACGTAATTGTTTTGGTTACACTGCCAATTAACTCTTTCAAAAAGCCCAATAAAGGTTGTTTATTTTGGTAGAATTTTGGAGTTTATACGAGTCCTATATCATAATCAAATATGATTTATCCATTTGGTTGTGTGTATATATTACTCCTTTTTCACCCTTTTTATTGTCTAAGCAAGTTGAGATTTCAATGGCATAAATTGTCAACAAAATGTTTATGGATGATTGAGAATTCAGATTAGTTTTTCTTAGACTCTCAAAATATGTTTTCATTACAAGAACATGTGTTGGCATTTGATGTTTGGAACTCTCAAATGTGTTAAGGTATGAGAGCAGTGGCTTCTTTGATCAAACCACTTTACCTGGCAACAGTATGATTTGTGGAAATCAGAGAGCAGTTGGAGCCACCAGTACCACTTTTAATGCAACAGCACGACAAGTGTTAATGGATTTGCAAATTGCAACACCCAAAATTAGTGGTTTTTTTGCAGCTACCAAGACACAAGTGGCTGGTGGTGGTGCAATCTATGCCATTGCACAATGTGCTGAAACTGTCACAGAGAGTGGTTGCTTGGATTGCTTGACAGTTGGGGTCACCAACATACAAAGTTGTTTGCCCAATACAGATGGTAGAGCATTTGATGCTGGCTGTTTTATGAGATACTCAGAGATATCCTTCTTTCCTGATAACCAGACCATTGATATCACACCCTTCTTGAAACAAGGTAGAATAAGGATATATAGTTTCTTTACATTGATTTTGGATAAATGAGTGATAGTTTATTTAGAAGAAAATAGTATATATATTTTGAACTGCATCTTTATCTTGCAGATGGTTCAAGCAAGAAAGGAGCTATTATTGGTGGTGTTGTTGGAGGTGTAGGTCTTGTTGTGATCCTCCTTGCACTATTTGCCTGGCTTAGATGGTACCAGAAACCCAAGAGGGCTCCAAGAGGTGAGACTACATTGAAGTTCTTTGAATTGATGATTTCTTACCAAAGAAAATACAATGGCAAATCATTCAATGTTGAAACTACTGTTTGCAGGAGATTTAGAAATGTTTAGGTCAACTTATGAAAATAGCTTGAATTTTATAAGTTATTGTTCAATAAACTTTTTAGAATAACTTATCGAAATAAATTGTTTTCCATTTATTTATTAAATAGGTGATTAATTAGGGAATGTATCCAAACACACTCTTTTATGTGTATAAGACTTCTTTTAATATGCAATTTACATTTTTAATCCCTTTTTGCATCACAATATTAATAAGCTCTCTGTAATTTAATGAATCAATTACCAAATGCATACTTTTTTGAATTTTTTTTTCCCATTCTTCTTACTTGCTTTAGACAAGTTTAGGTCAACTTATGAAAATAGTTTGAATTTTCTAAGCTCTTATTAGCTTATTTTAATAAACTTTTTTTAGTATAATTTATCGAAATAAATTATTTTTAATTTATTTTAATAAGTTTTATGTTTAAATCTACTATATAAGTTAATGTATAAAAATATTTTATTAAATAAGTGCTTAATTAGGCAATGTATCTAAACACACTCTTATTCTCTTTTAAAACTTCTTTTAACATGCAATTTACATTTTTAATCCCTTTTGAAATTACAATATTAATAAAAATTTTGTTCTTTAATGAATTAATTACTATGGAATGTGTATTCTTTTTTTCTTTTTCCTCTTTCTTCTTGCTTTCTTTCTTTGTTTATTTCCTTATTATATATATAAAGTTAGAATATTTACATGAGGTGTCATAGAATGCAAAATTAACTAATCCAACAGTTAGTGTAGAAGTTCTTATTAAGTAGATTAAGTTTATAAAGTTACATACAAAAATAAATTATTTTATTTTAATGAGTAATATATTTTTAAAATATAAATAAATATTAAATTATAGATAAAATATACCTATAAATGTCTAAATTATGTAAAATTTGATTTACATAATTATAAAATTAATTAAAATAATTAAACAATTAAATTATTTAATCTTGCATTTTATGAAAATTTATTAAGTAGTATAAGTGTGCAAATTAACACTTGGTGTCAGCATATTCTAAATATATATATATATATATATATATATATATTTATTTATTTATTTATTCATTTATTCATTAAGTGGTTCCTAATTATGTTTTCCTTATCAGGTGACATACTGGGAGCAACTGAGTTAAAAGGTCCAGTTACCTACAGGTATAAAGATTTAAAGTCAGCAACAAAAAATTTCAGTGATGAAAACAAACTTGGAGAAGGAGGCTTTGGAGATGTATACAAGGTAAACTTAGTTCTGTTCAACATTATATTGGAGAAAATGTTACAAAACAAGCATGATTCTGAGTAAGCTATGTTAAGGACAAGCAAAATTTATGATGAGCTATTTCTCCAGAGATAACGATAAATCACTTTTGAAGTATAAAAATTCTTATGGCAAATTTATGGTGCAGGGCACTCTGAAAAATGGTAAAGTAGTTGCAGTCAAGAAATTAATTTTAGGCCAATCCGGAAAGATGGATGAACAATTCGAAAGTGAAGTAAAGCTTATAAGTAATGTTCATCATAGGAATCTAGTTCGGCTTCTTGGATGTTGCAGTAAAGGCCAAGAGAGAATCCTTGTTTATGAATACATGCCAAACAGCAGCCTTGACAAATTCTTATTCGGTAGCCTAATCGAAGCATTTTGTGAATCTCTATTCAAGTTTTTCCCTCTCTTCTCTTCCTTTGTTCAATCTATTTATTTTTTTAAAAACAGGTGAAAAGAATGGTTCTCTTAATTGGAAACAAAGATATGATATAATTTTAGGCACAGCAAGGGGTTTGGCCTATCTTCACGAGGATTTCCATGTTTGCATCATACATAGAGATATAAAGCCTAGCAATATCCTCTTAGATGATGACCTTCAGCCTAGAATTGCTGATTTTGGGTTGGCAAGACTTCTACCAGAGGATCAATCTCATCTTAGCACCAGATTTGCAGGAACATTGTAAGTCCAAACATATTTACTTCACTTTGAGTGGTAGCCTAGCAAAAGAAACATCAATTCTTATTAATTTTAGTTTTCCATGCTCAACTCTAAATATAAATATAGTTTGTCTAACGGGTGCTTAAGGGCACATCTTAAGAAAGTAAGAAATAGTAAGTTTTTATTGAAAATTGTAATTCAATGTTATTAATGTATTGAATTCTATGATATTTTGTTACTTTTAATATAAACTTACCATACATAGGTACTTATTGTGCGCTCTTAAGCACATGTTAGAAAAATCAATATAAATATTCTTTTATCAGCTATGCTAAAAAAAATTGTACAAATGTCAGGGGATACACAGCACCTGAGTATGCAATCCATGGTCAATTATCAGAGAAGGCTGACACCTACAGCTTTGGTGTTGTGGTCCTAGAAATCATAAGTGGCCAAAAGAGCAGTGAATTGAGGGATGATGCTGAAGGTGAATTTCTCCTTCAAAGGGTAAGCAATTTCACATAACCACATAAGAAAAGTATCAGTTTTATTTTATCATTTAACTATATGAGCCTAGATTACCTTAACAGGCATGGAAACTTTATGAGGGTGATATGCATTTGGAGTTGGTTGACAAGACATTGAATCCTGATGACTATGATGCAGAAGAAGTGAAAAAAATAATAGAGATTGCATTGCTATGCACTCAAGCATCAGCTGCTGCGAGGCCAACAATGTCTGAAATAGCAATCTTACTCAAAAGCAAAAATTTACTGGGTCATATGAGGCCTGCTATGCCTGTTTTTGTTGAATCTAACTTTAGGTCTCGGGTAGACATTTCTATCTCAACTGCTGGTTCCTCTACTACATCTAATGCCACTGTTTCCACTTCTGTACTATCAGCAAGATGAAGTATACATTATGTAGGAAAAGAAGAGGATTTTTCTTCCAGAATTCTTAAGTACTGTGCATTAATGCCACTAATACAAAAGTATATTGTGAAATAGTGATTACTGTAACGTTGAATCAATAATTTTGTTAATATTAATAATGACAGCACTCTACCTTTTCTTCAGGATGGGATGCTAATCATGTATGAAGTAGTATAATTGTATAAAGTTTTCCAATGTATACTAAGACTTCCCAAAGTGTGATTGTGTGTGATACAAAAGGGTTTAAATAGCTATAGGTCTTACTAACTGGTGCCCTCAAAGCAGTGGTTAAGAAATTAGGATTGAAATTTTTGTATTGAAAATTATGTTGAATTGCATTGAAAAATATAAAAAAAGTGCATTTATTATTATTTTTTATTTTTAATTTCTTAACAAGTACACTTAAAGCACTTAGCATAGATATATACTATACATTATACAAAAGGACATGCCTGAAATATCACCTAAAATCCTCTCCTCCTCTATTTTGTATACTAATGTTTTTTTTTTTAAAAAATATTTTGCCATACTTTCAGAGCCAAGTTATGAATAATTCTGCAATTTTGATGTTAACAAAGCTAGTTGATGATTAATTATCTTATGACCGTCACCTCATGTTACTTAACGTGGTTGCGTAGGTTATTGACAAGTCCACCAGTTCCTTGTATTGGGAAGACTGAAAGTACAAAGACATGTTCCCAGCACAGGTAAAATATTTCGAATGACAGGTCAAGAAGAATTAATCAAAGGGGGAAAAAGATTAATTAAACCAATTAAAATGTCATTGAAAATGATGGTATTTTTAAATGGATTTAAATATTTTCATCTTATTAACTAACATGATATATATGGTGATCTCTGAGAAATAAAAAAACAGTTTTTATTAAATTTGATTAGTAAATTCCACAGTCAATTGTTATGTGTTCTTATTTAACAAAAAAAATTGTCTCTCTCTTGTATAATCATACGAGATGATGACAAAAAGTTACTCAACTACAAATAAATCATGTGTTTCTAAATTCTTGTCATGTGTTTGGTTGAATGTTTATAAAGTTGGTTTTGAATAAACTTAATTTTAATTAAAAGTTTATTATGTTTAATTTTTTTATTTTAAAAATAATTTTATATTAAAATTTAATATAAAATTTTTAATTTAACACAAAAATATAATTTATCATATAAATTAAACATGAAGTTGAAAATAAAATTAATTTTATTATAAAGTTATTAAATATATTTATATAAATTTTAAACTATGTTTATACTTTTCAACATCCAAACATGTTTTCATAGGAACATAAATTATTTAAAATAAAAAATTATCATATTCATAATTTTAAAAAAATATATAATTTATATTTTCACTTGATTGTATTAAAAAGTAATTGTATAAGTGATTTTGGAATCAAAATATTTTAAAATGGTGAACTTTTAAGAAATTAAGGTTTTCTTATAAGATATTCATTGTCTCATGATATATTTTAGAACCATATAAAAAATTTGCAGAAAAAAATAAAATTAAAAAAAGTGAACGTAAAAATGTAGTTACTCTGTTTAAAAAGATTACACGAAAGGAATAGAATGTATAATTAATTTAGCAGCCAGATGAAGACTCCTTGCATTGCGGTTGAATCGTTTCTTGGTCTCTTCCATTGATGCATCATCCACTTCATCAATTTATTTATATACAACGCAATAAGAACACAAACACAACATTAACAAAACAAATCGAAAAACAATGAAGATGTTCGTGCAAGTGGCGTTGTTCTCATCAACGTTGTTATGCATATGGTGGAGCAGTGACGCAGACCCTCAAACACTTCTACTCAACGCTGGGTGCAGCCGTTACAACGCAACAAACTTGAATCGCTTCTTAGCGAATCTGAACGCAACATTTTCAGAGCTGAGAGAAAAGATTAGCAGTGAAAACATGCAGTTTGGGACAGTCACGAAAACGAGTGGAGGTGCCCTTTCATATACAATGTTTCAATGCAGAAACTATCTCTCCAAAAACGATTGTCTCAGTTGCTTCGCCACCGCCTCCGCCCAACTCCGCAACTGCTCCACCGCCAGCGGCGCCCGTGTCACCTACGACGGCTGCTTCTTCAGGTCTCTGTTGTCTCTACCTAAACACACAACGCTACTATTAACACTTTACTTTTTATCAAATCAATTATTTATTAATTTGGTATATTATTATACTGCTGGATAAATTTATACATTTATATTAATAACTTAATTTTTATCGAATGAAAGTTAAGCTAAAATAAAACTTGACTATTTTTTTTAATTGATGATATAAATAATATATGTAATTATTTTAATGACATGCTATAATTAGTAATATTTTTACACGGTTAACAGTGTAGATAACATCAAAACTTTACGACTTAAAGTGTGGACATAGGAGGATAATAAGAACATAAATTAGTACAAAACTTTACAACTTAACTTGCGAAAATAATTTATCATTTTAATGCATTTATTTATATAAGATAAATTAATACAAGGGTAAATATACTTGTATTAATATGATTTAATTTCTCTCTTATATATAATACTAGTATTTAATGCTATATATTTATCACATGTAAAATTAGATTTAACTTAAATAATAATATTAAATTTAGAAATTTAAATTTATTTTAATATATTAAGAGTTCAAATACAATAAAGTATCAATCTATTCTCAAAGAGAGAATGTCACATTATAAAAAAATAATAACAGTGGAAGATTAAAGATTAAATAACAAATAAATTTATATTACTTACGAGTTATCGATACTATCTTTAGAAGAAGTAAACTTTGGAAAATGTAAATTATGAAATAGATTTTACAAGCTGGTGATGAAAAATATTTTTATGGCAAGTGGAGAAGCTTAAGTCAGAGTGGAATATTTCTATGGCAAGTGGAGAAACTGAAGTCGGAGAGGAATATTTATACATTTTCAAATGTTTTTTTGTAACTTTCAAGGTACGAGAGTGAGGGATTCTACGATCAGAGTACTGATCTAGGCAACGGTGTTTCATGTGGGAATCAAACTGCACATGAAAGAGATGTGTTTAGTGCAATTGGACGGCAAGTGCTAATGAACCTCCAAATAGCAACACCCAAAATTAAAGGGTTTTTTGCAGCTACTAAGACACCTGTGGTTGGTGTTGGTGCAATTTATGCCATTGCACAATGTATTCAAACAATCACACCCAGTGGTTGTTCAGATTGCTTGAGAGTTGATTACAACAACATGCATACCTGTCTTCCCAATACAAATGGTAGAGCATATGATGCTGGGTGTTTTATGAGATACTCCACCACACCCTTCTTTGCTGATAACCAGACTATTGATATTAACCCCTATCTAAAACAAGGTACATATATATGAAGTAACTCCATTTTATGGACAATATATACAATTATTATCTTTTTTTTATCTTTTATTCCCTTGATCCTTTTTATAAAAAAAATTATATATCACTGTTTTTTGTTCTAATTATAAAAAATAATGATCTATTTTTAACTGTATTAATTGTTAAGTTTTTTTTATACCCATAATTATTGTGAGATTTGTATTGATAAAACACTCTCTCATTACTTATACAAGTAAATATATTTATTCATTTGATATGAGCAACTAATTTTACCATTTATTATACTACATATTTTTAAAATACACTATAAATTTATGGTATATAACTATTTTTATTAATTTTGATGAATTAATTATTTATTTATCATAAAAAGATCAAAGGAGTATTTTTTTTTTATGTGTGTGTGTATATATATATATATAACTATATTAAAAAAAGAGAGACAATTAAAAGTTATCTCCCAAAGTCGTGCAAGAAATATTTTTGCTTGAATTAATGGTAACATTTTTTGGATTTGAGGTCAATTTCTTTAATATCTGTCTTGAAGGAGGAGGTTCAAGCAAGAAGTGGGCCATTATTGGTGGTGTTGTTGGAGGTATAGTACTTGTGATCCTCCTTTCATTATTTGTCTGGTGTAGAAGATCTCAAAAACCCAAGAGAGTTTCTAGAGGTAAAACTATTAATTTGGAAATTGTCTTTACTCTTTATGTGGTGCTTGGCGTTCATTTTTCTTTCCTATAAAAAGTATTATGGCTCACAAGTTCATGCCCTCAATTTATGATCCATTTGGAATGATACAAGAACTTAATTTGGTGTCATTTCATTTTAAGTTATCATTCAGTTATGTGTTGTCACCTACTAGCACGCCATTGCATAATAGGATAAAACACTTTTTACATTAACAATATCCATTCAAATTAAATTCAATATCCAAAAGGTATATATTTATTATTAATTATTTTTTGCTTATTTCTTGCTATGTTTTGCATCCAGTTTCTATGCAATTATCATGCCTTTCTTTTTAAATCGTTTCTTTCTTAAACATAGATGAATCCCTGAATCAATTTATATATAAAGAAAAATCAAACACATGCATGTATTACTTTGCAGGCAACATATTGGGAGCAACCGAGTTGAGAGGTCCTGTCAACTACAAGTATAATGATTTGAAAGATGCAACAAAAAATTTTAGTGATGAAAATAAATTAGGAGAAGGAGGCTTTGGAGATGTATACAAGGTAAGTTTTAATTATTTCTCAGTTTTCAATCAAGATCTTGTTCTAAGACATACGTGATTTTTGGAGAATATTTCCTTCTTTTTCAAGAAAGAAACGTGAAGACTTTCCTAAGCTAGAAAAGTAAGTTTAGTAATAGTAAAATTTGATTAGAAAAAAATTATTATAAGCTACACTTCCAACAATATCATTAATCACTTTATGAAAAATTTTAATCTTGATGCTATTGAACAGGGTACACTGAAAAATGGGAAAGTTGTAGCAGTCAAAAAATTAATTTTAGGCAAATCCGACAAGACTGATGATGATTTTGAAAGTGAAGTCAAGCTTATAAGTAATGTTCATCATAGAAATTTGGTCCGGCTTCTTGGTTGTTGCAGTAAAGGCCAAGAAAGAATACTTGTTTATGAATACATGGCAAACAATAGCCTTGACAGATTCTTATTTGGTAACATATGTCAATCTCTAAATTCTAATAAAAGCAATTTGTGTAACATGGTTTTCTCTCTTTTCCCTCCTTTTTTCTCCTCAGAATTTTAAGCATATAAACTTGATGTGAGACAGGTGACAAAGAAGGTTCCCTCAATTGGAAACAACGGTATGATATAATTTTAGGCACAGCAAGGGGACTGACCTATCTGCATGAGGAATTCCACGTTTCTATCATACATAGGGATATCAAGAGTGGCAATATCCTCTTGGATCATGAATTTCAACCCAAAATTTCTGATTTTGGGTTAGCAAGGCTTTTACCTGGGGACAAATCACATCTTAAAACAAGATTTGCAGGAACATTGTAAGTCAAAATATAACGTAAATACATCTTTGATCCATGATTTTTTTTAACTTAATTCTTAAAAAATGTAAAATCATTTTTTTTGTCCTTAGTCCTTTGTAAGAGACTAAAATTATATTAATTTTTACACCCATTTTTTTATCTTCTTTTTCTTTTTATGTCTCTTTCTCTCTCTCTTAATCAGATCAGCAGTCACATATCTTATTTTTTTCTATATCTTTTTTTCTTCACCCATTCTAAACCAGAAAAACAAGTGTCAAGGTAAAATTTTCCAAAACATATTATTTTTATTACATGAAAGGTCTAAAAACCAAAAAAAATAAAAAATAAAATCATATTTTCAAGGATGGTCAGAAATATGTTTTAAGTCTCAAATAATCACAATTACTCAACTTGAAAACTTAGAAGCTAAAATGTACGTTACCACATGCTAACTATAGATCTTCGTTTATTAACTATATATATGGCATAAATATTATGCACTTGTCAGGGGATACACAGCACCTGAGTATGCAATTCATGGTCAACTATCAGAAAAAGCTGACACCTACAGCTATGGTATTGTAGTCTTAGAAATAATAAGCGGTCAAAAGAGTACCGAGCTAAGGGTTGATGATGATGGTAGTCATGAATACCTTCTTCGACGAGTATGGAATTTCCCATAACTATATACAAAGATTAATGTTAGTTAATTCTCTCATTATATTATACCCTTTGGTTTTCGCTTTAACAGGCATGGAAACTGTATGAAGAAGGCATGCACTTGGAGTTAGTGGATAAAAGCTTAAACTCTAATGAGTATGATGTAGAAGGAGTGAAGAAAATCATAGAAATAGCTTTGTTGTGCACTCAAGCATCAGCTGCAACGAGGCCAACAATGTCTGAAGTAGTAGTTCTACTCAACAGCAAGAACTTTATCGAGCATGTGAGACCTTCAATACCAGTGTTTGTTGAAAGAAATCTAAGGCCCCAAGGAGATGTTCCTAACTCAATCACTTCCTCCAATGCTACTGTCTCTACTTCTGATGCATCTGCTAGATGATTAATTATATATATAATGTAGAAGAATGTTCTTGTTTAGTTCATTATTTAGAATTTGGTCTGATTATATATAAATTTTATTTTATAAAGGGTAGTCCACATACAACTCCAAGTGTTACAATAATTGTGATTACATTTACCCATAATTTTATTAATCACAACACAACAACAATTTAAAACCATAATAAATTCTGTACAATCATTCACTAACATAAGAACCAAACTTGAATTAAGCTATTAGTTAGTAAGATCATTTTACAAGGGATTTGACGCGACATTCTTTGTAACGATGTCCCTCAACATCTCTTCTCACTTTAGTTATGCTAAAGGGTGGGGCCATATCATTTAATTCAAAATATCTCATTAATATTTAATGGTAAATTTCAACCAATTAAGGTAAACTTCTAAAAAAATCATAATAAGAGAAAAACATCACAATAAATTTTTTATAAATTAAAAATAACTTATTTTCTTATCAAATTTTAAAGAAGTTAAATGAATGAGTTTTTCAGAATTTTTTAAAATATAAGTTATTTCTAATTTAAGAGATAAAATGTATTTATTTTTTATACTGATTTTTTTTTCTGTTATAAGAACTTCTATAAAAATTTATTCAAATAAAACTTTTGTCTTTCTTGATCATTATAGAGGTGGACACACTTTTAAAGAACATTTTTTATAAAATAAAATGATACATAAGTAATGTTATTCATCAAAATGTATAATTTTATTTTATTATTGAAAAGAGAGAGATATAAAAATGGTGCAAGATATTTTATGTAAAACTATCATTTCTAATCTTGGATAAATACTTGATTATTGATCATGGTGTTGGAAAACTGCTTAGTTTCTATTTACGGTGTGCCATTATGAGAAGTGGGTAGCTTCACACTTAATGGAAATCATTCACATATTGAAATAAACACCAAACTTTCCAAGCACCTTATCCTACATTCACAAATTGGTCCACCAAGCACTAAGGTGCCAATAATAGATCTTTCATCAAAATTCAAACCTCAACTGTTTTGTAGTGTGGAATATTAAACTCCTTCCTTCAATATATAGTCTGTAAGATATCAAAAACATTAATTGCCCCAAATCTCTTGCACTCCTATAGCCAGTAGTATATACACAATAAAACTTTCTAATAAGCAGAAACACTTGTCATCACTCTTACCAAACACTACTATTTATGTTATTAGACAAAGCTAAAAGCATGCTTCAACTTAAGCTACTGGCCTTAACCATGATATGGGGGTGCATTAACCTTCATGGTGCAGTTGCAAACCCACAGACACATTTTGTAAACAAAGGATGCAGCCCATACAACGCATCCAACATGCATAGCTTCTTTGCCAATATCAATGACACGTTTTCAAGAATGAGAGCACAAATTAGCAATCAAAACAAGCACTTTGCCACAGCAGAGAAAGCAAGGGGAGAGATGCTGACATATTCCATGTTTCAATGCAGAAACTATCTCTCAAAAAATGATTGTCTTGCTTGCTTCACCACTGCCACCGCCCAAATCCGCAACTGTTCAGATGCCAACGGTGCCAGAATCATCTATGATGGCTGCTTCCTCAGGTTTATATATACATTAGATCTCTCTCACACACACACTGTCACCACGTGCTACACTCATTTTATTTGGGTCTTTATATTAAACAAAATTCTATTTAATCTAAAAACAAAAAAATGAATTTAATCTTTATATATGATTATAGTTAGTTAAATTAGTTAATGATGTAACACTATTAAATAGAATTAAAACCCAACCATGTATATAAAATAAAATTACGTGTCATGTACGAGAATTGAAATAGAAATATTATATCTTTGTTCTTATATATTTCTGATCTAATTGTTGCTCATATATACTTGACAATAACTTCATGTCAACATTATGATTGTAATAGACGACACAGACGATATTAAAAATTACTATATTATTGGAATTATATTAAAACATTTTAATAAAAAAATAGCATACTTACACGTATACATACGTATAGGGATGAGATTCATTTATTCTAAAAGTATTAATAAGGTTATTTCATTCAATAACTTATTATGAATATTTAATTTTGTTAATTCAACATTAAATTGAATGTTATCATTGAGTAAATCAAGATTAAAAAAATTATACAATTTAAGAAGTTAATTAACTTCATAAATTATTTTTTTTGAACGAATACTATATTCTTTAAAATACATATAGTTATAAGATAACATTTATTGATATTGAAACTATCTAAAATTTTATATGTATGATTATTAAAATATGAAAATAATTAAATTAATAAAATTTAACGTAAGTTATTAAATGAAAATAACTTACCTTATTATGCTTTTGGAGTCTTATACATAAAAAAAATACAGTCAATTCTTAAATCTAATTAACTATATACTTGTTAAATATATATATTTATTTAAATTTAAATTATATATTTAGTCTTTATAATTGACATATCTATGAATTAGTTTATATATTTTAAAAAATTATATTTTAATACCTATACAAATATTTTGTTATATTTTAATCTATACTGTTATAACAATGTTAATAATGGAAAGAAGTAAATTATAACAAAATATTTGTATAAAAATCAAAACATTAGCTATTCTTAGTATAAGAATTAATATGTAAATTTTTTTAATAATAGAAAGTAACATCTAAGTTTTTTTTAAGAATAAAGACTAAAATGTAAGTTTTTGTTTATATATTTTTGTATGATATATCAATTTTTATAGTATTTTGTTTTTTTACTATTTTTCTTAAAAAATGAATAAATTTGAAATTCTTTATCATAATATAACTAAGAAATTCTTACTATTTTGACTCAAAATATCATTCGTTGATTTTTTGTTACTTTCTCTATCAATTAGATTAAAAAATATTTAGATATATCTAGTTTTTAAATTTTATTGTGGACTCAAAAAGACTAGATATGTTTAAATATTTTTTTAATTCTAATAACAAATATATATGATATGTGAAATATTCTTAGTATTTTATTAACTATAATTATTATTATTACTAAATCAATAAATTTTATTAATAAATATATATAATCTTAAATTATAAATGATATTTAATTTAAATATATGAATTTTTTGTATTTTTAAAATTTATAATTCTTTTATTTAATGACTTATTTTAATTTTTTTCTAGATAAATTTATTAAAAAAATTATTTTTGGTTAAAATATATTTTTAATTCTTATAATTAAAACTTGTTTACAAATTAGCTTCTTGTATTTAAGGAAACTTATATTTTAGTTATACTTTGTTATGTTTTGGTTCCTATTGTTATAACATTATGAACACTATTAATAGTAGGGAGTAAAATGTAAACAATAAAAATTAAAACATAACAAATTTCTGAATATATTATTTAGTCTTTATTTAAATATGAATATGTAGGAAATATCCATGTAACAGCTCAGTGCGGGTTGAGTCAGTTGGCATTCTAAGTTTGGTTTCCAATTATTATTGTTGTGGCATAAGTTGATGACTTCTAATAAATTAATTATTCAAATGTGAATTATTAATTATTGGTGTTGGAATATTGTTGCTATAAATGAGAAGATAGTACTACAATATGTGGCACGATATTCCTAAGTGGCTAATAAGTTTGAGTCAAATTATGTTTGACTTTGATGTGGGGTGTGACTAGGTACGAGAGTGAGAGGTTCTACGATCAAACCACTGAACCTGGCAATGGTGTATCATGTGTGAACACGAGTGCAAAGAGTGCTGGTTTTAGAGCAACTGGGCTACAAGTGCTAATGGATCTCCAAACAGCAACACCCTCCATTAAAGGGTTTTTTGCAGCTACTAAGACACCTGTGGTTGGTGTTGGTGCAATTTATGCCTTTGCGCAATGTGTTGAAACAATCACACCCAGTGGTTGTTTGGATTGCTTGAAAGTTGGATACAACAACTTATATAATTGTCTTCCCAACACAGATGGTAGAGCATATGATGCTGGGTGTTTTATGAGATACTCCACCACACCCTTCTTTCCTGATAACCAGACCATTGTCATAAAACCCTATTTAAAACAAGGTACAATAATTCACTTCCCTTGATTTAGGATGAATTAATAATGTATTTTAAGACAAAAATGGCCTTTTGGGTTTGTTTGATTGTAAAAGTTTTTTTTTTTTCATAAATAATTACAAAATGGAAACTTTTTCACATCATTTTTTTAATTTTAAAAATAATTATAATTGGAATGCACTACACTTTCATCTAATCATAGATTGTGGTATTAACAAAAATCATTGACTTTTATAATAACAAAATAAAAAGTCATATTTATCGTGTATTATAATTTATTGATAGTGTAAAAAAATTTATACTTTAATTGTGTATTAAAATTAAAGTTTTTAAGGATTTGTATTAAAAAGGTGCATGTTGTTTTCATTATTTTGTTACATTTTAACAATAACATAAGAATAATTTTTTATTCTTATAATTATTTAAATAAAAAATGAAAACCAACATTAGGATATAGTACCTCATTTGAACGTTGTCAATTTGTTTTCCTGTATTGCAGGAGGTTCTAGCAAGAAGTGGGCCATTATAGGTGGTGTTGTTGGAGGTGGAGGTCTTCTGGTGATCCTCCTTGCATTGTTTGCCTGGCGAAGATCCAGAAAACCTAAGAGAGTTCCTAGAGGTAAGTAAATTTGGAAAGTCTGAAAACATGATGTTTGGTGTCAATCAGTTCATAATTTGCATTTTAATGCTTTTCAAATGTAAAAATCTAGAGTGGTTTGTTCATCAATGTCGGTTCTTTTCACCCTATGTCCATGTAATTGTAATATCTTTATTTTGTTTCCTAATTTCTTTCATGGATTATTTTGTGAAAACTTTTTTCAGAAGCTCTTTTAATCTACTTTTGATCATAGATTATTTTAATTTCAAAATAGTAGAATTCAAAAAATTATATAAAGGTATTTATATTGTTGTCATTAAATTCTCAAATAAAATAATAACAAATGGATATTTTTTAAAAGAAAATAAGCAAAATCTTCTTACAGGATGTTATTTAATTACTCACATGTGTTGTTTCATTGATTTAAGTTTTGTCAATCGAAAAAGACATCTCTTGCTTGACTTATATTATTTGTTAAGAAATTAAAACTTCTATGTTCCTTTGCAGGTGATATATTGGGAGCAACGGAGTTAAAAGGTCCAGTCAACTATAAGTATGATGATTTGAAAGCTGCAACAAAAAATTTTAGTAATGAAAATAAACTAGGAGAAGGAGGATTTGGGGATGTATACAAGGTAAACATAATTTTTATTTCAATATTATTTTCATTTCTTTTTACGTAAATCTTTAAAAATATCATTAAAAATAAAAAATTAATTTTTTTAAAAACTATAAAGAAAACACAATATTTTTTCAAACTAATTAAACAGCAACTTAGTAAATGAAAAAAACAATTACTTTGGTATACTAAAATTAGTCAATTATACTATTGAACAGGGTACCTTGAAAAATGGAAAGATTGTAGCAGTCAAGAAATTAGTGTTGAGAAAATCCAACAAGATGGAGGATGATTTTGAAAGTGAAGTAAAGTTAATAAGTAATGTTCATCATCGAAATCTCGTTAGACTTCTTGGTTGTTGCAGTAAAGGTGAAGAGAGAATCTTGGTTTATGAATACATGGCAAATAGCAGCCTTGACAGATTCTTATTTGGTAACTCAAGTCAACCTCCAAAAGAAATATAATTTTATTTTAATTATTAATTTCCTCTCTTTTCAACAATTTTAATCATACAAACTTGGGAAACAACAGGTAACAAAGGTTCCCTCAATTGGACCCAACGGTATGACATAATTCTAGGCACAGCAAGGGGATTGGCTTATTTGCATGAGGAATTTCATGTTTCCATAATACATAGAGATATAAAAACTGGTAATATCCTCTTAGATGATGATCTTCAACCAAAAATTGCTGATTTTGGATTAGCAAGACTTTTGCCAGGGGATCGATCTCATCTCAGCACAAGATTTGCAGGAACATTGTAAGACAAAATAGTTGCATTCACTTTAATTTCTTGACATTTATTTGAGCATCAAGTTACAGCAAAAGAGACAAATTAAAAACCATTGTGGGAAAAATGTAACATGCTATGTATAAGTGCTTTTTCTAATTAACTATGGACTATAAATTATGCACTTTTCAGGGGATACACAGCACCTGAGTATGCAATCCATGGTCAATTATCTGAGAAGGCTGATACCTACAGCTATGGTATTGTAGTCCTAGAAATCATAAGTGGCCAAAAGAGTACAAATGTCAGGGAAGATGAGGATGGTCGCGAATATCTTCTTAAACGCGTAAGCAATATCTCAACTATGAATTCTTAAGAGTTATTTTATTTTTTTTAATTTTTAATTTTCATTTTTAATCATAGCATTATCATCTTTTTTCTTTCTTTTTTTTTCTATTTCTAAAGACTTGTACAAAAAGTAGTAAAATTTTTGGAAATAGAAAATAAAATAAAAATAAGATAGCAGTCTTGTAATAAAATAAAAACAGAAAACATTTTTTTGAAACGAAACAATCTTTAATTTTCTCATAAATTTTACCAAATTATGGACCTTTATTTTCACTTCTTAGGCATGGAAGCTATATGAGAGAGGCATGCACTTGGAGCTAGTGGACAAGGGCATAGACCCTAATGACTATGATGGTGAAGAAGTGCAGAAAATCATAGAAATTGCTTTGCTATGCACTCAAGCATCAGCTGCATCAAGACCAACAATGTCTGAAGTAGTAGTTCTACTCAAAAGTAAGAGCTTATTTGAGCATCTTCAACCAACCATGCCTGTGTTTGTTGAATCGAATTTGAAGAACCGAGAAGGGAACTCAACCTCTTCAACTACTGGTTCTTCATCTAAAGCTACGGCTTCCATTTCTGTTCTATCAGCTCGATGATTAATATATGATGGAGAAAAGGGACTTAATCACTTGAACCAATAAAGTGACACAATAAAACAGATGAGGATTGCTCAAGTAGAACGCATATTGGAGATAGTGATTATTGTGATGTTGTTTAGTAAGTAAAATTAAGAATGTTTTTTAATATATTGAAGGACATTATTAGTATGTATAACAAAAGTGAGTCTCAAGAGAAGTGTTTGGTTGAGAAAGTGCATGTATTAGTTTGTTTATATTACTATTATTTATGATACATATTAATTTTCCACTTAATTTGCTTGTATGTTGTCTTCTTAGTAAGCTAGCTTGAGGACTTATTGTTGACTCTAGTCTAAACTGCTTGCATTTCAACTGTTTAAGTTCACTATTTTCCTCTATTAATTGTCTAATGGTTCAATAGTCTCCCCATATAGAGAAATATTGTGTCTTTTGTTCACTTTTGTTTCTCAGTTTTTATTGTGTATTCGAATTTATTGTAATTTTTTTAAAAAAAATTTTAAAAAAAATTCATAGTTATTTTATCCTTTATTTTTATGGTGAGTAGAATTTCTAAAAATATAAACTAAATTGAATTTTTTTTAACAATATATATTATCCAATTTTTTAAATTTAATTACTCTTTAACAGAGATTCATTATCCATTCATACAGGTTAGACTTGACATAAATTAATAAATTTTAGAGACAGAATTAAATTATATCAATATAAGTTAGATTAATTTTTACATAGTCAATAATTTTACATGAATTTATTTGATTAGTTTTCCACAAATAATATGAAATTCACTCAATAATTTAAAATTTTTTAAAAAATATAAAAAATTTCCATAAAATTCATAAGCAATTCTATTTTGAGTGTGTTTGATTAATCACTTCAAAATTTATCATTACAATAAAAAAAAATTTTGTGAGCTATTTTTATCAAAATATCAATAATAATATCCATCGTGATAATTACAGTGTTATGCTATTAATTTTCATGATTAATAATCCAATAACTAATTAGGGTTATCCATAAAATAATTTGAAAAGATCTAAAGGTTTCACATATTTTATCTTAATATTAAACTTTTTTTTAAATAATTGATCCATTAGTTATTTAATGAACCCGTAGAACACCATTTTCTTCTTCTTCTTATCATTATTATTATTATTATTTGTGGATCAACTGTTTTAATGATGACATTTAACCCAAAAAAGTCAGGTTATGACGTTAACATGGTCTTCGTCAGTCGAAAGTTGTAAATAGAATAGAGATCATCCTTAAAGCAATTTATATTTCTTTACATAACATTGTTTAGACTGTTCAACCAATCTAATTAATCAAGATATTTGCATAATAGTTTAATTTATACAATAACATATATATATATATAACGTCCCTTCACACATTAAAAAAGTAAAGACATCACCCAATGTCCCCTCCAAGTATCAAATTCGGTGGTTAACAAACCATTTTCGATTGTAGAAACTCTTGACATAACTATGTTTTGTTGAAAGATAAGAAGGTAAAGTCTAAATAGGTCAACCCACTTATTCTGATCGATCTGAACTAAACAAGAGAATTCATGTAATTTAAATTAACTCAGGATTGATTTAGATTTAAAAGTACTTATTTATTTTAGAGAAAAACTCATTTATAGAAAGTGATATACAAATGATGTAAATATATAAAATCTATATTATGTCTATGTCTACTGTCTGTGAAGGAAAATTATCAGTGAAATTTTTTTCTTACATGTATATTTTAAAATTAAAATTAACTGAAAATGATATATAAATTATAATCTTTATCGTATAATGATTTTAATATTTAATCACGCACTTTATTAATTTTGTAAATTTTGAAAATTAAAGTTTTTATTTAAATTTTTTTATTCTATATAAATTTTTCTATTTTTTTAATTTAAAATTTATTTTTAAGAGTCTTGTATTATAAATTTATTATATTATTGATATTTAATTAAAAAGATTGAGATTTACGTATTGACTACGTTTTCTAGAGTCGTCGTAGAATATTAAACTTTGTTCCCAGTCTCTTGGACGTACTCTTCTGTTCACTTTTACCATTCAATTACTTATTCTTGCCCATAGGATTTTTCTTAAAAAAATTATCAATTTGGTTTTACAATTATCAGATCTCATGAGTATATATATATTACAGAGACCAAGTTTACTAGGCAAAGCAAAAAACAGAATCAGAGTTCTGATATAGTAATTCACTAAAAGCATGGTTCATCTAACTAAGCTAATGGGCTTATTAACTCTGATATGGTGGTGCAGTAATCTTGAAGATGCACTTGCATCCCCACAAACGCACGTAGTAAATAGTGGGTGCAGCACATACAACGCTTCCAACTTGCGTAGCTTCTTTGCTAATATCAATGGAACGTTTTCAGCGCTAAGAGCACAGATTCAGAATCAAAACAAGCACTTTGGCGTAGCACAAGAAGCGAGGGGAGAGACGCTGACATACGCAATGTTTCAATGCAGAAACTATCTCTCAAACAATGATTGTCTCGCTTGCTTCGCCGCCGCCGCCACCCAAATCCGCAACTGCTCCGCCGCCAACGGCGCCAGACTCATCTACGACGGTTGCTTCCTCAGGTCTGTTCATGTTTGCTTGCATGTGTGCTATACTCACAACACAACTAATAATAATAATTTAGTTTTTATCAAATAAATTATTTGTTAATTTTTATATGATATGCAGCTGGATAAATTTATAATATTTACATTAATAATTTAATAAATCAAATAAATATTAGACTAAAAAAAATTAACGTTTAACTGTTTTGTTTAAGATCAACAATTAACAAAAATAAAAATAAAAATTAGGGGAGTGAAATTTGAGAGAATCTATTGGCCTAAGTGGAATAAACATATTATCTTTATTTATAAAGAAATTGAATTAATTCACTCTATTTTCCATTCCATTTAATTAATTATTTCATCAACTATTAATTATCTGAATAATTAAGAGCATTACTCGTATCACTGAATGTGTTTGATTAATAGTCTTAAATATTATCTACTATGCCTACAAGTCATATTACTTAAAGAATTAACATCAACTTGCTTACATACACGTAATTAAGTAATTATTTAAGTAAAAAAAATAAGTAAGAAAGCAATTATAAAAGATAATTATAAAAAAGTTAAATATAATATAAGAGGTTTTAAATTTTTTATTTAATAGAAAGGTTATCAAATTAAAATTTTGAAGTATATCTAAAAACACGTTTTTTACTGTCTAAATACATATAATATAATAATTGAGAATTATTTCATCCAAACACAGTATTAATATTTATTTGATTTTAATTTGTTGGGTATTTTCAATATGTGATGAGGTATGAGAGCGAGAGATTCTACGATCAGACCACTGAACCTGGTAATGGTGTAGTATGTGGGAACACGAGTGCAAATAGCACTGGTTTTAGAGCTAATGGGCAACAACTGCTAATGGACCTCCAAATAGCAACACCAAAAGTTAAAGGTTTCTATGCAGCTACTAAGATACAGGTGCCTGGTAGTAGTGCAATTTATGCCGTTGCACAATGTGTTGAAACTGCCACAGAGAGTAATTGTCTGAATTGCATGCAAGTTGCATACAACAACTTACAAAGTTGTCTTCCCAAAATAGACGGTAGAGCATATGATGCTGGCTGTTTTATGAGATATTCCATGTCACCCTTCTTTGCTGATAATCAGACCATTGATATCACACCCTACTTAGAACAAGGTAGAATTTTGATAATTCCCTTTCCTTGATGAATGCATATTTTCATAAAAATGATTTGGTTATTTGGTCTATGAAAACACTTTATATTTTTATAAATAATAGTTTGTCTAACATGTGTCTTTAAAAAATCAGTAAATAGTATACTTTATTGTAACATTTAATGTTATTAATATATTGAACTATGTTATGTCTGTTATTTTTTTAAAAGGACAAAACTTATGTAGAGTCCCATCAATGTTTTTAGTACTATCTCTTAATTAATATTGGAGTTTTACCCCTATAACAGATAATAATATTGAATATCAATCTTTCATTAAAATAAAATTTTAGTTTTAATTTTGTCCTGATAAAAACTTATAATACATAGGTGGTTCAAGCAAGAAGTGGGCAATTATCGGTGGTGTTGTAGGAGGCGTTGTGATCCTTCTTGCATTGTTTGCTTGGCGAATATCCAGAAAACCAAAGAGGGTTCCCAGAGGTAAGTAGAGGCTAATTTTGATAAAATTAATTTTAAATTGTTGAATATAATTGAAATTCGTGTGTTCTTTAGCAGGTGACATATTGGGAGCTACCGAGTTGAAAGGTCCGGTTAATTACAAGTATAATGATTTAAAAGCTGCAACAAAAAAATTTAGTAATGAAAATAAACTAGGAGAAGGAGGTTTTGGTGATGTATACAAGGTAAAGTTGTGATATTTTTTCTTCAGTATTATAACGGAAAGCATATTCAAAGACAATGCTGATTATGAGTTATTTTTTAATATAATGAAAAAACACTTTCATTTGTCAATCCTACTACTGAACAGGGTACTCTAAAGAATGGAAAGGTTGTGGCGATCAAGAAATTAATGTTGGGCAAATCTAGCAAGATGGAGGATGATTTTGAAGGTGAAGTCAAGCTAATAAGTAATGTTCATCATAGAAATCTCGTTAGACTTCTTGGTTGTTGCAGCAAAGGCCAAGAGAGAATCCTAGTTTATGAATACATGGCAAATAGCAGCCTTGACAAATTCTTATTTGGTAACTCATTATATTTCAATGGAGTTATTTTTTTAATCTTATTTGATTTTTCTTCTTTCCACAATCTTAAGTATATAAATTTGGTAAACAGGTAACAAAAAAGGTTCCCTCAATTGGAAACAACGGTATGACATAATTTTAGGCACAGCAAGGGGATTGGCCTATTTACATGAGGAATTCCATGTTTCCATAATACATAGAGATATAAAGACTAGTAATATCCTCTTAGATGATGATCTTCAACCAAAAATTGCTGATTTTGGGTTAGCAAGACTTTTGCCAGGGGATCGATCTCATCTCAGCACAAGATTTGCAGGAACATTGTAAGACAAAATAGTTGCATTCACTTTAATTTCTTGACATTTATTTGAGCATCAAGTTACAGCAAAAGAGACAAATTAAAAACCATTGTGGGAAAAATGTAACATGCTATGTATAAGTGCTTTTTCTAATTAACAATGGACTATAAATTATGCACTTTTCAGGGGATACACAGCACCTGAATATGCAATCCATGGTCAATTATCTGAGAAGGCTGATACCTACAGTTATGGTATTGTAGTCCTAGAAATTATAAGTGGTCAAAAGAGTACTAATGTGAAGGATGATGATGAGGATGGTCGTGAGTACCTTCTTCAACGTGTAGGCAATTTCTCATAACTAGGAATTATTAGTTTTCTACTTATAATATTTCACCATATGATGAACCTTTGATTTTCACTTCTTAGGCATGGAAGGTACATGAGAGAGGCATGCACTTGGAGCTAGTGGACAAGGCCATAGACCCAAATGAGTATGATTTTGAAGAAGTGAAGAAAGTCATAGAAATTGCTTTGTTGTGTACTCAAGCATCAGCTGCAACAAGGCCAACAATGTCTGAAGTAGTAGTTCTACTCAAAAGTAAAGGCTTAATAGAGAACTTGCAACCAACTATGCCTGTGTTTGTTGAAACCAATCTCCAGTCTCGAGAAAGGAATTCTTCATCAACTACTGCTTCTTCTTCTAATGCTACTGCTTCCATTTCTGTTCTATCAGCAAGATGATTATAGCACGAAGTAAAGGGTCTTGATTACTTGAACCAATAAAGTAATGTAATAAATTAGAGAAGTATTGCTCTTCATTTCTAGTTTCTTAGTTCAAAATCACGCAAGTGTATGTGCAACTTCTCTTGTGTTTTATGCATGGTTGGAAAGTGCATGAATTAGATTACTGTTATGGATTTATGATAATTTCCAATTAATTTGTTATGATAGAGTATATACTGAACTCCAGCCTAAAATTCTATTTCACTTGCACGTACTTTAGTTGTAAAGGTACATTATTTTCTCGCATTGAGGTATTGATTCGACGGAATAGTAAGACTCTTTGGTTATATACCAAAATTACTCTTCTCATCTTACTATCACTATGTTTTCATATTGTTAAGCTTTTCAAAATATAGATAAAATTAAAATTACTAATAAAATGGTGTTATATATATATATGTATATATATATATATATATATATTATGAAATTTTATTTCTTTCTTCCATTATTTTAAATAATAGCGTGCCACAAATTATTTTAAGAACCACGTATTAAGCAGATTAATGCATTATATCTTTGTGATTGTTACTTTTTTGGTCTTTTTCAATTTTTAAATACTTTGTTATATTCAAATCCAAGTTTAACAATAGTTTAACAATAAAAAAACGCTTCTTCAATAATTTAATAAATTTTGTTAATCTCAACTTTAAAGCTCAATTTAAACATTTATAAATAAATTTCTTTTATAAATTAATAAATATTATTTTTAATAAAATTTTATTATTATTAATTGTTTATCCCAACCTTTAGTGTTAAACATCTTTTAAATTTAATTACTTAAATTCATCCCAGTATTACGTTGCTTTCTTGCCATAAAATTAAGAAATAATTCCCAACTTGAAAAGCAAAGATGCAAGTACAAAGAAAAACGTATGTGCTCATTGTTTGTTTTATTTTAATTTTTTAATATTTATTGGTTAATTAGTATCAAATAATACTGGCATGTTTCCTTGTTAGACCAATAACAGAAAACTGAATGTGCTCACAACCACATTAGATAAAGGTTTTGTTTGAGCTGTTTCCTTCCTTGCCACATTATTTTTCCTTACCCCACTTTGCTACAAACGAAATTACTTAAAATGGACATTGGCATTTATTAACCAAAAAGGATTTTTTCTTTTAGCAGAAAGAAAATAGAATGTACACATTCTCCAACAAACGTAAATAACCTCATAAAGTCTCATCGAAACAGCTCCACAGAGCTGGAAAACAGAGACATGCAACAAGTTCGCAAGTTCAGCAAGACGGGGAAAAATCAATGAAGTTTTATCCTGTAAATTTTATTCGTGATCCGAGTATGACATATGTGGCATAAAAATTGGCGTCACACAACATAAGCAGAATCGAAAACTCAACAAAATAACTGAACACATCCATACTGATACAAAAATAATAACAGGGGAAAAGAAAATTTTGAGAAAAATTTGCATACTAGCCACCAAAGATTCCCTGATCTCAAAATAGCACGTGCATCCATGCCTTGCACATTACAGGTCCTTCACATACAATACTGTATAACACATTCACATATTTTGATATTTGATACAAGAGGCTTATGACAACTGCCAGGTTTTATTCATTAGTAACTAATTACATCACCAAGTGCAGCTAGAAAGATACTTGAATGCCAAGTAGTGCCATCAACTGAGAAATGAACTCAGGGTGCCCCGGCCACGCGGCTCCTGTAACGAGGTTTCCATCAGTGAAGCAACGGCTTATGGGATCAGGCTCCAGCCATGTCGCTCCTGAGAGAACCACATTAAGCTTCACAGCCGGATAAGCAGTACATTTTCTTCCCTGTTACAATAAAAATGTATGTCACCATAGCACTAAGATGCAGTCTACCATCCAGCGCATAACAAGTTTGTCATCACAAAGAAACAGTGTAGAACCAGCAAATCCGAAAAAATAATAGTGCCAGATTTTGAAGTTCTGTAGCAATAGTTGAAATAAGGGAAATAACACAAATATAATCTTATTATATGCATATTGTCATTATTTTTTTCTTTTATATGCATATTGTCATGATTCTAGAAAACAAGGATGCACCCATGATTAAAGATTTTATCATTTCATAATAGATGGAGAATTAGAAGTGCTCAACTCAGAGAAACAGTTTACAGAATCTGTTAGTTAACATCTGTCCAGTTCCACATGTACTTAATGTCTTTATGCTTGATTCTATATATCATCATTATTTCTTTTTATTGATGAGAGATAGAGGGCAAGGAAAATGAGATATCTGATGAAGATACTTAAGAATTACGATCCAATTATCCAAGCAAGCAAACAAGGTGTACAAAAGCTAGAAGACCGCCTAAGTGAGAAAGAACTAAGATAAGAATAACTTTGAGTGACAAAAGACATACTAGCATTTTATGAGCACAAAAATACACCGCTAGATAAAGCCGCACAAAAGCTGGGTGCATAAATTCCATTAATCCAGATTAATTAGAAATATTCTGCACAACGGATGCTATGATTCTCAATCCATGCATGAAATTACAAATTATTGTGAAATGTAGTCAAATATAGCATTTTTCTTCCCTGATAGATAGTTGGTAAAAGACAAATATTGACTAGAAAAACAGATAGAAAAGTGTAGATTGAACAAGAGTTCTAAGAAAATAGTAGTAAAATACTTCAAGTTCAAGATTAACACAAGATATGCAACTCATGCTTTTTTTTTTTGGTCAAACAGTATCAATAGCCACTTGACTCAAATGCAGGCTAATAGCATACTAGAAGCATAAGCAAACACAGCATTTCTAACGAGTTTACAGTTTACAGTGATACAATAATACCTTGAGAACACCAGCAGCAGCTAAAATCTGTTGGCCATGGCAGATAGATGCAACTGGCTTCTTGCTTTCCATAAAATGCTTCACCAAGGCAATGACTGACTCGTTCAATGCCAAATACTCAGGTGAACGACCTCCAGGGATGACAAGAGCATCATAGATTGAAGGATCCACATCATCAAAGGTTGCTGTAATAGCAAAACTATGTCCTGGCTTCTCACTGTAAGTTTGATCACCTTCAAAATCATGAATAGCAGTTGGACAAGTGTCGCCAGCTTTCTTTGAGGGGCAAACTGCATCAACATGGCATTCTAAAGCCTGAAGAGATTGAAAAGGAACCTTGACCTCATAATCTTCCATGTAATCCTGCAATTAAAATCGTTAAAACACATCTTCGTCAATCATCATAGCAATGAAAGTGAAAATATTATGAAAGAAACGTGAAAACAGAGAAATTAATCGGTTACACTAGGTTCAATAGCTAAGGCAAATGGTGCACATAGTTTAGGTGAAATTACATAATGCTCACAAGTGGAAGAGGACAGTCTTACACCAGGCATGGCAAGGAATCTCTCAAACAAAAACCACTTGGTAATAAACAGTAAATAGTCTTATCTAAGCCTGAAAATTGTACTCCTACAACTAGTCACGCCTAAAGAAGCAAGGTGATTTTCATCTGCAAGCAACTCGAAAAACATTGTAACCTACCCCACAAATAAAGAGGACTTTCTTCTTGGAGCCACTCATTTTGCCGCCCAATGCCTTCACAAAATGGTGAATAAGCTCCGGGTGCCCATCATAAGTAGGTGCACTAATGAGATTACCATCTACCACCGTTGTCGCCATGGTGTCAGGTTCAACCCAATGAGCACCAGCGGCAACCAGCACAGGTTTAACAGGAGGAAAAGAAGTGCACTTGCGACCTTTAACCACTCCAGCAGCCGCAAGAATCAAATGTCCGTGACAAATGCAAGCAATTTGTTTCCCCAAACTGAAAAACTTAGTCACCAGTTCCACAACACCAGGAATATGAGCAAGATACTCCGGCGCCCTTCCACCCGGCACCCACAACCCATCATAATTCGCAGCATCAACTTCATCGAAAGTAGCATTGAGTGCAAAATTGTGACCAATTGTCTCAGTATACGTCTGAAACCACCCAAAATGCAATCAATCAACTTTACCATACAAAGCATTTGGAACTGACTACAATTCTGGGAATTGATTGATTAGATTGGCATGTTTCTATTAAAATAATTTTGATTTTAAGTTGTGTCCATGGAAATTTTATGTTTATATTATGAGTTTAATTTTGATGCACATTTCGCGTAAATACTTAATATTAAGTATTTCTTCTATAGAAGTAAGAAATTCTTGCTCACATGACAACTTATGATTGGATGATGCTGTCAAAAAATTGTTACACTGCATTTCAACTAAATTCTTATAGAGTATAATCTCAACCACTTCACCTCTAGTAATTGTAAGTAAAAATTTAATTCATCATTTTATTTTTATTTTTTTTGCAGAAATAGCAAACAAACTACAAACCTTAATTTCTGCAAATAAATTGAATTAAGGTAAGAATTAAGAAAGAGCGAAGCGCGTGGACCTGTGCACCGGCAAGCTCATGGACGGCGGTGCGGCAGACGTCGGCGGCTTTCTTTCCGGGACAAACGGCGTCAACGGAGATTCCGAAAGCTTGCAATGCCTGAAACGGAATCATGGCCTGCAAGTAACACGAAACGTGAGATATAAATGAATTGAAGAGCGTGTGAGTGTGAGTGAAGTGAAATGGAACGTACTTCATAGTCTTCCATGAAGTCCCCGCAAAGTAGCAGAACCCTTTTCGAAACCATGCTTTGCTTCAAACAATTCACAAACACTCTCGCAGAAAATGCAGATGAGATTGTTATGCTGCAATCAGCAGCATCTTCTTCACCGCAACCACGCTTATATAGTGATAATGCCTTCAAATTGATGGCTGTTAGTAAATTAATATTTGAGCAAATATTAAAAAACATTAATCACCCAAAACTATTTAGTTTTAAAATAAAAAATTATTTTAAATGAATTTACTTAATTCTACTTAACCAGTCAAAATAACATAAATAATAAAATTCAATTATATGCTATTTTTCATCATAATATTTTATTTTATTTTGTTTCATTCATTCATTTATTTTAATTGTAATACCAACTTAAAATTTGCAAAAACAGACAAAATGCATTGTTATAGTACAACAAAAGTTGCCGCTTTGGCTGCCTTATATATATTGATGTATTTTTTAATAGTAATAGAAAATATCATATTATTTTTAATTAAAAGAAACACTGGAATTGCTATCCATGAAAATATAAAATTGAAGAAAATATTTTTTAAAACATTGATAGGAAATTTATTATATAATGTTTCTATTTAACTACTATCATCTCTACTGAATTTTAAAATATTTGTATAATTTTTCAAAATTTTAGAATATAAGAATTATGTTTAGAAATTTAGAATTATAGTCTGAATTTTCGTATTGTCTTAAAAAAAAGCAGCAAATGTTGTGATTATAGTTAAAGACTTATGAACTTGAAAATAAAACAAATAAAAATATTGACGGTTGCATTATTTTCTCCGTCTTTGGAATTAAGCAGAAATTCTTGAAGTTGGGTTTATGAAATTTCTAATCGGATATTATATTATTTAAACACAAAATATTGATTCAGTGAATGGACAGATGTGGAGAAAAGGAATTGTCAACAGTCACATCGGAAGAGAAGCCATTAGAATAGAAATCTCCAGACTAATGCCACCATCTTCTGCGTCCTTTCAAATAAATAAACAATTTCGGATCAAATAAATAAAATCAAATATTTTATGACTTTAAACTTTTTCATTGGAGCAATGTGAAAGTGGACGTGCCGGAGTGGTTATCGGGCATGACTAGAAATCATGTGGGCTCTGCCCGCGCAGGTTCGAATCCTGCCGTTCACGTAATTTTTCCAATTTTATTTACCCTGTCCTTTTAATAGGTAGTTTTTGTTCTTGGTCTTGTAGGTCTTCCTTGTGTTCTTGTTCTCAATCTTGATCTTGTTTTCGTTTTCTTGTTTTTGGTCTGGTCATGTTCTCTTGTTAATTCTTAGACATGGTTTTGACCTTGTCATCGGTTTCTTGTTCTTAGTCTTGATCTCATTCTTGTCTTTTCTCTTCTCTATTTCTGAGTACTCGTTATTATCTTTATACATACTAGTTTTATTCTTTGGTGATTCTTTGTACAATTTATCAGCACGAAATCTTCTGCTATAATAAAGGTTCTGCAATTTTTACTTTGGTTCCCTTCGCAGTTTTTCAAAAAGTAGAAAATATTTCAACTCCTGACATCCTTTCATACGGCATAGGATTTATATTTCAGTTTGCTGTATTCTTTAATTCCACTATAAAATGATTATTTTTGAAGCTTGATGTAAATCCAGCGTTGGGCCAAAGGGTGTTAAGCTGCTCGCAGGCTTTCAATTCTTTCATGTTGGCTTCCACTCACTTCTTTTTAATGTCAAACTAAAGTTTTTTTGTTACAGTAAAAATATTCTGATATAATCCCTAAGTAGGATTTAAGTCTCACATCCATTCACTAATGCTTTTAAGACCCTTCAGATTTTGCCAAACCAAGATCATGTAGCCAATAAAAAAAGGCAACCTGCGTAAGATTGTGATGACATTAACTGGTGATGATTGAGTATACTCACTTCAATCACCATGAATATTGGTACTCTTGTCTAGAGATATAGATTTTACGAGTGAGATTGATGGGCCAAAGCATTACTTAAATTCTTTACCGCATATAATGTTATCACCTTGTCTTTCTTATGTATATATTTTTTATCTTACAAATTTGAACTATTGTCAAGAGTAAAATAAATTTGACAAAAAAACACAAACAGAAGGAAGAGGGAGAGAGTTTGAGAAATAAATCAACAGACCATAAGTTTAGATTTTGTTTTCATTCAATGAGTGTATGTTTGGAAACATTAAAAAGTTTGAAAATGTATAAGAATAAATGTGAGTCTATCTGCATCCTTACTTAAAATCAAATATTCTATAAAACTATGTACGTAACTTACTCTTCAATTCATTCTTTTCAATATACTATTAATTAATGATTAAAATATATAAAACATTATAAAAGTATAAGAAAAAAAATTATCCAATTATAATGAAAAAAGAGTACGACTTATATAATTTTATAATTTTAATAAATAATAAAAAATATGTAAAAAAATTATTATTATTATTATTATTTCTTTAATTTAACCTAGTTCAATAATTAATTAAATTATAATAAATTGTATTAGCCATTGGCTTAATTTTTTTATAATTATCTGAGCACCAACTTATTTAGTTTACTAGATTAGTTTTATACTTCAAATAAATAAAAAGATAAAAAGACATATGCGATAAACTCTACCGAGTTACACATGTTGTTAATACTAGAAATACGACAGTACTAAAATACGGTAAAAAAAAAAGTGATAATTTTATATATACAAATATTAATTAAATAATTTTTTTTTCTGAAAAATGTGGATAGTTATCCGGCTGGCCTAACCTCAATTACAGTGCTACAAACAGCACTTAAATCCACTGTTTTTCACTCATAAACGACAGCAGTAGTCCTGTCGTTTGACCGAGCACTTTATCTTCGAAAACCTCAAAACAAGAGCGTTAGGGTTCACAGCTCCGGCGACAATGGAGGTAACGAACGCCCGGAAGCGCGCCACCAAACGGAAATTCGAAGACGGCGTTTCAGAGTCACCGGCATCCGTTTCCAACGGCTTCAACAACGACGTCGATCTTTCCCTTCTCGAAGCCATAGAGAAATCCCAAAACGCCGTCGAAGTTCTCGACCTCCGAACCCTAAAGAAGCTCGTTCTCTCCTTCGAACGTCGCCTCAAAGAGAACATCGAAGCTCGTCTCAAGTACCCTAATCAACCCGATCGCTTCGCCGACTCCGAAGTTGAACTCCACGATGAGCTTCAGAAACTCAAGGTCCTCGCCGGAGCACCCGAACTCTACCCTGACCTCGTCAGTCTCAATGTCGTTCCTTCAATCGTCGATCTACTCAACCACGACAACACAGACATCGCCATCGACGTCGTTCAGTTGCTCCAGGACCTCACCGACGAGGACGTTCTCGACGACAACGACGATTCCGCTAGGGTTTTGGTCGATGCTTTGGTCGAAAACAGCGCGCTCGAGCTCCTCGTTCAGAATCTCCACCGGTTGAACGATTCCGACCCCGACGAAAACGCCGCCGTTTACAACACGCTCGCGACGATTGAAAATTTTATCGAGGTGAAGCCCGCAGTGGCGGAATTGGTGTGTGAGAGGACCAAGCTCTTGAAGTGGTTGCTGGGGAAGATCAAGGTGAGGGAATTTGACAGTAACAAGCAGTATGCATCTGAGATTTTGGCGATTTTGTTGCAGAGTAGCACAGTGAACCAGAAGAAGTTGGGGCAGATGAATGGGGTTGATGTGGTGCTTCAGGCTGTGGCAATGTATAAGTCTAAGGATCCAAAGAGTTCTGATGAGGAGGAGATGGTTGAGAATTTGTTCGATTGCTTGTGTTGTTTGTTGATGCCGTTGGAGAACAAGGAAAGGTTTGTGAAGGCTGAAGGGGTGGAGTTGATGATAATTATCATGAAACAGAAGAAATTGGCTTATGGGTCTGCTATTAGGGCGCTTGATTTTGCAATGACCAAGTACCCTCCTGCTTGTGAACGATTTGTGGATGTTTTGGGCTTGAAGACAGCGTTTGCTGCTTTTATGGGTAAGGCAAGTGCTACAACCTTCCACTAAGTTTTGCAGAACCGTCGAGAGTTCAAATAATTATTGTTTTAAACTATTTATTAGCGCTTGTAATGGTTATGTATTTGTTTAAATTGCATATGTTTAGTTTTTGCTATCCTCATTTTGTAAAATGTGATTTCATAGCCGTCTTATGAATAGATTTTTTGTTGTGTATGTTGACATGTAGATTCCTGTAAGTAAGAAGAATAAGAAAGAAAGGTACCAAGAAGAATTGGAGGAGCGCCTTGTGTCACTGATTGCGTCATTATTTGGTAAGCAGGCAAGTGAGATTTTGTTGAGTTCAAGATTGTGTGCATCATAGGTTTTTTAAAATTTATTATGGTCAGGTTGCAGTTGCTTCTGCAAATACACAGTGCATCCTACATTTGATTGCGTATGATAACCCTCAAACTGTAATGGAGAGTTTGTGCTCTAAATGGGTTATTGAAAATTTGGTTCTTAAGAGAGCACAATTGCATCGCTCAATCTAGCCAATCTCATCTGTGGGATAAGGCCAGGTTGTTATCTGTGAAGGTGTTCTTCTCCTGCATTGTTACCTATGTTTGGAATGTAGTACATGCTATTTTGGATTGAAATTTGAAATATTATTGGTGTCTGTTACATGTTATTTATATATGAAAATGACGCCAAAGTTTTGAATTTTTCAAAGTGGCACTTAGTGCATCCATACATGAAATTGAAATATGCATTTTAGTGAGACATGAATTTGTATGTATACCTTTTGAGATATTGAGCTTCAGTGTTCTATTTTTTCCAGGTGGAATCTTGAGGGGTTCTAGGAGAGAAAGATTATTAAGTAAATTTGTTGAAAATGAATGTGAGAAGATAGACAGGCTAATGGAACTATACATCAGGTAGGTCGGACTTGTTTTCATCTCTTTGTGAAGTTCATTATTGTTGGAGAATGCTAACGAGTGTCTTAAAGACATTGGTTAAGGAATCAAAAGTGGGATGGTTTTATAGTAAAGTGTAACATTTAATGTTACCGATGCATCTTTTTTGTGACTTCCAATAAAAACCTTCTATTTGTCAGTACACCGGAGAAGTTGTGTTAGTTCTTAGTAGGGCTCTTGTTTTAGGGATTATATGTTCATTTGAACATTTGGAGTTTTTTACCTCCCCAGATATTCAGATAGAGTCAAAGCAGAAACTGAACGGTTGAATCAAGTTGAGCTTGATGACTTGGAGGTAGTTGAATTATTCTACACGTCATATTGAAATAACCTCTCTTTTAGCATAATCTAATATTTCTTTATTTTATAGATGGATGAAGATGAAAAATACAATCGTAAACTAGAATCTGGACTTTATACTCTTCAGGTAATTTTTCTTTAATGCACTAACTGATGCTGAGAAAGGACATGTAGTTGTACCTTTTTGTGTTTTATGAACTCAAACATAACAATTTCAAATAGATAAATGTCTTTATATGATATCATAGTGAACATCTTATCTTTGTACATAACCAAATGTATAGTTATTAACAAAATGGATTATATAAAGTTTTAGTTTCTTTTCATTTATTACATTTAGGAAGTATTTCCATAAACGCCAGTGGTGCTTGTCCTAGCATCGTCTATGTAGAAGCAGATACCAATTTTAAACCACCATTAGTGCACTCACAATTTTATATATCCTTCTGCAGTTGATTGCTGTTATTTTGGGTCAAATTTGGTGCTCAGAGTAAGTATTTGCCCCTATATATTGAGAAGGTCAAGAGCGTTGATATATATGCTTTCACCAGACTTGTGTTAATTAAATATTTTATGGTCAGGCATCCACAAATGAGAGGAAGAATTGAACTACTACTCAAGCAGAACAAACTTACTAAGCAGCATATCAAGGATATCCTTCAGGTATATATTTCCTAGGCGGCTAATATTTGAAATGATAACTTTGAAATCTCTATTTACTTTTGTTTATTTTGTTAGTGTTAGTTTCTATGTGGAGGATGCATTGATGAAGTCTAATGCTCAACTAAAATATCAGTTTGCAATTTTTCTCATGCTTTTTCATATTTCAAGGCAACAGCAATTTCATGATCTTTTTCTAAAAAATATTTTATTCGCTTACCGCAACCAAAAGAATTGTAGTTTCAAAATAAGAGCCCGTGAACTTGATTATCTTTTAGCAGTGAGTTGGCTGTAGTGTACCTGTGGCAGTATTAATTTTGGTAATTTAGTTATATTCCCTTTATCATAACTGACCCTTCTTAGCTTCCCTACTTGTGTGTTTGAATCATTCTGTGCATCACTTCGAGAAACCTAGTATTTTAAAAAATAAATATTAGAGGCTCTAATCTGTTGGAATTTCTTCTATGGTTCAGGAATATCATGATAATATAGGTGATCTGGATGGACCAGAAGAGAAGGAGCGAGCACAGACGAAAATTCAGAAGTTCATAATGGCATTTTAACTAGTGTAAAACTTAATAAACTTAAACTGATGTGATTAAATTTTTTTTCTAAATGCATGTAAAATCTCCTTTTTTGTCCAGAACGAGGAATAGATTGGTGAGGGTAATGGAGGAATCTGCAAATGTTGTTGAGATCACTGTCACGTATCGTTTTTGTCACAACTTTTATGGTAGTTATAACGGATATTATTTTCCCCTTTCGTGGGGGGACTAGTTCAATAGGGAAACTTCAGTCTTTCACTGTGTATTCTCAATAGGTATAACCTGAGATTAACCTCCACGCAAAGAGTGATAGTCACTTAAAAGTTTTCCATGTAGTGATGATTCTAACTTCTGAACCCTTCAATATTATAGGTAAATTTGTCTGTGATTTTAATATACCTTTCCTACGACCAATGTTATTTCCCGCAGGGAGCCATACTATACTTAATGGTCTTTTGTAATCGTCATCATAAGATGAATACGAAGTATATTTCAACGTAAAAGAATGGGGCTAAGTTCACAATGTTATGTTATACCGACGAGATCCAAGTTCTTGTTTGATCATGTATATGATGTGAGTTGATAATAATCATACCGTGAAATGTGATCATAATAGAGGAATGTTTTGAGAACATAATTAGCATATGTTATACCATTACTTTTATTGGATTTGAGAAATCCCTGAAGGTATTTTTGCTTCGGTTTGACATTGTCCTCGAATTTAACATATAAGAACACACCTTTGTAGATTTCACGACTATGGAATTTTCACACCCTGTCACGCTTCTTAGGACTTGACTCTTAAATAGTGCATATTCTCGATCTTATATATTACGGTAGTAAACTGTTACAAATCCTTGGATTCGGCTCTAAGATGTTACATAATCTAAATGGACACATTGAACATCATCTTCAGGCGACCTATTACAACTCGAACTGTTGTTCCTGGGGTGCAATATTTAAACTCCATCCCTCACCACCTTCGTTTCCATGGCCTACCCCTTAAAGAAGAACCTCTGGAATATAGATATATAAGAACTAGTTATTCAAACTAGCAATAACGCTAATCTAATGTGTACATTTTATTTTTGCATGCTCGTTGATACTTAAAGGAATATTACTTCATTTTCAATTGCCTATTTGGTTATTAATGAGTAAAATAAAAATCAATGGGTAGGTTAATATCAACTTACCTGGAAGTGCTAGCTGTTGTTGGTGATGTATCCCTTAGACTTAGTTTCTTGAATGGGGACTCGGATTCATCAAGTAATTCTATAAACAAGGCTTCCTCAATGGCCTCTGCCAGTTTCTTGTCATCATCGGCATTATGGAAACACTCTTTTCCTTCAGCATCATGCACTAGATTTCTCCATACAGAGTCACTACTTTTTAAAGTTTTTGCATTCCCTAATATCCAAAGGCAATGTCTGCACAAATTAAACCCAGTTTTCAGTTTCACTCTTGCATGTTCTTGAAACTTTGAAGCATCAATGTAGTAACATGATCATCTTATACAAGTGTCAAGTAGCATACCTAGCCCGAGTCAGTGCCACATTTGCTCTCTGCCGATTGGAAAGAAAACCAATTTTTGCATTATCATTAGATCTCACCGTGGAGATTATTATTATATCTTCTTCACCACCTTGAAAGCCATCAACAGAACGAACACTAACAGCGAAGTCAGGATCAGAAACCAAATTGTTCTGCTTAATTTTTTCCTGGATTTCATACACCTGAGCATTATATGGAGATATGATTCCTATGCTAACTTTCTTCTTTGTCCTCAAAAATTCTGTTGCAAAAAAGGAACATTATCATGTACATGGTATATTGTTGTATCCAATAGAAGAAGCGTTCTTATATGAGATTAATTCAACACATAATTCACAAACGCATAATTGGACATTAGAGAGGAGAAAGAAATTTTAACCATTTTCAAGGCTTTCGATAATCTTAGAAACAACAGCAGCCTCAATCTTGTTCTTCACACTGTATCCATGACTCTGTTGCTCTTTACCCTTAGCTATGTTTATAAATGAATATGAAGAATACATTTTTCCTTCAAGAAAACACTTATTATAGCTCATTTCTCTGACAATGGGGGCATCAGTAAGTTGCTCATCATAGAACTCCTTATTTGGGAATAAGCTGATGGATGGATGCATTCTATACTGAACATTAAGCAGATGCTTCTTGTATCCCAACAATACCAGCCTCTCAAATAAACTTCTTCCATATTCAGCCTCTTCAGAAACCTGAATTTTCATCATTATAATCATATTGGAAAGTGGAAGCTACTCCTAAACGATGCACACAATCCAAATCACATGAAAAACAAAAAAGAAAGACAAGAAAACAAGTACCTTGCTTTTGACTACTGCAGGAAGTTGTCTCTCATCACCAATGAGGACTACATGGTGGAGGCCTGGCAGCTGCAATGGAATGGCTGATTCACATTCCTTTAGCTGTGCTGCTTCATCAATAACTAAAAATTGCACCGGTGTCATTCCATCTGTGAACAGTCTGGTAGAACTTGCTGCAGTACAAAAAATCAGGCACGCATTCATCAAGCAAATTTTTGCCACTCCATATTTGTCAGTAATGTTTGGAAGTGAAATTGTCTTGGAAAGTGATCTCAGTTTGAGAAGGAAGTCCTTTTTTATTCTTAACCTTCCAGGGCAGTCAAGAATGCTTTCTTCATCCTCACAGCCTTGGAAAGTTTGCTTCAACTTGGCTTTACTAAAAGAGGTTTCAAGAGATCCTAGTAAATCAAGAGCTGAAGAAATTTTCTTTATCTCCTCAAATGGAATTAAAGAAGTTGGTAGGTGTGTATACAATGTTCTTTTGTATACCTTGAGTTTCTCTCCAATGAGACTGAATCTCTGCATAAAAAATTGTTCCAATGTCATGACTCTATTCTTGCGTACATCCTTATACAAAAGGTATTGCGCTTCAATGTAAGAGTATTTTTTCTTCAAAAATTCCTCTAGTGTTAGAGGATCATCATTCTTCCCACGTTGCTTGTATGAACGATATGCAAGTTCTACATAACTGTACTTTTGCTTAACAAACTCTTCTAATGACATAAGGCCATCTTTTTGCTCATCACCTATGCCACACTTATACAAACCATATTGCTCTTTGGGGTCCTCAAGCAACTTGATCATTGATTCCAAGTAATGTTTCCATCCAGTCAATGGAGCAAAACACTCGACAAGATTATCCACACGATAATCAAGAAAGACATCATGGAGGCCGCGATATCCATCTACTTTCATTCGAGATTTATTGCCAAATACCACTATGTCACCAAAGCCATATGTATCATGGTCAAGTGACTCCTTAACTAAATTCTGGAGGCGAGAAGCCACTTCCAACACTGCAGTATTAGTTGGAGCACATGTTAATGTTCTAGTTTTCAACTTGAGAAGGGAAAATAACAAGGAAGCCACTGTCTTTGTCTTGCCAGTCCCTGGTGGGCCCCATATAAGTTTAATGTTGTCATTATGATGACATTCCCTCATGGTAACACAGCTTAGAACTGCATTTTTCTGGGATTCATTCAGATTCTGAGACTGGATTATGTTTTGTACCCTAGAACAAGCTACACTATGGTTTTCCTCAGAAAAGCAAAGATGACAATTTTCTCCATTCTGTAAAATATAAAGCAAACATGAATTAGTCATTAAATTCTTCCCATTTTTTCAAGAAATATATTTGAACATATATGGCATCATGCCACTTTGAAACAAATGCATGAACATGTCAAAATAAGTACTCATGTAGAAAAAGCTACTAATGGTATATATGAAGTTACAGTTAGTAAAATAGCTTAAGTAATATCATATATTACCAAATAATAATAGAGCTAGTGATGAATGGACATGGTGATTCTTACATTTGAATCAGCTTGTAGCACTTTTTTAATCATGGTCGTGCTTGCACCCTCCAGCTCGGAGTTCAAGGCTTTCCAAATACGAATATTTGTTGTCAGGTTCAAAAGATAGATGGCATAAAGCTTTGGTGCATTGTTGCTCTTCAAGGCTAACTCAATGTCCATGTCAAAGCATTTGGATGATAGAATTGAGATATTGTCAGTGTTTTCTTTTGAACCATGAACATAAGCGATATGGTAGTTTCTTTTGGGCCTGTTCAGGTCATCTACAGTTTTTGGTTTAACATCTGTGAAGGCAAATAGATCTCCAACCTCAGGCTCATATTTTCCAACATCTTTGACATCATTATTGGTTCTTTTCACTGAAATTTGGTAGAAAAATCCCTTGGTAGGTGTGAAGCTTCTTGATCTTTCAAGTTCAACACTCAAGATTTCACAAAAGGGAGCTCGAGACACGCCTGTTAAGCTTGAAGACAGTTCACTGTGAATTTCCTCAACGAGTGAAGGAATGAAGGAGTTCATGTAATCTTTAGTTGACAAGAATGTTTGCGGGATCTTCCGTATCTGAGAGAAAACAATGTTTCAAGTTTGCATAATTTGATAATATATATCTTTAGAGGGACACAATGACTTGCTAATGTTAATGCAAGTGGATTCTCCTAACAGATTGTAGCCATTCTCCTGATAGACTTAAATATTTATCATGCGAAATTACGTAAAAAAGATGCAGAGAGCATTAAGGACAGTTAAGTGAGTTTTGCAACCAAGAAAGATATGAAAAACAAATTTCAAATTTTTTCATCATGCAGGTCTAAATTCCATTTTCCTAAACTAAAACAGGCATAAGAAAAACAGAATAATGACAAAATGTAGAATCCTTAGAACCACATGGATGATTGATGAGTTTCTGACAGATATTTTTTCAGATGTTACGTTGCTTTTCATGTTTAGTATTGGAAAGAGAGAGAGAGAGAGAGAGAGAGAGAACAACTTTGTGCTTGCAGAGGTTTTCGTTGAGAACATCCTTGAGAGTCCAAGAGAATACAATCTCCACCAAACTGGCATAATCAAGACCCTCCCCTTTTGCATTACATATCTTCTCCATCATTTGCTTTCTCCTAACCACTTCTTTCTCAACAAGGCAATCTATAGTAGAAGAATGTCACAACTCAATCACACTTTCTTCTATATATATGCAAACCAAAACAAAAAGACAAATATAAAGAATCCCTTACATATAAAGGAACTAAATAGTCGACACAAAACTTGCTCAACAGATATACCAGTGTTTCATATTCATGATGAAAGTGAAAGGAAGATTCTTATAGTTAATGGACCCTTTTTTATGGTCATCAAAAGTAACTTAACGTACACATAAAACGTCACAACTAAAGGAAAAGTTGTGGAACTATAAAACAGAAAAATATTAATAACACGAAAAATATTAATAACACTTGTTAATACATTTTATAATACTAATAACTCACTCTTTCACACATATTTTATAATTAGTTGATTTTTAAAAAGTTAAAACAATTTTTTAAATATAATTAATTAACGAAATAAACACTATGATCTTTTACAAAATAAGTTAAGGATAAATAGCATAATCAAAAGAATACATTGTTAGCACTTCTCTTAAACAAATGTACTAAGATATTGACGTGAGGTCAACTATAAGTAATTCCATTGGACAATCTAAAAGAGGTCGGCTACTCGGCTTTATGCACTATTGGGTACTTTCCTAACAATTTTGGTGGAATGTGAAATGAAGCAACCTGAAGGGTATGTTTGGTTTGAAAATATTCTGACTATGTTTTTGGAATTTTCTATCACTTTCGATGTTTTCTACAAGTTTGTTGATTTCAATGGAAAATGTTGTGTACAGAATAAGGAATTCTACCTTATTACTTAATGCATAAGTATCAATTAAAAAGAGAACCTAAAGAGGCATATAGAATAATATCATAATCCTAGTCAAATATTTAAAAAATGATAATATGTTAGTTTCCTAAAATCAATAATTGATAAGAAAAAGATTAAAAATTCCTAATTATGGTCAACTTTTTGGATTGCTAAAAATAATAAATTCTTCTGATTTTTTTAGAAGCAAAAATTCTTCTGAATTAACATAGATTTCCATTGTTTTCTATGAATAAGCTTAGTTTCAATGTATGTAATCTTTTTACTGCATCAACCCAGTACACATGTTATAAAATATAGGGCTAAAATAAAAATTTTTGAGAGGGAATAATCTGCTCATTAAATTTTGATATATTTTATTTTTATAATTATTTAATTTAAAATTTTAATGAATTGAATGATAAAAAATAAAAGTTTTAAAATTTTATTAAATTTCTTGTATCACGATTGAGGAAGAGTTAATAAATAATTTAATTAAAATTTTAAATTCTTTATAAATTATAGAAAAATAATTTATAAATTAAGAGCCACTATCTCTTTTGTTAACCTGCTTATAAGCTTAGAACACATTCTTAAAATTACTTTTGAAGTATACAAAATTTATTTGATACATTTAAACTTTATAATATCTTATGATTATTAATAAAATGATATATGAAATGTGATTATTTGTAGAACTCCATGACCCAAAAACCAGAAACTGCACAGACGACTTTGAAGCGAGTAAATCCAGATGCTGTTCCCAAATCCATGAATTCTTGCTGGGTTCTCTCTTTTCCTCCTGAAAATTGAGTCATCATGTAGAGGTCCCATATGAAAGCAACTTTGGCTCCTTTCACTGGCAAAATGGGAAGAATTGTATCCACCACAATAACCTTTCCATCATCAGGTATAGCCTTGTGGCAATTCTTCAAGAGCTTCAAGCACTCTTCATCACTCCAATTATGAAGTATCCACTGAAAATTTTTGGTCCAACAAAATCATTTTGTCAATCAATCATATATATATAATACGAATTTTGTTCACTTATTGCATGAAAATATTTAACACCAGAAGTTCTTTAATTATTTTAAAAAAAATTCCAACATCAAAGATTAATATATACAATAACATTTTTAGAAACTAATCCTCGTTCATGCTTCATGTTTGCCATTGCCTTCAGGTAAACATATACATGCATATAAATTGAGTTTATATCATTGCGTCAACTCTTTGAGTTATTTAGATTTAATATCATAATTCTTAATATTACCCATAAATGTGGTTGGTTAGTTCAACATCAATTGTAGTGGCCAAATTTATGAAGAACATTAATGATATGGCTGCAAGTGTGGTTATCGAAAGCAATTCAAATCCATATGATTATGATCCTAGCTGTATAAAATATTACGTTTAGGAATGAAAATAGGTATTCGAAAGATACCTACAACTTAGTCTTATTTAAAGAATGATTTAAATTGCATTATTCAAATAATAGATTTAATTTTAAATTTTTTATAAGTTTAACTAATTAAATAGATTATTTTTAGAAGGATATATAATTTCCATGGTAATTTAAAAAAATTATAAATATCACCTTCATAAAAATGGCATCTCCTCTAGGAACGCTCTCAAACATATCTCCTTCCACATGCTCCACGCCTACAATGTTATAATCAACAGTTTTAATTAGCGTAGATAATAGTTTCTTTTAAAGAAATTTTTCAAATATAAATTAAAGGATTATAGATCATACCAGCATAGACAGGAGCATGTTTGATGACATGAGGTAAATCAAAATTCACACCGTGGAGATGAGGGTATCTGGAAGTGATCAACTCGAGATTGACTCCAAGACCACCACCAACATCCACCAATCTACCTATTTGCTCAAATCCTTTGTAGACTTCAAGGATCTTCTTTGTAGTTATAGTGGTTGTGTGCAGCATTGCTCTGTTGAAAACTTCATTAAACCTGAGATCTCCCCTTGAATACTCAAAGATATTCATGCCATGAGCCCTGTTGAATGGTAAACCACCTTCTAGGATTGCTCCTTTTAGCTCCATCCTACAATCCAACACAAATAAATTGCTTATATAACAAAAAAAATTAAAATAAAGAAACGCCCCATGGTCTTACACTTCACCTTAATTAAGTTTGGGCAAATTTTTTTTTCCTGGTCTCTGAAATTTATGCAAGTTAAGTCTGGACATGTTACCAACAGTACAGAGCATGTACGATATTATGTTAATTTCTAGCGGTTGAAATAATGAAATTTATAGAAAATGTTCCTTTCCAGTAGCACACAATATTCTTCTCTTAGGGGAAGGCATAACCCAAAAGCTAATAAAACTTACCAGCTTACATGCTCGACTTTGTCTTTAGCTAAAGCCATTAAGGGGCCAAGTGAGACACCATCATCGTCATTAGTCACAAAATATTTGGAGGGAGGTGTCAGAGCATAGAGCCTTCGTGAATCTTGAGAAATAGAGCAATGTAATACAGAATAACTAGCCAATAGCCCAAGAATACGATCAAGCATTTGGGGTGCTTCTGGGTTGTTGCCCCCAATTTGAAGTGCAATATCCTCTGCAGAGAGCTTGGCACCTTCACCCGATTTCGCTATGATGTTGAAAACGCCCAACTCGAAAGCGCAATGCAATGTCATGGAAAAAACAATTGAACTTGTCCATTGGATAGCAACATTAACGTCGTCTTCTTGTGCCATATGAATCTTGTCTTCACCATTGACAAGTTCTACTTTACATTCTAATGAACTCGCCATAAGGAGTTGGAATGCTAAATGGAGCAACTAGTAAGAGGGATATACAACTATGCATAATAAGGCCAACTTTCTAGGATAAGAGGGATGTACAACTATGTGTGTGTGATTGTTAAAAAAAGTAGAAAAAAAAATCAATTAATGAGATTTTGAGTCTATATAATAAAACTTGCTTCTTTATCAAACAAAAAGTAAAATTAAATGCAACAAATTAAGAACTAACTTTATGTCATTCTCACAAAGATTTCAGTTACAAACATTAAAACTAAAATATAAAAATTAAGAGAAATTTAAAGGTAAGTAAGAACATAATTAAGAAATTAAAATATAAAAAAAATTAATAAAACCTGTAATTTTTACTTTATAAAAATATATTTTAATTCAATTAGAGAATTTAAATTTAAAATTTTTAATCTAAATTCTTAAACTATCATGTTGAACACATAATTTTTATCAATATAATATTATTCTTCTCAATTCAATTTTAAAAGTTTGAATCAGACAAAGTAATGAATTCAATATTACACTTGATAAATGTAATATGATAAAAATAAAAATAAAATATTTTATGATAAAAAAAAAAAAGAAACATGAAGTCAATGAATATCTTTCTTGATCTTTTATCACTCACCTTGCACTTGAAAAGCCTGTTTTAAATTTAATATTTACTTATAATTTTAAAATATATTATACATTATGTTATTCAAAATTTTCACCCTCATTTTCATACGCAGGAGAAAATTTTGAAACTTCCAAATCAGTGGTCCCTCTTCTGCGTGCATGGTTCCATCCCTGGGCCTATCACCAAGCCCACCATGTGATTGTCTGAACAAATAGGTGTTGAAGAACCATTTGCTCATGGATAAAATTACTGAAATATCCAATTGATTTACTAAATTACTTGTGAAAAAACATTATGCATATTCCCAAGATGTCACCATTTTTTTGGTTAAATTTTTAATTAAAAATTAATCTATTTTATTTTATTACCATAATTATAGTTACTTATTTGGCAATTCAGAAATCATTGGTGATTATTAATACATTAAACTTTATGATATCTTATGATTATGAATAAAAATTTATCATACATAAATTTGTAATAAGTACTGAAAACATAAAATGTGATTATTGATGACAGAACAATTTAAGGGAATAGTAATCTAGGTGAGTCTATTTGTAGAACTCCATGACCCAAAACCAGAAACCTCACAAACAAGTTTGAAGCGAGTAAATCCAGATGCAGTGGCCAAATCCATGAATTCTTGCTGGGTTCTCTCTTTTCCTCCTGGAAGTTGAGTCATCATGTACATGTCCAATTGGAAAGCAACTTTGGCTCCTTTCACTGGCAAAATGGGAAGAATTGTATCCACCACAATAACCTTTCCATCATCAGGGATAGCCTTGTGGCAATTCTTCAAGAGCTTCAAGCACTCTTCATCACTCCAATCATGAAGTATCCACTGAAAATTTTGGTCCAACAAAATCACTATGTAAACCAATCATGTATATATATATGCATTGTGTTGACTGGTAATTCATTGCATCAAAATATTTAACACCAGAAGTTCTTTAATTAATTTGAATGTTTTTTCCAACATAAAAAATTAATAAATACAATAACATTTTTCAGAATCTAATCCTTGTTCACGGTTGGTGGTTGCCATTGTCTTGAAAAAAATTTCGTACACAGTAGAGTTTAAACTTAAAACTTCTTGCTAAATAGATCATTACACACATATAAATGCAATTGAGTTTATATCATTAAGTCAACTCTGAGTTATTTAGATTCAATACTTTGGCCATTGAAGACTTACAAAAGCATGCTGTCTGTTTCAAATAATAATTTATTACATCAATAATAAATATAATAATTTTTGCATTAGATTTTTTTTTACTCCTTAACTTGTAAGTTAGAAAATCCATTATTTCTAATACCAAATATATTTTTTTAATTGATTTTCAGTTCCTTAAAAATTTATGATTTTTTAATTGGTCCTACATTTTAAATTATTTTTAGACAAATTCTATATAAAATATTTTTTGTTACAAAATAGCTTTTTATGTTTATTTTTTTCATTTGACCTCTCTAAATATCACATATTTTTCATTTAGTGTCTTATTCTCTATAAAATTTATGATTGCCAAATTTTTACATACAGTAAACATATGGTTTGTCAAAGTTCCTATATGTTGTGGTTCCAACTTCCGGTTGCAGTTACAGTTATATCATAATTCTTAATATTACACATCAATGTGGTCGGTTGATTCAGCAGCAATTGTAGTGGCCAAATTTAGAAAAACATTAATGATATGGCTTCAACTATGGTTATAGAGCCGTTTGACGGAGCCTAGAGATTAGTCTATTTAAAGTCTGATTTTATTTATTTTATTTGAGTAATAAGTTTAATTTAATTTTTTAAATTTCTCAAGATCATATTTGAGTTTAAAAAAACTTATTAAATAAGATAAAATAACATATTTAAAATTCTTAAAATTTACAATAATGTATTAAATAATTTTATAAATAAATTACAATATAATTTATATAAAATAAAATAAATAAAATTTAAATTTAAAACTTTAATATTTTTTTAAAATAGAAAAGTTATATATTTGAGAGATGAAACATTGCTTTCTAGAGCAATTTTTCCCATTATTATTACTTAATTTATCTTATATAGATACATTAATATGTATTTACATTGTCTTAATTATGTCTATTATTAATTCATTTTATTTATCATTTTCTTTAATTGTGTGTGCACATGAAAATATATATATATATAATTTAAAAATAATAAATAAAAATATATAACTTTATTACAAATATTTAAGATATTAAACAATTTTTTTATGGTTTATTTAAATATAAATTTTATAGCTTTTATTAAACATACTTATATAAATAGTTTGATAATTTATTTATAAATAGATTTAATAATCCATCAAAAGTCTAAATATGAATTAAGATATTAAAAAACCTAATAAGTTAAATCAAATTCTATGTAAAATGTATTCTATTCTAAATTATTTTCATTTATTAGAAACAAATGACGTGTCTCCACTACATATCCATATGTCAGATTATATCTATCTATATAAAGAGAGAGAGAGAGTGTGTTCGGATTTTTAAGATGATATAATGAAAAGAAAAACGATTTTTTATTCTTTTATGCTGTTCTTATATTTTTTTTTCATATTATCTATTTAGTCTTACTATTTTTAGTGCAGTTCTAACAAGAAATTATATATGAAAGTATTGGCATAATCTATTTGTAGTGATAAAATACTCTTAAACTAAGTATTTTGCATATTTTAACTAAAATTAATGAGTTTATTTTTTATTTTATTTTTCATATAATTACATCTGTTTGTTTTTTAAAAAAATTGGTGTTTCCTATCAACTTTGTTTCACACTTTTGTCTTTTTTTTTTTTTTTAGTTATTTTATCTTGATTTAACAAAAATACAAAATCTTTGATGGAGTTGGAACATTTGTTGTAAATCAGCAGGAAAATAATATTTTGCTCAGCATTTGTAAACAAAACAATGGTAATAATGTTTTATGGCGTTAATTAGATTAATTTTTTCATATATATTCCTCTATCTATTCCTAAAATCAAATTTAGTTATTTTTTAAAAATAAGCTGAAAATAGTGAACTTTGTCGTAAAGTTAGCTGGAATTTGAGAATTTGAAGTTAAAAGTTTATAAATATATAAATAACTTATAACTAAAATAAATTGACCCGTCAACATCAAGTAAATAAACAAAATAGATTAAAACAAACATTATTTTGAGCATATTTTTACTACAATTCTTGTAATTGATTTATTTTTTAAAAAGTCTACTTACCTTATAAATTGATCAATTTTAAATATTATTTTGACTTTTTAAAAAATTAAACAATTCATACAAAGTATGTTAATTGCATTTATCGTAAAGAAAATGCATAAATGATCTTTCTTGATTGGCTTTGACTACAATTTTCTCTTGAAGTAATTGCAAGGCCAACTAAAATCCAAACCTGGATTGGATTCTTGCATGAAATACAAGAAAGCTAAACCTTTTGGAACTCATTCATTTAATTCGAATACTAGAAATAAAAGTCTTCGTAATCTTAAAAGTGGAAATTTTATGTTAAAGAAAGAAAGGTCATAAAAAAAGAATAAAAATTTTCTTTACTTACAAGTATTATATATTGTAAAAATTGAAATAATTCTTTTTTAGTATACAAGATTTTTCCGTACGATATTTTAGAAACTATTTTTAAAGAGAGAAGGAAGAAAAGATATATTTTTTAATTTCAAATTAAAATTATATATATATATATATACATTATTTATGATGATAAATATATTATTAATACATTAAATTTATGTTAATATATTAATTTTTATCTTTTATTTTAAAAAATAATTTAAAATATAAATTTTGTCTTTTTCTCTCGTCCCTTCAAAATCTCCCTTTCCCGTACATCTGCTTAGTAGCATAGAGTAAGAAACCTTTTGCAAAAAAGAAATTGGGATCACTTTTCAATAAACTTAACTTGTTAAACCTAATCTTTTTGGCTTCCAACTCTCTTAGGAACAATCCAGTGCTGATAGCACCACAAAACTTATTATCAAATGCAATTTAATGACTAAAATTGACTTAAAGTTATGCTTTGCATTTTTTGACTTCTAACTCTTTTGGGCGCAAGTTAATGTCAACACATAGCACCACAAAACTTATTATCAAATACCAATTAATTTTTTTTCTATCAAATGCTTTTCATTTTATAAAGATGAACTACTGAAGTTTACAATATGTAAGTTGAAAGAACATCAACTTGGATGAAACTCTTAAGCCTCTTACAACGCCACTTTTACTTCGAATATGGAACTTAATGACAATTAATTAATCAAATTATAAAATCGATTAAACATGTATAAAATTTATTTGATTTACCAATTGTCATTAACTGATTCTTTGCATGACCCAAATCTGATTCAGAAGGAAAACTTTCCAAATTCACCTTTTCAATTGTGTCATCTTCACTTTAAAAAAAATGTACATTAAATGGAGCACCAACCTCATGCCTGATCTTGTACATGAATAAATGGACTACTCGAATATCTAAATCTATAGAAGGGATTTGACTCATCTAGGGAGAGTAATTTGAGTAAAGTGAGACATCTTAATCATTAATGAAAAAAATTAGGACAGTATATTTTAACAAATGTATGATTGGTTGGCTATGTTAATACAAGATCATCCGTTGATTTTTCTCATCAATGATTGAGATTCTTTACTTTTCTCTCTAAAATGAGAGCTTGCTTCAGAGAGTCAAATCCCTACAAAAGAATATCACTTGTCTTGATAAGAGTAACTGGTGACCATCAGAAGAAAATTTCAAAAAAGTGGGTAGTGAAAAGAAAATTAATCTGTACAATAAATGAGATGGAACTAAAAAGACACCCCAAAAGCATCAAAGTAAATACAGGTTTCACATACCACACTGCTTCTTCCGTAACATATCAAGTTGGAATATTGGATTTAACCTATAAAGAAAATCCAATTAAGATAAATAGCAAAAAAAAAAAAAAAAAACTAAGAAGCTTTCTTATATTTATTAGGTGGATGTATGCATGACATATATCATTTCAATGCAGTGGGTGAATGCACGTGTGAGTGCATATAAATTAGAGCTGGCAAAATGGCCCAGCCAGATGAATTGGGTCAAAAAAAATCTGTCAAAAAATTTGTTAAATGGACAGATTTAAGCTCTAAAAAATTAGACCCGAAATAACTTTGGGTTATTTTGGCCAGGTCCAAATATGTTCGATAAGCGATAGGGCTTCAACCAGGTTAATTCATATGAGTTCGAGTAGCCAGTATATATATATATAAATTAAACTCTAAGTTATAAATAATTTAGAATAGAATATAATGTAGTTTCAAAACTCTAAAATTACAAATCCTAATAATCAAAAGGAGCACCGTTATTCCACTTATCTCTACGCTGAACACAAATTGCATATATTCCAATTTTCACATACTGGTCATCTAACGTCGAACGGAGATTGCAATTGCAAATTATATTTGTTTTTTGCATTCCAAATTCCAATATTTCATTCTAGGTAATTTATTAGCATTCTAATATTCTATTTGCAAACTAAATATTTATTTATTTTTAGGCAAATTTAATTTGACTTGATGCTCATTGATTTATTTATTTTTAATTAATTTATTATCTTATTAGTTTCTCATTTTAATTTAGTTGTTAAAATCTTTTTTTTTTGTTAAATAGCTAAATAAGTTTTAAATTATTTACAGTTTGTCAATAGATTCTAATGTGAGATTGAGAAATTTAGAAGATTGTCAAATATTGTTTTATATTTTTATAGACTTATTATGTGCATGGACTTTTTTTCTTAAGAAATTTGTTTAATTATAAACTTTTTTTATATTTTTGTGGACTTATTGTGTGTATAAAAATAAAAAAAATAGCTGTTACAAAAACAATAAAAAAAAGTATCAGTAGACTTTTACAATGATCCGTTACAAACACTAAAAACAACAATAAAAACAATGGTATGTTGTTACAAAAATAGTAAAAACAAATGACATGTTATAAAAATAAAAATAAAATTATTTAAATTGTCGAGCCGACTAGCAGAAACTCTTACCTCGCATAGGATAAGGCTTGGACAGTAAAAATATAAGCTCATTTTTATCTTGAACTAATTAAGTCCGACCTGTTTGAGCCCACTACCCATATCGGGCCGGGCCAGACCACTCATTTTGACAACTCTAATATAAAGATGTAATCTTACTTAGGATATATCATTTCAAATTGTAAAATATGTCAATTTCCCTCCTCACCATTTTTCTCCCTACAATTTAAGCATCACTATTAAAAGACTCAAGAATGACTAATCAAATACAAGAAAATTATCATTTTTCACCAATTAGAAGTAACAAGAGAGTTGAGATTAAAGAGACATATAACAATCATCCTACCCTAATCTAGAAAAATTCTTGGACATTCCTTGCAGGTTGCAGCAGATGCTTTCCCAAACTTCAGAGATTTGTTGTCCAATATATTTTAAAAATCAAGAAAGAATCATTATCTGCCTCAACATTAACAAAAGAAAATGAATAAATAATGTGAAAACTCAAGAAGAAACCAATTTGGAAAGCTATAAACAAATTATTCTTAGTTCCAAATGTAAAACCGGCCATAATGCTTTTTTCTTGATAAATATAAAGATGATGAACATCTAAAGAGAGAAACCAAGGTCAATATCGCATTCGCACTAACAAAAGGAAAGGCTTGTTTTTGAATTTAGAATAGCAATAACTACAAAATAAAATCTAAAATATATCATGGCCATGACTTCGAAGTCCTAAACAGGCAGAAAGAAAAACTTACCCATGACTTCGGACTGACCGAATTTGAGAGTAAATTACTCTGACCTCGGTTATATTTACTTGCATTACACTAACCTCTTCTCTATTGTAAAACCCTACACAAACCTCCCTTAAATTGTAAATATGCATTGAAAAACCTAGCTTAGAGTAATAGAAACAAAATTCAAGGAAGATGAGTAATATACTATTGATTTTAATTTAAACATCCCTCAGTCTGAGCAAAGCAAATTGGTTACATAGAGACTGCAGAGGATCAGTTTGTGTAAGATTATAATTGGTTGGATAACTCGAACTAGCTGACCATGTCACTGGAAAGTCAAATTTCCTGCAAGTAAATAATTATATTAACATTTCTACTTGAAATAACCTTTCCACTATTTTTAACTAGATGATGCAAATCATATAATTAGTAGTAGATTTATACCCATCAGAACATCTGATTTTGCAGCATCTAAGAATATCAACAGAATAATTCTTGTATGAGATGTCAATATCCCTTGCCATCGTTGATACCTCAGATAATGGCAAGACATCCCAAATCTTCAAAACTTGAATATAATTTGAGTTCTCCTTAAGAACATCTACAGTCCATACAAGGTAAAGCAACTCATTAACCTTATACACCTCCAACACTTGGGAAGAAGTATCATCCACAACTCCAATATTTATCTCCTGGTGGGGTTGACGCCAACCACTTGAAAGTTGCATCAGCAGAGAACATATTTTCTTGCAAATCTCAGTGCTCTTAATTCTTGTCATAGAGATCAGAAAACTCTGATTGAAGAAAACCTATAATAAAGATAGATGGTCACTGAAAAGATTGAGAATACATGAAAATGGTAAAGCTTTTAAGATTCTTCGGAAGACCTTCATCTGCTGCATCTGTCATATGGGTTAGAGAGCAGCTAAAATTCATCAATCTAAATGCCTTCTCCTTTGATGAGAGAATTTTAATTTTAGAACAATTTTCTGCATATGCTAAATACATATTGATCTGTTACGCATTTGCAATGCGAGAAAAATTATTGGGATTCAGGTAATTGGACTGAGTAAACTGGTAGGTCTGGGCAGTCACAACCCTGGGCTTGGTAAACACATGAGCTGCCTTGTTCCTTTTCATGTATTACATGTTGATGGTGAAATGTTTATTTCCAGCTTTCTACAACTTCACGAAACATATTCAAACTTTTATCAAGAATGAAGATAGGGGCCATTGCAAGAGTATGCAACTTGCTGCATTTCCATCAAACGAGCCCCCTACAGGTGATTATTTGCATTATGTATGATACTAAAATATGACCACAAGAAGACATGTTTGTTTAGGAACTGTTACATGTGATAAATAAGGGCAAGATTCCCTCATTAACTAACTAGGAATTGACTGTTGTGAGGAAAGAAATTGGATTCAGGTCCAGATTGAAGATGTGGATTCCATAGGTCTCAATTAAACCTTTTGAAAATGTTGATTGGGATTTCTCACATTTTATTCAGTCAGAAGTTTGTTATCTACACTAATCAAGTTCTAGTTGGAAATATTCTCTATTTCTTCTTATGTATCTTTTGGGGGCTTAACTTGTAAGTTAAAATCTTATGGCTTGTTTGACGATAAAAATAGATGTAAGAACAATTTCAAGCATCATACCTTCCACCTTGCTTTCCTAAAGAGCAGAGAATTCAAATTCAGTAGATCGTCAACTTGACCAAGCTCAATCATGGCAGTTGCAATAGCAGAAGACAATCTCTCATCCTCATCAGCATTGTGATAACACCCTCGAGCCATAGCATCAAGGACTAGTCTCTCCCAAACAGAGCCACTATTAATCAAAGTTACACCATTACCTACTATCCAAAGGCAATACCTACATTAGACAAGGAAAGTACATCTGTAACTAGCAGAAATAAAGAATTAGATATAGTGCTTGGCAGAGAACACATTGTCACCATACCTTGCTCTTGTTAAAGCAACATTAGTTCTCTGAAAATTAGAAATAAATCCCACAAATCCCATGCTATTATATCTGACAGTAGATATTATTATCACATCCTCTTCACCACCTTGGAAACCATCAACAGTAGAAACTTTCACGGAAAAGTCTTTATGCACATGACCACCAATCCTTTTTCCAAGAGCATCTTGTATGGCAACAACTTGAGCTTTATATGGTGAAATAACACCAACAGTAACAGTCTGTTTTCTAGAAGTTGATTCTGTAAAGAGATTATAGATAATAATAACAACCTCATAATTAGGATGGAAATACATTATTCATAAATTATATGGACAAAGCAACACATAACAAGCATTTATAGTTCAGTTGGTGTTTTTCACTCGTGGTCATGTATCATATCACATTAAAAATTACCTTTATAAAGGTCATGAACAATCTCAGATACCACACCAACTTCCACCATATTTTTTCTGCTATTCCCTTCACCAAATTCATCTTGTCCATAAGCAACATTTATGAAAGAGTAGAACTTAAACATATCTCCTTGTAAAACAAGCTTCTCATAGCTTTTTCCTTTGACACTAGGAGAATCCAAAATCTGTTTGTCATAGAACTCCATATTTGGAAACAAGCTAATGGATGGATGCATTCTATATTGAACATTGAGAAGGTGTTTTTCATGACCCAAAAGAACCAGCCTTTCAAACAAACTTCTCCCAAACCCCGCCTTGTCAGAAATCTACATGTTGGCAAAAATTTATAGAATGTTAAGATAGTTTGTCTATGAATCTCATTGAAGAACAAAAAATGTGAGGCATAATAACAAACAAGCTTGCATAGACAGGAAGTCAGGAATTAACAAGACTGGAACACACCTCACTTTTGACTAAGGCAGGCAATTGCTTCTCATCTCCAATAAGTACAATATGACGAAGACCAGGAAGTTGTAAAGGTATAATTGATTCACATTCTTTGAGTTGAGCAGCTTCATCAATAACTAACATTTCTAGTCTATCAAATCCTACTGCATGCAGTCTTGCAGAGCTTGAAGCAGTACAAAAAACCATGCGAGAGCATCTCAAACAAAAGTTTTTTATTGAATATTCATCAAAAAAATCAGGAAGAATCAACACTTTTTGAAGTGATTTCAACATTTTAAGGCATTCTTTCCTGGTCATATGCAACTTATCCTGCCAAGTACAGCAACTAATGCTACTTTCATCAACATAAGTAGCAAGAGCATGTTTAAATCCTTGATCAGTAATGGAATTGTTTGATAGCACCACTGCAAGGACTTTATGCTGATCAAGACATTCAAATAAAGTTTTCACTACACTTAATGAAATAAAAGAAGTTGGCAAATGAGTACACATATCAACGGCAAATTTCCTCATCTTCCCCCTGATGAAATTCAATTTTTCCTTGACAAACTCATGAAATGTCAATATTGTTATTTTGCTCTTGTGAAAAATATTATCCTTCTTCTCCTGTTTATCATATTTTCTTTTGCTTCCCTCTTTAAAATGCAACCTGTTTTCTATTAAAGTTTTATTAATAATTCTTGTCCACTCATTTTGCTTACAAATTTTTGGATCCTCGGAATAGATATTCTTTTTCTCTTGATCTGTTTGTTGACTTGCAATTGCGAGTAGTTCATTCTCTTCTTTCAAGCAATCATCATCATCTATCACATAATCCTTCTTTCCCTCACACTTTAAATATTCATGATACTGTTTTTCAGGGTTTTCAAGTAACGATATCAGCTGTTCTAGATGATGTTTCCAACCAGACAAGGGTGCAAAGCACTTGGCAAGAGTATTTACACGGTAATCGAGAAATATATCAACAAGATCATCACGATTGGCAATATTCATCTGCTTTCTATTGCCAAATAATACTATGTCTCCAAGACCATAAGTATGATAATCAAGGGACTCCATCACTAGCCGTAGAAACCGAGATGTCACTTCCAGTATGGCCACATTAGTTGGGGCACAAGTAAGTGTTCTGCATTTCCTTTTGAAAAGGGCAAATAGTAACGAGCCAACAGTTTTTGTTTTCCCTGTCCCTGGAGGGCCCCAAATCAATTTCACAGTATTTTTGTGGGAGCATTCCCTCGCAGCTATACAACTTAAAACTCCCTCTTCTTGCGCTTTGTTTAAATCAAATGAGCGAATGACAGCACCAAGATTTGATACGTCAATAGCATACCTTTCACTAGAGAAACATTGAGTGCAGTTTTCCGCAACCTGTCAAAAGGTGTAACAATAATAAAAGTATATGAATGCATTTATTCAATAAATAAGGTGATATTGACAATGTAACAATGTACAGAATAAAAAGGGGGAAATAATATGAAAATGCCAAGCATCATCTGCTAAACATTTGTACTACCATTAAATGGATAGTGATATTGCAAGGTATATATCAATAATAAGAGAGAGAATAAATCACTGTTCTTACAGAAGTATTAAGTTGAAGCAGCTGCTTGATGAGATGCATGCCTGGACCTTCTGCATCTGAGTTTAACGCATTCCATACACGCAAATTTGTTGTTAAGTTCACAAGACAGACAGCAAAACCATATATATATGTTTCATCCTTTTGCAACTGCATTTTGAACTTAATGGGCTTTGAGGCTAGTATTTGAACCTTATAAACATCTTCATTTTCTTTTTCTTTTTTTACCTTTCTAATTAAAGCAGTAGAATAGGAATTTCCCGGCTTGTTCAAGTCATCAATGCATGTTGGCTTCATATCAGTCAAAACAATGAGGTCTCCAACCTCAGGCTCATAAATATCCCCTTTTTTATCAATAATCACTGTTGTTTTCATTTGAACTTGGTATAACAAATTATTTGGAAGATTGTAATCTTTAGAAAAATCAATGTCAATTATTTCACACATTGGAGCTTCTGACACCATTTTCATGCTTGAGCATAAATCTGTTCGTGTCTCCTCAATAAGTGGAAAAATAAATGAGTTCAGATAGTGATGTCTTGACAAGAACGTCCTTGGAATTTGCTTCACCTGTTGAAAGATACAAACACGATAGTTTTAGAAGCTAATTACATGCAAAAAGCAAAGAACTTCTAGTATGCAATGAACAATGACTTCACCATCAGATATTTATCAATTTTTTATTAAAATGGAAATGGTCAGTACTCAGCCCCACAACTGCCTGCAGGGTATCTTTTGGTTTACACATTGCATATTTCACCAAGCACATCAATATGAAAAATCCATATGCTTTCAAACAAATTAAGGGAACACTTGAAAAAATGCATAAGCTTTTTTTTAAACTATTTCAGCAAGCTTTTTGGCACAACTTATCAAAATAAACCTTTTTTCGGCTTATACCAATAAATTCCATGATCAAACGTGTACCATACACCCATATGTGACAAGAGCTTATTGAATAAGTGTTGATTTAAATTGTTTACCTAAACCACCCTAAATTACACCAACACCATGGAACAATGTAGAAGCCAAATGAAACTCAACTGCAAGGACAACAAGTTGCTCTAAGCCTACTAGCCTAGCTGGACAAACACATCGTAAAAACAAACATACATCGAATTCCAAGCAAGGAAACTTTAAGGTTCGAAAGTGAAATTTTATATTGTAAACTACAACTAGTAAAGAGTTCTCAAAAAAAAAGGTGATAGAGTAATCAGACCTTGTCTCTATAGAGATCATTGTTGAGTATATCCTCAAGAGACCAAGAAAATACCAAACTCACCAAGCCTTCACCCCTTTCCATCACTTGGGTTTCCCTGAAAATTCAATCAAATTGTCACTGATCACAGATCAACAATGAGAAAGAGATACAGAGGAATTAACTTTTTAGTTAAGCGGCGATGAAAAAGCAAAGGGTATTCGAAAAAATGAACAATTTTTGTTGCAGAAAACAGAAAAATGGAGCAGAATATGAGTACGTACCGTAATGTGGTTAAGAGCGGCAAAGAGAGAATTGGGTGATGTTGGGTATTGGCTCCTTTTTCGTTATTTTTCTTTTTGGCGCAAAAAGTGATAAAAATATATTTATATAAAGATATCCATTTAGAGACCATTAAAGAAATTATGAAAATCCTTTTGAAATAACAGGAAGTGGAAGGATGTATTATAGAGTAATGTAATTTATACAATAATTTTTAAATATGTTTGTTTCTTTTCATTACATCCCAATATTTTAATTTTATTCTATACTTTTTCTTATCTTTCTATTTTCACTTTCAAGTGAAAATTGTTATATTTTTTGAGTATAAATATACTACTTTACTTAAAATTAATATATATATATATATATATATACACATTTAAAAATAGAATAATATTAATAACACATATTTATACACTCTTTATTATTATTAGCTAAATTTTATTAAAAATTACAAAAATTATGTGAGTCTCACTTTTTTTATCCTTAAATTAATATTTATTATTTTTAATAAATTTTAGTAAATAATAAAATATATATTAGAGAATATGTTGTTTATATTTTTTAAAATATTATAATATTCTCTCTTAAAAATTTTAAATATATTATAATTTAATCCATTTTAAGTATTTACTTGAAATTCTCTTACTAAAATATTTTTTTAATAAGTTATATTTTTTAATTTTTCAAGAAATTCATCGACTTGCATTTTTATGGAACATTAAACACTTATATTGTAAAAAGAGATTATAATCCTTGTTTAAAGTTTAAAAAAGTATAAAACTTTAAAACATAAAATTTAAATTTAAAATATTAAAATATGAAAAGTCACATTTAAAATAACCTGTAAAAAATATTCTTTTTTAACATGAGAAGAATAATACTTAAAAATACTTTCATTTAAGATGAGGCTTAAAAATAATCTATTTTCATTATATCTCATGTTTTATTTTTATTTTATATTTTTTCTTTTTTTCTCTTTTCTGTAGAAATTGTTATAATTTTTATATAAATTTATTATTTATTTAAAATTAAAAAACACAGATGTATATAAAAAATTTAAAATAAGAAACAATATAAAGTTAAAAATATTTAGGAAAAGATTGTTTATTAAGTTATCATTTTTTATTATAAAATAAATTAACAAAAGAAAACATTTTGGGCTAAGCCCAAAAGTTTATCAAAAATTTATGGGCTGTGTGTTTCGCCCTTTTCTATTAATTATATTTTCGTCTAAAAATCTTGAACGAAAAAAAAAAATCTTCGTCTAAAACTTGATGGCACTGCGCTTCCAAACTCTGATTTGAGGCTTCGATCTGAAATTTGGAGCTGTGTAAGTTCATTTTTTGTTTCATTTCCCATGTTTATTTAATACCAAATCTTCACTTTGGTTCCTTTTTCTGTCCATTGGATTTCACTTTGGTCGATTCCATAGAGAAAGGTTCTTCCTATATTTTAATCTTTAGGCGTGCTAGGTTCCAAAGTTATGATCTTTGGCAATGGATTTTCTCTGGGTCAATTCCAATTTTTTGTTTATAGCTTTCGTTTGTCTGGTACTGTGAAGGGAACATAACAGTGGGGTTGTTGAATTGCATTGCAGGAGATTGATTTGATTGTGGGAAGATGCATCCTCCTTTAACATTGCACAAACATCCAATGTGTGCTGAAGTGAGTTTGTTTGATCATCCTACTCTTATAAAATTATTTACTTGTTATTATTATTAGTATTATATATTTTTTGTGTTATTGGACAATTGGGATGCTTGTTGCTTATGATTAGTTTCATATATAAACATGCCAATGTCATGGGAAAATAGCCAATTGTAGGATATTTGGTCCCAAACAAAAGAATTTGGCTATGTAATAGCAATGAGAGGAGGCTTATATTGGAACAATGGAGTGGATTTACTGCATTGGCAATCTTCAAATTCCTCTCTCTTTCCTTGGCAGTCCAATGATGGATTTTGGAATCACATTGTAGATTAAGAATTTTGGATCATTTAATTTTCCTTTGGTCCTGAAAGTTATAGTAGTAATTTTGGTGTTGCAAATGTGAACCAGTGTACGCTATGGCCTATTTTAATTCAGACTATGATTTTATGCAGATAATTGAGCAGTTTCAAAAGTGTCATATAGAACATCCTGTAGCAAAATTCTTTGGTGAATGTACTGATTTGAAAATAAAATTGGATCGCTGTTTTAGACAAGAGGTGAGCTTTTCAATTTTTTCTTTTTTTCTTTTTTTTATTTGTTGTTTTTTAAGAGTCTCTCTGTTTTTTCCAACAGAAAGCTTTGAAGCGAAAGGCTAACTTTGAAGAGAGTAAAAAGTTTAAGGAACAGTTGCGAGCTTTCAGGAAAGAAAATGCTGCAAGCAGCTGTCAATAATAGTAGGATTTTTTGCAGTGTTGAAAAAGCCAAACTATTCTGCAAAGTACAATCCATAATTTTGTACAAGGGGCTCAACATGATATGATTTTCTCTGCCTCTAATATATATACGTTAGAAAATACGGGAATGAGTGCATTGTTACATTTTTCAATAAAAAAGTATATTTTGTTGAAAATTATGATCCTCATTTGATGAATCAATTTGTATGTAACTATTTTATCTTAAATTGAGATAGAAGTTATTTCATAGATGATGAGAGCATCATGCTGGAAGCCAAAATTAGGGATCATGATGGCTGCAACTATTCACCATTACCTTTAATGTATATATCATTCACTCTATTCAGTGTAACTTTGTTTGCCCCCGCTCCCCCAAAATGAATAAAAGCCTTTTGATATTGTTCACATCCAAATAGGGATGGCAATGGGTAAAGTACCCAATGGACACTCGTAAAATTTATCCACAATGAGTATGGTATTTACCCGCTATACGGGTATGAATGTGGGTAAAAATTTACAAATTTTAATGGAGATGGGTGCGGATATGGGTATCTAAGTATCCATCCCGCTCCATACCCACATATATATATATATATATATATATATGTATGCTTGAACTTTATTTTATAATTATGCATTGAATTTTTGTATTATTATATTACTTATGTGAAATTATATAAGATTAATATTAAAATATATTTAATAATAAAGTAAACCAAAAAAATTATTTTAATTTATATTTTTAATAAAAAAATTTATTTACTATTTTATATCATTTAATTAGGCTAATACAATTTAATTATTACATAATTAATATGAGATTGACTTTTTTTAAAATATTATTTATATATGATACATAAAATGTTTTTGTTTATAAAATTATATTGATATTTAAATCATAAAGTGAATAATAAATAATAAATATATCGTAAATATTTTATAAATTTTACAATCATCTACTATTACTGTAAATTTATTATTTATTAATAATATTTAAATTTTATTTTTATATTTTAATTTAAATAATATTTTTCTATGCAACATATGTATTACAAAGCACAACTATAATCTATTGAATCTAAATAATATTTTTTTACTATTTATTCACGTTCAAATAAGTTTTTCAAAAGATATAAATATAAAAAATTATTGTTAATTTTTATTTGTTAATTTTTTCAGATAAAAAAGTATAATTTTTTTAATATACACGTATATTTCTTTATTATAAAATTTTATTATAACTATTTATCTTTTATTCAAATTCTTTCTTTTAAAATTTATATACATTATAAATATTTAATTCATTAAAATAATTTTTCAAAAATTTGTATTTTTAATAAAATACTTTCGTATAGTATATAAGTTAAAAATACTAATATTAATATATATATATATATATATATATATATTATTTTAATTAAATCTATTATTTTTTTTACAATTTTAAATTCAAAAGTTAAAAACAATATTTTATATATCTACTTTCTGTTGTTAGTATTAAACTTCTTTACTCTAATTCTATTCTCATTCTCAATTTCTGTCTCATTAAAACTTAACAATTATGAAACATTATTTATTAAAGTTAGTTGTCAATGTCGTCACAAGAGGTCACCAAGTGATCCACACGAAGGGACAACCACTGTACAGATCTATTTCGTTATCACTCTAACATTACCAATCGATCAAATCTCACACAAGATAGGGTTATCACTGACAAATAACTTATGTGTTTAGTTTCGCTTATTGTTTCTAAGAATTTTAGTTTAGAAAATTATTATATTAAGATACATTTAACATTTATGATCTTTGAATATTTGTTTTTATCTATGTTTGTACCTTGTTCGGCAACTACATATTAAATTTTTATATTATTATGCTATTTAGGTGAAGTTATATAAATATATTTTTTTTTATAAATATTTTTTTTCTCAAATAAGCACGGGTAATGGGTACAAGATAGGTATGCGGGTACCCAAAAGGTATGGGGATTAATATTCATACTCACACAGGTATGGGACCAGGTATGGATATTTTTTTAAAACACAGGTATGGAGCCAAGTACGAGTATTTTTTTAAAACGCGGGTATGAGAATTGATACTATAATACCCTACCCATACCCTATCCATTGTCATCCCTACATCCAAAATGGATTATATAGAGATGCACATTTGTGTCATTTTATATACTTAAAATATGTTTATCTTGTAACCGATCATCATTCTTTCATTAACCCTAATAATGATGCTCGGAAAATTTATCTTTTCAAACTTGTTAAATGAGTGAAAATGGTGAGAGAAAGAGAGAGATATAAAGAAAGTTGGGTTGCTTTCATTTTTTTTGTTGAGTGATTTGATTTTGCTGAGGTTTTCCACCGTGGTTTGTTGTAAGGAAAAAGATTTGACAACTTTAACCAAAATTAGTTGTTGTTGAATGATAAAGAGGTACAAGGGGGAAAATAGTTGGGATTCCATTATTCGACAACTTTGGAAGCATCACTGTGGTTTTTTCCTATTCCGTGCTCAACTTGCACAACAGAGGTACATGCTAAGCGAAATAAAGAAACATTTTAGATGCACATGGCGTTCAATTCTACAAAGCACCCAAAAGGTTAAGGTGGACGAGTGTTTTAATCATTGACTAATCAAGGAATAGAAAGCATGACTTCCATCAATGGTTAAAATTTTAGGTGCATTGTGGAAGCCTACGCACAAGGCATGCAAAACTTGTATTAGTAATTGTACTGGTGAAATTTACAACCAAAAGAAAACAAGATCACTCATGAACTGTCAATAGATGAAGTACTTTTGACTTAACAGCATTCCACTTAAGCACCTATATGGTTAAAACTAGTAATGTACTTAAAGTAAGGAAATGTTTTCCTTTCATTTCCCTTTTACCTACGTACTTAAGAAAATGTGGTTAAGCGCATCTGTAAGAGGTATTGCCTCTTTTTCACTTTGACCTGTCTTCCACACCTTGAATTCTAAGGGATGTGAGACAGTTTCACTCCAGCGTTTGAGTGCAGACATTGAATAGGGCCCTCTCTTTTCACCATAAGGACCCACACAATGCCAAATAGAAATCTCAGGATTCTCCACTACTTTTCGTCCCTCTGAAATTTCTGCAATATTGGCCTCTTGTTCAACAGTGTCACTTAACACAATAATGTCTGTAGTTGAAATGCTAAATTCTTGTTCTTCCAATGAAATAGAGATATTTGTATCATGTTTGTCATTAGCAACTTTAACAGAATCAGCAACTGAAATGCTCTGTTTTTCCTTTGTTGTCTGTTTAGCATTCCTGGTAGCACTAAGATTTCTTCCAACTATACCAGAACTAGATTTTGTGTTTCTGGATTGATGCAAGCCACAATTTGCTGGATTGGAGTTCTGAGAATCTAAATTTAATTCTTCAAAGTGTGTAGCCCTGGAATCATCTTGCCTTGCTTTTGAGGTAGATTGCAGCAGCTTTCTTTGAGAAGTGTCTTTATCTAGTGAAGCAGTATAGACAAATTGCTCAATAGAGGCAGGAAAGACTGTACCGTCTTCACTTTTCTTTACTCGAGCATTTTGACCTAAGCCATGAAAATTCACATAAGAATTCTGTGAGTTATGTTTCACATACACTTGATTACCGGCCCATAAAATGCTTCTGGCTTAAGAACTTTCAGCAGCAAAATAAAAGCAAGGAAGAGTCACATTTGACAGTGAAAGGCATATATACATCTAAAGGTAGCCTGACCTTTAGAGGATATGGGGGATTAAATGCAGAAACAAACTAATAAAAGATTCACAAAATACATATTTTACTTCTAATTGACCTTTGTCAGAGTAAAACATGGATTTGGTTGTTTAAATCAGAAAAACATGAAAATATTGCTTGTATATATATATTTTTAAATATACAATAGTATCTACATATATGAGAAATGGCAGAAAATTAGGAACAGTTGCCAATAATTAAGGAAACGAACCCCTAATTAACCAAGGAAGCTACTAAACAAATTACTCTTAGGGAACTAACAAGATCGCCTACTACATACAACATATTCCCCCTATGCTAGCTTAAAGATATTGTCCATGGACATCTTGAAAACTATGCTGTCAGAGTTCTTCCACAAACCCTAAGTCAGGATATCTGTCTGATATTTTCTTGGGATATATGGAATCCAAAACCCCTATTCTCTATCTTTTGTTCAATGGTCTGTTGGTAGACTTCCACATGCTTCATTTTGTCACATAGAACTGGATTGTGAGCAATTAAAATTGCAAATTTATTGTCACAATTCAGTTTCATTCGTGTGGAACTGTAGCTCCCTTATTAGTTTGTCAATCCATGGTACTGCTCTTAGCAAACACATTCTGATTTTTATTGCCCCAGGTAACAAGATTTCCTCCAATAAAGCTACAATAACCTACAGTGGACCTTTAATCAATATTGCTACTGGCTCAGTCTACATCAGTATAGACTTCCACTTGTATGTTTTCTGTATACTAATCCTTTTCCAGGAAATCCTTTTAGATACCCTTTTTTGTTCATGGTTTCAAAATGTTCAAGTCTAGGTGAATGCTTAAAGTGACTTACTATGTTCACCACAAAGGTTGTCCCGACAAATATGGGACAAATAATTCTAGTACAATCTACGCATTCAAGAGACCTAACAATTCTCTTCATTAGATTCAATTTTGACCATCTAGAGGTTTTTTGAATGTTTCTTGAAACAAACAAATTGGTAATTCTACAAGTAAATGTAAGTTTGAGATATAGTTTGATAGGAGATGGACTTAAAGTTCTAGTACTTTCCCTAGTACAAGTTCAAACACATTTCCTAAAGGCTATAGGGGTATTAGAATCTGTATTAGAATAAGTATGCTCAGTATTACCTGAAACATTTTCAGGAGAGATCTCTGGGGAATCTACTTGTTGCATTTTTGGGATGATAAGATGAATTGTCTTCTGTTGTAAATTCCTTCGCGTATAAACACGTAGCTCCTTATTTGACAGTAATATTTCTCCCCTTGTCTCAGAACTATCTAATGTTGGTACTCCATCATTTTCAACATCTTGAACAATTGTTTCAACTAGAGAAATAGAATGCAAGATAAGATAAGGCATAGACTCATGTAGAGAATTTTCATGTTGACATAAAGTTTTTTTTGTTGTAGGGTTAAAGCATTTATATCCTTTTTCTAGTAGGTGCATAACCAATGAAAACACATTTTTCAATCAAGGGATCAAATTTAGACATATAATTACTGTGTGCATGAACAAAGACAATACAACTTATTTTTAGTCTCAACCAAGTGAGATCCACCCATAGGCATATTTTGGATTCTGCACTATGTGTGCAATGATTGAATTAGAGAGAGGTTGGACTATTGAAGTCAAGACAATTTGCGGGAGTAGCAAACATCTTGATGAAGAATCAATAGCTGACAGAGCATCGCACTATTCTTATGAGTCATATCATCTTACAACACATTGTGTGTATACGACAGAGCAGCGCACTATTCTTATAAATCATATCATCTTAAAAAACGTGTGTATACGAGACTGCAAAACATAAGGAAACAGTAATTATGGAAACAAATCTCTAAACAGGAAGCCATCAAACAAATTACTCTTATGGAATTAGCAAGCTGGCCTATGGATTAAAAAATATTTACAATAACTAAAAGTAAATATTCTAATTTACACAAGGAACAAAAAATTCCTCAAATTTGCATATGATACTTGATGAAATGACAAAGCACAACGTGAACAAGACCTACAAACCTGCAACATAGGTTCTATTATTTGGACAATGAGCAGAACCACCGTGTTTGGGGTAGAGTCCAACAGAGTTACAATTCTCTCCAATGGCTAATTCTGATAAGCCATTTTGCTCAATCTTATCTTTTACAGGGGAACTCTCCGTTGACACATTGGTTTCAACTATTTCAGCAATTACTTTTGGAATGTCACTTAACAAACGTGATTGTTCTAATGGAGTCTCAAGCTTCAGTTTTCGATCCATGTACTCAAAAAGTGTATGAAAATATGGTCAAGGCCCAAACTGCCCAATAACAGCTATTATAAAACTCAACACAGAATAATACAAGACAATTTATCAAAAACCAAAACAGTAATGATAGCTTTCAGCTTCGTGTATGTTTAGGAAAGACTATTTTCCCATAAATAATATCTTATATATTTTAACAAATCTCTCAGCAAGTTTATAAAAAGAAATTATTGTCTTTGCAAAATAAACTAAACAAACATGCACTTGGTTTACAAATTTGAAGTGACTGAGATAATATACTTGATCAAGCATTAAATTGGGTAAGAATTCACAATATGATGCAACAATCTAAAAATGTATGTTATGAAAGGATATTCTCTCCTCCATCCCTTTTCATTTGCCTGATCAATACGGTTTTGTAACAATGCTAACTCCCTGGGGATCCACTGCCACATAAAACAGTCGAAAAGACAAATATCAGTGAAAAAAATAGTAGTTCTTTTATAGTCTAGAAGATTCATGAGTCTTCAATAATGTTAACAAGCCATTTGGCAAATAGAGCATAAGCATAAAGGATTAAAGTAATAATTTAAGGGTAGATTTCAAAATGTTCAGTTTGACTAATAGGTTTACGCCTACTCACATAGTGCCATTTACTCAAGCAAGTTTCATAACTAAAAGAATCTGAATTCTATGCATGTATGATGAGTTTTAACCGCTGAATTCTGGAACATTTTAAGTTAGCTCTTTCCCTTATTGAATATGCACATCCCATGTTTAATTGCTAGACTTTTGATTTATATTGAGCTCTATCTTTATAATAGCAAAAAGGATTTCGACAAAATAATATTGATATGTACATACATGCTTTATTCTATCTTCATGTAGACTTCTGGCTTTCTGCTCAAGCTCCAGCTGTCAAACATATAGATGTGGTTGTCATTTGTTCACATTATTCAAGTAGTCCAACATATTTTGCAGCTATTTTCTAGCACAGCCAATATAATTTTGGACCACATAACAACAAAATTTATTTTTCAAATCAGAAGATTCACAGGGCCCTAACTCATATTTGATCAGAACACTGAACAAAAAGCTTTCAGTGATACACACTAAATCACCCATAAACAACAAACTTACTATAGTAGGCTGTTTGAGCAGACCATTTCTCATTCTCTGATACAAATCTTGACATTCTTCCTGCAGATAATACCAAATTTTATAATTTTAAATCCAAAGAAAATATATGTGAACAACTAGGATAAGTGTACACTCAGCTAAATATTGAAATTTAGGTATGATTTACTTAACAAATAAGGATATGCAGATCACATATTAGAGATAACATTCAGGCAAGTATAAACAAAGATCACTCATAAACAGTGTCATGCTCTTAGGCAGAAAACTGATCCTCCCTCCAGTACTTTTTATTAGACCCTTTTGAAAAATTGTGTTGGCCCTTACTAAGGCTCTTTTCAATGTTTTAGAAGATTCATTATTTATTTACATATTTCCTTCATAAATTTGAAACTTTCTAACATTTCAACAATGAAAATCATAATAGAGAGTGTATTTAAAATGGGGTAAGGTTGAAATGTTAGAAAGGTCTTATATAAAAATAGGACCGCGTGATAAACATTCAACAACAAACAGGAAAAAAATGGTTTAGAAAATGTAAACCAATGCTACTAGGAAACTGCTGCTTATTTTGCTCCAATGTCTCTAGAAATGGGAATTGAGGCAGAAAATCCTGTTACAATAGCAATAATACCTCAGAAAATTCACCATCTGAAATTTTGCAGATAGGTAGATCTTTTGGCACATTAGAAAGGTGAAGCAGAATTTCTTTGTTGATTTCATCATTCTTTGAGGTTCTGTTTATTCCTGTGATTTATGCAGATACATAATGTCAATCTACGCATGTTAGAAAGGTAGGGGCCAATAAAAGAACATCACTCGTGTTGACACTCAATGTTATGCCACTAAAAAGCAAATATTGCACATAAAGCTTACAATTTTATACTTGATTTTTCAAAGTTAGATATGGGCTTTGGATAAAGAGTATGACTCAGTTTTATGCAATATTCTTTTTCTTCCAATTAAAGCAAATTACTGTCAAAATTACATGCATGATTCACTACATTTTTCTAAAAATTCCTAAATTATAAAAATAAATAAAAACTGAAACTCAAGATAAAGTTATCATAGCTAATCAAATTAACATTTTAAATGTACTTGTCTAAAAACAATCATATTGTTCACTCATGAAAAAAAAAAAGTAGTTTGCTTTCAGGAAAAAAATAAAATATAGGCAGTCAGTATGTATAATTTGACATAAAATAGCATTCTTCACAATATAGTCTATAATTTTACTTTATTACCAAAATAGTCTGTATAGCTACGGTTCTTTAAATTTACAGTTTTCTTTAACTCACTAAAAAATGCAATAAACTGTGGATCTCTTCAATGCATGACATGAAATTTTTTAAGCAGATTAAAAAACATGAACTCAGTGCTTGTATAGAACTTCTGACAGCATTCCAGAAATAAGATCATTAAAACAGAAGCATATTGGAAAACCATTTTTGCAACCAGAAAAATAAGATAAAATTCTGACAGCATTGTATAAAAAATTGTTTCATTGACTTTTTATGACTGGAACCTCATATGCATCACAAAGACAATTAATTACCTACAACTTGTACGAGCAGATGCGAATTCTTCTGAAAATAGTCATGAGGGTCAGATTTGACTCTTACATAACTTCCTAGCACTTTGTCATCAAAAGTTTCTGGTTGCTTCAAAAGCTCCTCCATTAAACTCCTCTTCAAATAGACAAGTTTGAGGTTTGAACTAACTATGGCTGCAAAACAGCTTTGGCGCACTTCAGAAACAACATTCTGACGAGATTTAGCACTTGAGATAATTTTTTCCTGGCACAAAAATTGGAATGGCTCATTGTCATCCATATCTTCTGAACTACTTGGGATATAATCCATTTCCTCAAAGTTCTCCGCAAAATGCCGTGCCAAAAGGTTTTGTATGTTGTTTCTATTAACTGATTTCCTCCCTAGTAAAGACCTAAGTTGTGCATCACAAAGTACCTTTCTCTTTTTCACAGGGTCAAAAAGCTTCTTGTCCCTGCAGTACTCAATAATGATAGAAGTAACATCATGTTCAGAAAATTCTTTGCTTGTGTCTTTACCAATATTTTGAAGAAATTTTATGAGACTTCTTGAACCCCATCCAATAAACTCCTTTTTCTTATCTTTCACATTTCCTCTCATTGATTTTAGCTTTCTCTCACCCTTCTTTTTTCTCACTGATTTTGATCCTGCTGTGTCATTCAGGTCATCAGAATCAGATACTATAAAGTTACTAACATCTTCAGATTCTCCAATATCCTCTTCACCAATTTCATCTAGATCCATGTCACATTTATTGTTTCTATTCTTTAAGGAATTAAGAGAAGAATGTACATGCTGAGAATTCAGCCCTTCTTTTTCTTTGATAATTTCATAATATTCTGAAAATAAGCATTCATATGTGTCTCGATCTTTGAAATCTACCATTCCCTGTCCATAAAAAGGAATGTAAGAATAAAACAATGTAAAGAAAAAGAAAATTTTGAGGAAGCCCCAGATAGAGAGATAAAAGTTCCTTATAAACTCCAAGCTGACCAAGAATTATTACACTAATACACTTGATCATAGTTTTAAGGTGCGAAATTTTACAACTACACTTACATTGAAATTTCATTCAGTCATGATAAGCTTTACATTCACAAAAATCCATCAAGCATCCATCATTTAAAAATTATATAGTTTCCCTTATAATTCATTAAAAGTCTGACTGTTTCAGACAATATGTAAGCTTTTATTTGCAAAATCTCATTTCATACAATTGATGGAATGTTAATTATATAGTACCAATTAGGTTCCTATTAATGTTTTCAAAAACAATTTTTTTCCATTAAGAAAAATGACAAGGATAAGATAAAATAGTTTGAGAATGTGTTTGTAGAACTTTCAAAGATAAATAGAACAGTTTTCTTCTTTTAAACACATTAAAACAAAATTTAGATGTAACCAAACAAGTGCTTCTGTTATTATTGTTGCCTAACAAACCTGCATTGTTTTACTTGGCAATTCTTCCCACTAACATTGGTAATTTGTGTAAAAAATTCTCAATTTGTAAATATAGATAAATGGTAAAGAAATAGCAATTTGTCATTTTGTTTTTAGAATTAGGATTCCAAATACTATTACAGATTTTCTTCTCCCTTTCCCTTGCTGCATATAATACATGATTGAAAACAGCCTTACCCCATCAGAATCAACATCAGCATTTTCTTCAATTAGAAGTGCAAGTTTTGAACAGTGACAACAAAATCCTCTGTTGCCTTTGACAGTAGCAAATTCAGCAACATAGATGCAACTCCCACAAACAGCACTTGGGCAACAATAGCACTTAAACTTTGACACTTTATGGCAAAGGAAGCAAATATGTGAATCTGCAAATAGAATTTATTCAAAAATATTCAATACCAAAAGGAAATGCATAAATATGTATCATGCCAAAAGTAGAAAAGGAAATGTACTTGAATGCCTTGCAATAGTAGTAGAGAGAGAGGTTGAAGCAGCTTACCACAGGTCCATCGACTGCCATTCTCCACAAAGGAATCATCTTTTCCCACGCAACAAGGATGATACGATTTAAGGCAATCCCTTCAAGCATCATGAGTTAATACTATCAAAAAGAGTCACTTCCAAGACAAATTATGTTTTCGAAAATGATCCAAATCCATCATTAATTTGATAAGCATACTACTGATAGTGATGGTCAAGCTTTGGTGAAAAAAACATGGAGAAATTCATAAGCAAACCACAATTTTATCAACAAAAAGTAAAATACACAAAGCCAAAGTATGAGTCACTTCTTTGTTAAAGCTAAACTTAAACATAAATTAAGCAATTACATGTGCTTTTATAGCATTCATCAGTCACTAACTACCGAAAAAACTCAATTTAGCTAATAAAACATTCATGTTGGGAATTCACATCTCATTCATTTGCACAATGCCCTTAGAATAAATAGCTTCTTCTATCATGGGAAGCTGACTCCACTTTAATTTACATATATACATATGGGTGTGTTATAGACATTAAAACACGTTCCCTGTGTTATCATCCCTACAAATTGTGTATGCAACAGCAAATATCATTATGCACACCTGAAAAAAAGGTCTTAGGGATTCACAAATAAGCAACGCCAACGTTTTTAAACCTTTCCAGTTGAAACCATGATCAGATAAAAATTGTGCACAACTACAATTATTATTTCTCTTTTTTTTTTTTAAAAATTAAGATTGCGCTTATTCATATTTCTAAACTGAAACTTACCTATGATCGCACACCATTAGCAACCCTCCATCCTTACAGACAAAACACCAATCCTCAGCAATCTCTTCCTTCTTTCTTTTGTTCTTTCTTACCATCTTGCTTTAGAAAAATAAAAATAAAAACCAAACTTTTAATCAAAGGTTCTCTTCAACAACACTACCCAATGTAGGTGTAGAAAACCATAATCAGAGTAAAAAAAATAAAATAAAATTTGAAGGACCCATTTGCCAGAAAGAGCCAGACAAACAAAAAAAAAAAAAAGAGTTCAGAGAATGCAGTATAGTAAAAACCTTAGAAGAAAAAAAACAAATAAGAGAGAGAGAGAGAGAGAGAGAACAGAGTAACAATTGCTGTGACTGTGTGGTGAGTGGTGTCACTGTTGCGTTAATAAACAAATGCATACGAGAAATGTGGGTACTGGAGTATGATTATGAATTGAATTGGTGACTCACTGCAACTACATGAATCATAGTCTCATTTTCAATTTCGTTTTGCGTACCTGCAAGTAATGAGAATTTACTATAGGAGTCTTTCTGTTACCAATATTTTATTTGTGTCGTTTTATTAACTTTTATTTTTTAAAATATTATTTTAATTCTCAATTTGTAATTAAAAGCTTAATATACTGCATTAATTTTAAAATATTTTCCTTTTTTAGATCAGCTAATTGTTAATGATTCAAATTAATCAATTTTAATTTTATTTTAAATTTTGATACACTTTTTATTATTCTTTTGAAATCACACCATATCTTCCTTTTTAAAGGATTCATTTAAACTTAATCAGTTTCTGTCTTATCTTTTTACATTAAATAAAATCAATATTAATGTTCTTAATTAATTATTCTGATAAAAATATTTAATTTCCATAATTTTATTAATTAATACTTAAATTCCTTTAATAAAATTTGATTATTATAGAATAATTATACATCATTATAAGAATATTTTTCTGATTTTTAAAGCTTACATTTTTAAATATATATTTCATTATCAATAAAACAATTACTTATTATATTTTTTTCTGAACTATATATTATGTAGGAGTAGGAAGTAATTATGTTTAAAACAAATAACACCGTTATAAGCAATAAAGATAAATAAATATAAAAGATTTATAATTAACTTATACTTCATTTTGGTAAATCTTATTTTTATTATTTCGATAGGAAGGAATCAAAAGCAAAAGAAAGCTTTTTTTAAAACCTCTATTACTTTTTTGGTTGTTGAAGCTTTTATTATCTATTTTAAATTAAGATATTTTTATAAAAATATATTTATAATTAACTATGTTAATTTTTTAAAAAAGAAACAGTTATCTAAAATCATTCACTTTTAATGATTTCTTAGGAATAAACTTCAATTGTTGCTTATTTCAAAAAATATTTTTACAATTTATAATTTAATATCACACATGAAAAAAAAATTGAGACTTTTTTTAAAAATAAAATAAAATAATACATTCACGAGTTTATTAATTAACATAGTTTAACTTATAAACTGATAACTATTAGTAAAGATTTAGAAAGTGTTTGTTTTCGTTTTCAAAAATAGTTTTCTGTTTTTAAAAATAAAATTTAATAAATATTTATATTTTATTTTATTTTTAAAAACAGAAAACTGTTTTTAAAATTGAAATCAAGCATACCCTTAATTTTTATCTTTGTAATAATTATTTCTTTTTTTTTCTTTCAATTATCAAATACACCTTACGTTTATCTCTAATATAAGAGACGTCTTATTATTTTAAAAAAAAGTGATATAAGAATTAAATTTTATCATATTTAATAAAAATACTTTTTTAGAATAAGAATATTAATCTATAAATGAGATTAAGAGTATGTTTATTTATTTTGTAAAAGATTTTTTATTTTTAAAAGTAAAAAAAAGTATATTTTTATTTTTTTTAAAAATTATTTTTAAAAATAAAATAAACATGCTCTAAAACTTTCTCATCTTTGTCAATAAAAATAAAACTTTTCTACGATATTTAACTATAAAATTACTGTTTTAATGATAATTGAGGATAAATATATTATATTTAAAACTGAAGAAAATAGCTTCAAATATTTTATTCCTAAAAAACTCATTTTTAGATTAACTTTTTTAGCGAAGTATGTTAAAATTTATTTTCACGCTTCATTCATGTAGTTGGTAGTTCCCGTAATATATTGTTTATTATATGATTCTTCCAAAAAATTTTCATTTGTTCCGTCTTAATTTTTTCATTTAATTTATCATTTTATGACCAAACAGAAAATTTATGATATTTAAGAAGATTAAATAAAATTTGTGGGACCTAACGGAATTAAATGTAAGTATTTTAAGAAATCAAATGATAATCATTAGAAAAATATTTAGGGAATGTTTGCATGTATTTTTAAAAAGAGTTTTCTCTTTTTAAAAATTAAAAATACATGTAATTTTAGTTTTTAAAAAAGAGAAAGCTCTTTTTAAAGATGCAAACAAACATACTCTTAGTAAAAATGATTACAAGTAAAGAATTCATTTGAGAAAAACTATGAAGTAAATTCCTTTAAAAAAGTTACTATTTTGACTATTCCATATAGTCATTAACATTTGTCAACAAACAAATCTCAAAATTAAAAGGGCAAAGTTTGTAGTTAATTTTGAGGTAAAATTAAGCACCATGTCTCTTGTGAAACAAGTCAAAGGCATCCATGAACCATGAACCATGATGATACAAAGAACTAGGTAAGAGTTATTATACACTCACACCTAATTGACAAGTCTATTATCCTAAGTTCTAACAAAGTAATAAATACATTATTAATTTCTAGCTAGCACATATATCAAGCATATGAAGTTAATTATGGGTCATGCAGGGAAAGCAGCAACCTCAATGCCTGTAGTGGGCCTGCTTATGGGTGCATCATATTTGCTAAATAGCTTGTATGAAGAAATGAGGGAAAGCACCACATAGCAAACCACAGCCACAAATGTTATAGCTATTGATGCTGTCACCTTGTCACAAAATTGACCAAATGACCCACATGCTGAGCTCCACGTTATTTCAGTGTCTCCATTCTCTGCCAAGTATAGCACCTCCGTTGACACAGCTCCAGCACCCAGAATTATGTACGTTAATACCTGGGAATTCATGCAAATATATATAGAATAATCTTTGTCATATAATAATCTCATCATGCATGCTATTGGAATCTATTGAACTCTCTTCATCCTCCAGGTAAAATGATCGTGGTTCAAATTTTTTTAACATATCCTTCATGTTCAGATGCATCTTTGGCATGTAAGTATGAGATCGAAATATACTTTACTTTTTAAATTTCGTTATTCCTTTGATTGTTTCATGAAGTTCCATCCATATCTTTTACATAATAAAAATTTCCATTACTTAACCAGCACATAATTACTTCTTAAGTTTTTCAGATAACAATTGATGATATAGATAGAGAGATAAATATAAATATAAATTGATTGATTGGCAGGTACACACATAATATATACATGCATAATTAACATACAATTTAAATAAATAAATATTTTTTTATGAGAAATTATAAAAGATCGCAAAATTTAATGCATTAAATACATTGAATATTATTATTTCCAATCAAAATTTATTATTTATTATTTTGTATTTTAATCGTACGTTGAAAAAAATAATCAATAAATAAATAAAACTTCGCCTGAACCATCCACGATACCAGTATATATATACTAAGGGCATATTTTAGAAACTAAGAAGTTGGTGAAATGTTGAAAAAAGCTATTTATTTATGTTTTGAAATAAAAGGACTTTGTCCAGAACAGGAAGAAATTAGTGAGAATAAATAGATGACCTGGTCAAGCAAAAAGAAAGTCCAAGCCCGAGGCATGGTGGAAGGGCGTGGCACAGCAACAAAGACCGCTGAAAGTAAGGAGTAACCTGCGCAAATGCCATTTGCATGCACCAGATACCTGCAATATCCATAACCCATTACCCATATGAAGATTTATGTTTGTTATTTTCATATATAGGATTCACATCTTTCGGATTTATCATCTACAGAATGCCCCCAAATTATCACTGCAAAATGGTCATTGTATTATTGTTTCAAAGTTTAAGACTAAAAGTTCACCCAAACTAAGATTCATCTTACAAAATCTCAGCTCAAAACCAATTATACATGCTTGAGTTTTTTCTAACATCTATAAATGCATTATTAAAAAATGTCACATAATAACAAAATATTATTATTTTTGTACAAGATATTGCTAAAATCTATATATTAGCAATATCATGCAACATACTGATAGACAGTTTCATTAGTAAATAAAATCAATATATTCAATTAGTTTGTACTTGAGGGAAATTGGAAAGAGGCATGAGAAAGATAGACTAAAAATGTTTGTGTGTACTTGATGATGATATATTTACCTGAAGGCTCCAAGATCACTATAACCAACAGAGCCATATTCGTTTTCTTGAGAGTTCTTAAGCATGAGAACAAGGGCTGAAACGCAGAGAGCAATGGGAAGCAAACGGAGGAAGGTTTCAGCAGTTCGAAGGGTGGTGTTGTTGCCTTCAAATTCATCTCCCATCATGAGTTGCATGGGAGATCTTGCAGCTTCAACTGCAGTAGTTCCTTTCTCCATCACCACTGTGTGTGAATGAAGTGTTTTTGGTTCGTTTTGAGGAGTAAGTTTTAACAAAGGAAGAGATGCATTATGATATATGAGAAGAGCAAGTACAAGTAGTGGTATAGGTTTGGGGTAAGGCATGTGGGACTTTAATTTGATGAAGAAAAGAGTGAGAGGCAGGTATGGTGAGTGAAGCAGCAATCAATGTCATTATGGCAGGCCACATATTCCCAAGCCATTTTGATTACCCATTTCATCTCTCTCTCTCTCCATTCCCCATTCATCATCCAGAGCACAATAAATGGTATAAATGTAACAGTTACTTTTAGTTTAGTTTACTCTTTCACATGACATACACTTCACTTATGTCAAAAGTTGAGCTGTTGAGGCATATGTATGAAATGGTTTCTTAAACGGGTGATCAGGAACATGTTAGAAAATAAAAAAAAAAATATTATTAAATATAAAAAAATTTATTATTTTCATTTTAAAAATATTTAAAAAATCATTTTATAATAATTTCAAGTATTTAATATAATATTTAATATTTCTTAACATGTATTCAAAATTTCATATATGATACAAGAGAATGGTTAAAAAAACACTTTTAAATACATTTTTCAATCAACTTGTTATTCATGGGTCCATTTAAAAAAGTTAAAATATTTATTCCATAAATTGATCATTTTTAAAATTATTTTTTTATTTTATTATACAATAAAAGTATGTAATAACATATATAATAATTTTCAATTTTGTTAACATCAATTTAATGGATTATTTTAAACGTTAAAAGTTGGAATAAAAAAACTATAGCATTTTTATATTTTTTATGTAATAAGTAATTTCTTTTTAATAAATTATCACTTTTATTTACTTAAAATTAACTCTTAAAGCTATTAATGTTGACATTTTTCTAAAAAAATTTCATTACATATTTTTACAACTTTAGTAGGTTCAAAATTTACCACTGACACAAACGAATAACCCAATATATATATACATCCAAGATTTCTTTACTTGCATTTTAAACATATGCTTACTCCATCATTTTCAAACACATATCCACCTATTCTGCACCAACTTGAACTTAAAACTATATTAAGCTCACCTTTTTGTGCTTATCAAAATATGCTACATAAATATAATTTAACAGAGAAAGATCTTCTTATATATTAGTATAAATTTAAAAAAAATTATATTCAATTTAAATATTTTATTTAACTTAAATTTAATGGGTTATAATTTATTACTTTACACCAGTGTAAAAATTTTTAGACTTACATTAATGTAAGAAAATTTTGCTCTTAAATTATTTAATGTTTTTATTTTTTCATATTTGTAAAAAAATATATAATAACTGTATTATTTGAATCATTATTTTAAACACATATATATTCTGACACTTATTTATATTTTTTCTCTTTCCACACCATAATATAAAGTAAAAAAAATGAAAATACCACTGATATTCCTTGCTTTGCCTAAAGAAATGTTTAATGAATATTTCAGTTATAAAAATAATATATAAATTAAAATTTCCAATTAGATAATAAATGGAGATGTACTTTCATATACTGTACTAATGCAATAACTAAATCAAACAGTCTAAGTTATAAAAATAAAGTCATTTTGACTGGCTATCCCAATTTGAAGTCTAGCTGAAAACACACAATCTTTTACCCCTCAAAAATTTCTCTTATAATTAGTTCTTTTGTTCAAACGTTTCATGTACAGTTAACCTATCTCAAAAGTTAAAATCTGTGACTAAACTGGTGAGAAGAAAAACTACTCAATAAAAAAAAATGGTAAAGGAAACGAAAACTATTGTTCTTGAATAATGATTAAACAGGTCAAAGAATGAATCTCATGTTGTCCCGTACAAGAACAAATAGAGTTGAGAAGAAAAACTCATTTCAATCGAAAAAAAGAAAAATAAAAACGTGATTCATGAAAACAGTCTAAACAGGTCAAAAGGATGAATCTTTAGCTTATTTTTGTTTACACGTGGAAACCGAGTTACGTGTAAGAACTAAAAACACTACTTGTGACTTCTAGCACAGTGATATTTTCTTTAAAGATAGAAACGAAAAAATACAAATAAAGAAAAAATGAAGTTTTAATTGTGATTAGAAATCCCAACAATGACAGCAATTAATAACAATGTTTTTGGAGTCTTTAAAACCATATTTACAAATTACAGTCGTTTTTGTCTCTTTCTGAAAGCCCTGCAATTGCAAATATCAAAGAAAATGTGCAAAAGAATAGACTCTTGCTAGTAATAGACCTCAACCAAGTCAAACTAAAACACATTGAGGAGCGAGGACTGAAAAAATGTTTATCAATATTCGTAAGACACTAATTAAAGAAAAAAACACTATTTAATAAAATAAAAAATTATTTATTAGTAATACGTATGTTAGACTAAAGTGAGATATTCATTTAAATTACACATGGACTAATTTGAAGAAAAATAATCATTAAAATATTATAAATAAAAAATATTTTATATTACTTATCACAATAACATATACTAAGTGTTTGGACATCTGTATGTCAAAGTGACAATTTATTGTTAAAAACTGTAGGTAGGATGATTTGTAATTTTATTTGGTAAAAAAATTAGAAATAAAATTAATTATGTTAAGAGTTTGTAATTGTAAATAAGAAGTGTAAATCTATAATTATTTTTCTCCTTTTTTATGTTTCTTACTTTCTTTGGCACTTCCAATAATAAAATTAGAGAAGACTCCTCTCTCTTTTCTTGTTCTGCGCAACAACTTATCCGTCTCAAAGCATGGAAGTTACAAATTTATTATTCTTTTGAAATGAGCTATAAGCTTTTATTATCAATGAGATTAAATTTTTTTTTACGATATTTTTAGTTAAAATTAAAATCTTACACATAATTCATATAACAAAGTCAACAATAACATATTAAAGTAAAATTTGAATCTTGATTAAAAATATTTATAATACTAAACTTAAATTTTGTGTTTTCACGCTCAGGCTTCATCACTCTCAAAGTGATATATAACGTTAGTGTTATGTTTCAAATTAGTATGCCTGGAAGCTTCCCAAATATATATATATATATATACACACCGACCAAAGTTTGTTGATACATGTGTGTGATGGAAGAAATTCTAAGAAAAAAAAAAAAACAGTGATAATTTTGCAATAATTGAAGACAATCCTCGAATTGTTTAGTTTTAATTACGAAAAATGGTTTTAGGTCATGTGATATATATAGATATATAGATATAGATATATGTCCATGAACGAATCTTGATCTCAATTATACCACGTAGTAGGCACAATATTTAAAAAAAAACATGCATTATTTTTTGCATCCATATGTTAGTCCACCCTTTTCCCACCTCAACTCCCAAACATTAATGTTTTTCTTTCTTTGTTATTTCCTTTTCGTAGAGTCGCAATTTGTTGTGTGGATGGGTGCTTATTGGCCAACGTGTCTGAACGAAAATCAATACCTATACCTAGTGGATGCTCAATGCTGACTGTTCCTTTATGTATATAAATGCACCAATTGATCACACTTTGATGTTCAATGACATTTATTTGTTTCCACATTGATTTAGCTGTAACCCATGTTGCCGTGTAGTCACTGCTATCATTCATAAGCATTTATAACATTTATTAAAGGATAATATACTAAGGGTTTTCTTGTTACTAAGTATTGACACTATTTTTTGACCTAATTTAATTGGGTTTTGAGGGGTGAGAAGGTTTTCAACCAAACTTAGTATTATGTTACTCAATGACTAAATTATTGGTTGGTCAACACAACAATTAAAGTTTACTAGAGTATCAGTCAGTCCAAAAAATATTAATGCTTCTAGATTGGACTAAATAATTAATCTTAGAAAAATAATAATAACAACAGTATTTTTCTGTGCTTAACTTAGTTCACGTGAAGGAGAACATTAACAATATTAGTGCTTAACTAAGTTAATGTAAAGCTTACCACTGCTATGGTTGTTAGGCATATTTCCTTATGATTTTAAAGGGTAACGTAGTTGAGGCTTTTAAAAACAAACTGTATGGCAAGTTGTATGGAGACCACTTTTGAACACTTTTTTACAAATTATAAATAGGTCAGCTCTTATATATATATTTTTTTTAGTTTTCATTAGGTTGAATTCGGATTTGACTCTGACTTGAATTGTGCACCTAAATGTGGTAGATAAGTCTATTACTAGAGATTTTTTACATACACAAAGACTCGAACTCGAGAGATTGCTTAAAATATACAAAGTCACTTGTCACTCGAACTAACCTCCGTTGATAACTCTTATACTTTAAAAGTTTATAATTAAATTTTTTAATATTTGATCACATTTACATGAGTTTGGTTAATTGTAAAAACCTATATAACCACCAATTTTTAAATATTTCAAGGATTTGTGGATAATTAAACTTGTAAGATATTCTCTAAATTATTTTAAAATTATAATTATGTTCATGCACTTAACGGAATCTAAACAAATATGTAATCGGGGATCCAATAAAAATTTAGGTGCATAGGTACAAACTTTTAAGTATAAAGAATTTGAGCACCTACAGAGTAATTTAACCTAAAAATAAATGAAAATAATTTAGTAATAGTATAGGTTATTTTTATATAAAAAAAGTTTTATTCCCAAATACGAGGGTGGATTTTAACTTTTATTCATAAATTAACGTTCTTTTAAAAAAAATATCGTGTATGATAAATCGTTTTTAGGATCAATACTTTATTTGCTTTACTATATTATTAATTATATATTGTTACAAAAAAAAGTTAGAAAAATTGTGGCTCTCCTTATTATAATTAGGATCTTGTTAATATTAGTAAAGAATTAATATTTAATTATTAAAATTTATAATAAAAGTATATTAGTAATAATTTTACAATTTTAATTAATAGTCTAAAAAAATTCATTATCATTAGGCTTATTACTAATCTCCACTATAGGCAAAGTTCATACAAAGTCTTGCCACGTGAATAAGTAGCACGTCCTTATCTTAAAAATTATGAATGCTTTACATTTACAATGCGAAAACATAATAATAGAAAAATATAAGCTAAAAAGTTAAAGTGTACCACAAGATGAAAATTTGAGATATTCAGAATAAAATTCGTGAAAAATATTCAAAAATATTAATCCAACTGAAATATATGAATAAAATTATTTAAAAACAGCATAAAAAAAAAAGGCGAGAAAGAAAACGGAGCAGCTGTCGCGGAAAGTTAGCATTCGTTAATTAGATAAAGAACCAAAAAGAATTAAAAATAAATAAAAGACGCTATATAAGTTTAAAAAATAAAATTTATTTATTAAAATGAGTTGTGAAAAATTAATTTTAAATTAATTTTTTATTTTAATTTTAAAAAATTAAGATGTTTTATATTTTTTTCATCTTAAAAACAATTTTAAAAATTAAACTAACAAATAAGTTTTATTTCATTTTTTAAGATTATTAAATTTAAATTTAAATTTAAAAACTAAATCTAAAACAAATAAGACCTAAATAATTGAACTCAAAAAATTTTAATATCTTATTTTATCTTTTTTAAATAGCACAAATTTTTATTTAATTTATAATTTATTTATCGTAATTTTTTCTTTGTATATTATCCATTAGTTTTTTGGTTTATTTTTTATTTTAAGAGTCATTTTAAATTTGTTTACTTATTTGGCCTCTCTAATATACTTCTATATATTTAATAGAAGTCTTCTTCTTACAGAAATATTGTTGGAAATTATTACGTTATTATGTTATATTATTTTTTCTTCATTTTAAATTTTTTATTTTTATGGTTTATTTTCTCAATTTAAAACTTAAAATGATTGATTTTTCTGAACTATATTGTTTACTGTTAACAATGGATTTTGTTGATCATATTTTTGTTATTTAAACCCAAATTCAAGATTACAAATTAAATTAAAATGTAAAACAATTGAAATATTATTAAATAGATAATATTTGCTTCACAGAGTGTAAATTTTATTTAAAGGAAAAAATAAAAATAAGCTAATGGAGATATTTACAAACAAGTCCCCAACAAGAAGAATGCGTGCGAATGGAGACAGAGAGACAGAAAAGGGTGAAGTTGGGGCCTTTTGCCCTAAAAAGAAGGATACCAATCACACAAACAATGCCTCTTTTTCTGTTTTCAATTTTCAATTTTCATTCAACTCAGTGGGCGCCGCGCGTTCCATTCATCGTTCCGTTGCGTTGAGTCACAACTCAACTCCCAATTTTTCAACCTTATCCAAACACTTGCACACCCTCACTCTCCACGCGCTCTCTCCCACCCACAATTATTTTATTATTCATTGATTATTTTAAAGTTATGATATTATAATTTAACTTTTTAATTGGTTGTGTTATAAATAGTTATGGATGAAAAAACTCGTTTACATGAGTATTCAAAGGTAAATTATTTAAAAAAAAAAAATGTTTTGAACATGAAAAGTTACGCGCGAAAGAGACGTGTTGAGTTTTGAATCCGTGATAAACAAAAGGAAGTGCCATATTTAGCTTGGTAGAAGGATGATCCATGATAGGGTGGGTATAGAGAGGGGACAAGAGAAATCATATTCGGATAAAGCCGAATCTTACTACTATTTCTTTCCAAAGGGGAATATAAAATATAAACTAATAGGATAAAAGGGGCAAAATAAAATAAAAACTTTAATCTTATCCACCACCTTACCACTTTTCCTTATAAAATCATATCTAATATCTTCAATTCCATATTTAGCTCTTAGAAAAGGGATATGTGTTCGTAGCTATAAAGAGTTTGTCAGATATAAATTGTTGGGTGTGGTTGATCGCAAAGGGATATATCAAGAACAAAACATTAGAGATGGAGCAACATTTGACCAATCCAAGGATTCAAGCCCATAAGGAAGAAGAACAAGTTCATGAGTCTGATAATGTTGTTGGTTCTTTTCCTTCTTCATGTTCTTCTTCCTCTTCTCTTAGTGGAATTTCAAGTGGGTCATCGTTAGAATCGGATTCTTTTGAAGAAGTAACCTCCCCAGCTTCTTCTTCATCGTCATCTGATCCGTTGAGTGACATGTCGTCTTTGTTTCAACAACTTCCCATCAAGTAAGCTTCTTAGTTTCTTTTTTTTTTTCTTTGGTTGTTAGTAAACTCAAATTATTTTGTACTTAACTCAAATTGATGCATGTAATCTCAAAATTGAAACAAAATTAGTTTCTTTTTTATTTGGGTATTTGTGTTTGTTTCTGAATTTGCTAAAGTTTGTGTCTTTTGATAATGGTGTAGGAGGGGGCTTTCAAAATTCTACCAAGGAAAGTCACAATCTTTCACATCATTGACAAATGTGAGGAGCTTGGAGGATCTTGCAAAGCCAGAGAACCCTTACAACAAGAGGTTGAAGTCTTGCAAGAGCTATGGTGGAGGGTTGAGTGAGAAGCATAGAACAAAGTGCAACAATCCTAAATCTATTTCAAAGAGGGGAACGATGAATTCACCAACTTCAAGGGGTTCATGTTCTTCCTTGAGGAGGCCACCAATCCCTCCTCATAGATCCAATAGCACCATCCCTAGTCAAACAGTGTTGTTTGCTTGAAAGAAATTGTGTGATTTTTTTGTTCTTGAATTAAGATTTTTGCTTTGATTTGCGGGGTATCACATGATGTAGATTAATTAATTTCATTCAGAGAGGAAAAATGAATCCCATGGGTGGAACATGTTTACACCTAAGCTCAATTTTATTTTTTTTAATTTTTATATTGCGATTCACATGTGCAATTGATCAATGTTATATGAGATTGTAGCCCAAACGGGGAAAATCAATTCAGGGTGTGACGCGAAAGAATTCGATTGGACGGATTTGACCAAATTAACACTAAATAAAGAAAACGCGTATAACAATAAGAAAACATTTTATATATATATATATATATAATGTTAATTTTTTTAATTTATTTAATATTTTAGATGAAAATTTTATTTTATAAAAACTTATAAGTTTATTTAAATTTTTCTAAAATATACTTTTATTGTATCAGAACTAGTAAAAAAATTAAATAATTTTGATTATTAAATATATTTTATTTTGATCTTATCGAATAACTTAGGTTTATATTGTAGTTAGTGAAGTTTATATATAACTTATTCACTGATTAAATGTATTTAAAAGTGTTTTCTTTTCGTTGCTGGTTTACAGCGCATTTCTCCAATCTCATATTCGTCATAATCCGAAAAACGTGAAACCATTGGGTATTGGGGCCCACATTTACAGGCCCTATCTCTACTTCCTCTTGTTTTCATTGGTTATTAAGAAAATAAAGCTTAATGACCGAAAAGGAAAGAAAGAAAACAAGCTTAACCAAAACAACAAAAATAAAATAAAGAAAAAAAAAATAGGTTTAAACAATCTTATTTATTAATTAAAACTTATAAAAATACAAGTATAATTCATTAAATTAAAAGTTTGAATACTTTTGTATAATTTTTAATATATTTTAGTTAATAATAAATAATATATTTGAAAGAGTCTATTATTAATTTTCTTAAAAATTAATATAAAAATATAGTGAGACAAAATTCAAAGTTAGAAAATGATCGTTGACAACAAGAAAATAATGTGAAATGTGTAACTTTAATTTTATGTTATTTAAGAAAAAAATGTCAACATGTTGTTCAATTTATATATTTTTTATACATTTAGTATTTATAAAAAAAAATACTACATGAAGTTTAAATTAAATTATAAAATATGATTTTCAAATATATTTTAAATTTATTATTACTTTTATAATATATATATATATATATATATATATATATTCAAATAATATATATATTTTACGCACGCGTAGCATTACGTTAGAAGGGTTGATAATTAACTGATATGCGATTAAAATATATATTCTTTGGCATGCACGATGGTAATGCAATATTAGGTCATCCATTTCTTTATACAAACATAATTCATAAATTATAGAAATTTTGACTTGTATCGAATTACACCCACTTTTTATACTTCTCATTGATAAAAGTTAAGTCCTTCAACTATTTAATTCTTACAATATATTATATAGATTATTCACATTAAAGCATGTAAAAATTAATTAAAACAAATAGGTAAATGATTATTGTTTTTATATATTTTTAAACCATATATTACATTAATTTTGATATATAAAACTATATACTCAATATTTTTTAATTAAATTCAAATGTTGTAAATATGTTACGAGTGATATAAAATTATAATTCAACGTTGAATTTTAAAATAAAATCATTTAATAAAAACATCAAATGATATAAAATAAATATAACTCATATTAATATGAACTCATCTCTATTCAACCTGAACTATCATAAATTAAAAAAAAAAACATAGGAGGTAGATGGCAAGTAAATATTAATTATATATTTTAATTATTGTTTATCTTTAATATCACTTTTAAAACTACACAGAATTGTATTTTATAAATAATTTTAAAATTAATTTTTAACTAGTATTTAAAAAAAGCATAATTCTTCTTATTCAATGTATATATGCTATTTAGGGCTAGGGTGGGATTGCTGAAAGATAGTTCAATTAATATGTGATCATGTGAATATTTTCCTCTCTTTTTTTTAGTTGTTTTGGTTTATGGTGGATACTGAATGGGATGCAACATAGTTTGGTAACCTAATTCTTATACAGGTGGCACCTTTTTTCATTTGGTGATAGTTAATGATAAGCCAAATTTGATTGTGCAATGATACAATAAATTTAAAATCATAAAAATTAATCAATTTGGCCGAAAGTTATCATGATTAGTCCTTAGCCCACAGGTTGTAGGGATAATCGTGCGCTAATCTTAACTAATTGTAAAAATTAAACAAGCTAGATGTGGGTTTAATTTGTGTTTATCCAAATTAATCTTATTTTAATTGATTTGGATATTAAAATTTAATATTTTCAACAACATTAAATCGGAACCAACTCAATTATCACAAATAATTCATTTTTGAAAGAATATTTCAATATACAAATTTTATATAAAATAAAGTGTTTTAGTTTTAGTAGAATTTGTTTAGAATATAAAAATGCCAACCTTATCATCAATTGGCATATACTAATCCTCATTCCCTCCCCTTCCGGGAAGATTGTTAGATTCATGAATCACACGCAATCGTAACGTAAGTGACGAATCAAATGAAAAGAATAAGTTTATACAGAAAGAAGAATAATTTATTAAATTTTATTATAAATAATTAAATTCAAAATATAAAAAATACTGTAATTAAAAAATATAAAATTTATGTAATTCAAAATTTACACATATAAAAATAAAATTCTAAAGTAAAAATATTTTATTACCAGTGACAAGCAATTACAAAACTTGTTTGAAAATATATATTTAGTGATTAAGCCTTGAAATTGTTAATTATAAGTTTGTTTTTATTCTTAGGTCTAATGAATACGATAAAATTAGTTTGTAATTTCAACTTCAACATTTTATTGTTTATGCTCATAAAGAAATTTCTTTGACCGATTTTTCCTTTCTAAATTTGATGTGTTTCGTCAAGATGGGTCACTTCTATGTTCAACTATTTTATGATTTAATTTTTAAATTTGTATTATTAGTTGACAAGAAATCTTAACAAGTATTTATTATTGATAATATATTTAAGGGAGAAAGAGAATATTGTGCAGTTAGACATAAAAATAGGTTTAATTATTCAACAAAAATCTATAACTTAATCTTTTTAAAATATAATTTAATCTAGTCTATTTAATTAATAAAATTAATTTATATTTTTAAAATTTAATTAATTAAATAGATTAAATTTAAATTTAAAATTTTTTTTGTTAAACTTATTAAAATGATCTATTTAAAATTTATAATAATATATTAAATATTTTTATATAAAAATTATAATATAATAATATATGAAATCAATTAAATTTTAAAATAATAAAATCTTAAATTAAAAATTTTAATTTTTTTATTAGAGTCAAAAAATATCTTTAAGAGAGAAATAATTCTATTGAATGTCTTAATATGATATATCTATTTAAATAGTTTAATAACTTATTTATAAAAAAGGTTCAATGACTTACTAAATATCTCAAGATGAAATAAGTAATTAAAAATTAATAAACTAAATCAAACGTTTAAAAAAGCATGTTAAATTTAATAAAAATATTTTAAAGATAAATTAAGCTTAATAAAAAATTCAGAACAAGTAATAAATCAAGCTTTAATTTTAAAATTATTAAATAAAATAAATTTATTTATACAAAGTTTAATTTAATTTAATTTTAATTGCATGAGCATGTTTTATATTCAGTTTTCTTATTTAATATTTTAAATCACTGAAAATACACTATATTTAATATTATATATTATTATTTTTTTAATATACATACCATAAAAATATAATTAAATATAAAAGCAAACCTTTAAAGTTTTTTGGTTTTTGGTGGTGGATTTTAATGAAAATTTTGTCTGTAAACAGCAGCACATTAATTGGTCAAAGATTGACGAATCTAAAGGTAAGGAATCATAATTAATAAAGAAATCAAATTGCAGCAAAGAGAAAGCAAAATCGAAAGCAGCTTGGGAGCTGTACCAGCTGGTGGCGGTGCTGGGGCAGCACACATCAGTGACAGCACCCCAGTGAAAGAGCACACTTGTATTAGCATTTATCATACAAAATACCTAACACCTTAAAAAGGGAAAAGCGGTCATATTCTATAGATTAAATAAACTATTATATTATTATTTTGTTAGGTTGGCTAAGTACTTGTAATTTGTGAGGGATGACGATAAAAAGAGAACAAAAAATAAAGTAAGTCAAAGTTTAGGAGTTGAGAATGAGTAAAAAAAAATCGTCTTTTATCGACAGAATTGGCATGATTTACAGGAACCTCACCACTTTCTTGTAAGTTTCGTTTTTTTGTTAATATAATGCCAATAACTCAAGTTGTCGTTGATTTTTTCTGGAAATAATGGTGTCAGCGACGTGCTATGACCATGTTCCTTCGGTTGTCTATGTTATAATTGAAACTATGAAATTAATATAAACCCAAAATCAAATTAAAATTATAAATTTAAGACAAAATAATAATAATTGTGAAATATTAACTTGACTTTTTTTTTAAAGGGCAAATTATTGCTTTTGGATTGAGCTAATGCGATAAATAATTAAAAAGGGGAAAAGGAATATTCTTTTTGCTAAAATATGAATACCGACCCTTCCATGTGACCATGACAAGGGAAAATAACAGAATGAGCAAGTTTTTATTTGTTAGGTTGCCGTCTCTATCATAAACGCACACCTTCGCCTCTCCTAACTAAAAATTAAAACGACAAAATTCACAAAATAGCAAGAATATTAAACAAATCATTTTTGAAATTAAAAATCAAATTATTAAAATAAAAAAATAATATTTCAAATTCAGAAAATTTTAACTTACTTTAAGTTGGTTGTTTATCTTAAATTTGATTTATCTAAAAAGGATATTCTTTATTGCTTTAAATTTTTTTATAATATCATTATGTTGGAGAAATAAATACATTTTTTATTGAATAAACGTTTACCATGATTGGTGAAAAGATATACCAATAAAGTGTTATAAGCTAAGGACAATTTTAGTACACTCTAAAAAATAAATAGAAATTGTTTATAAATAGTTTCATTTACTTAAAATATAAATATAGTAATTATATAATTAGAATTTAATTTTTGCACACTACTAATATAATGAAATTATTATTTACATTACTAACTAATTAAAATACACTATGTATATATTTTTTATATGAATTATTATAAAATTTAAAATGATTTTTAACATAACATTATATAATTATGTATGTAATACTCTATAATTAAACGACGTATAAATATTTTTTTATATTATTCATATGATTAAACATTAATTATAAATTTATAATTTCCTTAAAAGCACTTGGGTTCCTTTTAGTTTTAGGTAATTTGAAAATGGTACCGTGATTAGTGTATAAAAAAAGAAAAAAGAAAAAAGAAAAAAGAAAAAAGAAAAAAGAAAAAGAAAAGGTGGTTCCGTGAAGTATAAATAGTGTGTTTGTATGGCGGGTTAATATGCATAATCGAAGTGGCGGTGGAGAGAGAAAGAGAAAGAGAAAGAGAGAGAGAGAGATAAAGCGCGTGAATGCGATCGAATTGGTGTTAGGCATCGATCATATGCAAGCAAGAATCTCCGGCGAGTTGCGTTGGATTTTGATTGAAAGATTAAGATTATGATATTGTTTGAGAAGCTTCGTTTCTCTTCCTATCTCAGCCGCTTCATTGCCGGCATTCTTCTCTTGATCTTTTGCAATTCCTTTCAGTTAGTCTCCAATTTCCCCATTCCTATACACCCTTGAAGCTTTCCGTTCTCTTAGGTTTTCTTTCATCCCTCTCTCTCTCTCTCTATTGTCTCTCTTCATGGATCCTAAACGTTTCTTCTGCACGAATTTTCTCGACGGTTAGTCTTTCACCCTCTTTTTTTTGCCCCCAATTTTACGCACTGGTTCTCGCTTGATTAGTTTTACTGAGTAAACTACTAATTTCATATCCAAGGCTTCAAACGTTTGTCAAATTAGTTTTTAAATTCAAAAAATAATTGGGTTTAACTTATGTAGTTGTTAACTGGCGAGGTTGTTACAGCTTAATTGATGGTTTTGAGATTTGTGGTCTCGAGTTTGAGTTCTTAGACATGCAGGAGAGCTTTGCTGCGTACAGTGTTTTTATTCAACTCAAATATGATTGCCTTTGCTATAGGAATAAAAACGTATTTAGTTGTCCTTTAAGCCTATGTGGTTCGTTCATGATGCTGAAGTGTTTTCTGAGGGCTCATTTGATTTACTAATTCTACTAATTGATACTAATAAAGGGGCATCCCGGCATTGTATAAACTCTAACATTCAATTAGTACATCAAATGAGTCTTAAAAGGACATTTCAATATCATTAACAGGGCACGTAGGGATTTAGTTAATGATAACATAAAGATTATAATGGTAGGGGCTAATATAAAGGATGGCATCATGTAGTTTAGGGAATAATTTGAGGAATATGTGAAATGTTAGGGACGAAATTGATAGTTAACTCTAAGTTTATTACCTCCCTTGAGTTACTTTTTGATGTTACAAAATTTTGGAGAATTTTGTTTCCTTCTAATCTTATTGTTTTATGATTTTTTTAATAATTTTTTCAGTTTTATGAACAGATGCAGTATTATGTTCTGTTCGTTTTCATTATGAATTTGGGATTTTTCCCCTTCTGATTTTTGTGTACAATGATCAGACACTATTGCATCACGACGCATTGAAAGCCAACACAGACATCTCCCTTCAGTTATTGTAATTGGTGCTGGAATATCTGGAATTGCTGCAGCACGAAGTCTCTATGATGCATCTTTTAAGGTCTCATATCATTATGTGATAGGTCAACTTAAAGAATTTTTCCTTTCTTTTTGCTTTGTCTTATTTTCATCATTTGGTTAGGTAACTATACTGGAGTCACGGGATAGGCTTGGTGGTCGCATTCAGACTGACTACTCATTTGGTTGTCCAGTTGACATGGGAGCCTCATGGTAAGGTCAATTTGTTCTACTGAAAAATGTGTTTGTGCACGTGCACAAAGTTTTGTGGGTGAAAGATGAACAGAATTTGTGCACTGTATTCATTAACTTTTTACTTGTTTTTGATTTTGTGTGCTTTTTTTTTTACATAAAATTTTAATCCTATCATGTTAACTTGATAGCTGGTAGCTTGCCCACCTTTCTCCCCCTACTTTCGTGTTTGTTGTTGTTTAAAACAGGGACATGCTGATTGATAATTTGATAGAGTGCAAGGAATTTGAGTTTGTTTAACACTTAGATTTTTATGCCAAAATTAATCATTCTCATGGCATAAATCTCTGCTTGCATATTGTTGTGGTGCTGAAGCTGCCCTCACCTTCCATGTCTTGAACTAGACCACCATATCCAGCTTTGCCCATATTGCCCGAAGAAGAGTTTTCAATAACTCATAAGGACTTATCTATTGATAGGGTGCTAGTTCTGAAAGATGGCTCCTTTTTTGCCTTACAGAACACTAAAACAATAACACCTAAGTTTTGTCCTATGGTCATTACCTCTTTCATTTATTGACGTTTTTGTTTAAATATTTCTTTTCAACTTTCAACCCTCCTTCTAAGGAGCTGGCTGTTCTTTTATATGCTAGAAGAGAGTTCTCTAATACATAATACTTATTCTGGAAGATATTCATGAGATGTATGCTGTTTATGATTGTACTGACAAGTGACGGGTCCCCTCTAGTTATTTCTACTCTTCGTACTTTATTCTTTAAAATTAAGGAAATGTCAATGGAATGAGTTAGATTGATGAATTTTGAATACGATTAGTTTCTTCTTGATTATTTTTCAGGCTACATGGAGTTTGTAATGAGAATCCATTGGCTCCATTGATACGTGGCCTGGGGCTTACATTGTATCGTACCAGTGGTGACAACTCTGTCTTGTATGACCATGATTTGGAAAGGTAATAATCCCTCGTTCTACAACCCATTAAGATTGATGCATTTCAACGTTTATGATGCAATTTTTAGAATATAGTTTAATAATATTTAAACTATCCTACATGATTAGTTGCAAAATTACCAAAATGGTCACTCTTCCTCGCCTTAACCTTTTCTTTATGCATGAAGTGTTTATGAATCACCTTCTCTTATATGAAATTCAAGCATACGTATATGATTTATTGTTATGTTTGAAACAAAATAACATTTGAATTTTTTGCAATTCTACTAGCAGTGTTATATGGTAACCACATTTTAATTTTTTTTTTTAGTTATATGCTGTTTAACATCAACGGTAATCAAGTTCCTCAACAGATGGTCATTGAAGTTGGAGACACTTTTAAGAAAATTCTGGAAGAGGTAAAATTCTTTTCATTTTGCAGCATATAGCATGTGGTATTTTTTTTCCAATCATATAAGTGCAATTATGATTATCTTAATCTTGAATCTAATGAATGACCTTCTGGTGACTACAGACAGGGAAAGTGAGGGATGAGCATCCTGAGGACATTTCAGTTTCCCAAGCGATTTCAATTGTGCTGGGCAGGCATCCAGAACTAAGGTACTTAATTGAGAAGAGAATATTATATGCTTGTATTGAGGCTTAAGTTCCAATCTATCATTGTAATTGACATGTTTTCTGCAGGCAACAAGGACTTGCCCATGAAGTGCTGCAATGGTATATATGTAGAATGGAAGCTTGGTTTGCTGCTGATGCTGATATGATTTCACTGAACACGTGGGATCAGGCAAGTGCCTATATTAGTTGAAGGATATAAAATATCCTTTTGCCCTTAAACTTACTAACACTTATTTGTTTTATTCATGAACCTTAATTTGCCATCATGTCCCTGTGTTATTGTTCATGTAAATGATGAAGTTTTGGGATGAGTTTAATAAGCAGGAAAAAAAATCTAATTACATAAAATGATCAAAGTATTGATTCATTATTATTATTATTATTATGAGTTATTTACTATTTGAAAACTAAAAAAAAATATGGAGATAATGTTGGAGATAAATTATCAATAATTGTTAATCAATTGACTAATGATTTGTGTTTGATTAAAAATAAGTTGACATTTGAGCTTCCCATGACCATTTTTTTACTTACTGTTAATGTTCACTAGTTTCAGTTGACAAAATGAGATAAAGGCTTTTCATACAGAGATTGAGTTTATATTGTTGTTTTCTATCTACCTGTGGAAGATCAACTCATTATTTCATACCCAAATTAATGCTTACATTGTTGATGTTCCTGATTATAGGAACACGTCCTCTCTGGAGGTCACGGACTCATGGTGCAAGGATATGATCCTGTTATAAAAGCTCTTGCAAAAGATATTGATATACGCTTAAACCACAGGTATGCTTGCATACCAGACCTAATTACATGGTCATTTTTAATGATTTATGACAGAGCATGAAATAAACTCAAAGAAAAGAGCAAAATATAAATGTCCTGTTTGGAGCCCAGAGAATAATAAGTGCTGGAAAGTGTGATTTTTTCCAGGTTTTGTTTCTGAAGTTGATTTTCTGTTAAGTTGAAATATGTTGTTTTTAAAACCTATATCCCTAATCCATTTCCTAGTATTTTGTAAAGACATTGATAGACACCTCTGGCTTAATTGATACTTGGTGGTTCATTGATTGCTTTACCATCAGTTAACAATGTTCCAAAATCATTTTCTACTCTATTTAAGCCAAACTCCTCTAGCGGTAACTGACTCTACCAATTGTTTGTGGGACTACAAAATTTGAATCTATTAAAGTGTGAATTGTTTTGGATACTTTAAAATAAGAATAGTTCCCTAATTTTTCCTTTGTCCTGATTTTGATCCTTTTGTGAAACTGCTCACCATGTAGGGTGACAAAGATATCCAGTGGTTACAATAAGGTAATGGTTACGGTTGAGGATGGCAGGAACTTTGTTGCTGATGCTGCTATAATAACTGTTCCTCTTGGAGTCCTAAAAGCCAATTTAATTGAATTTGAACCAAAACTTCCCGAGTGGAAAGTTTCTGCAATTTCAGATCTTGGTGTGGGCAATGAAAATAAGATTGCCCTAAGATTTGATAAAGTGTTTTGGCCTAATGTAGAACTCCTGGGCATTGTTGCTCCAACCTCTTATGCCTGTGGTTATTTTCTCAATCTACATAAAGCAACAGGCCATCCAGTTCTTGTCTATATGGCAGCAGGAAGGTTTGCTTATGACCTTGAGAAGCTATCTGATGAGTCAGCTGCAAAGTTTGTAATGCTACAGCTCAAGAAGATGTTTCCTGATGCTTCAGAGCCAGTAAGTTCAACTATCATGTTGTCTTCAACACTTCATACTGTCCATTCAATAAAGTTTGCTCTCGAAGTTACTACCTCCTCCTGCTTGAGCCTGACCTTTGGATTGTTGGATTGCAGGTTCAATATCTCGTGTCACGTTGGGGAACAGATCCAAACTCTCTTGGTTGTTACTCATATGATTTAGTTGGAAAACCTAATGATGTGTATGACAAGCTTCGCGCACCCTTGGGTAACCTATTCTTTGGTGGGGAAGCTGTAAGCTTGGACAACCAGGGATCCGTGCATGGAGCTTACTCTGCTGGAGTTATGGCTTCTGAAAATTGTCAGAGATATCTTTTAGAGAAACAAGGTCAGCTGGAAAAGCTGCCTCTAGTTTCTGTTAGGCATCAAATACTTGAAACTCTTATACCTCTTCAGATCTCGAGGATGTGATTTGTGCTTAGTTGTTTTTCAAAAAATGAACATTTATTTAAATTTGCATAACATAATGGCAAAATATTAGCAATTTGGAGGATCGTGATTATCTTACGAATAACACTATTTCCTCTTATTCAGACTGGAGTAGAACAGCTTTTTGTCTAAGTTATCTTTAATACCCCATTAATTGACCTTTTATATTTTAAATTTACTTAAGATCGCTGACTTTGCTACTAGGCTTGGCTTATTAAGATGCATGTATCTACGTCCGTTTTAGCACAGTACATATAACGCAATTACTGGTATGGAAATGGAAGTTGTCTCAGTAGTACCCCACAATTCTCTAAATGGTAGAGGTATACTATTACTGGGTGGCTTCGCAACATTTTCCTTAATCAACATCTTGGCAGACAACGGGCTATCGTTTCCTTAGGCTCTGTTTGTTTGTCATGCCTTTGTCTTGTTTCTGCTTATTGTGTTTTGCATCAAGCCGACAAAAAGACCAAAAGAAAACGTGATTTTCATTACTCTTCCTTTTAAAATGTATAACGTCAAATTGCTCTTAGTGAAGAGGAAGCACCGGAATGGTACGGGAACATCTCATAAAATAGACCACAAAGAGAAACAAATAAAGAAGGTACTCAAACTTAGCCACTTACAATCTAGTATCTGATATAATTTTTTAAAACAAAAGTAGTATTTGTTAACTACAAAAGTCTATATGTAATTTTCATAGAAATCCTGAATTTTATGTTATACAAGTAGTTTTGGTTAATTAAATGTTTTTCCCATGTGATTCTAATTGACAGTCTCAAAATTTATTTTCTTATGACGTGCTTGAAATAAAAGAAAATTTAACTTTTCTAAATGATTACATGTGATGTGACTATTTTTCCCTGGGAATTGGAATCTATGGTTTACAAACGTCACAGCTTGTTGTCTAAGCTAAGAGGCACCACTTTATTTTTCTAAAAAATAAAAATAATTAGACTTTTCATATTGACTGCTTTAACTCCATCGAGATAGTCCCCAAATTATTTGAACGTAATAGTACTCCAAATATTTCTTTGTTTGCCTTTTTTTTTTTTTACAAACTTTTGCTTTATTTTTGAGAAAAAAAAAATTTACGTAATGATAATAATATATTTGAGAATTTTTATTAAGATAAAATCTTCTGAATCCTTTTAATTTCATGTTTTTAAGTTTTCTTATTTTAAAAAATTTTATATTAACTTTTCATTCAAATTGAAATTCTCTTAAGCGATATTTATTGTTATGCAGTTTTAATCTTAAATGTTAAAGCTTTTAAGAACATATTATTTAATTAAATTTATTATTATATTAATATAATTTGATTGGATGAGATGTAATTTAGTCAAGAAGTGATGCATTTTTTTCCCATTTTTCTCTTATCCTTCAAACACTTTCTTTTTCTCTTTTTCTAAAACCTCTCAATCAAAGTCCAAATAATTTGGGTCTCAAATTCACTAGATAAAAATATATTTCAAAGTTTAAAAAATATTTACACTTGTAAATAATTTATCAACACAATTTTTATATTAATAATGAGATTTAGATTCATATTTTTGTACAATACAAATTTGATTTTTACTAATTGAACTAATTTTAATCGATAAATCTCTCTCTATTTACGTATAAAAAAGTAAACCCATGACCAATTAATATTTACAAATTACACAATTTACTTTCCAAAACTTTTATGAATATTAAGAGTATTTTTAATTAAATATTTTTTAAAACAGACAATAAAAGTTTAAATCTTTGTCAACCTATTAGGATGGTAAAATTGAAAATACATGCAACTTAATTTCAAAGTTAGGATTATTTAAGCTATTATAAATGACACTTCACTTATACAAATTTAAAACACTCCTCTTATTAAGAAATAGATATTTATGATGTAAAAAGATTGAACATATTTATAGGCAGCGTATTATCATAGCTGAAATATATTACGGTATTATATTATAATTGAGAATTGATTGAATTTAAATAATCTAAAAAACCCATTTTTTCAAAAACAAATGAAGATTTGCCCCCATACTTAACTAACGTGACATCTTAGAAGATATTCTCCAACATTCTTGAAACCTAAGATGAGTAGATGAGATATATCATTTTTTGTTGAAAAAATGTCTCCAACGATGATTGCAATGGCGATAGATAAGGGATAAGCTTCGCCTCTTTCCGATGAAGCCGTGCCAGGCACATTCAAACTTGCACTCAATATTATCATCTCATTCGTAAAATTAAGAGAATATATGGATTTTTAAAGGGGTGCTAAACATATATTTAATCAATATAATAGAATTAAGAATTTCTCATTTAAATGTTGTAATTACAGCACACAATTACTCTTATAAACTCATCTATTCATGTTCACATCATTCAATAATTTACATTATTTTTATCCAATTAGCATACGTTTAATCTCACGTTTACATTGATTGTACATTTATTTTAACGCTGCACGACATAACATCTAATAATTAAGACATAAAATGCTTTCTTAATTTACCATTACTACAAAAATTATCTAAAAATATAAATCGGTTTGATGGGCAGTATCATGTCATTGACTAGCTTAAAACGGATCAAGACAAGTTTGTTTATTTTTATTGGGCAAGCAACTACTTATTTTTCAAAAGTAAAAATGCAGAGAGTACCAATTAAGTAATTAAAAGTAAAATTTTTTAATGCTTCATAACATGATTTATAATAAAAATTTTATTATATATTAATGAATTTAATTTAGATACACTGATAATATAAAAAGTTTATTGTTTTATTATAAATTATCATATCAACAACAATACTTAATTTTTGTAATAGTTAATATAAAAATTATATTTATAATATATTATAATTAGTTGACGATATATAAATTTTTATATTGATAATGTAGGAAAGTTAATTTTTTATTAATTTTTTAACTAGTGTCCTGATAAAATTATTATTATTATTATTATTATTATAAAAAAAAAAGTGTAAAAATAACTCTATATGTGTGTGTGTGTGTGTAACTTTTATTTAATAATGAGAAATCATGATGACTTGAAGAATTAAAGGAAAAATAGAAAAGCAATATGATATGAACCCCATAAAAGGAGACAATAGGTGTGGGAGAATCCAATGAAAATGGATGAGAGAAGAAGAGTTACATATGGGCCTCACCATCACACTTTAAAGAGGGATCAAAATTGGACTTTGCCCCAAGTTGTAAGCAAAAGCAATTTTGCATTTGCATGTCAAAGTCAAGCCACCAATAACAACAATTAAAATTAAAATAAAAAAAGAAATGCAAAAGAAAAGACAAAAACGACAATAAAAACAAATAAAACGAACGCGTTTGGACGCAGACGCTAGCAAGGAAACCCACCGTAAGCGAAAAGCAATAGAATTCAGAGAGAGAGAGAGAGAGAGAGTCTCTGTCTCTTTGAATTGATAATTTCAATCTTCAATTCTTCATATCCGCAAAGTGCAGAGCTCTAATCTTTCGCGTATTGGGTTTTCGTTTCTCTCTTTGTTTCCGATCGATCCAATTCTCTTCCCATGGCTACGATCGGACACAACAATCTCAATGCTAAATTGGTTCGATTTCCTCTGTTTCTCTCTCAATCATTTCGATTCCGATTGTGTCCTCACTTTGCTTTTTTCATCAGGTTCTCCTCGGGGATATGGGTGCCGGTAAATCCAGTCTCGTTTTGCGCTTTGTTAAGGGTCAATTTCTCGAATTTCAGGTTTTTCCCCCTATTTGATTTCTTCGTTTTGGTTGGGAAAATTTCAAATTTGAAGTGTTGCTTTATTGCTGAGATTTTGTATTGGGTTTCTTTTATGTGTAATGAAAATATTCCCTGAATAACACGTGGTTCATCACGGGCATGTGTTGAGTTAAGATAATTTATATTGATTCGTCCATGAAATTGATTGATCAGAGATGCGGTTAGGTTGTTTCAAATGAACTTTTCTTAAAAACCATGATAGGTAATGTGAGAAATTCCAGCTGATTGCAAAAGGGTACAACATGATTTGATCATGGAACTTTGAAAGTAGTGACCAGTGTGTGTTAGTTGTTATAACTTTGGAACTTGAAATGATGCTTTAATAATTGTGGTGTGGTGTATATCTTCTTCTCTTTGGAGTTGTGTGTTTATAGCTATGGGTTTTGACTTTTGAGAGCTGTTATTTTTTGTGCCTGTGGAGATTATGTTGCTGAATTTATGTTCTCTTCTCTTTTGACAGGAATCAACAATAGGGGCGGCCTTCTTTTCACAGACACTGGCAGTAAATGATGCAACAGTGAAGTTTGAGATTTGGGACACGGCAGGACAAGAGCGATACCATAGTTTGGCTCCTATGTATTACCGAGGCGCTGCTGCTGCTATCATTGTCTATGACATCACTAGCGCAGTATGATATCTTTTCCTTTTTATATTTCTTAGTACCTATTTAAATTGGCAGTGTTTGGTTTACATTGACTAACTGTTTTTAACATGTAATTTAAATCTGCTATTTCTGTCTTGTTTTTGTGCGCTACATAAAAAATTTGTAAAATGATAGTTATTTATAACAAGACATGGAAAAATTGCAGCCTATTTGTAATGGTTGATATGTCTCAAAATCACAGTGGTTATGAACAAAGATTTGTTCTATTATGTGGATATGTACTTCTGATGCTGCATTTCTTTGATCAAATGAATGTATTTCTGGACTGATGTTAAATTGTTTTTGATGGTTTGCCTAATTTCATTATATCTTTGTTTTGCTTGAAAAGTAATAGATACATTGAAAATGTTCTTACTGAGTGGAATATATGCGTGTGGAGTATACCTTAAAATGGAATAAAGGAGTAATTATTAGAACTGTGAGTAGCATTCAGAACAATCCTTATTATGGTATTATAGGCTACTTTTAAGACATTATAGGCTACTTGTCAGGGAACATCTGATTGTTCCTTTTTAACAAAAAACTTTGCACAAAACAATTCCCGAGACATCCTCATTGAAATTGTATGCAAAGGACCCACTTATTCTAATATAACTTCTTGAAACTAATCAATGTAAGCAAGTAGTTTATTTAAAAGAATTTGTCTATGACCACATCTCCCCAAAACTTTAAAACTGTTGGGTCACAACATCATAAATGATTTCATATCCAATACACCCCTCACACAAGAGCTGGAAAGGTAGATGATGCATAGGTCCACCTTACTTTATGCTGAATTCATCTTTTTATTGGAGGGATGAGGCAATAAGGATAAATTTTTTGACCACTTAGTCAAGGATGCTTTGATTTGGTTTTTGATTGAGTTCAATGGTGTAGTGTGATTCATATAGCAGACCTCATCTTGTGGGATAAGGCTTTTTTGTTGTTGTTAGTTAAGGTTGTTTTGATATCTTGTCAATAACCTACTCTCCCCAAAACTGAAGCCGTAAGATGAAGGCTCATGAATGATTTTATTTATATCTAACAAAAATCATGATTGCCTTTTATAATTTGCCAAAATATATTTGTAGATTGTTAGTTTGAACATCAAACCATTATTGGTGCAAGATTTTGTACAATGAGTATGATGAACTGACATCTTATTTTGAATTTCCAGAACAATCTTTTGATGAATTAGTAGCAGACAAAATCTGCTAGCATGGTGTTCTTTCTTTTGATTTATATATTCTTTTGTCTTTTGGTAGGGCTGAACCTATGCTTTTAACACTATTGTCTATTTAATAAGGTTTTATATTATTATTTCTAATTTCTCTTCACAGGAGTCCTTTACACGGGCTAAGAAGTGGGTCCAAGAACTTCAAAAACAAGGTATTAGCTGATTAGCTCTGAAGTTTTGTCATTTTTTTTCCTGAAGTGAAATAAAATATATAGATTGCAGGTGGAGTTAAAACTATTTATTAACCATTTACAAACTTCACATTTTTGTCACATCCTTCAATGTTCCTTTGTGTCTTTTTTGAACTTTTTATTAACTTTGATCAGAACTACATACATTAATCAGTGAAGGAAATTAGGAAATTCCAAGTCATATTTTATAATAGAATGACATAGATATAGATGAAATATATATGAGATGATGTGAGAATGATTGTGTGCATGAGAAGTTTCTTCACAGTTGGGGAGATCCAATATTCCATTTGTAGAGAGCCAGGGATACATCGAACTTTTGAGTTAATTTTACAAGTTATCTATGATATGGTTGACATAAATATTTAGTTGTATTTTTCCATTCATGTAACTTAGCTATCAATGTACAATCTCAATCAGCATACGACAGACAATGCTTTTTTTAAAAGATAATGCTCAACCGGAGGGTTTGCTCTAAATTATTGTGTGAAACAGTAGTTACTTTTGTTTCCCTCTAGCAATACAAGGTTTGTGGTAGCTGTAGTTGCATGATTAGATTCTCGAATAATGCACTCGGCTTGTTGTTGTTACAGGGAATCCTAACATGGTCATGGCTCTTGCTGGTAACAAGGCTGACTTGGAAGATAAGAGAAAAGTGACAGCTGAAGTAAGCATTATTGCTTTTCAATATTCCTTTTTATGCCATGTTAATTATCAAGAAATTATAATCTTAACAATAATGTGTATTGATTATATAAATTGTTGGAAAAGTGAAAAAAATTAAATACACTGTGGATTCTGGTCCCAAACAGTAGAAAACAGAGCAGTGGGGATTGATATGTATGTACTCATCAATTTGTGTCCAAGAAATTTATCACAGGCATAATAGAGAATTTTCCCACTGTCCAATTTAACTAATTTGATTAACAGTTCCATTGTTTTTTTTATCTTCGAATTGTTCAAGAGGGAAGTGAATCTTTCTAAAACTAGAAGGCATGGGATACAATTCAAGATTTAGAATTTGACCTAATTTTCCCAAAGATTTTTAATGAATTTTCAAAGTGCAAATTTGATAACCTGTTTGACTTGAGCATTTTATATACAAGTGCTTTTGGTTTTATCCGGCAGGATAATTGCACCATTTTGTCAAATCTCTGCCATCATAAAACTTCAATTTTGGATACAAAAGATGCTATAACGAGTAGTTTACCATTGCATTATGTTTGAATTCTTCTTTTGTGTTTAGCAACTTGCATATTTTTGTGTAGTTTCATGTTTTATAGTGGTAAAATGAGATTTCTTAGACCTACCAGTGTATCGATTTTTGACTCATTGATATTGTAGGAAGCACGTGTGTATGCTGAGGAAAATGGTTTGTTCTTTATGGAGACCTCTGCCAAAACTGCAGCCAATGTTAATGATATATTTTATGAAATAGGTGAGTCTATTCCTATTTACTTTCTTTATTTTTTAATTGAATCGCTTAGGAAAAAGTTATGGTGAGCAATATTTGCCCTCCTTTTCCTTTGTTTTTTACCATGCCCTTGTTACTGTTTATTGCAACATTCTTGGACTAAATTTTGTTTATTCCTGGTGGCATCTACTTTACTTTTGTGATGCATAAAATTTTATTCATTTACTCAGTTACTATACTTTCTGGATATCTGTGGAAACTCGTTTAGGAAACATACAAGTCATTCAACATGCACTCTTTTTGTGATTATAGTACCATGCAGTGCTTTTAAGTAGTGTTTCCTTTACTATAAACTGTTGAATTTTGTTTACGTTGCTAGACTCACAATTGCTTATGTGAACAGCCAAGAGGTTACCAAGGGCTCAGCCAGCACAAAATCCACCAGGGATGGTTCTTGTTGATAGACCTGCCGAAGGAACAAGGGCTGCATCATGTTGTTCATAAATATTTGAGCTGTATTTGCATCCCCCCTCCCCCCTCAAAAATTAATCCTGTTTTCTGTGGTTTGTATGTACTACACACTTTGATGTCACTGTTTTGTGGAGCTCCAACAAGTTTATGGTTGCAATTTATAAAACAACTTGATGGTGCAAAACATATCCTTTCATGTGTCCCTTCATTTGTTTGAGTATTATGTGTTGAAAAAGCATAAATGTTAAGGTTCATTCATATGTTTCTAGACAAGATTTATGATTCTTTGCATTCTCCCTTACTCTGAGTTGTCTCACACCTTTTTTTTTCTTGTATAAAAAACTCCCCTTGTTACCATGATGACATTTATATAGTGTTAATTTCCCGTGGTTCATAAAATAAATTAGTGTATGTGTGCATTAACAACAAATCCAAAACAGATTAAATTCACAGTATTTCCTTCAATAATTACTTGCGTAATTTTGGGTTTGGATGGTAGTTGGTTTCTTTGATCTTAGACCTTTGTTACGTGGAAGACACGTTAGACTTCTGAGTCGCTTTGCGTGTGTTTAGACCCGCTTTATTTTCCTTGAACGTTTGTCTATTCGTTAAAAGTTGTATTTAGTAGCTTACCACTCACGTCTGCCATACTTAAACAGAAAACGAAATGCATGGTTATTTAATTAAAAAGGTTAATTTTTGTTTACATTTTTTTTTTCATTTATAAATTTTGAAATTGAAATTTTGTTTGAGAATCAAATTCCGTTAAATGTTCTAGTAGATAGGGTACAATTTTTTTGGAAGTGATACTTCGTAATTTTTTGGTTAGGGAAGCGATGACTCAGATATAGGGAAGTTCACCATATAATAAATCTCTAGAAATTTAGCGTATGGAAGGAATTTACAACCTCGAGGATTGTGATAAGTCCCATGAAATTCAGCTTATGATCATAACTATTAGTTGTAGCCTAATGAAGCTCAAGTGATAGAACTCACAGTACATCATATTAACTAGACTTCAAAAACAGGTTTGAGCTATTGTTCAGCAAAATCCCACTTCCCTTGGCACACACGACATTTTTTAGAACAAAAACATGGTAAATGTTAGTGAGTGTTTTAAGAAAACTGATTAAGAAAATAAATATAAAAAATATTTATGATTTTATGTGTGGGTCTTGTCACTTGTGTAACTAATTTCTAAACTACATGCTAAACTTAAATTTCCTCCAATAATTCAAATAACCACTTAAAATATTGCATCCATGCAACAAATACATGTTTTTGGAGATCATATCAAACATCCATTGACTTACAATATTACAAATTATCATTAGAACTTTATATAAAAACATGACTATAGATTGTTTTAAATTGTTGGATAAACAAAACAAAAATGCACATTTTCTGTAGAATACGTTAGTAATTGTACTATCAAGAAATCCAATCCATTTAATATCCCTGGTGAGAAGCTTCCGTTAACAAGAAGAATATCTGTATGTGCATACCCAGAGAAATATTTCCATTTTGTTTATTTTCACCCATTTTACATAATTTCTAATTTTGTGTATAAAACAAATTGATGTCTGAGATTTTAACAATTTCATAGTATGTGTACATATTTTATCACAATCTTAATTATAACCATACATTATCCATCCTCCTCTCACATTAAAAAAGCTAAATTCAGATATCTAACTACATTCCTCTTATCCTTCAATGAAAATGACATCTGAAAAGATATTTTTATTAATGAAAGTGAGAGATTATTTTTGGTCAATGTATCACTTGATAAGACTGGGCCTAAGGATACCCGTAAGAGACGGTTAGTGATGGTGTTTTTGGTCAAGATGGTCGGTTATTAAAAATTCAAGAGGCACCACAAGAACCCCGCAACGTGGGCCTATTGGTGGGCCAATGGCAAACCTTAAAACAAGGTGGTCCATGTTTTAAGTTTGACAGGCCTAACAAATAATTAATAAATAATGTTTTTTAAAACTAATTAATAAATAATAGTTTTGATATATAGATAAATTAATATTTTTTTTCCTTCTTGGAAACTCTCATTCTGTAGTGATAAGTCATTTGTGAATCTAACTTTAGCCTGTTTAGATTAATTTGTACCTTTTTTTTTTTTAATTTTCACCTTCTCTTTACTAATATTAGATTAAGATAACAAATTAAATTACTAATATAAATATTTTAGGTTAAAAATTAACAAGATGACGCATCAATAATGGAAAATAATTTTTTTATACTAATAAAATTGTTTATTAATATAAATTTATAATATTTTCATTATTTTATATTAAATAAAGACAATGCTAAAAATGGAAAATTATCATCTAATAGCTTTTTTTTCCCTTTACTATATGCTAATCATTTTAGTGTTTATAAGGTTCAACATGCTTGCATCACTCACAAATTAAGAGTCAATTAGTCAAATTTATAACTTCTAAACCAAAAGTTATAAAATGACACGTTAACAAAGTTTATGAAATCCAATATTCTAAAAAAGCATAATTACTAAAAATATAAAATCGGATTGAATTAACCAAATTTGAATTGACTAAAAACAATATTGGTGGAGCAAAACGGCAATTAAGTATCAGTAAAAAATGGTTAAAGTCCGGCAAAAATAGTGTAGAAAACTAGTTTAAATTGGCCACTCTATTTTCTTTGGTTTTTAATTTTATTTTAAATTATTTTTCAAATAAATAAAAAATTATTCATTAAATTTGTATATTTATTATTACTTAACTCTTTTTATGAATTTTTATCTTATAAAATAAAAAAAATGATATTTTATGCTAATTAAAAGTTTTAGTGAACTTAATTTTTATAATTATTTATTAATTTATTATTTAACACTTTCTCTAATTTTTTTTATAAAATTACTTTAATATGTAATATAAACTAATTAAATCATTTAATTTTAAAAATATTGTAACATAATAATTTTGTTCTCAATTAATATAATTAAACTAACCAAACGTAAACCCCACAATCAATGTTTACTTTTGTTAGTTTAAATTTAACTTTTAACGAACTGCATCTATAAAAGACAAGTAAGAACAATAATAATAATAAATATTTCACAATTATAAATTTTTTATAATTTTTTGTAGAATAAATTATAATGTATAATATTAAAAATTTATTATTATTTTTATTACAAGTTAATTTAATTACGGTTAAACTAATAAAACGTGATATCTGTCTAATTTAAATAGATGAGACTTGAGAGGTACATTTTGTTGATTCTTGAATTTCTATCTGTGTGAACATCCTTATGAGTCTACCAATAAATAAATATATTTTGGAATTATTTGGCTAACAATTTGACTCTAAATTGGTGAATCAACAGCTCATACAAATCAGACTAGTTAGTTGAAAGAACAAGTTAGATAAATATTTAAATTGGTCCAGAAAAAAAATTGATTCCATAAAAATATTAATTATTTTAATTCTTGAAAATTAAAAACATCAAGTTAATTAATCCTTATATTTACTGGATAAAAGAACAAAAACATGCTTATTTATAATTTTGAAGAATATTTAATAGTTTTTTTAGGGGCTATTTAACAACTTTATAGGCTATAGGTATAGAGTCTGAAGATAGGCTCGGCAACAAAACTATTACATGCATATATTGAAAGATAGGTTATATTTAGATCAAAATTATATTATTTAATAATTTATAATTATAATTATAATTATATATATATATATAAACCAATAATCTACATATAAATTTTAGAATTGACAAAATGAGTTATTTAAATTATTTGGGCAGACCCATGGTGGTTAATAAACTTTAACAAGACTGAACTAAAAAATTTTAGATTTAATTTGAATTACATAAATAATATTCAAAATAAAATAGGTAAAATGTAGTATTTAACAAATTGAATTGAAACTCAACATTTAAAATTAAAGTATGGTATCATATGAAACTCAACATATTACCTAGTAATTCAATATTACAACCTAATTAATCAGCCATTAAAGTTTTAACAATTAGGATTTCTTTTTATCAACATGATCTCAGCAACAATAATATGCACATAAGATAAGTTGAATGGACCATTCCACAACCCAACATCGTAATACCCAACTCTATTTTGGACGTTTCTAGTTTAAGAACTTTTTACCAAAAATAAAACCCCATTTCGATTTTTGTTTTAATTCATTAAAAATATGTCAAAAATTAAAAATAATAAATCCTAGAAAATTACACTATAAAGACATTTTGGTTCATATTGAGTGTGGATCTTGGATACAAATTATGGAGGAGTGACGCCGACATGTCATCATTGATAACTAAATGGATCAATAATTGGGTGGTGTCACGTGCTCATTCTTGTGCTAATTTAGTAATACTCCGTATATTTCGTACTTGCTTGACAACATATTATATTTAAATATCATTTTAATTAACTATTATTTACATGTGAGAAATCATCATATAATGTTCTCTTGATTTACAATTTTTTATCTTAAACAAATCTCTTTTATATTGTATAATATAACACTACATATCATTCTTCCCTAATTTTTTATACACTTAAAAAAGGTTAAAATAATATAAATAAGGATATCAAGCAAAATTTTATCACATTCAAAAAATGTAAATGTATTTTGCCCTAAAAATTATGTTAGAAGATCATAGACAACTGTGTTTTTATATCTTCTAACATGAATAATTTTGATTCAAATACTAATTAGCATATGTTCAACTATGACTACTTATTTGTCAAAAAGAAAGGTATATAAAAAAGTAACAATTTGTTTAAAGTAAACTGAATGGAACACACACCTTTTATTATAGAAAATAACAAAAATTACCAGATCTTGAGGATAACCTAGTCTCTTGAAGGATATATAGTACCTAACAAAGTTTTAGTGTTTAGTGACACGAACTTGGAGCACCAATTGATCATTATTATCTTCAACATTTTATCAGAAATATCTTACATGATTGAGACCCAGATCCCACTGAAACTTGTTTGTTATATTAAAGAGTCAAAATGGACAATTGTCAATAGCTAATGGGCACTTTGTGTTTTGTGGTGATAGGGGGCATTAATCTCATGGTCCCCTAATTTGTAATACCCACTGATTGATTTCGTCCACAGGTGGATTAATTCACTCTTAAAAGCTAGATCATTTTTATAAGAAGTATTGTGATTCTATTTCTAATATCTTTAAGAGTATCGTATATCGTATCTTGCTGAAACTTATAGCAGTGCAGTATAAATTTGAAGTAAATTGTGTAAATATGAAGTAGCTCATTCTTTATGTGGACCAATAGTAAGAATGTGTGATAGGAACACCCAAAACTTTCTCCATTTTTTACGGCGTAACATGTTGTGATATTAGACAATAGACACCACATTTCAATCATATCAATTACCCCAGAAAGATTCTCTCCATTCTCCAATAATTTTGTGTTCAATCAATACAATAATTTCTGCCCAAAGAAAGAAGTGCAGTTCCATCGTTTTCAGATCAAATAATGGATGTTGTATTTAATATTATAAATGGATTTTTATTTTATTTTTTATTTTTAATATAAGTCTCGAAAAAGTAAATTAAAAGAAACAAGAAAAGATATATCACATTAAATAAAAGAAATACAGACATAGTGAAAATTATAACAATCGCAAGCTAAAAAAAACACTGTTTTGGCCTTTTGAAAAAAGACACCTCCACATTAGTAATGGCTTGGCAGGGATTTGTCGTATCATGTCATGCGTTCATGGGGAGTCGGAATAGACTTCACTAAACTTGTTCTCAAATTTGAGAACCCTTGTTATTTATATAAAAATGTTTTTCTTAAAGTGGGGCACTTTTTGTGTTTCTTTTTAAATTTTAAAAAATATTTTAAAGGCGTGTGTACAAAAAATAAGTATATAGAATATTACATCTTATATTAATTTTTAAATATTCAAATAACACAGTTGTTGTTCATATTCTATGAAATTTCTCTTTCTTTCTGGAACACACTTTTTGATAAAAAAAAAAAAACGAATCATAAAATAATTTAAATAAAATTAATGTTTAAATAATATTTTAAGTCATGCAAACTTTAAAAAAAAAGGGAGAAAATTGACTCTTTTCATAATAAACAACCGTATAAAATTCAAATACGGATCCATTTATTTTCAATTTAATTAAAACATCTCATAAATTTTAAAAGCACAAAAAGAAAAAAAAACCGAAAGTAAGCACAAAGACATCTTTTAGTTGTCTAGACCATCTTTTCATTCACTGACTAATACAAAAAATTTACAGATACTTTCTGATTAACAATATTTGTATGTACATGTAAAATAAAATGGTTAAAAAAATTTCAAAATCCTTCCATTTGAACTAGTACATCACGATAAACAAATCTGTTTCTACTCATGGATTTTACGAAGAAAAGAGAGAGAAAAGTGTGAAATAAAATTATTGGTGTAATAAAGAAAGATAAAAAAAATATAAAAAACTGTAAAATTTATATAAAGAATAGAGTGACTATAAACAAAATGTTCTAAACCCATCAAGTTCACAGGTTAAATGAAATAAGAGGAAAATTTTAGAAGTAATTAACAAAGGAGAGAATATATATATACGATTTAATATGTTGTAGATTTCGATTAAAGATGTAATGGAATTCTTAAACAAAGCAGGGAACAAGATGAAAAAGTTATTTTATATATTTAGCACTTTGCCACAAAACAAGCCGAAGTAGATGGAACATGAAACTAAAGCCTCGGATTCTCTGAAATTATAACCATTTAAATACAACCAAATAGCCCATAACGCCATATGTACACACAATATTCTCTTTGCATTATATGAAACAAACAAACTGTAGACAGAACTTTGAAACTTCAAAGACGAGACACAGCCAAAACATGCACATTATTATTATTATATCCTGCAATATTATTTTGATTGACTATGCTGGACTTCTTGTTATTCTTTTGCTGCAGATTCTCGGATACTACGAAATCCTTAGCCTTGACCCTCAATTCAAACTTCTGAATCTTACCGGTTGAAGTCTTCGGTAACTCCTCCAAGAACTTTACCATCTTAGGGACCATGAAATGTGGCAAGTTCTTCCTACAATAGGCAATTATTTCAGCTTCAGTGACATCATTGGTTTTCCCTAATGAATTCTTCTTTAGGGACACAAAAGCACAAGGACTTTCACCCCACCTTGGGTGTGGCATTGCCACCACTGCAGCTTCCAACACCCTTGGATGCCTATACAAAAGTGACTCAACTTCAACACTGCTTATGTTTTCACCTCCTGATATGATCACATCCTTAGACCTATCTTTAATTTCCAAATACCCATCAGGGTGTATAACACCTACATCACCGGTTTGAAACCAACCATTGCCAAACGCTTTTGAAGTTGCTTTAGGGTCTTTATAATACCCCATCATGATTCCACTTCCTTTTAACACAATTTCCCCCATAGTTTTCCCATCTCTTGGCACACTTTCCATTGTGTCAAGGTTCTTCACATCAACACCAGCTAGCGTCAAGACACTAACTCCTTGACGGGCCTTCAGTTGGGCCTGTTGTTGTTTTGGCAACATGTTCCATTTTTTCTGCCACTCACACACAAGGGCTGGTCCTGTTGCCTCTGTTAGCCCATATGCATGTGTGACATGAAACCCAAGTGACTCAATTTTCTCAAGCAATGATGCTGGTGGTGGTGCTCCTCCAGTGAGTATTTCAACCGGAGATTTTATCTCATGGCGTTCACTTGGTTTGGCTTCTAAAATAATGTTGAAAACAATAGGTGCGCAACACATGTGCGTCACATTGTGTTGAGCTATGTTCCTGTATATGTCAGATGCTGCAGTGTTACGAAGACAAACATTTGTACCACCACGTGCAGCCACACCCCATGTGAAGGTCCACCCATTGCAATGGAACATTGGTAGTGTCCAAAGGTAAACAGGTTCACTACCCATTTCCCACCCCAGTATTAGGCTCAGGGTGCTAAGGTATGCTCCTCTGTGGCTATACACAACACCCTTTGGTTCTGAGGTAGTTCCTGATGTGTAGTTCAAAGCAATTGGAGCCCATTCATCTTGGATTTCCTCAGGAACATAGTTTGGATTACCATGGTGAACCATTTGCTCATATTCAAGCTCACCTAGTCTGATCCCAGTGGGAGAGTTTATGTCATCTATGACAATGACTAGTGGAAGAGATAACGAGTAGTTTTGATTTGTTGGTTTTGCACCACCGTCTTGAAGGTTGTTGTTGTTGTCCATGAGTATTCTGAGGGCTTCTCTTGCCTTGGACACATATTCATAGTCCACAAAGAAAACTTTGGCTTCAGAGTGCCTCAGAATGGCGGCTATGTTCTTTGCATCTAAACGCATGTTAATGGTGTTGAGCACAGCACCTGCCATAGGCACTGCAAAATGCATCTCATATGTTGCTGGGATGTTAGGGGCCAGCACTGATACCTGTTCCATAGAGAAAAAAATAAACCAATTATTAGTGTGTGTATATACATAAACCAGCTTCTAATTAATTAATTAATTGGTTAAAGCATGAATCATAGATGTAATATATGCATGCATGGTCACTGGCATTAATTAACTTTTCACTTTGATTATTGTGTTTTGGAAAATGTTTTTATTTTCACAACAAAAGTGTCAAATACTGGGTAGTAATTAGATATTCAAATAATGACATTAATATTTTAAAAGTACAAGAAATTTATGTAGTTGAAGAAATTGTTACACATACAACATCATTCCTAGCAATGTTGAGGGCACGGAGCGAGGAAGCAAGGCGAAGGCAACGCTCATAAGTTTGTGCCCATGTGAAGCGCGTTCCTTCATGGATCACTGAGGTACGATTTGCATAGCATGCAGCAGCTCTCATCAAAAACGTTAAAGGGGTGAGTGAGGTATAGTTTGCTTGGCATTTTGGAAGGTTATCCATTAGATATTATAGCAGATTTATGACTCACTTGCTTATATGTTGCAGAGAGAGAGAGAGAGAGATCAGGGTTGTTGTGGTTAAGAATGAGAGTTAAGGTTGATGGGGTTCATATATATATAGGAAAATTGTTATGCTTGAACAGGGTTAAGTTTGTTGAGGCCACGTTATTTGGGAAGGGGTTGGGACCACTTCAGTAAGTAAGAAGATGCAGTGAAGTTTGGGTGTGGAATATAAAATACGAGGAAGTTGCTTTGATGCTCCAAAATGGGTGTATGAACACACGGTTGTTGACAATAGACCTTGTTTTTCAATTCTGTGTCTATTGCTTGTTGCTTTATTATATGTAAAATAGGTTTTTCACACTTAATTTAGCCACCTAGACCCCACGCACCTGTTCCACTATCACATGAAATTAATACCATGCTTACCATGAACCCTTCTTGTCACTTATTATTAGCCAAAATAATAAAGTGAACTAACCACTTAATAAATGATTCTGTCGATCAGCTAATTTTTTATCCATCTACTTTTGTATTTTCACTTTTTTTCTCCCCTTATTTCTTGTTACTAATTAATTGCAATTAGCAAGTAAACTAATAATAGTCATACTTTTAAATAATATCATACTGTCAAGTCCTTTTCTTAAGCTTTTACTTTGGAGAATAATGAACATCCACTTGATGTTAATTTAATCACAAAATAAAAAACTAATAATGAATTTATTTTGTTTTCTCGTTTGTAAAGATATGTAATTCACCTCGTTGATTAATTATTTTTTCAAGTCGAGTAAAATATTTATAATTAACTATTTTTAAGTAAATAAAGTTAAATAAATAATACTAAGCGGTGGTTAAGATTAACTTATCACATTTAACACAAGATTAATTCAAATATGTTCAATAATTATTATGATCATTCTTTAATCCAAAGTTATAATTAATTAATTATATTATAAAAATAAGCGTTTTCTCTCTCTATTTTATATGCGTTTTGCATTAGTGATAGTTACAACCTATGAGTGGAATTCAACTTATCACAGGCTATAGGAGCGAATTAAGTTAAACTAAATTTATAGATATTTTGATTTTGTTTCATCTAACTCACCTAATTTATGGATTAAGTCAAGCAAACCTATACTTGACTTGGGTTAACTCAATTTATAATTTAAAAAATTATTATTTAATAAAATTTAAAATTAAATAATTAAAAAATTTAAACTTAATATTTTAATTTAGAAAAAATCCCTTATTTTATTTTTTATCTAGTAAACCAATATGAGTCAACCCACTGGTTAGTGAATTGAGTCGTGTTGAAAATTTCCTTCCTCGTTCCAAAAGTGGGTTAGATTACGTTAAAGTTAATTCTCGATGAGTGGCGCATGTTGATATACACATTTGCTAGAAAGTAACATCATTCAAGCAATTTCATCCCATGCTCTCTCTTTTTCTCTCTTTATCCGCAGCTTCTAAATTTTCACACACACTTTAATCTTTCTCATATCTTTCTGGGTGCCATAATATTGCTACAACAACTTTAACAATGAGAACAATGTATAGTAATATATATAAATTTCCACCTAATACAAACTTTATACTTTCCCTTATTTAATAGTCATTCCAACTTAAAAAATGGTTCAGTGTCTTGGTCTAGTCTTGTTGAATATTATTAATTCTTTCCCCAATTCAACTCCAATAAATTGAATTCCAAAGTTCATCACAAAAATTTTCCAGGAAATTGTCGTGATATAATATTTCAAATGCTGAACAGCGAGTGCAATTTGTTTGAATAAATACCAATTACATAACACTTTCTATAGTCTTGTTGAATTTCGACCTTGAAAATTCTTGATGCAGGCATACATGGAAGTTATCCTTGTCATCTTCTGCTTAATGGGAGAGCATCTCAACAAGACCACAAGAAAAAAGTTAAGGAGAAAGCTACATGTCAAGTATTTTAAGAAGAATGGGGTGCCTTATTTGTCTAGTAATGGGGGTTAATTATTGGTAGAGGAAATTGTTTGTAATTTCCAAAAAATCTAGAAGGTGGGCAAAATTTTCCATGGAAATTAATGTCCTTTCTTTTGTTTACTTTTCTCTTCTTTTCCTATCAATTTTTTCTGCTACATTTTCACTCTTTTAGTTTATTTCTTCTAGCCTTATTTTTTATTTGTTTGGTAGCAGCTGCTTCTTGTACTTTCAAAATATTAAAGTAAATCTATGTGAATGAACTTAATTACAGCACAAGTTTGAATATCATCTGTGATGATACCATCAAATATATATTTAAGTGAGAATTAATTTCATACATAAAGAATATTAAACAGTCTGTGATATAAAGGAAAAAACAAATTAGTTCCTATTGTCAATCGGAAACTTTGCTCCGTCTATGAATCGATTTCATGTTCACTCACGTGTCTTTATCTCCTTTCGTGTTTTCAATTATCGTTAGAAGACATTGTACAATTTTTAATATAGTTTTTTTAACATATTTATTTAATAGCACACATTGAAAATTTACATATAAATTTTTAAAATCATAAATATGACAAGATCTAACGCGTTTTAACAATATTTAATACATAATCGTTAGTAAAATTTTATTATATATCAATTTTTTATTTCATAAAAGTTAATTCGTTTTCGTTTATGCAATTATTTTCAGTTTATCGCACTTAAATTATTGATGAAAACTAAATCGTGGGGTAAAGCATATGATTCCTGTTAGAAGATAGGTTATACTAACTCAACGTGATGACGAAGTTATGTTTGCTACAAAGCAAATGTTTAACTATTATCTTATTTTACGATGTTAAATAGATGGAAGAATAAAAATAAAATAGATATAAAAATATAAAAATGGAAAATGTAAATGTTTAGAGAATGAAATAATTGATTTAATTTCTTAAAATAAACTATAATATCTAAATAGTTTACCAGTTTGTCTTTTTCTCTTTATTAAAAAAATAAACTAGAATATTTTATTTTAAAATATATAATGTTTTAAACAATACTACTTGTTTAGTATTATTTGATATAATTAAATAGTTAATATCATAAAAATGAGAAAGAAATATACCTATACACGTTATGAGTGCAAAAATCTATATATTTTACTTTTTTAAGATGAGGATGGGCAGAGATAGATGGATTAGTTGTTGATAACAATAAAATATTATAGTTTATGCACGTGATATCAACCTAATGAATATACATATCAAAATTTATACAAATTCAATGTATGTCAAAAAAAAAAAATTTTTTGTTAACATAAAATAATTTAAACAAAATAATAATAAAAATATAATTAAAGACAATCAACGGTAAAAAAAGAAAAAGAAAAGGACTACAGGTCCTGCAATCGAGATCCATTTTCGATTTTGATAGAGGTTTCTTTGCTAACTTAAAATAGAAAAAAATTTAATCAACAGCATGCAGCATATAAAACAAAATGACTCAGCTTTAATTTTTTTGTTGTTATTATTATAATCAAGAATGTTAACTAATTTGTTAAAAAAAATATTTTGTTAAAAGATGCTGAGTCTATTATGTTTATATTCTCGATCCACACACGCACGAATGAAAAATTAGTATTGCCAACATATCTTTATCATAATATTATTAAAATAAACATAAATTTTAATGTTGCTAATATATCTATGTCTTTATTTTTAATAAAGTTATTATTTATTAATTCTTTAATAAATTTCTTTGGACATTCATTAACAGGACTTTATTTTCTATTTAAAAATTTAAGAGCATAGTAATATTATCCTTTCATATACAATTTTATATACATATTTATCAAATTCTTAAATATTTTATACGCTCGTCTTAATGTAAAAGAGAAATAATATTAGAAATCATATAATAAGCTCAAAATAAATTCAATATATATATATATACTTTGGGTGTTATATTAAAAATAAACAGATAAAAATAAAATTAATGAGTAAAACCAAAAAGTATTATTTAAATGTATAGTTATTAATTTATAAAACAAATAAAATATAAAAATTATAAATTAATAAAAATTTAAGATGGTTGGTAAAATACTGTGTTTTTTTATAATTAAAAACGTATAATTAAATATTAATATTAATATTAATTTTTCAAACGTTTATTTTTTAAAAAATTAATAGATAAAACATTATTTCAATATTGATTTATCTAAAAATAAATGGAAAATCAATATTATTTTAGAAATTAATTTTTTATTGAAAAATAAAAAAAAATCAATTTTTTAATGTACATTAGGACTTAAAGCTAAACACTAACTCGTTCTAACCATTTTAGCATCACAAAAATAAAAGAAAAAACAATTTAAAATATATGCCGAATACATGTCTGCTGATATATATATATATATATATATATATATATATATATATATATAACTTAACCTTCATATTTTATTTAAATTATTATATACGGACAAGGATACGTTGAGTATTAGATATATGATAGTGTTAAGTTAATGATATAATTTTTATATATTTTTTTGGAAAATATTTTAAATGCAATACTTTTTATAAAATTTAAATTTAATTTAAAATATTGTATGTTAATTAAGATAAAAGTCTGTCACATGGGAATATTAAATTCAAACTTTTTTCCAGCTAACATAGCATTTATTTCCCTGATGTAAGTTAACAAGGCTAAATATTCACATTCTTAATTTGTTAAGAAGCTAATTATAAATGTAATAATTTTACTGAGATTAAAACTATATATAATATTATCATTTATAAAAATATATTTAGTTAAGCATTAATATTTTATTAAAAATAAAATATAAATTCAAGGATATTCTAACCCATTACATCTCTAAATATAATTAACAATGTTAAGTAATTATCAGTCTAATTCACATGTACAAGTGAGCTACATAATATTAACAAACAAAAAAAAGATTGATTTATTATTTTATTTTAAAAACTATAAAATAATAAAATATTTAAAATAAAAAATTATTTGCCTGCTGTACTAACTGGAAATACTAACATTTAATGGTATATTATAAGGAACGTGTTTGTTTAAATGGATTTAAGAAATGATAGAGTGGCTCACTGTAGTGTACCTTCTTCCC